TTTTGTCAGAGACGTTGCGGCGGTCTCTTTCTTTTTCGTCTTCTTTTTGCGAATATTCAAAAGCATTCGAATACTTTGCGAATATTTGAGCATATTTCGAGAATCTTTAGGAATATTTGCCGAATATTTGCGAATATTTCTTTGATTGCGGGAAAAGTTTTTGGGTGAATATTCTGCAATAAGTATAAGACGCAAGACTCCGGATGCAGTTCATACCATGCGGGAATCGAACTGCGTAAGAGGCTCCGGACATGCTCATGCAGTTCCGCGGTCAGTTCTTCCCGTGGGGCTATCTGAGCGAGCTGACGTGGCGACGCTTCTCATTCAAAGAAAGAAATGCTTTAAACTCCCACCTGCCTAGCCCCCCGCTTTCCCACTTTCTCCCTTGCCTACCTTCAAACTTGCCTAACCCCTCACTTGCCCTCGTCCCAAATTCCCCGCTCCCAAATTGCGCACTCCCCGCCTGCCCACTCCCTCCACTTGCCCACCCCCCTTTTGGCTAACTCCCTACGTGCGCCCCCCCTGCAACCCTCTCCACTTGCTGACCTCTCCCCTTGCCAAACTCTCCACGTGCCCAACTTCCCCGCTGCCTAACTCCCAAATTGCCTAACTCTCCGCCTGCCCATTTCCCTGCTTGACAAGCTCCCGGATTTCCCACCTCCGCCCCTGCCAACCTCCGCCCTCGACCGCCTCCGCCCTTGCCCAACTCCCCAATTGCCCGCCTCCCAACGTAGCCGCCCCCCGCCTTTCCAACCCACCCCCTTTTCAACCTCCCCCTGCTTGCCTCCCTTCCTGCCTGTCCACCTCCCTCCTTGGCCTCTCTTTCCACTTGCCCATCTTCCCGCCTGTCCGTCTGCCTGCCTGCTCCGCCTGTTTCCGCGTCGGGCAAAATGCTGGGCTGGTGAGGCGTCTGTTGTGTGGGTAGTACGTCCGCGCAGCTCGGGCAGCCCCCCCGCACGCCCCTCAAGCGCTGCGTTAGCGCGGTCGGCGAGTCGGGTGCTGCCATCGTCACTGGTATCAACGTTTCGCAGCGACAGTTGCTGTCGGCTTTCGCGGGAAACTTCCACCTGGAGGAAAGAGAGGCCCCGTGCACCGTGCGCACCGCCTCCTCGATCGTTTCTCCAGGGCTCGAAATAACACACACATCCTGCGCGACGGATCTCTTGACTTTTTTTAGCGAAGAAAACCCCTCCAAAGTTGGCGAACCCTCCAGCAAAATAGTTGCGTCGGCGGAAGACGGTGCTAACAGCGAAATTTATCTCTTGGTAAATGTGTGGCACTCTTCTTCTAAATACATACTTCATAAGCGACCGCAGTTCGAGATGCGTGAGAAAGATGGGGCTGGCAAGCGCGACTGTGTGTGCGACGGCTGCAACTCAATTAAATCGATCAAAAACTTGTTAGTATCTTGTATCTACTGCGCCCTACGCAATTTTGCATCTCGGATTCTTACAAGCAAACTCGTTGCGGTAAAGATGTAGATGCTGTGTAGTAAATCTTCATACCTATCATGACTATAGTACGGTCTGTCTTATCATAAGAGTGAAGTCAGAGTAAGGCTTTCTTTAAAACCATGCCGTCTTCTCGCCCGGGCCCGCCGCCGAATCCGGCCGAAATCGCGGCCCCGAATGTCGATGGGCGCTCCCATTCGCGCTTCAGCGGTGTCCGATCCGCGGCTGTCCTTGCGGCGATGTCCGCGACCGGATGCGCAGTGTATTTACTCCGCGCGCGGTTTGAACCGTCAAGCGGAAGACGTGCAGATCAAGACACGAGTGAACAGGGCTCATCTCCACTCGCAAAGGTGTCCCTTGCTCCTCACCGCGCATCCGAGGAGCAGCATTTTCAAGCAGCCCATACGCGGGATAGAACAAAAATATCCATCGACTCGAACTTTAGCGAAGACTCAAGCACCTCTTCTCTGTTCTCCTGGATATTGTCGGTGTCAGGGAGAGACGCGACCGCAGACACTTTGCGGCTGCCGATGCGGCCCGTTTGCTTGCCCCGTAACGATCTTCCAGCAATGTCGACAGGAAAAGAGGCATCAGCGTCCGAAATGAAATCTCCACAGCCCTACAACTATGAAGATCATCGAGTGTCGCATCTTACAACAGCAGCAGTCGCAGGCAAGCCGGGAGGAAACGTTATCGCGCAGAGGCTACGCAAACTTGAGGAACCGAAAGCAAATTTGTCACGGAAGGGCAGATCAGCTTCGCAGCTGCATTCGCCTCTCTGCCTGACGAATGCCTACGCCGCACCCACGCAACGCCGCAGTGCTGGATATGCAACGCGCCTTGACATTTCACCGGTAGTGGAGGGCGAGGAGACGAAAACTTTCGAGGTTTTAGTAGATACGCGTTCTTCCGTCATCTTCGTCCCCGACGCCTCCGCTGGCGTGCACGTCGGCAGACCAGCTTTCAATTCGGGATCGAAATTTGCAAAGGTGAGCAGTGTAACGCTGCCGAGCTTCGGCGTTGCAGTGGGTTACCGGGTCCAAAGCACCGTAGTGCTAGGAGATGTCTCGATCAGCAGCCAAGGATTTATCTCCGCGTTTGCGATTCCCCCAAGTTTTCCGATTCAATCCGTGGATGGCGTGCTCGGCTTAGGGCGAATGACGTTGCCGCTGCGCTCTGACTCCATTTGGCTGAATTTGCTTGGCGGGAAAAGCTCATTAGGTGCTTTTGAATACTGTTCATGATAATCGAAATCTTCAATTGTTGTACTTCGAAGTAGACGCAATTAAACATAAAACTACGAAAAGAAATCGAACTTCTGATCACCACTTCTTAAGCAAGGTTTCTACTAATTGATGACCCGTCACTAGTGAATCATTTTGTTTTGTGTCGCTTAAGTGGTCCGAAATAGTCCACGGTCGCTCGTTACGCTTTTGGCTTTGTGTCTGTTTTGTGAGTGCTGAAAGATAGTCAACGGTCATCGCTTAAGCGAGGTTTCTACTAAGCAGAGACCGGCCACTCGCTACGCTTTCGCTTTTGTGTCGCTTAAGTGGTGATGGGACATCACTTAAGCGAGGTTTCTACTAAGCAGTGATCGGTCATTCGCTACCCTTTCGCTTTTTGTGTCGCTTAAGTGGTCCGAAATAGTCCACGGTCGCTCGTTACGCTTTTGGCTTTGTGTCTGTTTTGTGAGTGCTGAAAGATAGTCAATGGTCATCGCTTAAGCGAGGTTTCTACTAAGCAGTGATCGGCCATTCGCTACCCTTTCGCTTTTTGTGTCGCTTAAGTGGTGAAGGGACATCACTTAAGCGAGGTTTCTACTAAGCAGTGATCGGCCACTCGCTACCCTTTCGCTTGTGTGTCGCTGAAGTGGTGAAAGTGACCGCCCTCCAATCCAGCTACAAGTTTCGTTGTATCGAAAAGAAATATGTGAAAGCCTAGGAAGAACTACACCGAAACCACTAGGTCAACTTTCGTCGGGTTTTTTTTGGATGGAGTACCAGGATGATGGCAGCAGCGAACTAGTACTAAAAAAAAATCTGCCTGACACCCGGTACGACCCGACTAATGTTAAGGACAACATCTAGTGTCCATTTTTGTCAGCATCTCGATACCTTTTTGTTATCTCGATACCTTTTTGTTTCCCTTGTATGGATTTCGCAGGAAAAGGGGTCGAGATCATCAGGGGACCGAAATGAATGTTAGCCGACTCTAATAAGGGCGCGAATTGGCTCCCAACTTTGGGAACTGAGAACTATCCGGAGTGGCTAGTCTTGGCTAATTCTGTAACGGTGAAATCACAAGCAGATGCGAAGCCCCTCGTCAGCAAAAGCGGTGTTGTAGGTACCCATCGATACATCAAAAATACCATCCGATGCTTCAGGAGCATCATCTTCAGATTAAGTGTTTAATCGCAACGAGGACGAACAACTAACAGTGATGTTACCTCACGAAACGACAAGAAGAACAAGGTGCCACCATCTAGCTTCATCGAGCTATATTTTTTACAACAAAAATACTCTCTCTGTTCATCAAATTTTTCTCTTCTTTACAGTGGCCTTCGATTTCGGCGCAGCGGATTGGGTAGTAGCGCCTGGTGCGGATTTTGCACAAATCATGCAACAAATAGAGAAACTGGAAGGAATTACGAATCCTCTATATATCCCGTGCTCACAGGCTGCCAACCTTCCGATTCTCGAATTCGTATCATTGTTTTTTTTTATAACAAATTGGACTTTGTTTGTTTTTTCGCTAGAGGAGGTGGACGCTAGATGGAGGTGGGCGTGGGTTTATTGATGATTGTGCACCTAGAAGTTTTTTTGTTGCTACGTTGTTTGTTCAATAATCTTCGACTTTAGGCCATCGATCAACGCAACTTCTCAGGATATTTTAGGAGAGACCTACTCACTTGACGGATCGGAGTACACTCAGGCAGATGCGGAGAACGATCTGCTAGAAGTCGAGAGTGCGGCTGCACCATCTACCGCATCATCACCTGCTGAACCATCTTCAAGTGCTCCTGAAAAGTTTGGAGCTGCTGTGAACAAACTCAACGAGCAACAAAGATCCGCACCGGATGAACACCATCAACAAGCACTTCTTACAACTTCAAGCACAACTTCTTTATGTGGCAGTGAAGATCATGGTTCAACATCAGGATCAGCAACTTCGATATCAAAAGTTGACAGCGCTTCCAGTAGTACAACGACCACACCTAGTCCCACCACACAGATGTGTCACGTGCGCATATCCTCGGATCCAGATGTCGCTTACTGGAGGTTGGGCTTCGCATTCCACAAAAAATATCCAGTTACATACAGCTTCGTCCAGTCACGAGTTGGGTTGCCCAGGTCGCGCGCACCTACTTGGGTGAAGGACAACTGGCCGGCTCTTGCGATTCCCAGTGTCTTTGGAGTAGTACTAGTTTTATTTCTACTGTACGTGCGCTCGCAAGGTAGCGCGGCTGCCGAAACAGGAGCTGCGGTCGGACCAGGGGGAGCAGTAGGAGCAGCGGCAGCAGGAGGAGCAGTACTCGAAGGGCGCCCGGCAACGGCGGTGTAGTGATCATGCTGATAGCATATAAGAAGCTTGTTCTTTTTATTTGACGAACGAGAAAACCTGAGAATTTAGATTCCACCACTTGCTTTTCACGAAACATCAATCACATGACAAAACAAATACGAGGATGCGACGTCCCCGATTTTTGACACTAAGTGCTACATGTCTCTCTGAAGACAATCATGAATTACATTCGCGCAGTCGTTTTGATTTTTTCAGATGACACACATACTCTTTCGCGTGGTGCGAAAACGCAAAGCTAACGATTTTTTTTTTTGGCAAGGAAAATTATTCGCATTAAATTTAAAATAAAGTAACGTCATCTTTGATGTTACTATATTTTCGTCTGTGGTTACTTCCGAAGCACTTATTCACTTGAGGATGCCTCGACAGGCAGGCCGCGCGTGAAGCTTGTGATTTTTTTTCAAGAGTAGTATAAAGCTTCGTGTGCAGCAAGAGCGATATTACGTCAAGGCCGTATTTTGAGGGTGACCAAAAAAAAATCAGAAGAAGAACAAAGTCCAGAACTTGCATATCAAATCCCGGTTATTGAATGTTTCCCAAAGGGAATATTTACTTTCTTGTTCTAGAGCGAAAAGAGCAGCTGTTTGCTTCGACTTACCATGACAATGAATGTTTCTGACCAATCTTTCCTCTCGCTCCTGCAAACTTAGGAGCCTATTTTGTCAACGATAAACAGCCAGGAAGGTTTCATATTGTGTCGCGGATGGAGATTTCTTTTGCTTTTCCAGGCAAATGTACGAAGACAACGTCGTGGCTGGGCCACGAGGGAAGGACCGACGGTCACTACCGGGTATCCCCGATGCCCGGGCCTCTCCGCGTAGCACACTTATGAAGACTATCACATAATGATATTCTTGTCATAAATTTTGGTGTCTTTCCCAGAATTAGTATCATAGATTAAAACGATAGGAGACAGTTTCAAAAGTATCTGGCTAGTATGGCTATAGCTTTCACAATATCTGTCTCTCCCATAATCAGTATCATAGATTAAAACTACGATAGGAGACACTTCTCTCAAAAGTGTCTGCCTATGGCTACAACGGCTTTAATACGTCCCGATCTGGAGAGGGAGATGGCTCTGGAGATGGCACCACCACTCCCCGCGGTCCGAGCCTTGTGACTTCGAGCGAACCAACAACGGCGGCTCCTTCCGGAGGTCACGTGGAGGGAACGGTGGTGGTAGCAGCAGCACAAGCTCCATCCAACACCCGCAGCAAGGAGAGTGCAGCAATATCTTATGCCGGGGGCTCAAAAGAGAACAGTTCAAAAGAGAAACTACACGTACCGGGAGACGAGAAAACACGCACTACCCAAACCGGGAGAGGCGACCAGCGCTCAAAAGAAGAATCGCGAGCAGTTTCGTTTGAGGTTGAACAGCCAACGCTTCTCAACTCACGAGAGACAGCACCGCGAGATCGATACACGGTACAAAATCATTCGAGATCTTGTTCTCAGGCCACAAATCTAATTGATTATATACAGATTATTGATTTTCCTCCACCATCTGATATTCATCATTTTGGTACTTTTACTTGAGAAGTACGCTTTAAACGCAATCATGCAATTTTCAGTTCACTTCGGCCTTTGCGACTTTTTCTCGGCCGTGGTTTCTCGGGGGCAACAAAAGTACTCTGGTTCATGATGAAGCAATGGCGAAGCAGCCCAGTGTACATCAACGACCCTATGATACAGGCATTTGCAGCATACACCTAGACCGGCATTTACTTCAAAAAATGGAACATGCAACTTTTATATGGTAATGATCGGAGGTTACTTTTCGTTCGACTTAAACTCTACAGCTGGTTCCTGACTGCTTCCCCTTGAAAAATCTTGTCATTGACTCTTAACTATAAAAATAGTTTACAAGCTTGCAACTACCAATTACCTGCTCCTTCTAATGCTGATCACTACATATGCCAGAAAGGAATGCTGACGCATTTTTCCATGATTCTGACGTAAACGATCCCTGGGACGAAGATGTTCAGGTGGTTGGGAGTAAAGTTTACAGTCGTATTAAGGCTCTCACTAATGCATCTTTGACTGCATCCTTGTTGGGGGAGTATTTTGCCGCCGTGCTCTACTTCAGGGATGTACTTGAGAGATGAACTATGGATAGCTCTAATCCTAGCTTTACGAAACCAAAGCAGCAACAGTGTCGCATAGGTATTGCCACTTAGATTGATTCTTCGTCCTTCTTGTCCTTGCAGATGCTGAAATGGAAAAAGTCAAATAGTGTCTAGAGATAAAAATTTCTTTGTTTGTCTAAGGTCAACCAGATAATTTCATTCTTTTTTCACCAACTTTTACATCTACTTCTATTGTTTTTAAATGCAAATAGAAATCAAAGTTTCTCGTCAATGCTGTGGAGGAACACTAGAATATGTACTTTTCAACATGAGATATTTCCGATAAACTGGATATATCCAACATATCAAAACTGTAGTTTATAGTGCTAAGCCATTCATTCTTGGCACTACAGCTGAGATTGATACGACCCCCTTTGTCGTGTTCTTTCCCACTACCAGGTGTTACTCCTTACCAGTACTATGGTATTGATCCGACGCAAGAGGTTTTTAGCGCGTCGTTCAAGATCGTTTTAGAGACCGAGGTCGAGTATGAGGAGTGGGTCACGAAAGTCGAAAGCCAGAAGGACTTAGTGCTGCCTGTGCAGGAGTGCCTCTTCACATTATGCTTGTAGTTAATGGTATGACTGAGTAGTATGTGTATGAGTCCGGGGTATCAACGACAAAGTTTTATTTGTGGGCGAATGGTTTGCAACAAAGCCTATTTCTTTATGTAATAATATGCTGCCTCAGGTACTAGTTACGCTAGACTCGTAACGCGAAGCAATCACACGATATCTCAGCGACGTCCGAGTCCTGAGTTAATCCGTTCTAATTTCGACACCGAGATTCTTGCACAAGAATTCAATCGATTTGCAGATTTTTTCATCCGACTGGAATGCCAAGTGTTGTAAGAAAGAGGTGACCGTGACAAAGAACCAGATGATGACAAGCACTTGCCGGAACGACTACGATCTGTACGGCTGAAAAATGGAAAAATAATCACATTAAACACTGCGTCTAAGAGGTTTTATTCTTAGCTAATCACAAACACTTATTCGAAGTAAAATAGTTTTTATTCTTAGCTAATCACCAACACTGCGTCGGTAAGTGAAATAGTTTCTATTCTTGGCGGCTTTTCGTATTCGTTCTCGCGCTCGTTCACAAAGATCACCATCTAGTCCGCACTGGCGACCCCTTCTTTGACCAGCCCATCACGATCCTTTGGAAACAAAATTTCTTCTCCTCAATAATGTTGTTGACCCTCTCATTTTCGGAGCGACTTTCCGTTCGATCGGCAGACCTTGGAAATTGTGCTATTCATAATACCAGAAGTAAACACACAATTCAATCTGGACATATGCGACACGTTAGGGAAGCCGCAGCTGGTGCAGAGCTTCGAAACCAACTTCAATTATGGCACTGGTACTACACTTGATTTTTGGACCCGCTACTGCTCTTACTACATCGAACCGGACAACTAGGACTGCTCTATTTAGTACTTAAACTCATAGTTGGGAGTTGAAAAAGCGGTACTTGTTAGGTATCTGAAGAGCAGTACTAGGAGTAATGCACCTGGGACCAGGATGAATGAGAGGAATATCATGGCTTAGTCCTATTTGTACTAAAACTCTGCTCTAATCTCGAACGCCGGACTGGGAGATCATTCCTGGTTCGTTTGTGGTAGTTTCGGACTCCCCACCCGCAGGACAGCGCGTGGTTATATCCGTTCAGGTGAAACGTATCTGGCAGAGCTACATTTGGAATTTTTATCTTATGTCAAGAATTTCCGGCTGATTATACACTAGTTGTAGTCGACGCAATTTTTATCTTATGCCAAGAATTTCAGCATGGGTAGATATTGGCAGCACCCTGTGTGAGAGCGTAGTCAAGGCAACCTATCCTATCCTACACTTGTTTTGTTCTTTCATCTTTCGGGGCCGCTGCCGTTTTTTGAATTGAAGTACAACCGGTTAGTTTTTCCTTCGTAGTAAGGCGTATGCCTTAAACTTCCCTGCATGACGAATAACTTCTGCAGCAGGAGTCCATGCTCTCTCCTTCGTCTTCACGGGCTGCGCTTTTTTGAACAGAACTACTGATTAGATTATGTGGATCTATGAAGTGGTATGCAGGTTTTCTATATTTATAAGCTAGCATCTACTCCGTCTCCCTTTCATATACTTCGTTTTCTTCTTGATCACGTCCTCTGGTTTTGCGAGTTATGTGTGGAACCCTCGTCGCGGCTTATCCGAAGAAATGGTGGCACGAGGAGAGTGGAATGTGCAGAATCCGCACGACGCGATTACGATTTCCCTGCTGGCGCTTCTGACTAATATCAGTTTCAAGACATACGTTTCACAGGTATAATTGGTTACGGGAATAAGCAGTATGACCATCGGTGATGATGTGAAGAATCTGAAGTTGTTGAGCTTGGATACAGGGTAGCTATCAACCAATAGTCAGCTGTTCCTTAGACATCTCCCAGCATATAATTCTTGGATCAGATGGAATCTAGGGTTTTTTTGTAAGAAACCGATGCCCCAACTCGATATGCTGTTGTCTCTAAGAAGCGATAAAGGTGTAGCTCATTATCTTCTACACTTTCGAATACAGGTGGCTCCGAAAGTGGGTTATATGACGAATTTAGACGTCTACATTTTCGGCTGCCTTTCGATTTCCTCGTTGCAGACCGGGACTCACGTTATCATAGTGCTAGGCGAGCTGTCCCCGGCAGTGGAGCATTTCTGGGTCGTTGGAGGTATGAGAAGACAGTATTCAACCTAAAAATTTCAGTTACAATATCTTGATGTTAATCTTTATGGCGATTTTTCTATCTGCGATCTTGATAGCGATTTTTTTGTTTGCGAATATTTGGAACTTTTGGTGTCCTTGGTTTCTACTTCTCGAAATTCCACATGAGTGCTTGACCTAACTAAGCCCAGCACAGCGATGTGCAATACGCAATACTAGAATCATCTTAGTGCATGATTCTCATTTTGTTCTGCTCCCCATAAAGGTATGACGTGCTTGTGGGCTATTTTTCACCTCTGGTATTTTCTATTGGTATCGAAGTCAAGAACCCGCACCCTGCCTCAAAACCACATGGAACCACGCGTCACGAAAGTAGCATCCAACGCCACGGTAGTGCCATTTTCCCAACTTAAGGCTTTCGTCCACAATTAGAGCTCAAAAGCTATTATATTTTATTCCTTGGGTTCATTTCTTAAGAATTTTAAGGGAGGAAAAGGAGAACATTAAATAGAGCTCTAGCAGGAATGAAAAGGTTTATTCACAACTGAGATGCAGATCATATTATGTCTAATCATTGCACAATCGAGCATTCGGTAGCACATTATGTCTCAACGGGGGGTATTCGAAGCCAATCGCAATTGCAGGCGCAAGACCACCGAGAGACACTAGTGGTCGTCGGAAAGAACACTTAAGACGAGACTACTTGGCCGCAGCATTTTTGTGGACGTTATAATCACTTGATATCTTACTTTGGTCAGATGATCATGAATGTCTTTAATCATCTATGATAAACTTTTTGAACCTTGTTTTAATCTGAACTGGATCATCCCAAGATTCGTTGTCTTTCTAATGACATACGCAAGTCGAGCAAGCTGAAAGTGACAACGAAGTACCCGTCGAGAGCGTGCAGAGCGACGTCGACAAAGGAGGCGGGACGGCTTCGGCCACGGCAGACAATCCCCCTATACGTCTTTTGTGATGAGCGGTGTCTCCGTGATGTCGAACGAGTTTCTAACTTATCATGATAAGACACCCACTGAACATGGATTTGAAGTCAACGTCTATGTCTAATTTCACCGTCATAGTATTTTGTCGTTAGTTGTGACTACGTACAGTTATGCAAAGTCCTCAGAGCCCGCACCAGTATTGTCCCTTTCATTTTCGGAGTCTCGACCAATAATATTTCAGTTTGCATGCAAAGTTTTGTAGAGCTGGAAAGCAACAATTTGTTTGAACAGTACGAACAAGCGGCATAGTATGCCATATTTACTGTCAGGGGACGAGTTATTTCTCACTGCACAAACAAACGAAAATGAACAAAATTCTCCCATCAAAAGCACTACAATGTTGCTTAGCCGTGGTTCTGCTTTATTAAGTCTTTCAAACGCATTTTCACCGTGGCATGGTTGATAATCGATATTCAAATGTTGAGGAAACGGATATGTTTCCTATCCATCGGGTGATTATTCTTGGCGAGCTAATACAACTACAAGAAGAAGTTCCAGACGCATCGACTACTTGGTTTTTTGAGACGCGGTGATTCACGTGGGACTTACTGCATGGTGCGCTCTCTCCAATCACCTCATCCTCTACCACGACTTCAATGTGTCTCTGTAGCACTACGCTAACATGCTTCCCGACGGACTCAAGCTCCGGTTTACCCTCCTCACCATCACCGCTTTGATACCTGTCTCATCATCTCCACACCTTCAACAACACCTGTTCCCTTACGAAAAAAAAGACCATCTGATGACGTTTCAGAAACGTACTGGCGGCATATTGTTGTTTAGATCAAACAGGAAAAGATCAAACTTGAAGATCCCTAAAGGCTCGATGAGACAGAAACATGCGATCTTGGACTTCTAACAAGCTAAAAAGCCGCGGGTCTATAGTGTTTGAAAAACATACGAAACGCCGGTATTATGATAGTGTAGTGTATGTCAGGATCTCTAATGATGAAATCGAGAAAGTGACCATCTTGTAGGAGTGATATTTTTTCCTCATTAACAGACATGTCAGATAGTAACTCATTGGTCATTCCTTTCAGGCGGGACTGATTATTTCGCTCGTTGTTTTCTACCTAGAGCTCTACTGAAATTATGTGCTTCACAGGTGGTGACTATCTATGGCATCATTTATCTTGAGGATGGGATGATCCTTTTCTGATCCATTCATGACCTACTTGGTGACTCATGACCTTGGATTGTATGATGCAGTTGATTTAGGATCAAGGTACTAAGAAAAATGTTGGACACAGATGATGGAGGCGACGAGCGCTTGTACGACCGCAATTGGTCGTGCGAAACGTGTGGGGGAAAGACTCTCTGTCCCAGTGGTGTCCGCTTCCGGAAAAAAATGTGGACTCTTGGCCGGCTTCGAAAGAGGGGGCCATGGCTTGAAGAAAAAGATATTTTATGGCTTCCCCTAACCCATCTGATGATGCATCCTAGGGAGGCTTTTTGAGGGGAAAAGAGCCCTGGGATGAATCTCAAGATAAATAAGGGTGAGCTCTAAATATTGAATCAAACCCGCAGACAGGAGCAGTAGAGCTCTCAGATGTAGTAGATAGGAAGCTTGACGACGACGCATCAACACTGGATATCTGCATGCGTTTAGATAAAAATGCAACTATTCCGTGCCTAGAGTTCGTTTTTCTGTCGAAGCAAGTGGAGCGTCATAGAAGAAAACAGCAGAATGAGGCTGCAGGGTATCTGTTGTTCCAAGTCTTGCTGGAAGAGGACGACAACGACACTGTGATTCCGCCGTCAGCTGGTACAGATCGTTCCCAACACGATGTCGAGAACGACCCCGCGTGTCCGGTATCAGCTGGCACAGATCCTTCCCAACAAGATGAAAGAAGCACGAACATCACCAGAGAAGAAAGTATCTCTACGGGTACTAGGAAAAAAAAAAACTCTACGGGTACTAGGAACAGCACTATCAGGGATACACACGTGACAGAAGAAAGTGCCCTCGTCAAAGTGCGGAAACTAGCGGGGTTCAGTCTTCGCGGGTTACGGATATCACCAGCTTTGCGTAGAGGCGGCATCGGTGCGAAATTAGTCCGCGCCTGGTTGGAGTTCTGTGCGTTTACCAGGAGCCCTTCGATTGTGACAAACAAAATGGATAAGCCTGTACTGAGTCTGGCCTTACAGCGTGCAGGCATGCAACCGATTCGCGACAACGTCTCAGTTCTTGTCCTGAAACCACGCAGTTTGGAGGAACGACGAGAATGGGAGGATTTCTGTCATGCTACAGATCGCGAAAAGAGTTCTCCTGCTGGAGGAGATATGGACGCCTTCGCGAAAGCTTTTTGTCCTAAAGATACGCAGCAGCTGCCTGCCCCACTGATGTCGGATGACGAGATTACAATTCCTGTTGCAACGCCTGTTTCGCCCGACGCACAAAAAGAGGAAGATCTGGGCACGAGCAAGCGCCGCAAAAAAGCCATTGCCGACAAAATAGATAGTAAGCCCAAGTATACGTACGTGAACAAGGATACCGTGTTTCTGTACTCTGAAAACCGACAGCAGGCCAAGAGTGTCTTCGCCGGGAGTTACTTGAAAACGCAAAACATGGTTTTATTCAGTCCTGAATGGCGGCCAGATGACTTTGATTTGATGAATATTGAGATGAACAATAGAACTCAGTTAGATGACTCTGATTTGAATACTGAGATGAATACAACTCAGAGCAGAGCGGATGGTCGCTGTAGCGAAGGGTCTATCAATCCAGAAACTACTGCAAACACGAAAAGCGGGATTATGCCAGCATCACGGGGACGGAGAGCTTTCGTAAATACACCCTTTTACTACGATCAAGAAGATGCGGCAGCTGGTACAACTTGGAAGGGTGATCGCGTGGTCGAGTGGAACCAATTTTGCGGCCATTGTTTCCGAACACAAATCTTGCAGGTGCTAGAAGCCTGGTTGAAGAAGACAGATTCCTCACCCCATCAACCTCTTAATGTCTCTTGACATTTTCCCCAGCTTACTAAATTTGAGTTGTTTCTCCAATCTTCGGCGCATCGACATAAAGGACAGCCTGGAAAGTTGTACAGCTACAGTCTCTAGTAGTCTTGATGTTATTGGTGTTTTTTTTCTGCGCACAAGCGTGGCAGCGTATCCTCAGTTCCTGCGAAGGTCTTTATCAGCGTATGAAAAGTAGCGTATCAGTCATAGAGACTACGAATCGCGTCGGCTTGAGGGAGCGAAGAAATCAGAGTGAGCAAGAATCGTTTCACGAACACTATGCGCTAATGACTACTAAGTAACGCGTCCCTGATTTGTTTGCATGACCTCACGACGTACGTTGTTAAGAATAATTACTGAAAAGTCGAATTATCTACGGTGTTCTTATCCTTAAAGAAGTACTTTTCAAACGATGTAGTTTTGGAAACTAGTTCATTATTCATTTGGTGATTCCCAGATGGAAGTGTGAGGTAGAGTGAACAGAATTACGAAACGTTTTACTCGGTGTCGCGGTTTTTGTCAAAACGCCAGGAAACAGAATCACTTTCAGATCCGACGACTTATACGAGGCCTTCATCTGTCAGTCTGAGAAGTTTTACTTATAGCTGCAGTTTCCTGATCGCAATGCACGGCTTCGACGGCGAAGATTCGGCCGACAAGGGTTCTGCTGTCAAACTGTCTCCCGATCGACAGATCAAGGACGAGACGACGGAAGAGCGTCCGCAGTGGCACTTTAAAAAGCGCTCACTTCTTGTCGTACTCGCAAGCGCATTCCTGGCTGTGGTCATCTATGCCGGTCTCGGTTTCGTCCAGAACTACTTTGAGGCGGTTGAACCTTCGCCAGCTGGGTTTCGCGTACCGGTCAAGCGGCGCGTGCGAACCCCGCGACCAGGAGAGCAGCCACATGGAAGAGGCATTTTCTTCGATTTACTACAAATTTTGTAGGCCTCACTATTCTTCACAGTCATTCATGTTGTACTTGCAGAAGTGTCGAGTTTGCGAAAATGTACTGGCTAGAAGAGAAAGAGCATTTCATAAACGGCTTTTATGTAGTTTTGCCAAAAATTTAGGCGAAAGCGGGAACAAGCGAGCATTTCGCACTTTCCGCGTCGTAACTCCAGCTCATCCTCTCTCTGGCGTTAGAAAGTTTTTCACTTCCGTGGTTACAACCGACAGCAACGACGCTAAGCCAACAGATGGTCACGTCAAGCCTGCTTTGGAACTGAAGAAAAGTATTGTTCCTGGAGACGCCATTGGTCAGGAAATCAACATTCCTTTGATCAATCCCGGCAAGGCGGACGTGGAATATTTCGGACCTGTGACGATTGGAACTCCGGGAAAAGAGTTTCAAGTGATATTCGACACGGGGTCTTCGAATCTATGGGTGCCCGACGCATCCTGCAAGACGTGTGACACGAACGAGGCGGCGCACAATAAATACGACAACTCGACGTCTAGTAGTTACAGGTAGTACTAGTTGTGCAAATGAAATAATTGAAATGAAAATTTGGCAGGAATTAACCGCCTCATTATTTGCAGCGATGTCTATCAAAAATCGATGCTCATCTATTCAGTGCTGTCGCTATACCGAAGGAACATCACGACAGAAGCATTATGGATTCGTAACTTGTTTCCGCGTATTATTCTTATCTTCGTCTCCTGCTTGACGTGAATGAAAGATACTTATGATTTTCTGTTCCCACATCCCTTCAGCTATATCGGCGACCAGCTGATTCCGCTTGCGTACGGCACCGGTTCCTGCGAAGGCTACTATGCCAAGGAATCGGTAACGTGGGGTGGAGTTTCCGTGACGGAGCAGGGTTTCTTGCGAGTAATCTCCAGCGTAGATCCATTTCCGACCGCTCCTTTTGATGGCATTCTCGGTATGGGTTTCGAGAACCTCGCTTCGCCGCCGAATAACACGCCTCTGCTTCACACGTGGCTGCAGCAGCACGGAAAAATGCTGAATGCTGCACCGGTCTTTTCATTTAAAATGACGGACTCTAAAGGTCGGGATCTGGAGCAAGGCGAGCTCATCATCGGCTCCGTTCCACACGAACGATACGGGTCAGCCGGTGCAAACGAAGTTGATGTTCTGCAGCTGGAAACAAAGGATGGCCAACGCGGCTACTTCTACTGTTAAGGAAGTGGGAAACACATAAACTACATCACTCTGAAAGAAAGTACTAAAAAGATCGAGCATTGGATGTTGCTGAAGGCGGTACACAGAAAGTCATGATCTCCTACGACTCGAGCAAGTTCTAGAAAGACGAATACGGGAGTCGTGTACTCGCTGTCTTTTTCGAGCACCTTGACGCAACACTTCTTCCACATTTCCTTCAAGTACAGGGTTCGTAATTGTGACACTTCATGATCTCATCTAATTCCGGATGTTACCAATAACATCGAGTAAATTGGCAGGCAAGCCAGGCGTCGCGGCAATGGGCATGGTAGATTCCGGGACATCGTGCTTGGTGATGCCTGAGCAGGACTTTATGACCTTTATCACAGAAGGTCGCGTCTCGGATCTGTCTCAAGTTTGCAACGAAGATAACGCGCCCGTCATCGCGATCACAATGGGAAGCTACACGTACAACTACATCTGATAGTTTGGTTGCTCTGCATGTAAAAAATGCTGATTTTTGTGCTCACATAGAAGAAGCAATCTGAAAATTATGACTTTGCTGATGCATGTTGGACCACGCTATCTACATTTCTGCTACTCGGGCTCTTTTCCATGAGGTGTCGTGCACTATTTTTTCATGTGCGAACAGACGCAAGAATTCATGTACGATCCACTAAAGGTATCGTTTTGACAAAGACGACTATTGCATCGGGCAACCTGGACAGCGACAGGCCTGCTTGCAGCCGCAGAGAGAGCCGTTTTGGATTCTCGGCGACGTGTGGCACCGCAAGTACTACACAACTTACAACTTCCGTGACCACAAAGTACTGTTGGCGAAGAAGGGTGCGACGTATCGTCCGAACATCATTGCGATCGTAATTGTCATCGCCTTCTATGCCACACTCGCGATGATCCTCATTGGCATTGTCTCGTGTCTTCTTCGTCGTCTGAAGAAGTGGCGCCAGCCGCCAGCACGCGACAACTTTGGCGGGGGCCGCGTCGGAGGAGGTGTCGTGGTGATGCCAGCCGAAGGAACCTTCCGCCAAACTCAGGGTTGCACACCGCTCACACAGATGTAAGACTATAGCGGATAATAATAACATCTTCCAGCATATGTTCGTGGCAATGAATTTTTACTGGACAACGTCACTTTTCTTCGAGATCCACTACCTGAAAATAATGACATAACTGCTTAATCGATATGGATGGAGCTAGAGAGCGCATATAATGTTGATGTTCTCCTCTGAGGACCGGTAAGAATATGTTACACTTACTTATTCTAGAAAGAGACACTTACGGGTAGAGATTCTGGCGAAGTTAACGTCGAGGACGAGCATCGCATATTCACAGTTTCCTGAGCCATAGCTTCGCTCGTTCGTTTGCGCGATCCCCCATAATATCTTGATCGGTTTATAGAACCTCTACTAGCAGTCGTTATTGGCGAAGTCGCTACACGCGAGACGCGCGTTGCTCCTGCTACTTCTTCAGGATGTTCTATCCGCGGCGTGTCGTTCCTCGGTTCTTTTGTACCTAGCCCTTGGTGTCGGTTGGACTGAAGCCCTCGGTATTCGTTCGGCGGAGTCAAATACGATCAGAATGTCCCAGAGCATCGATATCTGTTTGAGCCATCTCTTCCGTTGAGTCTTTTCGGTGAAGGGTGTACATCTGTCGTTTCGAAACGTTTTCATCTGACAACACTGACTGTGAAAGCTTTCGGTGCGAAATCGGTCATCAAGAGGAAGGCGATTTTATCTGTTCGTCGGTCCGGCTCCGGTACTAAAAAATTGTTGTGTTGTTTTGATTAATATCCGCTTTTCATTGTGAGTAAGTATGCTCTATGATATCTCCAAAATTTTGTGATCCAGGATTAGTTGCTTTTGTGTTGAAGCACGAACGGCAAAAACTGACGCCGCACTTGATGATGTACGAAACACCTGAGCTCATTTGAGAATTCGCCGTGAGCGATGATGTGTATTTTTTTCATGCGATAATGTCGCTGGGCAGCGCTCTGCACGACGTGCTTAACGACTTCTGGCGACCAGTTCGCAGCTCCACTGCACACGCATCTAGCACGTCTTTCAAGGAAGTTAGCGAGTCGCAGGAGGAGGCGCGTGCGTATGCGCTCGTGAATTCCGGAAATGCCTTCGCGTTGCAGCGTGAGCTCCAACCGCTGCGAGAGGCATACTGGCGCGACGAGCTGTGGGCGCAGCCCACGCTGCTCCGGCGATTTCTGTACCTCCTTCGCGCAAGTTTGGAAACCGAGATCGCTGGCCTCAAGCCTGAAGCACCCGATCCAGAGATCGGGCGTTTAGCGCAGCGCTACTTGGTCGAGGGCGACAGTGCTTACAGAGTTGGTAAACGAGGTTTAGTCCGACATGGGATTGGCAAAGACGCTGTTTCTTCGGGTGGAGACGAAGACGCGCGAGCCCAGGCGTTGACAGACCATATCATACACTATCTGCGAGGCGTGCGCACGGTAGATGGGGTCTCCGTGGACCGGAAATACGATCTGAACGAAGGCGCAGTCACGCAAAACGGATATCGCGGGTACTACAACACTATACCATACTTTGTATCCCTCCACTTCGCAGATTATCAAATTACAGTAAGATAATTGATAGCGGGGTCGAGTACTGTGATCGCGTGAATCTAGAATGGCGGCTAGAATGTAGTAACAAGGCACGACTCGTCTCAGGTATTTTCGAAAAGCGTCCAATCCTGCTTTGGTGACGGACTTTACGGGTAAATTGCTTGGGCAAAACGATGTCCGTCTTGCGTCTGAGCGAGGCCTCAGCGATGCTGCGGACCCAGAGGAAAATGACATTCGATTCGCCCTTGAGAATCCGCGACGCGCGTCTCGCATCCGAGCATTGACCCTCGACGCAGATGAAGAGGAAACGCTGGCACTGCGGAGACAACCACAAAAACAAGTGGAGGAAAGTCCTGAGGGAAAGAGTCCTGGACTGGAGGAAGGCGAAAACGGACAGCAAGCCGAGCTGGACGAAGATGATGACGCAGCAGAGGCGGAGCGCGAACTGGATCTACTAGCAAAGGAGCAGGCAGCGACAGCAAAAGAGAGCACAGCCACAGCGAAGGCAAAAGTGGCTGGAACAAATCACTCAGCGCCAACAAAACCTAGGAGTGACGCTGGGTCGTTCGATGAAGACACGGGAAAAGATCTTCCGACTTTTGACGACAATGAAAAAGCCAACGGAGAGGGAGACGGTGACGAGAAGTCTGCTACTAATGACGCTGACAAGGACGGAGAAGACGAAGACGCGACTGCTTTGTCCCAAGACGATGCCAATGGCAAAACCAGTGGCGAGAATGCCAGTGGTCCGACATCTTCCGCTAAAGTTGTTGCAAGGAAGATGACTCCCTTTGAGCGTGCGCGCGTTGCTGAGGAGAGGATCCACCGCGGTTTTGATCTATCTTCTTTTCGAGCACGACTGCAGGAGGAAGCGGATCCGGAGGCTCCTTCACGGCGGGCTCCACGATGGACAGGCGATCTAGACTTGCAAGCACGGCTTGGGGGTGCTCACATCGTGTCTAGTAAAGAACACGGCGGCCGCTTCCGCGATTTGCTCCACCCAGCGCCTCTTCCGCGCCGTCCGCCAGCTAAGGCGCAGGCCGTCAATGCTGAAACGCAAGCGGCCGCAACTGGCGAAGCTCCAGGACCAGGTGATGGAACGAACGAAACGCCAGCAGGGGCGGGTGCAGAATCAGGGGAAAAGAGTCAGGATGATAAACAAGTCGATGGAAGCGGAGAGGGAAGCAATTCCACTTCAGCATCAGGAAGTACAGAGCAGACATCGACTTCTGCATCAGGAACAGAGGAAGCAAAGACTAGTAGCGATTCTTCGGCTCTACCAGAGGAAACTCCAGATGAAAAACTGGATCGCTTGGATGCTGACGCAGAACGATCATTGCACAGTCGTTCTGATGCTGGAGAGACTGGAGAAGCATTAGCGAACGCGAAGCGCGAGGTTCTGTTGGGAGACGAATCGGGTTTGCGTGCGACTGGGGAGACCGTCTTCCCGCCTCTGAAACTGAACCGCTTAATTGACAGTGTCCTCTTCCAACTCTCAGAGCGCGACAACTTGATGGGTCATCGCCGAGGGCGGCCAGCATACGTGGACAAAGCAACCGACAATGGCATTCCAGAAGCATGGAGAGACAACAATGACTACGGAGGAAAAACCGACGCGACGGCAACAGCAGAACAGCAGGCGCCGCCTTCCGACCACGTCGGGGAAAATGCTGCTCCTGATGACGAGAAAATCCCTCAAGAGAACAACGATGCCGGTGAGATTGGTGCTGCGACTAGCGCAGACGCAAACCCAGATGTGGTAGACAAGCAAGGCAGCGATGGAACACCGGATCCAGCCGCAGGCAAAACTGCACCGCCAGCTGGTACAGCGAGTAGCAGTGCACTTGAAGTTTCGCGTCTTCGCAAAAAGTCGAATGCATTGCTTGAGTCAGGAGATGGTGGTGGTTGCCTTCCGCGTAACAAACTACTGCAGCGTGCCAGGAGTCGACTGCTGCTGCGTCGTGCACGTGCGGCAACTGCATTCGCGGTCGCACAAGGTGATGAAGCAGCGCCAACAGCACAAGAGGATACAGCAGCGCCGTCGGGTGATGCCTCTCCTCAAGAGGAAACAGCGGACGACACCAAGGCAGCAGACGCTACGGCAGCCGCCCCCGAATCTTCTAGCGCGTCGTCCGAAGCCGATGGACCACAATCGCTTCTGCCGCTGAATCACGGCTGCAGCTGGGTGGATGATGTAGTGTACACCTGGCCAAAGAAAAAGGCGTATCGTTACGTCGTTGTGCCCGATCCCTCGGAGCTGAAGCCTAGTGCGCTTGCGAAAAGGGCGAAAGCTCTGCCTGCAGCAGAGACGAGCGGCGGCAGCGGAAGCGGTGGAGCCCCGTCTGAAGAAGGGCAGAAGGGCACCGGTGATGCTGAGAAGCCAGAAGACGCGGAGAAGAAAGGAGACGAGGCTGGCGAAGACACTGACAAGGCAGGCGGAAAAGCAGGCGAAGAACACACTGAAGAAAAGAAGGGTGACGATGGAGCAGGAGATGAAACCAAAGTAGGTGATGACAAGAATGAAGCTGGTGACGAAGACGAAGACACTAAGCCTAAGCCGGAGTTGATCTATTCCATTGCCGACAGACGCGTTTTATGTGCCATGGCTTGCTCGCGGGATCCGAAGTGCGAGTCCTATGTTTTTCACAAGTCCGACGCTTATGTAGAAGTCAACAAGAAAGTGGCCGCTGTCAATGAAGAATTGGAGGCAGCAGCCTCATCCTCGTCGGGAGCAGGGAAGCCCGAAAAACCGCATTCGTACGTTCCGAACTGCGAATTATTCCGGGAAAAGCCTCCTTCTGCTGACGTGCAGTGCATGCGCGCAGCAAAGCACCACGCGCGGGACGACGCAACGGAAGCGCAGGACGATAAAGATATCCCACAGGAAGATGAAGAAGAGGAGAAGAATACTGAACATGAACATCATCATGAGGACAACAACAACTACTGCACATTGGACGACTTAGAAGCAGGTCGCGTGACAAAGCCTTTTTTTATGGATGGCTCAGGGGATGACTTTGTGCCGCACTTTGATGAGGCTACAAAAAGCGTGACGTTAGGGCAACAAGATCGTGCGGCGGCTCTCTCGTCGGGACCAGCTCCGGGGGCTCGCCGTATCTGTCGGCACACGGTGCGTTTGATGAACTCGGCCCTAAATCTGCATAATCTTTTCGAGATAGGCCGCACCGTCAGTAAGCCCTGCGCCCTTCCTGTAGGGAATGCTGGCTACCGTAATTTGTCTCTGTATCAAAGACAGCATCAGCATAAAGTGCTGCAGGACATTGCACGTTTCACTTCGACCTATCCGAATACGGTTTGCTCGTTTCTCCCGACTCGCTCGGTGATACCGCACGCTGCCGCACCGGTGACGGCGGCTGACATGGATCCGCGTACGGACACAGACGGGAAGCTGACTCAGGTGCCGACCCTAGCAGCCTACGACATTTGGGAGCGTACACCGCTGATACCGGATGGCTACGGCGACTCCGCGCTGACCGGCCCTCACGGCCGTTCACTCGTTGCCGCCTTTGCGGCGAGGGGGCAGCCGAAAGCACAAGCGTTTGGTTCTGGAGCCATGGCGTCGAATAATGCTGCGACTTCGGAGACTGCAGCATATCCCAATGATTTCTCCACCCCTTCCGCGACAAGAGCCACATTATCTACCGATGCGCAGTTGAATGAGGATGGCACATTGCCAGCAGCAGATGCACGATCGGTTGGCACGCCTCCTAGTGCGAATAGCGATCCAGCATCTTTCGCTCGAACCTCGTCAATGGATTCAGGAGGCTTTTCTTCAAATGACTCGGGGCGTATTGCCGATCCGTCGTCTTTTTCGGCCCGCCTGCGGGATTTGACACCAACACATTTGTTTGAGGTTCACGATATGACATCTGCGGGTCTGCGCAGGGACGCTTCTGGGGAGGAAGGAGGTGACGCGAATCACCTTCAGCCTGGAGCAGGGATGGCTCCAATTCCAGGTGCAGATGAGTCTCACTACGAGGTTATCGAACCTGTTGAGGGCGCGACGGTGTATCTGAAGCCTCGCGACTTCGCTGGCTCGAAAAGAGTGCCGAAGCGGTATCGACTAGCACACAATATTTGGAGTCCCATGTTGCAGGAATTACTGGACAAGGACAAGGATGATGCATCCGCAGATACGTTTTTCAGTTCGTATTCACAGCTTCAGCATGGCAAGAGCGCGTTTGCGAAAATTTTTGGGGGTGCATTTGCGCCACATAGTAGTGACTCTAACGGAGGATCTACTTCATTTCGTGATGTTGCAGCTTTCCGCCCTCGGTCAATGGAGCCCGCGCAGTTCGATAGTAGCCGCGGTTGCGATTACCGTGATCACGCATACGAGGACCATGTGGCGCGGAAAGTCTGTGTCCGCGACTTGCATCTTCTGAACCTCTACAAGCCTCGCAACGCGTTCTCTCCGGATGAAGCAGGACAACAACAGTATCATAAGCAGCTAATACAACTAGATCGTGGAATCGCCGAGCGGGTTGCTCAGGGACTAAAGTCCTACTTCGATCTGGTGCCTGACGCAGGGAAGCGGAACTTGCCCCAACGTGTTGTGGACAAGGTTGTTAAGAAGCAGGGGCAAGACGGTCCACTGCTCCAGCGGTTGTCTCGCGAGGAGCTATCCGAGACAGTGCTGCTTCAAAAAGAGCCACCGAGCGCTCTGCTTACAGCCGAAGACGCACCAAGCGCACAACGACTGGTGGACAAAGAAACCATCAAACTTCTGTGGCAAGACGCTGACGTACTCGAGCACGCGGTTTTGCCGGTGCTGCGCGGCGCGTATTTGAAAGCTGATGGGGAGCGTGATCATAATCCTTTGGGCTTGCTAGACGAGTTTAAAAATTTCGTGACAACCATTTCCGGAAGCAACGGGAAACTCTCGTATGGGCCAAACAAAGGAGCTGCAACTGCCGGTTCGTCAGCGACGTCGGCGGAGGGCGAGAACACGATTGGCATGGTACAAGCTGGAGCTTCAATGACTAATGGTCCTGTCGATGCTGCAGTTGAGCGGCGGCTATCGCGAGCTCAGAAGCGCGCCACTGGATTTGATATGGACGAGGAGATTCAAGGAGCGGGCCTGACCTCCCAGAACCTGACACTGACGCAGCAGAAGACTAATCTACCGCGGAGCGAACAAGCTATTATTGTTGAACGCCAGAATGCGGCTTTGGAGACAATGGTGCAAGGGGAGCATGCTGAGGCAAAATTCGCGAAGATGCTCAATCTTGGTGTTTTTACTGCACCTTTTGTGCAGAACAAGCTTGGTTTTCCAACTGATGAGGATACATACGCGCTGCAACATCTACAGGAGGTTTTCGGGGAGCGGGTCAGGTTCCTGCGTTTCATCCAGGATCGTGGTCGCAGAAGCGGCGCAGTCGACGCCTTTGTTCGTGAGCAGAAGCGAGCGGCAGCTAGCGGAAACGCTTCTCTCGTTACGTCAACCGGAGCAGGTGCGGCAGGCAAAATGTGGACGCCGCAGTCGGTGTCGGAACAGTGGCAGGCTTTTTTACACAGTAGCCGAGACGCAAGCGGCACGATCATCTACAACAAGTCACACACGAAGATGCAGCTCGATGGAAGAGACGAGGAGCACGGCGTAAAGGCCGCGTCTCCAGCACGTCCTGGACCTGCAGTAGAGGGGGAGAACGCAGAGGGCAAGGTGCTTAAGGCAACAAAAACGAATGAAGAGCCTCGACAGCCAAATGCACGCGTCGAGAGAGAGCTAGCTTTACGGAAGGGTCGGCGTATGCGCGAATTGGAATTAGCGGGAGAACAAGAGCAAGTGCGTTCGGAGAAGAAAACCGAAGACGTGAAGAAGGCGAAGGAGAAGGAGGGCCTCTATAAGAAACTCGCCGATGCGCTCGGTGATCAATACAAGAAGTTCATGTCGAGTACCCTTAGCGATTCCACTGGGAGCCATAAGCACGACGATAATGAGCCATCAAAGGATGTAGAAACTACAAAACTCCCTGACGCAGGTTATTGGCTAAAGCAGTTTGACGACCTGAAGAATTCAGTTGCGGTTTACCTTGATAAGAGAGCCGCGGTGGCTAGAACTGTAGGTGACAAGGCCAAAGCTGCAGCTGCTTCCAAGGAGGCTACGGAACTTCGAAAGCGCTACGTCAATTCAGACGAGTCGTTTGAAAAGTTCCTGGCGCGTATCTTCACTGCGACCCCAGAGGTTGCGCGACTCCGTTCGCTGCTGCATGCGAACCTCTCTCGTGAGGACATGCACGCATTGATGCGGAAAGACGCGGAAAGCGCCGCTGCTCCTACTCAAGCAGCATCCACAAATGAAGAATCAGAAAGTGCTGTCAAAACTAACATTGCTACTCCTGGTACTCAAGTAGAGACTGTGGGCAGCAAACTCAAGCACACGTTTGGTTTGCAACTCGCAAATGAACGCCGTTTCGTGTTGCAGGAGCAAGCATTCTTATTCGAAAAGCTTCGTAATCCGCTAATTAAATACACGATATTGGGCAGTGGGGTCGACCTTGCGACGCAGAGAGAACAATGTGACATTGGTGCCGTGGTTGCGCGAGACCGTTACGCCTATGCAAACGAGTCGGAAGCCTTGTACCACGGAGAAAGCGCGTGTGCCGACATAACTGACCAAACCCGGTGCGGCGCCACGCCAGGGTGTGGCTGGTGGCGGAATAGCGCAGAGTCGCGAGGCGCGTTTGCAGACCCCAACGAGGAAAATCCGGAGGTCGTTCGGAAGCTGCTACGAACTCTAGACCAGCCACTAGATGTTTCTGACTCCGCCCCAGGAGACGCCTCAGCAGCACTAGCCCCTGGAGCAGAGCGCGGGTCGCTGAAAGTGAAATTGACGAAGGAGCAGAAGCGCATGCTGCGGGAGAAAGCAGCTGACATCAACAATGCAGGGCAGTGCGTACTGAAACCCTTCCGTACAACGATTCCTTGCTCAGAGCTCCGCTATCGTGCGTGGTCATGCGACAGTAAGCAACAATGTGTGGACATGTGCGACCGCGCGGGCTCGGACCCACACGGCTACCCGAAATGTGGCGGCTTTGTCTTTAACGAGGCATCAAAGCGGGGTCGGCTGATTCTCCCGCGCAGGACGGAGAGTGAGACGCACACGGCGGCAGACAGGTACGTGAATAGCTGTCAAGTATTCTTGCCAGCACAGCGAAAGTTCCACCTTGCGGAAGGTGTGTTTACCTACTATAGAAAAGCCTGCGGCCGGTTGCCGAAGAAGATCTCGACGAAGGCTAATATGGGTCCCCGTCGCGGTTTGCTTTCGGCTTTGAATGTCGGTGGGAGCAGCAACGCGGACTCGACTGGTTCTCTGGCTCGATGGCGGGACGCAAAAGGTGCCCTCGTAGGCCACGACGGGGCGGCGCCGTCAGATTCAAGTTCGTACACTAGATCGGCGACTGGTGCGCCTGGGGTGCCGGGTACGGGGGCCTTCTACTTGCAACATGAAACCGAGCGAAATATTCTATTGACGCCTGACACGCGGAGGCTGCTTCAAAAGAGCCTGAATGCACACGCACCCGGAGCGCGGAATCAGTCAACGATTGAAGAAAACCTTCACATCGCTTCCCGCTTCGACTTGACCGGTCTGCCGGCCATGGTAGCACACGTGAGAAAGGATCTGCGCACGCTGGACGCCGAACTACGCGAGCTTCCCTCGGCGTTTGCGCTGCGATCTGTGACAGCCAAATGTCAAGCCGATGTCCGTGGAGCGGAATACGACGCCGACCCACGAGCGGACCAGTTCGAGTATTTTAACATGGACTTGGGTGGTGCGCGCAACACGCACCGCAACTCGCTCTCGGAGGCACAGGGGGGGCTGCTGCACGATGCCGGGCGTGCCCTGATTGCTGCGGCTGCGGATCTGCCGAACACTGCGGAGACCGCGCAAGTCCGGCATCTGCAAGAAACAACAGACTTCTTCGCGGTGGAAACGAACTATTGCAATCGTGTAGGAGAAACCTGGGAAACGGTACGGCCGACGCAACTACGCAGGACGCCTCTGGATTCCCGTAGCGTAACAGGCACCATTCCAGCGGACCGCAGAGTGCGCGTCACCCGACTTTCGCCTGTCGGCACAGCAGGTCGCATTTGTGAGGTGGAAGATATGACGGATCCGAAAATTCGTGGCTGGGTCGAGGTGTGGGCCCCGAGCGCTTCGTCAGCGGGGGCTTCTGCGGCTGCCGCTCAGCAGCAGGTAATGGCAGATCGCGAGAAGGCGGACGCGATCGGACTTTCGCAGGCAGGTACATCAGCTGGCACAGAGGAACCCTTTGGTAACAACGAGGAGGGCTCTCAGGACAAGAATCTTTGGAACCCAAACGCTGGAGATTCGCACCACAAGCATTGGGGCATTGACGTTCTCACGAACCCCGACGTTCCAGCTCTTGAGAAAGAGCGGTGGTCTCCAACGGCACTTGCGGTCTTGCGCGAGCACTACAGTGGCGCCGAGTTGTTACAGCGTCGCACCACGCAGCTGGTGCGACCCACGGACGTTACGTTCGAGCCCGCCGCACTCGACGGACGCAGTTACGTCTACCTTCCAGCTGTCATGACGTCAGCGGAGAAGCGATTCTTAGACCCAACTGTAGTGCCGCAAGCGCCGAAGGCCACTCTGCCATTGATCGCGGAGGCGCGCGCACATCCCGAAATCGCGACGAAGCTTTGGGAAGCACACGAAGCAGTGTCCGGCGTCCAGAAGTTACTAGTTGCGCGACAAACGACGGCAGAGCAGTTTGCAGAGACGTTCCTAGAGCAGTTGGAAAAGGCCGACTACATGCTCAAGGAAATCGCGCGGATCCAGAAGCGGTGGCTGCGCACCCAGCCGGATCATCAGAAGATGACAGAGTATACGCGGACGCTGATGGATCCGGACCTCTTTCCGCCCGTTCCTGACAAGCTGCTGGCCGAAGCAAGTGGTGGCGCCCCGGCGGGTGAAGGGCCGTGGTTGCAGGCCCGAGCAGGGGTGGCAGAAGCGCTTGGTCGCTTAGGTGTGTCTCGAGTTTTGCCCAGCAGCTCCGCGGAATCGGGAGAAGACTTAGGCGACCTTATGCAACCTGACGAAACGAGCGCTGGTCACGAAGAAGTTGATGAAGATGGAGATCATGCTGGCGGTGAAGCACATGAGAACGCGCTGTCGACGCCTTCAGAGGATCAAAAGACACACACTATTTTGACCTCCCTCACTCCCGGTGACGCAAAAGCGCTCACAGGCGTCGCTGACGCCATGACGGATTTGCTGGGCAAGGAGGCTGTTGCCATAAATACACAGAACAAAGCCCTAAGAAAACTCGAGGAAGCACATGTGACGATGAGGAAGGTACTTGTACTGTCGATCAGCGTTCTATTGAGTGATGTCGTCCACAAAGTTCAGACCAGATTTATGTTTTCTACTTTCATTCTCTCCTACCTCCAGATTTTTGTTTTTTTTAGCAAAGGATGAAAAAACCCATGAGTGGGGATGAAGTCGTTCACTCTGGGTTTCCTGCACAAGCACGCTTATATTCCTCGTTGTTTGAAAAAATACAGTATCGCAAAAAGTACGCGCCGACAGTCGGGGATCTTATCGCCCAAGACACGCCGGCCATTTCCAGCCGTCTGACGTGGCATCGTGCAAATATAAATCCTGCAATTGACGCTGTGAAAAGTGGCGGCAAACGCGTGAAGCGTGAGCACAGCCTTCCCACGACTGCGACAACGGTGACGAGTTCGATCATCAACACTATACCGTGGGCGGGGACAGTGTTCAGCGAAGCATCTTCAACAGCTAGCGCTTCTTTCGCGAAGTCTGCCAAAGTGAAGTCCTCAGTCGAAGCTGCCAAGAAGGTGAAGTCTCCAGCCGGTGCTGCCAACAACGTAGCGCGACCAATGCCTGCTGTGGATAAACCGACCTATGTGGGCGTGGCTAGTCCGCGACTATGGGGACGAGCGATTCCCCGCGCCAAGCAGCTGAAGCGGATCCCAACACAAGAAGAGCTGGCCGAAGTGCGGCGCATGGTTGACGAGGTTTTTTCTCGTTTGGGCCGCCCTGTTCACAACAAGTTGGATGCCAAAACGGAGGGCCGAGCAAGTGTTGTGGATGCCAAGCCAAACGAGGCAGGCAAAAAGGAGTTGTTGCTGCGTACTCGTGCAAATCTTGAAGAACAATTCTCAGAGTTGCGGAAAATTGACGAGGATCTGGGGGTCATTTCCTCTGCGCCATCGTTAGGGCAAGATGCTGAAGGAGGACCACAAGAGCCAGAGCGCGTGAGCTCGAATTGGCGACTATTTTTGACGGAGAACGAGGAGATCGACAGCAGCATCCGTGCCGAAGTGCCTCTGTCCAGTCTGGCAGACGGGATTTCGGTGCTCGAACTCGGTCACCGAAATCCCCGTCGAGCGCATGTGCTTCTTCGCTATAATGACTCTGAGTCAGCACGCAGCCCCCGCCAGGTGGACGGCTGGATGTCATGGAAGACACGGGGGCAGCTGCCGTTGCTGCTAACGGAGGAACAAGCGCAAAATCTCCTTGGGGATTCTGGGCAAGAGATCGTGCCACCCGTGCCACGAGTGACCAGCTCTTCGGCGGATCCTGCGCATGAGATCGCGCCACCTGTGCCAGTAGGGAGAGTGGCCAGCACCTCTTCGGCAACGGGTATTGCGAAGTCATCGAGTACTACTAGTCCATCTTCGACGGAAAATATCGTGAAGGATACTGTTGCCGCGCAAAGCCTCGACGGGCCGCCTCTTCTTGTAGAAGCGAGAAAACCGCTTTTTCCTTTCACTGATCGTCCTCGGCCAGTAGCGAAAGTGATCGCGCCGCCGACAAAAGGTGTGGATGAGAGATCAGAAGACGCTTCCACATCGAGCGGACAAGGTTCCTCCGCTAATGCAGCCTTTTTGGATCTTCATTCGGGTGCGCAGCAGAGAGATCAGACCATGCGTTCGTCTCCGATGCGAACAAAGATCACTTCAGCTTTTGACGCGGGATTTCCGTTTTTCAACGAGGGCGCTAATAGAGCAGAGAGTGCAGCTGAGGAAGACGGCCGTGCTCTCGTAGTAGATGAAAACGATGTTGATAAGATGGACGCATTGCACGTAAACCGCGTAGCAGCGGTGCATTACTGGCTCACCTCGAACGAGCAAGCCTGGGAAAAACAAAACATTGGAGTCCCAAAGTTGTCGCTAAATCCTCTCAAAAAGCTGAGGCATGCAGCAGAGGGGCCCCGCCCGTCCGCAGCGGAAAAACGTTTTCGAGAGCGAATGTGGGTGAACCGGCTCGAGACTGTGAGAGACAGCGCACTGCCCGCCCCACCGGTAAAAATGGATGTCCCGCAGTCGGGCCTTTCGAAGTCGATGCAGTTTCCGAAATCGCCGGGAGATCCTCTGTTAGGGGAGACCTTTGCTGCAGCGGAGGCTACTGCTCGCGGGCTCATGGGCCATATTTTAGCGGGCGACGAAGTGACGGTTGTTGGTGCAGATCCTGGAGTAGGCGCTGAATTGCCTCCTGCAGCTTCAGCTGCTAGCGGTTGGAAAAAAGCACGCGTGAATCGCCTTATCGGTCTCACACGTGGTGCGGAGGAGTGGTTTGAGGTGGTCTTCGCTAATGGAGAAAAATGGGGAGCACCTGGTGGAATGCTTCGGCACGCCACCTCACGGGATGAAGATTTGTCTAGAAGTTCTGTTTTGCACCCACTTCTACCCCAAGATCATTCCAGAAGTTTTCGACCACGCGGTGACGACGACAAATTCGAGGTTCTCAATTCAGTAATGGAACAACGTGAGATCGATCGCGCGTGGCGGGAATTTTTACGCGCGCATCGTTGGATTCCAGCATACGGACACCAGAATTCAGGCGATGGTACCTGGCATCAGGAGTTTGAGAGTCAATTGTCCCCCGACCCAACGCGATTTGTCCCTTCTGCCCAAGATGAGGCTTTTCTTGCCACACGGGCTGCGCAGAAAGGAAGAGGAGCTAACAACGTCGATCATAGAAGTCATGCATCGCATGGTGCGCCGCAGGAGTCAATTGCATCCACTTCCTCCACACCGCCTGAAGATGAAAAGAAAGATGCGGACTCTGGAACGATGAATGTGGAAAGCCTTTTCGATCGATACTTCTCAGAGAAATCCAAAAGCTCTGCAGGAAAAACTGCTGAGACGAGGCCCACGACCGAGATGCAATTGCAAAGTGTGAGTTATCGTGTGCCGCGTGTTGGATCACTTGCTCCGATACCGCGACGGCCACTCCCACTTTCAGGAGATGTGACGGCTTTCATTCCCGTAAAAGGTCGTGCTGCATCAAACGAAAAAAAATTTTTGTCCTTTCTCTCCATCACGACCACGGAAAACTCTAGTAGTTCATCTAGTAGTAGTACGTCCAAGTGGACCAGTTTTTCTGCTGAACAGGAGTATCAGCCAAGAAAACGCTTTTCCTCAAGCCGGAAGAGGAATGAGAGAAGGTTTTTGGATTCTGGTCGCTATCCGGACTGCGAGGGATCTGCTGGCGCACAACATCACCCTACGACCCTTTTGGGGCCGCGTCGTAAAAGAATTAGGCATGATCGGTTTTCCTCATTTGAAGACTTCTTAGACGTTCCATGGGATGTGGGTGACAAGGCTACCGAGTTCATGCCATTTAGGGCTGCCATCGCGGATACTAGCGATCACATGGCACAGGGCGCAATTGGTAGTGATATAACGGATCAGGTGGATGATGTCTAGCTTAGCATGGGAGTTCGTGGTACAAGAAGTTTTGTGAAGTAGTAAGTAATTTAGTCTAGTTCTTTTGTGCAACAAAGTCTGAATAATGTCCTCTAGCATTAGAGTCACGGGAGTCAGTAGTACAAGAAGTTCTGTGATTGAAGTCTAAGTAAATTATAGATCTTGTTCCTCTGTCGTTTTTATCTCTCAGTTCTTTTTGTTCCGTACAGAAGTCAATTTTGATTCATTCATTCATTCATTCATTTACCTGTTCTCGAGGTGTTGTCTAGAGTGTGTGGGGACTAGCTGAGCTTTTTTTCTGGGTCGACCTTGATGGAGGCAGCCATCGCCTCAGAGACTTACATGAATTCGACTGTGTGCTGACGAATAGTTCCACTTCCAAGAAAAGAAATCGACGAAATCCAGCAAGAAATATACGTGGTGCGGACAGAAGCACAAAGCCGTCTGATACACTTGGTTGTTCCGTTCTATTCCACATCTTCAAATTTCGCTCTTCATCCTGCTAAAGTAATAATGTAATCGTCACAGAATTGCGCAGGAAATCTTGATGCACAACAAGAACAAGGGCATCTTCCTCTGTGCTTACTTACAAACTGAAAAAGTGCAATAGAGAAGAGAAATGCATTGCTCGATCTCGTATTCACGTAGTCGATCGTATTTCTTCTTGACGTATGTCAATGATCCAATACATGATGTGGTGGGATCTTGGTGAATTACAACTTTGGCACGTTTGGCTCCTAAGCTTTGCTGTAGTGTCGGAGATGGATCTGTGATTGGGCGCAGTACATTTTGATCACCAAGAACATAATTACTTACCTATTTCGAAGAAGACCGCCCGCTCAGTGGTTCAGAGAATATCTACGTCTTCTGAATATGGTGTCATCACTTGCGTGGTACAGAGAAGGTGCAGCGGCGGTGTTGTTGTCATTGATCAATGATGATGCGGCAGAAATGCCGATTCATGGCACTCATAGTTGATTTACTCCTCGGGTGTGTGGCGCAGTATAGCACATTGTCATCTTCGCACCCAAAAAACCTTCGAAATCAAAAAGCTGCGGTGTGACCTCTTGCTATTTTTTGGATGTAAAATGAATAACGTAGATAACTCTAGGTTTCTGTGTTTTGTAGTTTAGATGAGTCTATCATTGACCCGGGTAGGCGACTTCACCCGTACCGCAAGCTGACCTCGTGTTACATCGTATTCGTAAGTCTAAGTACATAGGTGAAAAATCAAGAAAAGTCAAAAGGAACAACCATGTGTCTTCCTATGTGAGGTTCTGTGTCTTGTTTTTTTCTTTTATGTACTTAGACAAAGATAGTGAGAACAAGCATCCACAATGGCTAGGTCACGATCTCGCCCACGCGATGAGAAAAGACGCAGTGCTGGTGCTCAGGGAGTTGAAAAGGGAGGAAGCAATGAGGAATATGGCGCCAAGGATAGAAAACGAAGCAGAGCGCGGGACACGGAGAACCGCGATCGACAGCGGATAGCCAGAGACCGCAGTCGAGATCGAGGCGGAGACAAACTAGAGAAAAGTACTGGTGGTACGAAGAAAGACCCCGTAGTACTAGTGGAAAAGAAGGAAGGCAAAAGTCACACGGATGGAAGCAGCGACACGAAGGCCCCTCCCGGCGACAAGAACAAAGAGACGGAATCGGAAAACAAGGACAAGAAAGAGGAGAAGCAGCCTAAAGAAGAAAAGGAAATGAAAATAAATATCAAAGTGGTAGATAAGACCGAAGAGAAGAAGGATGAGCGCAACAAAAGCCGCGAGCGAAGGAGAAGTAGGGAGAGACGAAGCCGCGAGCGAGCCTGGGACCGCCGTAGAGGAGGGCGTCGGAGTCGCGGCCGCCGCAGCATGGAGCGACAGATCGACAAGGAAGCTCGTCGGCGCAGCGAGGCCCGCGAAGAGGAGCGTCGAAATAGGCAGAGTCACGAGCGTCGCTATGGCTACGGAGGCGGCAGTCCTGCTCGGGAAGGGAGTCGGCGGCGGTCCCGCGATCGAAAGCGCGATGAGAGTGAGGAGCGCCGAAGAGAAGAGCGTCGACGAGAACGAAGCGAGGAACGCAAAGCCCAAGGAAAGTGGGACAGCTCAAAACCGGATGCTGCGAATCTCACGAGAGAGCAAGTGCGAGGTATGACGAACGACATTCCACGCTACACAGAAAAAGAACTTCTAGAACGAACGCTCATCATCGGCAAAACACCTCCTGGAGTCGGAAATCAAGACCTCATCGACTTTTTCAACGGCGCCGTGCTGGCAATGACTGGTATTTACTTATACGAGAAATGATGCCTATAAATGATTTTTTGGCATTCCCACGCCCACCTCCTACAATTTGAGAAAAGAATTACATACTGAAGAGTAATCTTCTGTACACCAATAATTAGTGATAGATAGTTTACTTGCGGCCAAAAAAACACCAGGAAATCCTATGGAGATGGCTACAGCAAAAATGAAGCCGGTATTTGGAATAGCGCCTACGGACGGTGGAAAAAAGCGGCTGCTTTTCCGTAGTTTCAAAGGAACCGTTATTGGCATGCAACTCAACGGCATTGAATATCGCAGAGCGCACTTGGAAATATCACGCCCGACCCAATATAAAGGATCCGATGGCTCCGAAGTCGAAATTAACAAAATTTCCCTCTCCGATCTTCTCGGTATTCTTGATCTTCTCTTATCCCCTTGCTTACTTACTCTTTTTTGAAGAAGATTCTCTCATTTTATGCGCGCTCTAAGTTCTTTGATTATCTAAGGTTGGCAAGGGTACTCTATTTTAAGGAGTTGGAGTTCCTTACAATTTATGAGCACTATCTTGTTGATCAATCTGTCGTTGTTAATACGAGGAGAGATGATATCAACTTTGATGAAAAAATTCTTCGCAGGTTTAAACGAGGAACGCGAATCGCAGGAATCAGCAATGCGATCATTGCTGAATCAAGTCAGTGGTCGACTCTCCGTAACAAATATACCCCCTTTTATGTCGGAGAAGGCCTGCCGCGATCTCTTTTCCCAGTTTGGTGGTCTCAAGATGGTGAGCATCATGATGGATTCTAAAGGCGAAAACAAGGGCTACGGATTCTTCGAATATGATAGGCTAGAACACGCGGACGTTGCAAAAAAATGCCTCAACGGGTAGCAGCAATATTCATCAAATAGAAAAAAAATTACTTTTTAGATACAATTATAGGTAATTGTAGGTGTAGTGAAAACTTCAGATGCGTTCCAGTTATATCTTTACTGAAAAATGAAGGACCAAGCCAAGCTACTACTTGAGACAGAATTGCAAAACCCTGGAGCGATATTTGATAGATAGGATTAGAATACAAGTAGATTCGACATTTTTTCTTTACAGAGTGGTTTTACTAGTATTGCGTGCCTCTTTCACGTGACAGGTTCGTGGTTGGAGATCGCGCTCTCGCAGTGACGCGGCTGAATGACACAGTGGTTTCGCAAGCAGGGATTGATCAAGAGCTGGAGCAGATGGCGAATCCGCATCTTGTGGAGCGCCGTGAGCGCGATCGCGAGAATGGACAGGCACGGCTGATTTCGCATAAGATTTTGGCGAATCCCGTCCTAGCGTTGCAGGTTCGCGACGCCTTGCACTTGGGCCGACGTCCGTCAAAGGTAGTTCAGCTGCTGAACGCTGTATACGAAAGCGACATCATGGACCCTATGGAATTGGAAGACGTGCGCTTGGAGATTCTCTCTGAAGCAGAGAAGTTCGGCACCGTAGTAGACATCAAGATTCCGCGGCCATCGAAAATCGGCGCGGAGGTACCGGGAGTGGGAAAGATATTTGTGCAGTTCCAAGATACGACGGCAGCAAGGCGGTTTCAAGTGGAGGTGAACGGCCGCAAATTCAACGACCGGAGCATTTGCGCCAGCTTCTATCCCTACGAACGCTACATCAAGGGCCGCTTTATCCTGAACGAAGAGCGGGGAGCACTCTTTGTATGAGCGAACAAGATGGTGGTGGTGCTTTTGAACAACTTGATTGCCGCTTTCGGGGAATCTATTTTCGCAGTTCTACTAGTGCAGCTTTTGTTTTGCTGTTTTCTCAGTGTCTTGCAAGTTCGCTGAGAAACTGAAAGCCGTAGTTGAAAGACTTTTGGCTCATGGTTGCTGGCGAAGTTTTGCGTACTGTGCCTTTACTGATCTTGCTGTGTAAGGAAAAAAACCCCTGCGCTATCGGATTTTCAGTATCAGTATTCCGATTGAAACAAGCACAACCGAACTTTTTTTCTTGCGCGCGCATCGCCAAGAAACGATAAATGCGAGGTCCTTTTGTCACCATTCAGATTGGGCTATGTCTGTACAGGTCTTGATCCCGCTCATACATCTGATGATTCTCTAGTACAGAAATACGTTTTTTTCGCGGGTATGGATTTTGCTAGCTCAAAAACAACTAATATTTTCTACTATCCAGTGACGAACAACAACACTACAAAAGTTCAAGTATTTTGAAAAATCAACTATAATTGTGCCTCGCTCGATTGATCTACCCCTTTGAACATCCCACTCTTCTCCGAGATGAACCCGTTTGACTACGACGTCCTTACCCGAAGGCGTCGACACCCCTGCTGCTCCCCACAGAATTGATACTTCCTCTACGATCGTCACCACTGAAGAATATCTCGATAGAAGCAGCACGCCTGACAAAACAAATCATCTTGTATACTAGAAGAGCCTAGAAATTTGTTGCCTTTATGCGAAAAGAATCTGTATCATCCATTGTGATAGGTTTATCTATTGGTCATCTTTTTAATATCGGTGTAGTTAGAATTCGGTAAACACAAGACCAAGCACCGAGCAGGAGCGAAGCAGTTCCGTTGATATTACAAAAAGCAAATAGCACGAGGAGAGTGGAAACTTTCATAATTGGAATTGAGAATTTGGTTTTTGGATTTGACTTTGAGCGGTGAGAAAAATGCAGTTGCACATAAATGTTTAATGGAGACATGCCTGCTGGACCAACAAGGAAGTTTCCATTCTCAACTTTTCTGATGGAGTGAATGTAAGTTCTTATCAATATCACCGACTAAAAATGGCCCCTCAAACGTATCTGGTCACCGGCTGCAGTAGTGGTATCGGGTTGGACTTGGTGAAGACGCTAGCTGCTGGGGGTGATCGCGTGTTTGCCACTGTTCGCTCAGCTGCGAGCTCGGCATCAGGTGTTGACGAAATTTCGCAAGTTCCCGGCAATGCCAGACACAATAATACCAAATGTCGATGTAACGGATGACGCCTGCATTGACATTCCACGCAACGCTCTAGCTAGCGCAGAGCTGCTCGACACGGAAGGGACGGAGAAAAGTAGGAATGATGGAGAAAAATCGTGATCAGGTAAGTAATTGTTCTGCTGTCGAAGTTAGTAGAATTTTGATACAACGGGTCTTAGTACTCCTGTAAAAGGTGCTAATAGAAAATGTCTGTCACTATCACGAGATGCTGAAAAAACGGTACTAGTTAGACAGAGTCTTAAAATATAGGGACCACGAGAGGACACTACCTGCAAGTGGTTCTAAGAAAAACATCGATGTCCTGATCCACAACGCGGGGAGGGTAAATGGTACTCGCGCAGAGACGGGTGACGCCGTTTTCGCAAACCAGAAATTGGACAAGATATCCAGTGAAAACAGGCTTCGCACATTCAACAAGAAAAGTGTGAGTACTTATACTACGAGTACAGCAAGCTGCACAACCCTTCCTCCTGAAGCCTGGAGGCAAAGTAGTGCTAGTAAGCACAGGATTAGGATCGATTGCAGACAATGGGTCTGGCGGCATGTACGCATACCGATGCAGCAAAGCAGGCATGAACATGGCGGCGAAAAGCCTCGCCTGCGACCTCAAGCAGAGTGGAGTCTTTATTATGGAACAAAGTCAAATTCAATTGAGGTCAAAAACACCCGCATACTGGAAAGTTCTCAACGATATTCACGCACACTGCCTTGCATCATGAAAGAGGCAACTCTAGCACTACCTAGTAATTGTTCCCTCTATCGTCCTTCATGTCCAGTGTCTGCCCAGTCGCGCCGGTCTTTATTGTGACTGAATTCGGAATGGGCAAGGAAAAAATGCAACAGTTTGGTGAGAAACCTGTCTCTCAAGCTACAAATGGCATTCTGGAGGTGCTTGAGACCAAGAAGGATTGCACCGATGCTGAGAGCCTGGCGAAGACCACAGGCGTTTAGTGGATGATTCAAAGCAAGGATGGCACTCTCAAAGAGATGCCTTCGTAATGGCATCTTCAAAGAGATGCCGTGGTGAAGATGAGGAGGACTCATAATTGCTTGGGTAGTTGATGTACTTCAATCAGGTGTACTTATATTACATTGATTCGGCATGTGTTGTTGTTTAATGTTGATATCGGAGGGGGGTGCTGGTAGGATCCATGTACTAAGCATAAACCCGATTTTGCAGCAAGACAAGGCTATCCATTGGCGTAGGAACTCTTTGCCGAAGTTGACACGTACAGAAGCAACCTGCTGTCTATTATCGTCGCGAGACCGCTGTCTGTATTTGCTCCAGCTGCCGATGTGGAACGAAAAACGAGAGCGGAGTGACCTAGTCGGGAGGAGAGTATTGAAAAGCGTGGTAAACACCTGACACATGGCAAACAGGAAATGACATGACAGGCTTCTCATCTAGGTAGCACGTGAAGATGCCTTTCTGAGGTCGGAAATTCAGATGCGCTGTCATCTTCTTGTATATGAAAATATCACGGTTGATATCCTAGGTAGTCGTGGTACATTAACTACAACATCATGGCGGACACGAAGATCTTGCCCGAAGTGCATATTATCGGCGAACTTGAGCACGGAGTGCAGTTCGACACTGCTGGAGGCGAGGGGATTTTCGTCGAATTCAATGTCTCAGTAGGAGACCAATGGTATTCACCAGTGTCTTAATGTGATATGCACGAAAATAAATTATCGATACTTCTTTCGGCACACTTGCGTTTCTGCGTCTCGTAAAAATTCCATGTTACAAATGGCCTTTGTTTCACGAGATAGGTTGTATTGATAGTTTCTTCTATCTCACATCAGGTGGGACATAACAAAGTCCACACAGCAGACGCAAACAGCATACCCAGATGAGGAAAACGATGTTGTTTTCAACCATCCAGTAGACCTCCACTTTGCGACAGCAACAATAGCAGACTGGCCGCGCATGAATTTTCAAGTTTACAAGTACTCTTGATGTCCGTGCTGTTATTTGATTTCTGAGATTTATTAAGCACAAGGTCTACAGCTTACTCTTAGTGCTGCTTGATTTCTGAGATTTATCAAGTTCAAGGTCTACGGCTGTACCATCAGGCAATAATGTTGAAGCTCGCGGCAATGGTTTTCTGTCTTTTGGATAACAGTAATGGGACCCCCCTTCAATCTCTTTCCCCCATAATCATCCTGGGTTTATCCCTCAAATCAATGTCTCTTGGATAACAACTGCTCCCACTCGCGTTAATCAGGCTCGACGTTTTTGGTCGCATGGATCCGCTTTCGGTTGGATCCGTAAACATCCCCACAAGCCCCGGCCACTACAATCTCGCGTGCAGGACCTGGTCTCCGCTCTCGCAGAGGTCACAGGAGGACGTCTATTTACGACTCGAGTGAACTTGTACTTGTAGAGGCTTCTCCTATTCCTAAGTCGGGTTATAGGGAATGATTAGTTTTCTAGATTTATAACGTAGAGCAAGCAAGTACCTACTGAGCCATTTTCTCACGGGGAATGACTAAGGATTTGTCGCTACAGATGAATAGAAGATCATGTAAAACCTGCATGCATTCAAAAATTTTGTCGAACATGTAAGATGGATTCTTGTCTTCCGCTGTCCTTGGGTGATCCCCCATGTCCCTGAGAAAGTACTCAGTAAGTATGCCTCCCCAACTTCAATTTCCAATGTCCTCCTACACTATGCCTCCCAAGATTGTCCAATATCCCCTTTCTAATCTGCGGTTACTACGTGGGCGGACGTCCGCAGCTTGTCGAGCCGCTGGAAGTCATAGACAGGAGGAGTAGCTCTACAAACCCTGAACGAAGTACACTAATAACGGAAACATCCGGAACGCTTTATTTGTCTGTAGACGTCCTCTTCAGAAATCTTACACTTTGAACAGCAATAGAAATGCAAGGTTGATACTGAAAAAAGCGAGGCGGTCAATCATGCGAAGCAGACGAACGTGCTGTTGATATCTCCTAGCTTGATTGATGTTGGCGTAAGATAGCCATCGCGTGGTCTCACGACTTGAGGGGCAGAGTCACGGTCGTGTTCGTGCACCAGGCTATCTCGTGAAATTGGGAAGATCTTCCTTTCTAGTCTCGAATATGAATGAATATCAGAATTGTTACCAGGTGGAAAGCAAACGATCAAGTATCTGTAAGCATGCAAATGGGTATGGTCCTCTATTCTCACGCATATCGGTTGTTGATCTAGAGAAAACAGAAGGAACATGTTATCCAGTTTGGTGTTCAGCGTCTTATTCGTGCTTTGCGTGTTAGTTTGCACAGTCTCTACTGAAAAAAATGCGAATTTTGCTGAACTTGCATGTTCAATTTTTTCCTGTTCTTTAGTCGACCAAGCCAGCAATTGATAACTTTATGTACGAATGTACTCACCTTGTTCTTGTTCTTATTTTATATGTAGGAAAACACCATATCCATAACGCTGATAGAGAATGATCCCTGCGTTGTAAGCAAGAATTTTCTTTGCACCTGAGTAATGTTCCCCTGAAAGTTTATTCGGTATCGGTTCAGCTTTTATACCCGACAACTTGGTAAGTACATTATGGCTACTACTTTCCCCCCTCTGAAAAGCAGACCTGGAGTCGAGGTCTGCAACAGAGCACAGGAGCCTTCGCTACGAAAAAGTATTGTTTGCACTTTGCACTTGCGTTAACTGGATTAGCTCGTAGGCATCTGTTGCTCTGGTTATTTAGATAGCAAGTGTCTTTCCTTTGCTGAATTTGTTTCTTTTTCGTTCTTTAGTAGAGGTGTGTTGCTGTTGGGGTACTAATACTTTTTGTTTCTCTTTGAACAAGTGGTTCTTCATCTTTTGCTCGGACTTGGAACTCGGAACGCAGACTTATCTACAAGCCAGCTGAATCTTAAGCAGCAACAAAGATGTCGTCGTCTGCGAACAGCCGGAAACGGCTTTTATTATCCAATTTTGCTGGGGGTCCGCCTGAAAAGAAGGTCGCCACGGGTTCATCTGCCGCATCCTCATCCACCAGCAGGGTCCCTCTGGGAAAGCCAGCAGGTGCACCAGGGTCGTCAATTCGGGAGCAGGGCGCTGAGCAAGGTCGTAAGTCCAGCACCACCGGGGCGCCTCCGCCAACCGCGGCCCCGCTGACAAGCGGAAACCTGTCTCATTTGGGATCGATCGGTCGCGAGGGTCTACCCATGCCCTCCAGCAACGTCGCGTCCTTACTGCCGAAAGAGACCGCAACAGCCGGTGGAAACGTGCGGCTGCAACGAGAGACGGGCGTGGTGGAGAGCTACGACAAGCAGAAAGGGTTTGGGTTCATCATAAGCGACAATCCTCCAGAGGGCGACCCGGCAAAAGTGTTCGTGTACCACACGCACGTGAAAACTGTTGGCGGCTTTCGCTATCTCAAGGAAGGCGCGGAAGTCAGTTTTTTGAGAGGCTACGACAAAGAACGCGACAATTTGCCATGCTGTCTCGACGTGCGCGCTAAGGACGGAAAATCATTGATCAACAATGAAGGGGTGAAAGGTATCTTTAGCTTTACACCCCGAATCAATAATGAAGGGGCGAAAGGTATCCTCAGCTTCTTTACATTGAGGGTGTCAAAGAAAAATAACCGGTGAATGTTTCCTCGTCATCCTAGATTAGCCTGCTCAAACAATACATTGAGGACCATTTGTAGAAACTAGTCCCGAGACATAGGTTGCGGCTGCTTTGTTCCCACATCTACATCATGTTTCTCCCGAGTTGTGGTGCAACACTGTTTGCAAATTTATGTTCACCTGTAGTCAACCAGCACAGGTACAAATAAATTCCATACAATTTTACAACTACAGTCGAACGGAAGCAGCTGTCTTTTGGGATGCAGAATTGGCATAACGTTTTCCAAAAATACCCGTCCATGAGGCTGGAGACGAGCTATGACAAAGTACCCAAAAACAATATGGGTAATGACGACTGCTTTGACGATGTTAACGTTCCTTACATGGGCAGCATGTTTTCGCTGATGAAAGCGCGCTTTGGTCCGGATGCCGTCAAATACCTCAAGGATCGTTTTGTGCAAGGGGTACTGCCTATGTGTAGTTCGTGTTCACATGATGTCGTTTGTTAGGACCCTACTGGAAATATTTTTGTCGTGTGGTCCACAGCTCCTGTTGATTAACACGACGATTACTCAGCATACTTAATTGATTCTGAGTACTTTTCACTTCAAACATCAAAATACTTTCACTTCCAACCTCCAATCCAATGCTCATCAACTCTGATCCAGATTGAAGTTCGGGACCCCGACGAATTCGACATTGAGGACTCGTTTCGCGAGGCCGCGGACTCTTGTGAGAAGGATTATCTTGCAAAGTCGATAAGCAAGCGACAGGCAGATGGCGCGGAGTATCTCCATGTGTTGTTCCAACACGCCCAAGATTTAGGTCGGCCCTGTGTGCAGATTTGGACTTCCAGTGTCGGAAGTTGTCAGCTACTTGCTTGCGACGCCACGGGACGCGTGTTGAGGCTCTCGGAACCGCATGCGGCAACTGCGCTCACCGCGGGTGGCTTCACTTTCGAACCAGCAAAGGACGGCAACAGCCTCGGGCACTTGACTTCAGGATTTCACCTAGAAGGACACGCGCAAAGCATCCAATACAAGTACCATAATTCATCTTTTACTTCTGAGCCTCCATGTCGGGTATCCTCTTATAAGTATCGAGGGACCCCAGTGTAGGACGAGGAGTAACATACTTGTCGATCATTAGAAACTTAATTTGTGGACGAGTAAATCCCTCAACAAAATCAAAAATAAACGAAAGGTTGCCTTCACACAAAGTTTTCGGAGCGCGCGCGTTCAAGAAAGAAGGCACGAACCTTCGTTTGGACCATATCCCAGAGACTAAACACGTTCGTACCTGGGCGCTGAAAAGTGGAGATCTCACTTCCCGAAACTCGTCGAAGGCGTACCCGACTAATAAGCCGACCTATGACCTCTTTCTGCTTCTTCTGACGCCAGAATTGCAAAAATGGTGGGGTGGCGATCAACAGATCATCGATGAAGCACTCATTATGACTATAATATCACTGCATTGATGCCGTCGTGTGGATCTTCTACAATAGATTCTAGGATTATGGAAGCGTCGTGATGGAAAAATATATTTTCATACTGTGAACGAGTTCACCGTCTAGTCCACTCATCATATTAGTTGATTCATGAAGCGTACTAGGCAGCTTGATATTATCTGCAAAGTGTGCACGCTGTTCTCTTTTGTTTCGTTACTCGATCGCGACTTACAATTTTCTTGTCTCTAATCCTCTCGCAATGCGCAAGGGCCGCGAGCGTGGTGAACTTCTGCCAGATGCCGCAGTGAAGGCGCTCACTCGCGGTGCTATGCGTATGGGCGCTCCTGAGGATTTAAGCTGCATGTGCATCATACCCAGTTGGCATAAGAAGCTCCTCGAATCCTTTTTGGAAAAAATGGGCGACAAACCGATTCTACCCGAAGCGGATGATGGCGTCGACATGTTCGCGATGTAACAAGATTTTTGACTCGCGTTTGCATGTCCATCACCACGACCCATTGCCACAATGTTCAACCTAGGCATTGGAGGTAAGTAGTCTCTTTTTTGCTGCTAGTTTCCCGTTCCCCAGTGCCCTGCACAACGAAGACGACGCAGACAAAGAACTCTGATGTGATCATGCGAATAGTCCCCTGATGTGAGACCACGCTGTCAGTTTTTATAGTCAAGTCGATTACTCCCATTGATGCGCTTGGCATATGGTCCGATACTCAGCATGTTTTTTCCCGTTCTCGATCATGTAGAAGTCCCGTTTTTTTAAGTCCTGTCCCCTTGGGCTTTCCTCACCCGCTTGACCCCGAGGAAAATAAAGGACTTGGCATCATCATACTGTACAAATCGTTCATTCGCTCAAGGCATACTGTACACGTACAGCAGCGTGTCGTACCAAAGATTATGGTACCACGAGTTGATACATGGCGTCAGATTCTTGTCCAATGCAGGCAATACCATTCTGTGTCTTCGCCAATGAGTCATCATCTGCATATTTCTTGTGCTCTGAGTGAAGGCCAAGGTTTCCGAGAGACGTTGTTTCGAGAGCCAGAAGAGCCAGAAGAAGAAGACAATAGTTTATCTTAGTAAAGAATAAAGTCCCCCATTAGTTCAACATCACCTTTACACAGTTTTCAGTATCAAAGCAAAAAAAAGAGCTCTCGCAGCAACTGATCATATATGGCAGAGGCGAATGTAGAGTGATGGTAGATCTTAATCCTGGCGTTGACGAGAGATGTGCAACCTTGTGTTCCTGGCTAGTGTCTTTTACATGAATTTAACAAGACGTGAAACAAGAGGGAATGATAATGACTTGATGTTCAAAGTCGTCAGACATGACTCTGAGTAAAAACAAAGCGAGATGATGTTGTTGAAATAGAATACCAGGAAATACGAGACACGTGATTAGAAAAAGGTATGAACACGAAAAAACGATACACGTACTGATGAAAAACTCCATCCTTTTGTCCCACCTCTACCAGTCTTCCCCGGGCATCAGATTTCTTTCCCCGCCAATGCAGTTGAATTTTACCACCATCCAAAAACAAGTAGAAAAGGCAATATTTCGTTTTCATTAATGCCATTCCGAGTAGAGAGCAGGATCAAAGTGAATCTTCGTTGAATTTTTGTTGCTGCTCACTTGATTTTGTGAAGCAGCGGTAGAAGCAGCAGTCAGTTTGCATCAGGTGAAGTTGTAGCTTTCATTGTGGCCCTGAGTATGCATAACGCCAATTATGCTCGTCACTTGAATGATCACATTTTACGTATTGTCGCTGTCTCTACTTCTTGATACAACATAGCTCTACTAGAGGTTGTAGAAGAATGTTAAGTCATTTTCTTAGCGAGAGCAGCCCCACTCGGGGCGTCCTGGAGAGCCTGCAGATGGGTGATCTCAAAGGCGCCGCGATCGCCGCGGACATCACAACTTTTGACGGCCTCTGGGAGTACTACAGGAGTGCGGTGACCGTCTTCTTCATGTTTGTTCTCTTCTATTCGCCAATCTACCTCACATACCAAGTGCTGCTCAGCATTTCGAACAAGATCGTCTACGGCGATGCTAGGGGTGACCCGGTGGAGACAGAGTACTATAGTTTTAATGTAACACTTAATGGAGAAGGGAAGGGGAACCAGCGAACTTTTCCTCGGCTTACAACTCCTTTCCGACATCGCAATCGATTTTTCAGTTTCATTTTCATTGAGTACTAAAGTGTCATTTCCGGGCTTTTGCTTCTGCGAGTGTGAAGTAGGAGTAGGTGGCCTTCCTCTTGTGCATTTCTTCATTGCTTCCATTTTAGGTACGATTCCACCGAGTCATGCGCAGTGCCGTCGGAGGAGAAAATCGCACTGCGGACGAAAAGACTGCCCTTTGGTACGTTCACCAAGAGCGCTATCGCAACTGCGATTTTCGCCTTAATCTGTTCGAAGGAGCCGCTCGTTTGGCGCGCAGCGGCAGCAGACATTTTTGGCGCATACTATGAGTATGCACGTACCGAAATCAATCCAGTGTACTTCATGGTGGTCGTTGCCAGCGTTGTGCACTACGGAACTCTGTGGTTCCTGTCGATCCCGTGTTTGATGTGCCCATTTGTGCCGACTCTCAGCAAGACAAAGATTCAGGTATACTCAAGACTTCTCTTTATTTTGAAAGTGCGTTAGGTCGGCTCCACCACAATTTATTTTGAAGGTGCGTGGAATTTTAATCTCGTGAATATGAAACTTCAACTTCTGAATTTCTTTGATATATATCGAAAGCAGAGTTGTACTTACTTGCTTTTGTTGTCAAAAATGAAAATGAAGTACAACGACCACTACCGACACTACGTCTTTCAATACTTCCACCGAAACTCAGACACACAAAGCCGCAGCGTCCTGGCGAGACTGGGTATGGGTTGGTGGTGCGCTTATTGCTAACGCCATTTTTATCCAAGGACCTCTCGCATTCGGGATATACACGTACATCAAGATGTTCAACATTCCAGTAGAGTGGAGCGAGGTTTTTTCCCTCGAGAGTGCGCTTCCTCGCTTGTACTGCTGCATGGCTATTGACGATGCTGTGCATTTCTGGGGCCACTACTTTTTTCATACGAGGATGTACTGGTACAAAACGGTGCACAAACATCACCACTCGTACCCGAACCCGTTCGGTCTAGAGGCAGAGTTCGCGCATCCGATCGAGACGTTGACTTTGGGCAGCGGCTTCTTCCTGGCGGCGCACGTGAATGTGAACCACTTCATCTTCATCTTCGCGTGGATGTACGTCCGAGTGTGCCAAACGACGGACGTGCACATGGGCTACTCTGCTCCGGTGTTCCCGTGGCGGTACATCATTCCCTTCTGGGGTGGAGTCGAGCACCACGACTTCCACCACCGCTACTTCACCGCGAACTACGCGCCATGCTTCGAGTGGTGGGACCGCTGCATGGCCACGGACATCCCATACGAGAAGTTTCGCGTGAAAGAGGCCTTGCGCAAGGCAGAGAACCGCCTGAAGAAACAGGAACTCGCCAAATATGGCACCGTGATTCCATGGCTCAGTCCTGCCGTCATCACGAAGGACAAACTGGCCGCGGCTGGAAAAGTGCAAGGAACAGCAGGCGACGATAACACGAGCAGCGCGTCAACGAAGTCTGCTTCCTCCGCAAGCGAGACCGAGAAGATGCAGACCAAAATTGCGCAAGCAGATTACGCATCCGCTTACGCGGGAGAACAGCGCATGCTGGCGCCAAAGTCTTGCGCTATCACTGGTGGCGCTGGCCTGGTTGGCCGAGAACTGCTTCGCATGCTAGCTGTCCGAGGATGTAAAAAAATCGTGGTTCTGGACGTCGCTAAAGAGCCAGACTGGTTTGCGTCAGAGGCAGCGGGCGTAGAGAAAGTCTACCAACAGGTGGACATCACCTCCCCGACTGCAGTCAGCGACCTCGCAGCGGCATTTGAGGGACTCGAGTGCGTGCTGCACTTGGCAGCACTAGTAGGGCCTTACTTCCGACACGAAGAATACACCAAAGTGAATATTGACGGAGCCAAAGCAGTTTTGAAGGCGTGCGAAAAAGCCAAGGTAATCATACTTTGTTAGATTTTTCACACTACTGCGAAAACACACGGATATTTTACTGTTGTTAGATAAGTGAATGTTGAATTGTCTACTTTGAGCAGCATGCGCTAGCTACTTTTGAACAATGGTGTACTCCTTTGTATTCCTTTCAGCATCGCAACACTTGTAATTGAATTTCTTCACCGTGTCAGGTGAAAGCACTTGTTGATGTGACTTCGCCGAGCACTAGAATGGACGGCTATAGCATGGAGGGATTGGACGAAGAAGATATGACCCGAGTGCAGAAGAGCATGTCGAGCTACACTCACGAGTACGCTCGCACAAAAGCTGTCGGCGAGAAAATAATTCTCGACGCGCATGGTAAATTTGATTCTATTTCTAGAGTGCGTGTAATATTTTGATGTGAAACTACTACAGCGCTGGTTGAACATATATGATTGTAGACTGAGCAACGGCAACCTATCCTATCCTAACATACATGCTGGTTAATTTCAATCTATCGATCTCGAGCTTGTCTGACTTGGATACCTGGGAACTCTCATTTACTCCATAACTCCCATTGCTCCAACAGGTAAGAGCAGCGTGAAAACGTGCGCGGTCGGACCGCACCAAGTGTACGGCGATGAAGATCAGCTGTTCATGCCGAAGATATTGAAGAGCATGAAGCGATTGAGGCAATTCGGCGCGGATCCCATGGTTATTTCGTTTACCCACGTCAGCAATATCGCGCACGGGACGTTGCTGGCTGCGCGCGCTCTGCTAGATTTAAGACTTCCCCTTATCCCTCTTCGGAAGCATCGCCGAGACGTTTTCAAGGGGGAAACGGTCTCAGAATGCGTCTCAGGATGGATCGGGGTGAGGTCTAATAGATGACTCCGAGAAGGTGGGTGGCGAGTTTTTCATCGTCACTGATGGACTCGCCAGCTCCTTCTGGAACCGGATCGACGAGGCACGCGAAGTGACCTACGGCGAATCGGTTCCCAGCTTCTTTCACAAGATGTACGTGCCGAAGAAATTCATGCTCCTGCTCGCTTCCGTTGTCGACTTCATCACGTACTACGGCGTGCTCTTTGCTTCGTGCGGCAACCGCGACAAGGCGGTGAAGAGTTCGACGCTCACGCCGTTTGCGGTGAACATGCTGCAGATCCACCGCTACCTCGACACCAGCAAAGCGAAACACGTCCTCGGCTATCTTCCACTGGTGGACGGGAATGAGGCGTGGCCGAAAGCATGCAAAGCAGTCTACAAGCGCCTCGGTTTGTAACAGCGCGCTAAATGATGTACGTGTGATGTTAAAAATAAGAGGAGTGTACTTATACTGTCTATGTTTAAAGACGAAAAATAACGGGTTAGTTTTCCCTCATTTTCTTTTTCATCCTAGGTTAGTCCTTCCAATCAATGTCTATGTGATATTAAGAGGAGGTTCGAAGTGGAAGAAGGAAATGGGAACTGAAACTCGTCGATACTCGCTTCGCGATGGTCTGCATGTTTCAGATGAAATAGAAGACCCTTTTTTTTTCTACGAGGTAGACGGGGAAGATGAACAGAGAGGGGGAGAACTGATCGTGAGGATCACTCACATACGAGATTCGGTTTCTCATCTGTGTATCTGAAGGTTGACCAAGGGAGGATCCCGAAAAGAAGAAAGAAAAATCAGTACCATTCGGTCTACTCTCTGAGTAGATGAGCTCGATGCGTCACTTTGACGAATCAATACAGTCTAAGTAATGACAAGTGCTGCTGTGGCATCGCTCTACCACGCGCTCATGAAAATTGACGACAGAGTTGTAGATATTTTTGCGATCATTTGTTCTCATGGTAACTGTAATTCGCGAGCTGGTATATAGCCATCTTTGCTTGTCGATATGTTACTGGACGGCGAGAAGTATTCAGAGATGTTTTTTATACATGAAGTTTCAGTCCAAGTAGAAATTAACTGGACATCGACCGCCGAGGAAAGCAACTTTGTTTATGAGCGCGCACATGGATTATTTTTATTATATATAGATTTAGATATATAGGGACTCGTAGAAATTTTATGACCTAACCAATCACTAAGTCGGAATATCGTATAGTACGCATCTGAAAAAACGCAAAATTTAGATTTACGTTTTTCGCAGATAACATCACAGGTAGAAAGCCTACCGGCTGCGCGGGTCGCACACGGCCCAGCGGTTCGCATAGGAGCAAATAAGTACAAAAGTGGCAAAATTGAACCCGTAGTAGAATGGTCACACCACCTATATAGAAATCAGTCTAGAGGAGCATGAAAAGCTATGTATTAAGTAGGTCTTGCCTCCATGCAAGAAATGTAAGTAGTTCTTGCATCCACGCTTTGCCCAACCCCTGGGCTGCTGCTTTGTCTAACAAAGTCAATGTACAAAATAGAGAAGGTAAAGACAACGGATCTGCATTGTTCGGTGCCTCTCTGAACGCAGCTACTTGAGCCATTTAGCAATTTGTACTTATTTGTGAAAATCCCGTCGATTGAGAATTATCAAGAAGTAGAGGCTGCTGTGTAGGTCTTTCGGAGCTGCTCCTGTCTTAATTCAGATGTTCCTCGGGTTGCAAAGGCGCGTCAGCACATAGCTGCGCCGCGGAAAAAAATATGAGCGATCTTTCTTAAACAGGAAAACAAGATGAAGCTCCAGTGTCACTTTTTCACACAGAGAAATCGTTGCGAAAAGATTGAGAACGAATATATGAGTCGGTTACCACCTTAGAAAAGCAACGACATAGTAGCCGGATTGGAGTACAACTACTGCTACATGATAATTATTTTTACTTAAGAGACATCAGTCCTCAATGCCTTTTTAGTATCCAAAAAATGACATTGTTTGCAATCACATCATATTTTTTGCGAAGGTGCTCCCGTGTGAAGTATTTCAAGCACGACTTCGCTCGATTTTCATGTCATACTACCAAGCTCAAGTCCTCATTTTGTCAAAATGTGGGCGTCATTAAGCAAGCGGAAACAGGTGCATCTTCATTATATATAAAGAGCCTATTATGTCGATGGTACAGGGTAGCTGGACGAGCTCTCAACCATCAAAAATTGAATGCTTCGGGCGTGTAGATATTAGGACAAAAAAAAGGATGGACGCAGAGGTAGCATGACATGACATCCATCATTTAGTCAGCTGTTGGGCGATCAAATTGCTGGCGTAAAGGATAAGGTAAGAGTAGTATATTTTCAACGCAGTCGACGACGACCACGCTCCTGTCTATGGATGAGCTTTACTAATTAAATCCGCGTTGTACAGCTCTGTCAACTTGAGCATCGCACACATGGGGCGGAGGGCATTCCCATACTGCTGCCGTTCCAAATCAAAAACAGGAAAGACGTTATAATAGGTTAGTTGCACCATAGAAATGATCTTCACATCAGTAATTCATCGTACATATAGTGTGGTGGATAATAGTAGCTTACAGTTCGGGGAAGAGGCGACAGGACAGGTCTTGTGCATACCATGAATTGATTTAGTACAGAGAAACTATGACTAACTACAATGAGGCGCTGGCTAGCTTTGACCGACCTGAAGATCGTCTTGCATCAATTCAACATGTAAAGTTGTGTGTTTTAAAACATCTTCCGGATTCTTGCCCTTGCCTTCTTTCTGAAAAACTCTTTCACCGCGTTTGGTGCATCCTTCGCCGAGAAGTTATGTAGGTACTTGTCTTTCTTATCGCCAGTAGGACCAAGAACAAACAACAGGGAAAAACCGTCCAGAGCAGGAAGTTGAACAAGTCAGTTGGAAGTTGGGCCTAGGTAGTGGGGAATGAATATTAGGGTCGTCTCGGCGACTCGTGCATCCAAGAAAAAGCTCTCTTGCGTTTTGCCGTTTGTGTGTTCTGTCTGCAGCTGACCATGCAAGTACCCACACGTGGAAGTGCAGACACGCTTCTTGAGAGTAGGGCCTTATGAACTTTTGTCTGTGTTCCACGTCCCAGGGAGTCTTTTATCTACTACCCATAAATCGGCCATCAACCACGCATGTATGATCCAATGAGCGATCACCCAAATTAACCCACCTTTTCAACAAGTTACACACTTGCTCTATAAAAAATATGCGAAAAAATCACTCCTCTCCGAAGATGAAAATCGCTGATGAAAACAGGCCTGAAATTTATTGCTCAAAGGGAAAAGTAGTACTATTTGTAGGAGTTCTTCTGCTTTAGTTCTTGAAGGAACGTGTCACTCTTTTCTGTTGTAATAGGTCTGCTAGTTAGTATCACTCACAGGACTAAAAATCTTCTTCACTGTTGTGAACCAGCTTTCCCTTAGATTTTGTTGCTGGATCAGGTCCGGCCGGCGAGAAAATTTGCTATAATTCTTCTATGTATACCCCCTGATTGGGTATACTACTACTGCTACAAAAGAGACTCGTTGACCACTCATTTCCTTTCTCCGTTTCATGCACTAGATTCATTGTTTTCTTATATGGAAAAGCAGAGCAGGTTGTCTTCTTGTACTTGTTGCAGTGCTGCTAGTCCACGCCTACTTATTTCAAAGCACATTTGTAGGGACGCAGACCAGTATCACGAAAGGCTGGTCGGTGACTACTGTTTCGACAGATAATGAAGATAGTTTGACAGATCTTTACAAACTGATCGTTGAATTGAAGAACCAGCAGCGCGGCGTCCACCAGAACATGTAATGTCAGATTGTATACTACAAAGAAACTCGGTGAGTACTGTAGCTCTGCTTTAATGATTTGAAAAACGACGACTAAATTCTCGAAGCTTCGTGTACTTTTATCTCTGTTGTCATCTCTGTTGTCCACGACATAATCAAAACACAAAAAATGATGAACGGCGCATCTTCCTCATCGTCTTCGTCCAAGGTGCCCCAACAAAAGGGGGATCCTCGATTTCCCTCGTTGGGGCTGTTTCCCGCTTGCACTCCCGAAGAAGGCGTTGGCAATTATGCTATCACAGTAATGGTGCGTTGGCTTTTCAGTTGAAAGCGTTGTAATGTGGTGTAATGCAATGTAATATAATGTAGTACAGTTGTGTAAGGAACGTTTCCACCCGGCTTCACACAAAGGTAGAAAACCAGGAAGATGCATTTGCGTAGCAATGAAAGAAATGTTTCCACCGTCCACACAAAGAGTGAACCACGTTTTCTAGAAGAACAAGACACCGTAGTTGTTAGCTCCACTGCTTTTCTATGTCTAGCGCAAGCATTTGAGGGCGGATTTTCCGGCTTTTAATGTGAACAAGTACCCGTCAGAAGCAGCAGTGAACGCGGCGACTTTCCGAGACCTCCTAGCCTATTGTTATTCGCGAAATTGTAAAATCTATAAGGAACTTGAGGAATGCCACGGTCACTGGGTGATGGTCAACCAAGTCTTAGTGTCGAAGTTCAAGAAAGACAGGTACCTCATCCTACTAGCCAAATTAATTCACTCAGAACTACTATAAGTACTGCGCCGTTGATGAGACCACAACAACAAGAAGTGTCATACTAGGTTGTACTACAACACCACTTGGAAGGACGTACTGGTGAAGATTGATTATGCGATACACTGGAGTACACTGAAGCATAAAGTACAATTCTATTCTTGGAAATACAGTGATTTTGCGCTGCAACATTAAAGTCACCGAAAAAATTATAGATAAGTTGTAGGTAGTACAGTGGACTCACGCCACAAGACGTTGAATTTGTAATGGAGATGATTCGAGATCGAGAAAAGCATCAGATGAATGACGGAAATCACACATACACTCCCACACACGACAGAAAGAGTATCCACATAAACGATGCGATCGGGGGCATTCCTTTGCTGCATTTGATATGCAAAGTAGGGAGCTGTCGTTACCACGGTCACAGTGGTCCGGACAGCAGACCCCAGGAACAGATCTCCTCTAGGAATAAGCTGCTAGAAGCGGTCCTCCTCGACAACTACCTCGATGTCAACGCCCTCGACCGCCACGGGCAGTCAGCACTAAACTACTGCTTTTCTTATGGAACACATGTGCAAGCGATCGATCTAATAGACTTACTCTTGAATATGAAGAAATGATGATCTCTCCACTCCACTCAAATATCGATGGCCTCAGATATAGATGCGAAGTGCTAGGTTGAAGGTTCAAGAAGAGGTACCATCTAAGGTTTCTATACGTACGAGCGTGGAGACGCAGCGGACGCAGATGGAACAACGACAGAGGGCTACCTTTTGGTTCTTAATTGGGTCAATTGTCGGATGTTGTTGAATCACCCTAATTTCTGCTGTCTCGACTTTCCGACACCCGGTGGCTGCTTCTTTAACATGCAGGTACTAGCTACGAGTAACAGGAGAGGGTACTTCAGTAAGTAATTTTCATGGGGAATTGAAGGAATTGGATTAGAGTTCGCGTTTGTGAGATCAGAGATTAGACAACCAGGGTGGATGTCCCAAGTCTTAGTACCAGAAAGATTGGTGAACTAGGCTTCTTCCTGCTCTCAACGACTTTCAGTACAACTAGACTTCAAATTTTTTCGAACAATCTTGAAGAATATCCTTATTTTTACAACATCCCAATTTCTACAGAATAGATATTCCAATCATCATATTTCAGCTGGACGAGATGATGAAGCGTGCCTATCAGCTCTACACCTCTCCAATGGTGAAGAAACTCTATGCGCCAGCGAAGATATCCGGGATGTCGAAGACGTTGAATTTTTGTGGCACCGAGATAGATCGGGCCCGTAGAACCCGCGTATTTAGTGCTGCAGCGGTCACGGATATTATGCTATCAGGAGCTTTTTGTATTTGTACATCTGTCTCACTTATTTTGTACTCATTTAAGTAAAAACAAGAAAGCATATGATACAAGAATGTTCTTCCATTTTACTTCTTACTACTATACAACTGCACTTACTAATCTCACAGTTCGTTTTCAGAAGAAGAGTTTCTTGAATATGAATTCTCAGGCCTACGAGATTGTACATCTGTCTCACTCTCAATATCCTGTACCCACTTAATGAGTAACAACAACCGGTTAGCTTTCCCCTCGAAGCAAGTAAGCCTTAGCCTTCCCTTCATGATCTTTCTCAGTATCTTCTTGGTAGTTGGGCTTTTCCCAGGGACTCATCTTTTCGGTACCCTTTTGCTTCCATGAAGGAATAGAAGGGAAAACAAGAGGAAGAATAGAAGAGCTCAAGATCTTGAGCTAGAGTAGAAGTCTAGTTCTACTAGACTTGCTAGGCCAATCTTCAGCTACTAGAACTAGACACCGATAGATCGAAATGGATTCGAGAACACTCTAAGGAAAGTAACAACTACGCTTGCACTCTGCTAACGCGCGTAGTAACCAAGCACTTTGGTGGAGGCGTGAACTTGCTGCTTCGCGAGCCCGCTGAGGAAAGACTAGTATCGCAGATATGGAAACACCCGGCTTTCAAACGGTACGAAGTAAACTTTTTAGTTGACACGGCTTTCAAACGGTACGAAGCAAACCTTTTAAGTAGTTTCATCCCAAATAGGGATAGGAAAGTACTATGCGGTGTTACACACTCGTGGTACTTCTGTTGAAACTGGAAACTTATAATTTTTTTTGATGGCTTTTTTTAAAAGGTACACTTCTAGAGTATTTCGAATTTTATTTTTTGTTTGGATTTTGGTGACTTTTTGAGAGTGAACAGAGATGCAGGAGTAATAGTTCTGCTAGAGCGCGCAACTGCTCCTTAGACTAAACACTTTCTCCATCATTTCCTATGCGGGCAACTACCAGGTCAAAGTTCGTGGACGAAGTGTTTGCTCCGTCAGAGGAGCTGCGGTGGCGAGATGTCGAACTCAAAGATCGCGAAAAGTATCGAAGCTATGTGAATTGCACACCAAAGGCATGGGATTTCCTGGTAGATGCTATCGCCTGGCACAAGTCTCGTGAGGCTGCTGGAGAGTTTGAGAATGATCTTAAGGACACTGGGTTTTGTGCGTTTCTCTCTGTTACGACCGTTAGTTTTGCCTCTCTACTTAATGGAAAAGAGCCGAGTTAACCAACGGGGTGAACTGAAAACACCAAAACCCTACGTCTAACGACCAAGATGACGGAGCGCAAACCTTTGATCCAATGACTGCACCGCAGCAGTTGATTAGTTTCGGACCGCCGGCGACCAGCTCCACAATCAACATTAAGAGAGTCGTGTTGAACTGGTTTTTATTCGTGATTGAACGAGGAACAAAAAAGACCGCCTTTTTGTCCTCAAGATTGACGTCGACGTTATAGTTGAATTATCACTCCTCGTTCATCTAGGTTCACAATTACGGAATTCTAGGTCGACAATACATAGAATTGCTTTTTCGTACTAGTACTTCTAGACGAAATGCAAAGTAAATGTCTCGTTCCTGCTGTAGTGCCGTCTTCTAAGTAAGATCGAGAGAGAAGTATGACCACCCCAGGAGGCGCTGCAAATACAATTATGAAGCAAGCTGCAGGATCTTCAACTGTAGCGGCTCAGCCAGCACCACCCAAGCTGCAGATCAATTTCGCCGGTGCGACGTCTTCGACTGCGGTACAACAGAAACGTGCGTCGCGAAAAGTAGAAGTGTCACCAGTCCACGTCAAGATGCTCAAGCGTGCAACGGAGCAGTCACCTTCCCCCAATATCATTAAGGCACCTAAACAGCCGGTTAGTTATCCCTTATATATCTCCGGTTAAGTAGCGCCTAGTCGTACTTTTTTAACCGGTTAGTAAGTTTTCCCTCGTACTATAATATCTTAGGTTAGTCCGTTTCTCCAATACTTAGACCAAAAGGACAGGCAGATAAACACGCTTGAAGAAGTCATTAATTATCAATCATAAACCATTACCGCTACCAGGACATGTCCCTCGGGAAAAGTGCAGTAGATGTCTCTACCTGTAGTAAGAAATTTTTGGGAGTAGAGAGCTGCACAGTACGGTGAGGTCTTCAGCTTAGAAGTACTACAAGAACCAAGTACAACTAGTATGGCGTACGAGAATAAGAGAAAACAAGCAGAAAAACCAAGCGTATTTTGCAAAGCTTCAAGGTTAGCGTGTGAATTCTCTCTAAGGTGAGCGAGCTGTTAGTGGATGAGAGGGCAGCCGCGTCAAAAGCAACAAAATCCTCTACAACGATGAAGTCAGTGGTTAGAGGCGGTTCAAAACCTAGCAGCAGTTCAGGCGGAGCCTCAAAGGCCGTGACGGCGACGAAAACCGCGGCAGGTCAAAAACCGCCAGTCGCGTCGATTCCCAAGACCTCTGTGCCATGGAAGCCATCACGACTCGTGAAGTCGATGAAGCTTGAGGCAGCTCCAACCATGAAAGAGGCAGCTCCGGCGAAGTCGACGAAGGCGAAGTTGGCGGCGACTTCGTCAAAACAAGGCAGTACTACGACAACAACAACGAAGCACGTCGCAGCATCACCGAGGGCATCGAAGATGAAGGCATCACCATCACCAGGAGGAGCAATGAAGGCAAGCGGATCACGCAAGGGAGCGACGAAAGCAACCGCATCACCCAAGGGAGCGAAGAAGAAGGAGGCAACTTCACCCAAGGGAGCCATGAAGAAGGTCGCAACTTCACCCAAGGGAGCCGGGAGGAAGGTGGCAGCTTCGCCGAAGGGAGCGAAGAAGAAGGTGGCAGCCTCACCGAAGGGAGCGATGAAGAAGTTCTCCGCGTTCTCGTCTAGCACTACCAAGAAAGGTCGTCCGTTGCTCAAATCAAAAATACCCGCAATGAAGCAGGTGAAAAAGGGGGCTGGAGCCAAAAAAGGCGCACGCAAGGGCAAGTAATGGAAGATAAACACGTTTCTCTCGTGTAGTTAGCGGGACGGTTGATATTTTGTTCGTAAGTTAATAGCAACTTTTGACCAGACATCTAAGGATGCGTTTCACTTTTGCTCTCTACCAGGAGGCGAGTGAGGAAAGTCTTCTCAGCTACTGCACTTGTAGAAACGTCGATATAACAACTCTCATGAACAACCACACATATTTATAGGCCTTTGATAATTCTTTTGCTCCTGGATTTATATTGCCATTATGCTTTAGCACAAATTTTGGTCAGGTTGCTCCATGTGCCTGTTTGAAGCAAAGCGAAATAGCTAGCTACTACATTATGATGGAATTTGATTTGACCACATGCAGTCTTCATATGTACGACAAGACAACGCAGAGGAGATGAACGAAAGTAGTTCACCTTTGACGACGCAAACACTAGAACTAGAGGACGATGACGGTCCTTTTCTTTGTTAAACTCCTAAGAATCACTGAGACGTCCCTGTGATATAGTCGTCCAGGGCGGGGACGTGCAGCTATAGAAACACATCAGATCAACTCTAGTAAATGAACATAAAATGCAGAACAGAAAACTGAAACGTCTCGATCAAATGGACTTTAAAAATAGAGCAACATATTTCTAACGACCCTCAGAGTCAGTACGACCCACTCTTTCTCAACCTGGTAAACAGTCTGTTCTCTTAGCATTGCGCCACGCGTGTGAGAGCAGCTGCCCTGGCAGCGATATAGGAGTGCTGTCTGCCTTGTCTCGAGCGGCGCTTGACCTTCCTTCCGGCACTGAGTCGTGTTCGCTAAAATGATGACATCAAGTAATCGCAAGTTTTATGATCAGTGGCAGACGTTTGTTTGGTCCTCTCTGGGCTGCGTTTGAGCGAAAAGGATTAAGGCGCCAGTTTCTCAGAGTGGCCTTGGGTGTTGCTGCAGCGCCTGATACATATCACACTTAAAGCAGCCGTATTTTCTTCCTCTATTGCTCTTTTGAATAACGATATCAATTTGAAGGGCGGGGCATTTATTGCGAGGCTGATATTTGACGATATGAAGGGGTCAGGACGGCCTGAGGTCGAAATATGGCCGCATTTGGTCACTCCTTTTGTGGCCGCTGTGCCGGTGTGGGGTCTGTGCCTGCTTCTCTCGTTATATTTGTGGCGCGCGACGGGCGATGTGAACTTCAATCAGTACTTGATGCAGACGTACGTACTTCCGGTCATCACATCCGGTTACTTGCTAGTAAAATCCTCCGACGAAGACGTTCCAGATAAGAAGAAGTCCCGCCAGCTGTTGAAGCTGCAGGGCTTGAACCTCGAAGTTAATGCGATTTTGCTCAATAAGAAGCAAGTATTGCCATTAGGATTTTGGCGTCGCGTTGCAGGGGTGCGAGAACGCTTGATACGGTGGGACGAGCTTTTTCTTCTCGAGGTAGTGGATGCAAGTGCACTTCGCGCCACTCCGAGTCGTGCTGTGGTTGTAGACTCTGGTGCCTCTCAGCAATCATCGAATCTGCATCAGGTGCCGAACTCTGCAGTCAAGAGTAAAGCTGGACTGGGAGCTGCATCGGGTGCTAGAGTCGGCGAGATCAACGCACCTATGGATCATTCGCGATCGACAAAAAAATCGGCAGAGACGGCTGCAAGTGAAGCAAGCGTGGCCTCGTCTGGTGGTACTTTGGCAGCTTATGGTGGTTTTGCGGGAGTATCAAGTGTGGGTGCGCGTGCTGTTGTGCCACGGCGGAATTTACAGGACAGCACAGCACCCTCTTCAAGAACTGAAAAGGACAGAACGGTTCCGCGTGGCGGCACCAACGCAGACACCATGAGTGCGCAGTTGGGAAGCAGTGGCGCCTCTAACGGACATGCGAACCCACCCGTGGCATCAAGCGCAATCGAGTCGGACTTTGTACGCGCTTCGGATTGTGTAGTTTCCGATATGCGGAGTCGGCCGCTCTTACGCTTTACGCTTCAGTGTCGGTTGGCTCGTGGAGGAGCTGCTGGTCTCCGGGGTGCTCACGATGCAGCGGCCAAAAGTCGGGATCATACAGCGACGCGAAGCGCGGTGGCAGGATCCGGCAGTTCCTCAGGACGAGCTGCACCTGGTGATGCAGGCAGAACAGCGGCGTCTTCCGCTGAAAGTGCGGCATCGGAGCTTACATCAGCATCCTCCAGCAGTACGAAGAGTGGCGCTGGTGTGAAACAAGTAGGAAGCTCAGGCTACTCTTGGGTCACCTCACTGTTCGGGACTGCTGAGAGGGAAGAGACAATTGAAGTGGTGTGGTCTGGCGAGATTTTGGAGATGTCCGATGGCGTGGACGTCTTTCTGCAAAAATTGAAGATCAACAAGCTGCCCCCACAGGTGCAGATTCGAAGTGCGGTGCTTTGGAAGGTGAAGCAGGAAGGCCAGCGGCCGCCGGGATCCAGAGAAGCCCACCCAGGAGACCGGCTTGCCCCACCATTAAGGCTCAACTTTCATCGGTCATTGAGGTTGGTCACTGAGATCGAAGAGGCGACCCCTTGAGAGAACAGGAAGGGGAGAGGCACAGGGCCCTTTTCTTTCAGAATCAGTGGCCAACGGGTGTCGGCCTTTAACACCAGCATACTTTTCGGAGTTGAAGACCGCCGTGGATGCGCTCTATACGTCTCGACACGCACCGCCGATGGGGAATGCTCGGAAGCGGCGAAGCAGACGGCTTTCAACAGGAGAGGCTTCTTCTCCGACTGGGGAACGCCTCTCGGATGTGCTGGAAGAAATACAACTAACGAAAAACAGTCTCTGGTCGGCAAAGTATCTTCGCAACCTGCTGGCGCGCGGTGAGGTACCGCAAAACCTTCCTGGACATCCAATTTTTTCGGACGCGGCGTGGTTGGCTGTGGAGCACCCTATCTCAATGCTCTACCGCCCAGCGAGGACCGCGCGAACGAATCTACACGGAAAAGTGCTCTTTCCGCAGGTGGGTCGAGAGTATAGATCCAGCTTCGGCATTGGTCCGCGCGGATTACTGAGGCGCAATTTTAACCGTTATCTGCACGCGGTCTTTCCGAGAGCCCAGATAAATCGCGCTGCGTTACCAGTGCGCGAAAGTGAAGATGATGCTAAGGCTATTGATTCCGAGGGAGAGGAAGGTAAAGATTCTGCTGAGAATATAGATATCAAGGACCTCCGCGATGTCAAGGACCTGTCCGTCGCAAGCACATCCTCAGCGTCTCCCCAGCAAGCAGAAGGATCCAAAGTTTCTGGCGGAGCCACTGACGTAACATCAACAGTGCCTTCTAGCGATGCAAGCATGGCCACGACGGTTCCGACCAGAGCCCCTTCATCTGACGCTCCGAACTCGGCAGCAGCAGGAGTAGCGGCCACGACCGCCAGTTCATTCCCAACACCGGCGAAAGTTGGGTCTGCGACGCCAGCGACTGGCATATCAGCTGCGCCGATATTAACAGTTAGTACTACATCGGTTGCACCAGGAGCGGTCATCCCCATGATCATCACTACCACAACTACAACTAGCGGCGCGACTTCCCCTAGCTTAGTTTCTACTTCATCCCCACAAAGTGACACTGTGTCAACATCAGTGTCTACTGTGTCAGGTACCACGACAACAACAACAACGACGACGACGGAGGCTGTGCCTGTGGCCCTTGATCAGGCTGCAGGACTTCTGAAGCCCAGCCACGACGCTGGCGTGCGAGTCGAAGACTTGGATCCAGCATCGTTGTCTCTGGAGGAGCTTACTGAAGGCGCTAAGCCTCCTCGCGCTGCAGCAACTGATGATACCGGGAGTTCGCAGCTGCTTGTTGATCTAGGACCAGGTGAGGCGTCGATTCAAGGTCAACGAGGACGTCGGTCGCAAAAATCCGCAACGGGGGTGGTCCCACGAAGCAGGCGACTGGAGAAAGCGGGGATTTCGCAACATTTGCCACAGGTTCAGTTTTCGCAATTTACATCTCATTTGTTCCTATCTCCGACACTGCAGCTTTCGCGCTCAATGCTGACGCTTCTACGCACATGCGTCTCGAAATGTAGCACGTCGCCTCTGGATATGTCACCCTCAGCTGCGTTGACGTTCGATGTCTCCAAAATTGGACAGGGGGACGCGTTGCAGCGCGAACGTGATGCGTGGCATAGCTACTTCCTGCCTTCGGTGTACTCGGGACCTGGGAACACGTACCGTGCTGTGGTTCAGCAGAGCAAGGGTTTAAACATGGCGGTTGACATCAAGATTCGGGGCCAGTCTCTGCAATGGTATGGAGAGTATGCGTCTCTGTGGCAAAAGCAGCGTTATGTGGACGTGGTTCTTCTCAACGAAGGATGGGACGCTGGGGCCGCGCCATGGGTATTCCCCGACCTGGGTTTAGGAGACGCTGCTTCTTCACCGCGTAGAATTCTTGCATCGATACCAACAGCGAATGACGCGCCTCCTGTGACGCGAATGCTCAGTGCCGATACGGAGATGACGAGTGGAGACAGCACAGCACAAGATCGTCTTGCGCCTAAAGTAAGAGGACAGAGCATCGGTACAGGCGGGGAAGCCGCAGAGACGGTCACTAAGGTGGGTAAGTTCAAAGGTGAGCCCGCTGCTAGTGTTGGCGAGCATGGTGCGCCGGCCGTTAGCCCGGACTCGAGTGTTGCAGCAAGCGAAGCTGCTGGGAGCACCTCTCCTCCGGCTTCACCTGTAATTCCAGCCGCAGAGGAAGCTGCTGTATTACAGGACCACACGACCTTTACCTCGACTCTGCAGCCATCAACGGTGGCGGCCCAGGAAGTCTCGACTGCGACGACGTCGAGAACTGCCACGTCTGCGTCTACTCTCGCAACTGCATCAACTACGACAACTGCTGCTCCCCTTGGGGTCCACAGCAGTGACAGAGAAAAAGCTGTGAGCTACCTCTCTGGTGAGTCAGCTGCGGCGCAAGAGATGGACACTGAAAAGCCAAAATCTGCCGCGGAGAAAGTTTCCCAAAGCGTGCAGTCGGTTTTGTCAGCGGTCGTAAACGCGGCGGTTGGCAGTAACGACCACAAATCCGAGGCAACAAGCACACAAGGACGCGGATCTGGCACCACCAGTTTGCTTAGCGCGTTCCCATTTCTTGGATTGTGGGTGAGCCCCAGCGGCGATAGTGCCGATGTGCTTCGTCCTGCTCCAGACCAAAGTGCACGAGTGAAGCTGGCTCTCGGCAGCGGGCGGTACCGTTCCGACACGCGGTTTCCGGGGAGGCAGCGACTGCGGTTGGATCGCGAGTTTGTCGGAACGTTACTGGCGGCAAAACAGGGTTTATGGCGCGCTAAATTCCTGGCGATTGACGGAGTTGGCGACTTTTACGACGGACACGCAGATTGTGGTGGATTTTTCGCGATAGAAGACAACGATCGCAATGTGCAGCTCGACGGATCGGGTACAAAAAATGCGGTAGCAGACCCGATTCGCAGTGGCGCTCGCGGACGTAGTAGCGCCTTCAGGGTGGGGGCGCAGCAGCTGCGCCGGCAGCGGAGTGGACGGTTGCAAGGGCATCCGGAAACTGCGAGCAACTCTCGCAGAGAGCGGACGGTTGAGGCTGCCAACGGTGTTGGAACAACGGAAGGAGGCCCTGATTCCAGTTCCTCGTGGTTTTCTTGGCTCTTTGGTTCCAATCGCCGCTCTTCCTGGTGGGGCGCGAACGAGGTCGTCGACGAGCGTTCGCAAACAACAAACAAAAAGAGTCTGCGGAACCCACGCCTCCATGCTGCTCAAGCGTATGCTGCGTGGCTCGGACCAGACTCACTTTTTTAAGGCTCAGTCTTTAGTACGATTTACTCTTTGGCGCATTTTTCGTGCGCCATACAATTTGTCAAATTCCAAATATTGTCAAATTCCAACGCTTTTCAATTTTGGGCAGCCATTTTGATCTTGCGCGATCGGTATGTATCAGAAATGTGGCATTCTCAGTGCTAATCTGCGCTTTCGCCGGAGTCTGGACGGCACTACGCATACCAAAGCTCGACTCTTTCAGCCGGTACTACCCGGGATCTCAATGTGCTACTAGCGGTAGCTGAAACGCTCGTAAAAGAGCCGGCTCGTAAAGCTTCATCTTCGAAAAATTCAGACGCGGACGAGCACAACAAGGACGCTAGTAAAGAGAAAGGAGGCAGTACGTGGGAACCAACCCAGGGTGGGCCTAATTTTGTCGCTTCAGCTATTGCGTCTGACTTTGTTCTGTCCAGGGGAGCGGATGCTAATCCGCGCGAGATTAGAAGAAGAGCTCTCGAAAGCGCTAGCACCACCACTTCTGATTTGCGTTTAGAAGGTGCTGCGAATAAGAATAATGTGACAACTGCAAGCATGTGGCTCTCCAAATCAGCAAGTATCGACCGACACCTCGCACTTTCGGAATCGACTGCACAGAGGGTAGAGGCGCAGGAGGGTGAGCATCTTCGAGCTGTGTCTACCGGTACTGTCCATCGCGGCACTGCTAAGATAGCTGGACCAGCTGCTATATCCTTTGAGAGTGGGTCCTATTGCAGTCCATTTTTTGTGGAGTTCTTTCATTCTGTGAGTTGCGGAGGCTCGGTTGGTTCATCCGCGGACTTCACACTATATCTGCGCGCAAAGGAGCAAGCTTTCTGGGCGTGGGGCCAAAACTTGAACATCCGAAGCGGAGAGGAAGCCGAAGAGGAAAATGCGGAAGAGGCAAATACGGAATTCGAAGAAGGTCAGCAAACACCCGAAGTATTACATTCATCCAGCAGCGCGTATGGACAACAGCGAAGTTCGAAAACACATGATCTCGAGCCAGCTGTTGACCACGGTGCCAATTTCGTGGGACCCGCAACGGTGGGAAAAGGCAGTCCGAGTGACACCGGACAAACTCTTCGGAGAATACTTGCTTCTACAGTGGGAGAAACATCTTCAAGTGGTCGCCGCCAAGTACCGAACGTGATACCTGATCAATCGGATGATGGTGTGGCTGTCCCCACTCACGGGGAATCTGATGCGCATCTTTCTCCCGCAGACATTGTAACCTCCCTTGAAGGGACCACGACGCAATCAGTGACGAAAAACAAATTGTCTAATGCAGAGCGAGCAGAGCTACGACAAGAACTTGTGACATTTCGAGACTACCGTTTGTGGCGTAAGCTTGCAAGAGGCCCCCTCTTTCCCCTGAATGCGATTTCGCGTGCTTTTTCTCTGCTGACTGCATTTGATGAACTAGCCAGTCCGTCACGAGCCACGCGACGATCTTCAGGTGATGCGGTCCCAGACGAGGATGGAGGAGTAACAAGTAACTTCAAAGTCACGGAAATTCCTTTCGAAAGTCGTCCTCGAGCCACGTCCACTTCGGCATTCTCGACTTTCGAAACTGCGCAGTTACGAGATTTCATTCTTCAGCTCAGATATTTTGTTTTTCAAGGCGCTGGATTGCAGCAAATGATGTCATCCTCCGTTGAAGATGCTTTCTCCCATGTAGCGGGAGCTATTAGTACGGGAAGAATTTTAGCCCGAGAATCGTGGCAGCAAGACCTTCTGGTGCCGCACATTGAACAGGCATTGAACTTTACGGCTTGCCCTTATCTGTCATCTGCGGTATCCTGAAGAGACTTGCCTTTCAAGGCGAAAAAGCATCCAGAATGCGCCTCAAAATGGATAGGGGTGAGGTCTAAGAACTACACGAGGGCGGTCGAAGATCTCTTTTTAGACGCCCACTGGATCGAAAATCGAGATCCTCGCTGGAGTGTGTACGGAACGGCAGCTTTCCAGGTCCTTCGGTGTCCCTGTCACACAGGCCTCCTAAATTGGCGGAATCCGCTGAATCGTACCGAAACTACATTAGGGGTACCGAACCCACTTACATTACATGTTTATAAGTTGTTTTTCGTAACGGATAATGCTGCGCTGAATCGTACTGAAACTACATCAAGACTCGTCACATCGTTTCTTCTAAGTTGGTGTTCTCAACAATGGATAATGCTGCTTGTTGTTAAGCAACGATTTTTTGCGCTGTGTAAAACTGACAGTATAGAGCTTCGCAGTGACGCTTGGGCTTCCCTTCACGAGTATCCTAGGTTCATACGATGAAAACTCGAGTCTCTAAGAATCGAGTTCGCGCTGGCCACAGCATTGGAGATCCCCCCTAGCGAACAGTATGGAATTTGGATCCTGGAGACGCTCCCCTGGTTCGACGCGGTGCTTCTTCCGCAGTTCGGGACTTATGATATTAATCGAAGTTCCAATGTTGTTAGCAACATCAATCGTACCACAAGCCTCTTTTGAATAAGTATCCTGGCCTGGGCTTAAGGACAAACGTCCTGGTACCGACTTTGGACCGCTCTCGGTATAGAGATGAGGGAAGGCGCCAGGCCGCAGTGTCCGATGTAGAGTTAATTTGTTAATTTTTTGAAATGATAAGCTTTGGCTGTCAAGTAGTGACTCGGGCTTTCTAAAATCCGTCCGTTGCGCTCTCCAGACGACGCCGCTGGGTGATCAAGAGTGTGTGGCAGCGGGTCGTTCTAAAGATGGGTGCTTTCGAGACGTTGCAATTGATAGCGAAACGACACGATGTGGCGGCATAACCAGGCTCAGCGTCGTCAGCTGAGGTAATACTTTCTGTGATGTTTGTGCTCTGCTCCATCCGAACGGGGCAGCAAAACCGAAGCAGGCGCTGTGGAAAGCGTCGAACCAAGTGAGCAAGGCGCGCAACGGGGTGCGGAAGCCGCATCGTAGAGAATCCCTGCGGTGGCGTCTCGGTTTTGATCTTCGTGAGGACATGAGTCGCTTAGAAGAGTGGAGAAGAGCATTTCGCATCAACGAGCCCCCCTGGAAAATATCCCTCCCGAAAAAGGATTAGTTTCCAGTGACGGACGCCGTCGTGGGGTCTTGACGCGACGGTCTTTTTGCAAATTCCGGGCGACCGACAACCGCACTTTAGAAACACCGGAGATACATCGGATCATTTCTGTTGGCATCTGTCCGATGCCAGGGAGTATTACGTCATGCAGCCATACATGATTAAACATAAGGGCGTGGGTGGCTGACAGACTGCTTGCAGAAACACAATTCTAACTTTGTTTGAATTAGAATCCATTTAAGTGCGAAACCTAAAAAAAGGGCCAGTAGAATACTCCGCGTTGAAAGATCCAGAGGTTAGACTTGGAGGGAGAATTCACATATCTTCATACTGGCTCATCGATCTAAATTTGCGACATGTCTCACATTCTAGCAGATGCATGAAGATCGCAACAGGTGATTTAGAACAGCTGACAGCGAAAGTGTTTCCAGCAACAGAGGGTTCCACTTTATTCACGACGGAGAGAGAGAGGGCGAGATCAATGTTGGCAGTTTCTACAGCAAGGATCTCACACTGAGTACACCTCTGTTGTTCGAGAAGCACGTGCTGAAAAGGTCCCTTGGCTCAGGTTATCCGCAGAATTTAAATTTGTGTAATGCGGATCATGGAAAAAACTGGTTTTGACAGATCTAAATTGACCCACCCACGATAATCCCTAGCTTTTAATGGAATCGCCTACCATGTACGGAGGATTTTGATTACGCAGGGTTCAGGCTTTGTGAAAGCATTTCGAAGCTAAAAGTTATAAGATCCGCAAATCCTTCCTGAATTCTATTGGAGATCTCCCAGAACGTTCTGTGTCGATCCAAAGAGCACTTCCGTGTAGCTAAGCTGATCCCTTAAGAACCTTTTTTTTCCGCACATGGCGTAACTAACATCCCGTAACTATCTAGACCTAAAAGCGACGCTTTGGATAGATGTATCACTGTAACTGTTTTATAAGCGAGGATTTGTAAGGTACTGTTCAATTACAGACACAGCAACTGGAACTGTGTTTATAACGCTGGCCGGTTTATGTCACTACTTCTGTTGCTGTCTACGTCAAAAATTGCAACATTTCTATTATAATAAGACTCACTTCTTTCGTACTAAAAACAGGGAAACGAGAAAGGCCAAAGGTCTAATTTAAGTTGTAGAGTCTTAGAGGTCTGCAAAGATGGCTGAGCAACACGAAAAGGCCTTCCAGAAGCAGGATGCCATCTTCATTGGCTCCAAGCGCACCGTCGCTGGCAAGAAGTCCGGCAAGTTGGTAAGACACTGATAGATCTTATTTTCGATGTGGTTTCCGTCTCTCATCAAGTGGAATAGAAGTTCGCAAGCTACTTAGAACTTCAATATTTAGTTGCTAGACACAACCGTGATGACTAAATTCTATGGTCTTCAAAGTTTTCTGACTGCTACTCAGAATGGAGACAAAAAGAATCTGCACCAGAACTGACTTCAGAAACTTCGAGTTTAGATTTCTGGGGACCTTGTGGTTGAAACCCTTATTTTTTGTTCCGATGGATGTGCGCTCGTGTGATGACGAAATTCTATGGTCTTCAAAGTTTTCTGACTGCTACTCAGAATGGAGACAAAAAGAATCTGCACCAGAACTGACTGCGCGTTTCCATATGTATAGACTTTAGAGCTCGTACTGATCTATTCCTGTACAGACAATCCTACCAGATCTAAAACCACACGGCATTAAGGCCGGCCAAAGGTATTTTCTTTTAACAACGTGGCAGCACTCCTTTTTTCAATTTTTGTTATCCCGAATACAGGTTCGCTACTGGAAGAACGTCGGTCTGTCATTCCAGACCCCGCGTGAGGCCAAGGAGGGCCGATACGTGGACAAGAAGTGCCCGTTTACCGGAAACGTTTCTATCCGCGGAAAGGTCTTGAAGGGAATGTGCATCTCTGCCGGAAAGATGAAGAACACCATCGTTATGCGCCGAACTTATTTGCATTACATCAAAAAGTTCAACCGATTCGAAAAGCGCCACACCAACATTCCGGTTCATGCTTCCCCGTGCTTCGATATCAAGGAAGGTGATATCATCACTGCCGGACAATGCCGCCCGCTCTCCAAGACGGTACTATCCGATTTCCTTTTTGACTGTGTTTTTCGAACAATCTTCATGTTGCTTTCGATGAATCTAGAAACGACCATACTGATCGTCCTCCTTTGAACCCTTCTTTGGAAAAACACGATACCGTTTGACTCTTAAGAACATTATCGAAAGACGTGACTTGCGTCCTCTTTCTTCACCTTGACCTCCTTCACCGCAATCTTTCGAAAAAAAAACTCAGGTCCGATTCAACGTGTGCAAGGTCGAAGCGAACCAGATCTTTGGTTCCGCTCGAAAGCAGTTTCGTCTTTTCTAAGTTGGCTAAGACGCACTTTCTAAGGAAGCCTTTGATCGAAATCCGAGGTAAAAGCGATTATTTCCCGGGGGACTGTGATGATCGTGTCCGACGGTCCAGCTGTGTTTTATGTTTGTCGGATTGAATAACTATTCACCCCCCTGGTGACATGGGGAAGAACCCTACACACGGATGATTCAGCCTGGTATTCGCGCTTTACTGTCAGATCTCGTAGACAATGGACCTCCTTTCTACAACTAAAGAATAAAGCCAACCGGCACTGCGAGCACTTACGTAAGGAGACTTCGCGGAAGAAATTCCAATGTGTTCAGCCTCTCGGCATACACCTCTCGCCGCACACAGCGGCACTTTCCTGTTCTGTCTTGTAGAAGAGTACTGGAACTCACGAGACGGTAGAGCGACGACCCTGAGGCACCGGACCATCTCGGTGGTGAGATCTGTAAAACATCTGTTTTGTTGTGGTAGACGCGTAAACTCTCTGTTCTTGTGCTTCTGTGCCGTGATGCGCATGTCAGATGCTGCAGGAGCGCGAATTACTGCGCTATGAATGTGAGAGAGACATATCCCCTCGTAATTACATCCGTGTCACCGTAATTGAGGAATCTGAAAGTTGCTTCAATTCAGGTAATAGTATAGTCCCGCTCGTCGCTTACGCCATACTGTAACCTGAATATTATTCGGGGAATCTCGTGCCCATCAGAAATTGGATTCCTTGATTACTCACAGTTGCGCGAAGCATGATGACCGAAATTCAATCTATACTCAAGTTACTGAAACTAGAGTGTGGAAGAAATCGAATTTGCACGTCAGTCTGAGCTTGGCCACTGTCCGATTACGAAAAAGTTGTGAACTGAGTGTCATCAAGAATTGAGGAAATTAACGTGCTTATCATCACTAGATGCAGCGACTTCTGTGGAGTGAAAGACCCACGACATGTAGTGGTTGCAAAATGTGACGTTGGTGTGACAAAAGAAGTGCCTGTAGTAACTGCTGTATTTGTATGGAAGTGATAAAGGGTAATGCGTGTAAGAGGGCTGGAATAGTTGTAGCCGAAATGGTCGGCTTCGGTATGGGAGGGGCGGGGGAGAAAAATGGTTATATCACGTTCGTTACAGGCGTAGATAGCCTGCCTTCAGTTTACTACAATCTCTATGATTTACACGACTTCCTCAACTGAGCAAGCTGCTTTTCCGATGTAGCTCTATGCAATTCTATGTTTTGTAGGTTGGAGCAGTAGAGTCACCTCCCTGGAGAAAAATGGAGGACTTGGATGAGCGGCGGCTCTTCCCCCACCTGGCGGGGATGGAAAAAAGGGGCGCGTACCTTACCGAAAGTCAGGCCCTGTCCCCAAAGAAACTGCTTCGTCGAGTGAAGCAACACCAAAACTTGTACCACGCATACTTACGCGAGATTCAAGGGGTCCTTCACTCGCGGAGAAAAGAGGTCCACCATTTCGTGCTCACGCTCGAATTCATCCGATTTCTTGTGCAAACGGTTGCGAAAAAAGTGATCGATCGCGTCGTGCACAGTGTCCTCATTTATGTTGGATACAAACACAAACCATCATCATGATCACCGACGCTGTTTCTCAAATTTGTAGAACACTTCTACCTCTCTACTACAAGCCCGTCCTTACCTAACAGGTAAACCTCTCCGCACTCTGGAGAAGGGCTACATACTCAGTATCGGGGCAACTTGTTCAGGTTTGAAATACGAATCACTGGATGAGTAATTTTCACTTTCTGACTGGGATCCTAGTGCGTGTAGAGCGGTACTGGTAGTCTGCGTTGCGAAGTATTGGATTGTACGCAGTTCTTGGTTTGCGACTTGCTTACTCTAATGAGTGTTCGATTTGCTCGAGGCCTCGCAGAATTTCGCCCGACTTACGGGGAACCGGCTCGGTGTTTTATATAAGCGGTGGAATAGCAGTGGTGTGAGCACTGGACAGGCGACGCCCAGTGAAAGCCGTGCGTATGGCGAAGAGGGTAATCGTCTGTACCTTAAACTAGAAGGCATCTTGTGAGTTCGGGGCAAATGTGAGCAACCGGTACAACTCCAAGATAGTGCACCAGACGGGGTTTTGGGTGAGTGGTCATCCCTTCATGCGTGGCCGCCTGATGACACTTCTAACCTTTTGTGGTGCGACAGCTCGGCAGAGAGCTATACATGGTTACTCTGTTTGCAAAATATCTTGAAGACCGAGCAGACTACCGCTTGAGGGAACTTGGTTCAGAGGAAGCTGATGAGGATATCGGAGAGGAATTCGAAGGTGATCAAGCCGGCAAGAAAAAAACGAAGCTCATTTATGGATCGCATCGGTAATTATCTATAGTTTGAGTAGCTATTCGCACTTCCCACACGTTTTCATTCTGAGTCACCGTATCGACAGTTTTTTGAGGACACTGGAGCGTTTCTGGCTGGTGCATTTTCAGCATTCCGGGAAGAGGTTATTGTGCACGCGCGGAGCTTCTTTTAAGGCAATCCTTAATGTATCCGCGGGTGCTGCGAACAGCACTACCAGCGGCACACACATGACATGCGTAAATAGAAATGCCCTTTTCCGCCATAAGGCCATTAGTAATGTACGGGACACCATGATGATGAACAGACGAGCAATTTTTTGTCGGGATTTCTTGCGCGGATTTTCGATTCGCGGATCTAATGTTGTATTGATGAGCGTCTTCGATTCTCGGATGAGTCTATGGACAGTCTGGAGGATAACGTAAATATGTGCATGGAAATGCTGTTTGCGTTCGAGAAGACGATGATTTATATGACAGTGCGTCAGCCAATCTATCGCACTCACACTGCAGTTTTGGAAAGTCTCGTCCAGGACTTTTTCATCACTTATGAGTTTCGGGTTCTTGGGAGGTTCGTATTTGGTCCATCTTTCTCAACTTTTGCCTTGTTTAGAAGAATATAAAACGCTACAAGGTGCCGAGGAGAAAAAAGACCGGAGTGGATTCTAGGACTCTCTAACGACCAAGGAAGAACGATGGATACGATATGCGCCATTTCTCCCATCTCCGTCCCTATTGTTATGACCTTTGATCCGCGACCTTCCTGTGTAGCAGAACGCCTAGTAGAATTTGGTATGAAGAAGAGAATGCGCTAATATTCTGTACTATCGTGCACCACTGTAAGGAAAATGTGAACTCCTACCTTGCGAGCAAGCAGATCCATGTAAAGTACCATTTTTAAGTCCTCATACTTTATCATTCAGATGTTGATGATTAAAGAAAGGCTGTAGGTGCAGCTTCAAATGATGATTCCTTGTGTTATGTCTGGACCTCTGAGGCTAACTCAGTGAGGACAAACCACAACAAAGTAGATAGGGAAATCTGATGCAGCTATGCTTTTCACCTCGGTCGTCAGGGATCTTTCACTTTTTTACTATTCGTGGGTAGAAAAATGATCAGGAACTCTGCGCATACTCTCACAGCTAGCACAGTTAGCAGGGTTCAAATGATGATTCCATGTGTTATGTCTGGACCTCTGAGTACAACTCAGTGAGGACAAACCACAACAAAGTAGATAGGGAAATCTGATCTCGTCATGCTCCTTTTTGTGTCTAGGGACATCCACAACAACTTTTTTAGAGGCAGACAGAAAATAAGATCCATCTTCACATTTTTCATCTTATAACAGTGAAGGTTCCTCATCCCCTAAATTGTGTCTGCGATGTGTGCTGATCTTATCCACAGGCACCTGCTGGATAACGCCGACAATCACAATGCATCGGACCCGCGGGCCCGTATGGAGATCAATATTCGCGAGCTGATATCCGATTTCAATTATGGAGCGACGCTGTAATTTGATCCCCTCTGCTTGTGGTAGTTGAATGTTTGTCGTGAGCTGATATCCGATTGATTCCAATCTTGGAACATGATATAGATGATGATATTTCATGTCCTTCTTGACTTTTCGTAGGCGGATTTTCGTCGTGAGTGACTGATTCTAGCATCAGCCTGAAGCTCTGTGTAATATGGCTTCCTAGATAGTGGAGTAAGGACTACATGACCTTGCCGACAATCATCTTTTGCTATTGAATAGTAAAGCTCCACGCTGGCCTGGGTTGATAAGGTTATCAATTACGACTCTAACCCAATACTCCTAATCCATGTTGTCAGTTTCGTTAGCGATCTGTGATTTGGATAATCGACTACACTCTAATGCAGAGAAAATATCGCGAGGCTGACGTTGTTGGTTGCGCGTGCAATCACAGACCCGTTGATGCAGAGTCGGGTATTTGGCATTTTCTTCTATCTCTCACTGAAGCTGCATGACATCGGACTCGACTTTTCGAGATTCGGACTAGAGTTTTCCCCCATTTCTATAGATGTGTCAAGGGTGGAGGCTCCCGCCCCCACTCCTGTGGATGGAGCGGCGGTGGCGTCCGCGCGCCCTTTTTTCCGCGGTGGTGACATGTGAGGACCTTCGGGGGCCAAGGCCTCAAAAGGCGGAGCCGGAGGCTTCTGGCGGCTCTCCGCGTGTGCCCGACAGGCGTCCCGGCTCTTGGACCTTATCAGGGGGACGACCTCCGGGGGAAGAAGGCCACAGCCGCGGGGCCTGGCCCCTTTGGCCCTCGTCCGCCACCACCAAACGCCTGGGGGGTTGAGGACCAAAGGCGGGGAGGAGTGGGGGCAAGGCGTGCCCGGGGTTCTGTTTGATACATGCAGCACGGCGAAAGGGGTCAAGCCTTGCCCCCTGCTTCCCTCGATGGCCTTTCACCTCCCAAGAAACTTCCCCAGTGAGGAACCCGCACCCTGGAGGCCTGTAGGGAACGCGCGACAGGCCGCAATAAGCCAAAGGGGGCCAAGCCTTTCCACCTTTGCCACTTTCGGAAGCCTTGCACCCCCGGCCTTCGGTGCTTCGGCGGCCACAGGGATGGGGGCGCTGTAGGGTCCAGGCAAGACGCGGGAAGGGGTCGGCGGACGTCCCTCAGGAAAAAGGGCCAGGGGCGGGAAGCTCCCCCTCAAAAAGTTAGACCGGGGGGAGGCCTTGGCCCCTGGCCCTTGGAGTATGTATACTAACGAAACTAGTTCAATAGCTCAATCTTTGAACTTCGTGCAATGTGATAGAAAAACTTCAAGGAGCCCTGACGCCCTTACAAAAAAGATACCTATAGAGATCGAAGGACTTCTTTAGAGATAGTTGAGATGAAGTAGAGTTATTAGGAGGCACTAAGAGATCGTAGAGGTAAAAAAGGGGTTGCGTCCTCTCGTTTCCTCTTAGATGACTTGAGTATCTGCCTTCCCTCTCCCCTCTTGTTGAACTTAGCCCCCAGATTGGGCACACTACCTTATACCCCGCGATTGGGTACGCTACTGCTACTACTGACGCGGCCACTACTACCACTACTATCCATAAGGCACTCTTAAGGATCCACATCTATACGACTTGAGTATCTGCGCATGATGACGCACTTAATCGGACTAGAGTTTGTGCGACCCGTGTCCGGTGATGTAGTTTTCTTGTGTCTGAGCAAATTACTGACAAGAGTCTGCCCCATCTTGCCAAATAAGAGCACACACGGAGCCGCCCGAAGTTCTTTCGACGCACCTCCCGAAGTTCTTTCTTTTTTTCCGCTTGATGCAGTTACGCTAAAGCGACTGCGTTGTTGAGACAAGTGAGAGTCCGCTTGCGATGGTCTTTGCGGCGTTTCTTTGTCGCTTGCTTGACTCGTTTGAAGTGATGAGTCTTGCTCCCCTATCTCTGGCGGTTAGTGGTTGTTGGCGTGCTTGGCTCGTCTCGTCTGGTAGCAACGTGTACAGGCGCCGCGTGATGATGTGTCTGGAACGAAGAAAGAGCGAAGATCCAGAGGCCTCCTCGGTATACGCAGCGTGTCGCTATGTCTTTGATGTTTTTGATATGGATGGTCTATGCGCGACTGGATCCAAAAAGTGCCTGGGGCTGGGGGTACATGCGCAAGCGGCGGGTATAGCCGGCCAAGGAGTAGGGGCAAGATGTCGGCTCCTCGTGCCCCTTCGTCGTTTTCGCGCGGAAAGCTATCAGGAATTGGCTTGGATGTTAGTGGATGCAGTGGGCGGGCGTCTACGTGAGTTCTGCTCGAGTAGCAGTAGCTCCTTCCGCTTTTGCTTGCCTTAAGGCTTGTCAAGCGCTGCCAGTATCATACTTGGAAATACTGCCAGGCCACGTCTCTACGGTCGTCATCTCATGGACGCCGGTGACAGGGACAACAGCATGCAAGAGATTTTGCTACTCGTGTCCGGTGGTGTAGTTTTTTTTGTGTCTGAGCAAGTTACTGACAAGAGATTTGCGACTCGTGTCTGGTGATGTAATTTTTTTTTGCGTCTGAGCCAGTTTATCCGTCGTTGAATCTGTTTCGTCTTGCCGGTAGCTTAGAAGGACGTGGTGACGATGATGATGATGGTGATGATGATGATGATGATGATGATGATGCAGGGCGTGCTGGTGAGCAACTCAGTGAATTTTTAAATGTGAAATTTATTCTAGGCTGTGGCTGGTAGATTCGAAAAAGATCTAGTTAGACTTTGGAGCACCTGGCGGGTCTTTGACGACACCTGTCGGCAGTGGGGGGAAAGTAAAAAAGAAAAGGTCGAACTAGTGGTGACGTGCGAAAGGAGATCTCTTCTCCCAGGAACTTTTTACACCCGAGATGCAGTCAGAAAACCTATTTTCTCACTTCCAACACTTGGCTCTAGGCACTCATGGCATATGCGAAGCGAGCAGGTCCGGGGGAGCCAGGGGGTCCGGACGGCGTCCCGCTTTATGGACCCATAAAGAAAATAACCACAGGCCACCCATCATCCCCGGAGTCGAGTAGGTGCCGGGGGAGCTCAATGCGCAGGATCTATAACCTAACCTCGCCCAATTTTTCCTCGTCTTCGACTACTCTCTCCAACTGATACATCAAATTACATCCGGTGTCATAACCGCTAAGTCCCTGGACCCTTCTGGAAGTATCATCGTTACATGCCTCTTTACAATAATGCTTTCGCTATCATCGTTAGAGGGCTCTTTACAGTAAGGCTTTCTCTATCATCGTTAGAGGCCCCTTTACAATAATGCTTTCTCTATCAACATCGTTAGAGGCCCCTTTACAATATATAACGCTCTCTCTAGTGTAGGGAGAATCGGAGGAGTCCTTTTCACACCCATCGGTAGGAACTGGCTAGCGAAGGATGGGGCAGGATTTTTTGATGGTGCAGTGATAGTGTAGGAGTCGGAAGGTACTTGCATGTCGATCGGCCACAGCATCTATGAGATATCGCTTCTTAGGTGTCTCAGTTCAGTTACATCAGGGGCAAGGCATTATAGCGGGAACGGAGCCAGGCATCAAGGTCGATCCACAGAACAGAACGCCTCTAATCCGAGTACGCCTACCACGCTTGCGAGTTGTTGTTGATCCAAATCGACATTGGTACAACTCTGGTTCTGGATTTCATGCTGCAGGCCTTCGTCACGTTGGTCCGTGCAGTTTGCCTGGGCCGCAATCCAAAGCACGTTTTCTTATGTGTCAGTGAGAAAGAGAATGTGTCAGTGAGTAAGAGAGTGTGTCAGTAAGAAAGAGAATGATCTAGAACTTGTTGCATACGATATTGCTTCTTTTCACGCAGGTGTCGAGTAAAAAAGACTGCAACGCGGAGAAACCCCATGACAGCAGAGCATTGCCATTGATTTGACTAATATCCTTCCCACTTTACTACTCAGTTGCAGCTTTCTTCTTGAGCTAAGTCGACTGCTGAATTTCGATGTCTGCGAGTTTATGCCGGAAGCCTTTGCGCTCGTGAAGGTGCGGAAGATGAGAACTGAAGCCTTGGGTCTTAAAGTGCTGCGTCGTCTCGTAGTGCAGGAGGCGCGGCGCAATGGCCTCGGTCCGCACAACGACGGTCGTCAAACGCTGCTGGCCACTGGTCCCGGCATTATCGCGGGCGCAGTCAAGTGGGCAATGTCTTTGAAGAATCAAGCTGTTGTAGCCGCAGTTACGAAGACGCAGCCGGCCGTGCAAATTGCAAAAAAGCACATAGAGGTGGACAAGGCAACAGGTCAAATGACTTACGATTTTTCTGCACTTATAGATGGCACAGCAAAGGCGGGAGCGGCGGAGGCTGGCGGAGCAACAACTGCGCAACAGCAAACCTACGCGGCCTTTGAAATCACTTTCGGACGTTTAGCCCCTGAGATCATACTGAATCCGCGAGTGCGGTTATTTCCACCAGACGTCGCTCTCACAGATGCTTACTGGGAAAACCAAAACTTGTTTGTTATTTCGGCAAGAGATCGGCGGAAGATGCTAGAGGAAAAGCTGTTTTTGGAAGAGTACATGTGGCAGCACTTCTTGCAGGACCAGTTTGAGGACAAGATTTTTCGAATTTTTGCAGATTATTTTTACAAGAAACTACACGAGTTTCAGATTTTCTGCCACGAGGATCCGAAGAAGGCCCAGCTAGAGCCTTCTGGATTTTTGTGCGATGTCGATATGGATGAAGCTTTTTTCCATCTTTAGAAGACCACCTTGCTCGCTCGCCGCTTCAGGAACGGTTTCATCTTTTTGCCGATACTTAGTTGAGTAAAACTACTGTTTCAAAAGTAGATGCACCACTAATGATGCTTTTCTCTTCTTCAAAACCACGTGCGAAGCAAAGGGGGACAAGCGTAGATGGTCTGGAAGATGTAAAAAACCACACCTTTCATAAGGGATAACCGAATTTTTTACCGAGGTATGCATTGGAGCGGCACAAAAAACCCTGACCTGAAGATGGAGGGCATTAAGTGGAAAGACCCCAAGCATCCAGGTGTTTTTGATGACGCGGAGCTCGAGGAGGACGATGAACTGGATATCGACTTCACTAGAACCTCTGACAGTGATGATTGGTCTTCTTCATCGGACGGCGGTGGGAGTGACAAGGGGAATTAAGGCTCAATACAATTCATTTTGCCAGGTCACATCTTCGTGCTTCCTCCTTAGGATTCTGAAGAAATGAAAGCGAAAATTAGAATTTTATGAGCTCTAAGAGAAGAAAGACAAAAAAAAGAAGCCCAAAGACGACAGCTCGTCCGGGTCATCTTCATCAAACTCAGAGGAAACAAGCGACAAGAGGACGAGCAGCAGCGGTGGAGGTGACTCTGGCACGGCAACTGATTCCAAGGATGATGCCATCGATGGCGGCGACGACGAGAGTGCAAGTGATGGGGCAGAATTAAGGCTTATCCTTATCCATCTTCTGCGGCATCCTGAAGAAGCTTTTAAGGGGAAAACGGACCGAGGATGCGCCTCAAGATGGATAGGGGTGACCTCTAACAGAAGCAGCTAACGGCGCTGAGTCAGAGGAACTCTCAACGTCTGACGTCAGTGAAGCGCGAAGTGGTGTGGAGGAAACTAATAGTACTAGCAGCTCAAGCGCCGCTGCAGCCGCGCAAAGTACTCCTACTACTTCTCCTCCTGAAGACAATACCACTGAAGATACCAGTGATACCGAAGAAGAGGAGGTCGAGGAGACAGAAGAAACCACGACGATACAGCAATCAGAGTCCGACTCATCCTCATCGGAAACGGAATCGTCGGGGAAGGAAAAAAATATGGGTCCCCAGCACATCACGATAGAGATCGATGATGAGGAGGAGGAGGAGGAGGAAGAAGAGAGCAGCAGTAGCAGCAGCAGTAGTAGCAGCGACGACGCCCCGATGATGTTCTATCCGGAAAAAAAGATGCGCTCTGCGACTCGACGCGGAAGCATTTCCCAAACCCGACAGATGCAGCCTCCCAAACTTCGTTCAGAAACACAAAGGACCAAACCAAATACCAGCTCTAGGACTAGTGAAGAAGAAAATCTCGGAGATGATCGAAAAAGTCAACCCGAGTCTCGATGGAGTTTTTTTACCGAGGATGCTGAAGAAAGTGGGGGTGCAGCTCCTACTGCCGCGGTGGAAACGACAGTGAGGAAAGCCAAGAAATCTGATAAGCGCGTACGATTTCATCTGGATCCTGAAACGGAGGAAAAGCGCAACCAGCGGGAGACGCTGAATCTAGGAGGAAGTGGAAAGCGTAAATTGCTGAGGCGGAGGAGACTGGGAGAAAGTGACGTCTCCAGGAAAGAGGACACCAAGAAGAAGAAGATACAAGTAAAGAAAGATAAAGAAGATATTTCTCAAGAAGATGACGACGCGACTCCAAAAAGAAAAGGGGAGAAGGACAAACGGTTGGCAGCGTCGATGCGAGCCTACGCGGAAGACCTACGAAAGGTAAGTAGCGACAAGACACGGGATCCTCTCGCCGGGCTGATGGCTGGAACGACGGCGGCAATGCTCACGGCATTGAGCGGGGACTTGGCTCCATTGTCTCAGGAGCGAGAAAAAGGAAAGAGAAGGAGCGAGAAAGGGGACGAGGCGACCAAAGTAGGAGGAACAGCAGCAGATGCGGCCAAAGACGCGAAGCGGAGGCGCAGCGAACCAAAGAAAAGGCCTGCGACGTCTGCGCAAGCGATGCCGACTGAGGCTTCGACGAACCCGTTGACCTCCACTGGCGGCAGGGGCTTCTCTGCATTAGTTGAGCCCTCGTTCTCAGTAGATGTAGAGTTGCCGCAAGACGGCCGAGTGAAGGCCCAGTTGTGGAAAGTATCAGCGGAGAACCTCGTAGTCCCGCCGATGCTGTTCTATCCCGAGGAGGAACCCGCTGCGGGAAAAGTAGAGGCCGTGAGAAAAACGGGAACAAAAAGGCGGACAAAAGTAGTAAAAGAGGGAGGTCAACAACAAGATCTAGAAGATCATGTGGTGGAGTATCAAAATCATAGGAAAAAAAAGCCGACTACTTTATCATCTGCGTTTTCTTCATCCACTCCTAGAAGAAGCGGCGCTGCTACCAGCTCCACGAATGACGAGTTTTTTCAGTGGATGAGGACAGCGTCGAATTCTACAACAATATCTTCAGGGGCGGCTTCGATTCTCAAGAAAAAAGGCGAGAAAAGGAAAATAACGCAGGCTTCGTCGAAGCGTCCTGTTGCTCCATCTTTTGGCAGTCTGAGAGATAATAAAACGAAAGCCAATTCCTCTAGTGCTCTCAAGAGAGGGCTAGCAGGTAAGCCGCGGAACAAGAAAGAGAAGGCGATGAAGTCACCTAGTACAACTTCTGCGATGAAGAAGGCAAAGTCGGACCCACCAGGTGCACAAATTGGAACCCACCAAGTAAGCGGTGCGCCGTTCATTTTTTTCGATGAGGAAAAAGACTTCTTGATAGCGGTCATGAGCGATCTTTATCCGGAGCATGAGGCAGAAAATCGCGCACGCTTTCAGGCAGCGACAGAGGCAGCACGTATTGCGATTATGGCGCGGACAGACCGCACAGTGGCAGAGTTTTGGGCGGGTCAGGAGCCGTCGTGGGATACCAGTGATTCTGGCGAGCTTTTGTTAAGGTGGTTTGCAACTATTGAACTATCAATCTGAGGGGAGCATATCTATATAATGACCGTTTCAAGGCTGGTTGACCTTTTCATGGCACAATATCACCTCTTCATAGTGTAAGTGCACTAGACTACGAACACCGTCCAAGTACTTGATAGCCTCAACGGCGTGATTGATGAGCCTAGTCGTCCGCGACGATAACAAACATGAAGGCACAAGCGTGGGCGATGGTGGTCGTTTCCTCCTTGTAGTCAGTTCCTTCAGTCATCAGAATCCTGGGGGTCTTCTTGTTGGATCTCTATGGCTTGAGCCTGATCATCTGGATCCTCATCCTGATCTTGATCTTGAGCCTTGGCGTGACGATCTTAGTGCTTACCTTGCTGTTGATCTTCATCCTGGTGCTCAGATCCCTAACGCATAAGATGGCCTTTTGAACTACATGGGACATGACAAGACTATGAAGGTGGCGCTTCAAAGGCGAAGGGGATAGAAATGCGAGCTAGGCAGGTCAACTTGCTGCCAACTTTTTCTAACTTTGGGCGGGGAGTATGGGCGTCGCTTTTACGATGGCGCGCAGGTCGGGGAGATGGGGGCCGCTGGCTTCGGGCAAAAAAAGTACATCACGATTCAGTTAGATGGCGTTATGCATGGATGATGTAGTTTTTTCTCCCCCATTTTTAGAGAGAGGTCATTCTAGCACTCATTTTTTCAAGGGTAAACTAGGCTGCCAGGATGGTCTGCCTCTAGAGGGGAGAAAAAACAACATCCATAGGCGTGGGGCTGAAAGAGCCGATTGGCCCCGACGGGAAAAAACGCCAGCAAGAGGAAGGTGGTGGCTTCGGTGCGTCCCATTTTTTTCGTAGCGAGCACGGCGCGGCCAGGCATGCGGCAGATATGCGGAAGGACTTTCTTCTGAAGCTACGCGAGGGTACGCACGAAAATGCGCATCGGGTATTTCACCCTGCGGAAAGTCGCCGAAGAAGTGACGAGGTGCGCAAAATTTTAGAAAAACTCGGTATCGTGGACAAACCCGACGCTATGAAGATGGCACCCCCGGAGCTAATTCAGGACAAAGTCGTCCGGAAAATAGTAGACCAGATCACGCAGTTACGATTGAAGAATCATAGATATTATAATTATATTGTACTTTCTACTATACCTCCTCAGTCTGCTTGTAGTACTCGCGGCTACAGAACTTACAGCAGAAATCATTGTGATTGAGGAAACATGAGACTCCTTTCTCGAGGAGAAAGCGGAGAACTGCAACTTTGCAAGCGGACTGCAGAATTATTGTCTGCAGACTCCCCGGACTTTAGAACAATAATTCCCTGACCTTATGACTGCAGACAATAACTCTCGGAATTGAGAGTCTCAGAACCTGGCATTGTCTTTCATCTCCTAATGTGTACTGCGTTCTACAAATATAGATCCTAGACTGGTCATGCTTGTAAAAATATTGATCCTAGACTGCGTTGTAAAAATATTGTACAGGGAGTGGTTAATCCATAACTTCGATGTGATATTGTCTCTTAGGTACCGATATCCGTAGATTTGTGGCCGATTGTACGGTCTTACGCGCCCCCAGTATGTAACTTGGATGACCATAGTTGAGCATGTTAATTAATTGATTGAAAGGGCGGTGGCCTATAGTCCTAACGCAAAAAAAAATCTTAGGTGGTCTTATCGAATCTGCGACAGGGACACACAAATGACATGGTCATGCTTTGTTCAACTTATAATTATAAGTACTTGCTTATTGGAAAAGTCATGCTTTGTTCCACTTATGATTATAAGTACTCGAAAATTGAAAATATGCGATTAGCTAACTGAAGTAACCGAGTACCTGAGAAGCTTACTCTCTTCAGTTACTCGCTTATCTCAGTTTTTCGAATACTTGCTTATTGGAAAAGATTGATGCTACAACTCTTATTTCATTCGTTCTAATTTGAGACTTGATGCCCGTACTGGGGTACGAGGATGCCGGGACACGCGCTAAAGTCCTTGGATATGAAGACAGAACGAGACTGCCGCGACTCGGGGATGTCCTTCATTTCCGAGATTTACTCGACTACGGCACGAGCATGAGTGAGGTAATCCTCTTCCTCTATCAAAGCTTTGGCGTTTTCGAGTTGGAAGCCGAGTCGGATGATTTTCGCGACATGCTGGACATGGAAGAGCTACTGTTGGCCCACGTACAGGTCGCTTTTGTTGGGGTCATGACCGGTTGCTTAGAGAAGATTCAAATGATGCCTGATCCGGACAGTCGCGCACGAAGTCTCAAAATCGCGTTCTACTACGTTGCATCGCTCGGCTTACGCGTGGTCGAGGACTTGCAGCATTCTAAGTCGGTGATGCTCACCGGTTGCATTTGCCGAAACCTCGTGAAGAGAATAATTAAGGCTGTACACCACAAAACTTTGATTAATTATCATTATGTGTTTGCCTATTATTTAGGGCTGGCTCCACCACAATTATGTGTTTGCCTATTTAGGGCTCCACCACAAAAATTGTTAAGGCTACCGCAGATGCATCCTCTTCCTCCGCTCAACACACCGTCGGTCCCTGTTGTCCTCATTTTCATGTAGGAAACAGATCATGCATCCTCCACTCAAGACACCGTCGGTGTCCTTGTTGTCCTCATGAACTTTACCGTCGGTGTCCTCGTTGTCCTCACGAACTTTTTCAACTATACTCGGAAATAAAGGGGTCAAGAAGTAAGTAGTAGGTGGATCATGCGACGAGAAAAGGTGTACCACTGCGGTACAACCTCTAAAATAAACAAAGGGCACAACGAGCAGACGCGCGACTTCCGGCATGAGCTCTTGCCGCCCAGTACGGAAGCAGTTTTTCGTTGGTTCCTTCTCATTAAGGGTTTCCGCATTTTTACATTCTGAGGGTTAAACTCAATCCTTTCTAGCTACCCTTCAGCGACCTCTGCTGCAATTGGTGCACATGCCAAATTGCATTCTTCATTTCTAACATTCCTGATGACTCTTTTCCCATTAAGAAAGAAGCCAGGAATGATCTGAAGACTGCAATCCATCGCGGAGCCTCTAATCTCACCTGGAGAACGCAAACGCCGATCGCCTGCGAGTATTCTGCGGTAGTGCAATTGCTCTGTCGGCAGATCATCCAGGCGACTGCGGAACTGAATCTGGGAGCGAGTCGGCGTGTGGACGCCTCACTGGCCACGGGAGACCGGCAGATAGTTAAGGCTAGAGATAAATACTTCATCTTTGATAAGTTGTAACACAAAAATGATGGTTCCCTTCCGGATGCTGCAGCGCCATGAGTACTAGTAGAGTAGTGATGAACTCCCAATCCATACATCTTTTAGAGATTCATCTCTGAGAAAGTATGACTGAGTATTCTCATCGTGATTTACGGTTGAAGGATGCACATCAAAGACGAATATCCGCCAGCCCTAAAATAGGAGGTCCGGCGGCGTCGCGAGCATTTACCTACAGCGTCGATGCGCTGGACCACACACACATTTTGGAGTATGCAGAACAGTACTTGAATTTGCTTGCGGAGTTCTTCGAGTGGAATATGAAGAAGAATAGCAAGCACTTCGACAAGAAGACCGCCGAGGAAATTGTGAACGCGCTCTTCCAGGTTTCGCACCAGGTCCTCATGATTTTTATGGAGGCGATGGTGGTTGTACGGAGGGAAAAGATCATGGGGGACCTTGCGGACATCCTGTACACCGCGGCAAAAGCGTCCTCTGTGGTTAAGGCTCAACTTTAATTGGTCACTGAGATCGAAGAGGGGCTCCTGTGAGAGAACAGGGGAAAATGGAAGGAAAACAAGCTGAGAGGTGTAAGTAGGGCCCTTCTCGTCCAGAATCAGTGACCAATGACTGTCGACCTTTAAAGTGGGTGGCGCAGTCTCGTGGATCAAGCGCGACATAGCGCACCTCTTTTCCGCAGACTTCTTCCCGCAAACTGCGAACAAATGCGTAACCCCAAGGGCGCGGAGGCATTTCTACGAGCTTGGAGGGATGGCGCCGTTCATCAACGAGGGTCGCGACTACGTGGATCACTCCACGCCATGGCGCGTTCTGGCTGAGGAGTTTGAATATTAAGACTACTTCCATATAAAAAATTAGAATTGTCTCCCATTTGTTAGGAAGATATTAAGTAGGATGAGGAATAAGGTGAAATTATGGAATAAAGTGTGATGGCTGGAATTTTGAGTTTCTCTGGGAAAGTCTCTGCGAACAGTGCTACACATGTAGACCTGGCGCAATCGATTTTCCCTTCCTTTACTGGAACCTCGAAGTAGAATCGAAGTTGGGGCAATCTCCACCTGCACCAATCGTCGACTTCGGGCAAGAGTGAAGCTCATCACCCATGGGTGTAGTCCTTAATGAGAAATTCTTGAATTAATATCAAGAAGCCATCACACTTAAGCCCTAACCACAAGACGAATGAACGCGCTCTAGCTCGTAATGAATCTCGACTACCACTGACGCGCAAAGCAACGAGAGTGTTCCCGGTAGCAACTGAGGCCTCAGCTGACGAAAAGAATGCCAAGAGAGGCATACGAAAACAAGACAAAATGGTCACCTTACCTTTGCCATTGAGTGCATAAATCTCAAGTGACAAACTACTTTCAAAAAGTGAATCTAACAAGGACCAGCTACCATGCAAGTACTAACACACACATGAAAAACCAACAATTAATGTCAGCAACGCGACGGTTAGCACCAGAGACACGAACGAACTAAAAGTCAGAGCAGCTCAGTAGCTAAAAATCACAATGCTGGCGTCCCTGAAGAGATCGCTTAGGCGAGTGAAGGACACAGTCCAATATGAACATGCGATCGCAGTGCCGATCGTCCTCAGTGCACTACTGGCGCGGGCATTAGGCGAAAACCCTACCACGGCCGCCATAACAGCCTTCATAGCGATTGTAGCCATGGAGATTCATCAGCTATGCTACTGGCTGCGTCGCCTGGCACGAGCAGCAGAATGCTATGGCGAAGCAGAAGAAGCCGTAATGGCACTAACCTACGCAGGACCACCGAGCCTGGAAGGGCCCTACTCCGAAGCACTCTCAACAGGCAACATCACTCCACACTAATGACTTACCAGACATCAACTAAACGATAAAGAGTCCTCCCATTAACTACTAACTAGTTGTGCTGAAAATGATTTACAAACAACGAGTACATCCCACCTTGCAACAATGACTTCCGAATCCTCTTCAATCATACCAAACTAAACAAATCGCCAGGTCTTTACGTCGCCCCGAGATTTGCCAAGCTGAAAGTTGAGATGGAAGAAGCAGATCAAAGAAGAAGAAGCACAACAGAAGGAGGAGCAAAGGAGAAAGCGCAATAAGCTATCAACTGGCAACTGTGTCCCCGGCTTAAAGTACCTAACGGTGAGATGACGCATTGAAGAGATGCATTGTAGAAGTGAAGCAGCAAGTCACAAGGGATAATGCAACTGGTGTGTAAAACAACTCTCATGAAGAACTGAGGCAAACTCTCCTCCAGCTAAAACTCACCGTTACTTGCACGAGTGCTGCACTCATACATGCATGATCTCGAACGCGCATCACAATCCCACCTACACTCGTTGACAACTAGTTCTTCTTGTCTTAACGACTTCAACGCGATGGCACTAACCACATGCATACATGCCACGAAGCATTGACATCCGGTGAAAGATAGTGTTGAGCCATAGCTCCAATCGGTCTATTAAAAGGGAGTGACACAAGCGAGACGCACAAGGTCTGTTTCAACACTCGGTTCCTCGGTAAGCACCAGTATATCCTTCTTTTTTTCGGGAGCATCACCTCCAACGCACTTGCCAACACCTTTTTTTCGAAGACTCGGTTGAAGCAGATCGGTATCCATAAAACACCGTACACATAAAACACGTCAACAACGTATGTCCCCTATACACATGTATGCCAGTAGTATCTCTCAATACCGTTTCTAGGCAAAAAACGAAGATGCATTTATCTACATCTTTATACAATCCGCTACTACAAGCCCGCAGTAATGGTTAAACATCCTATCCCATCCATGTATAAAACGAGCGAATCCTCTTTCAATCAAAAAGTAGACGCTCCTTGCCTTGAAAGCAAAAAATGCCCTCGTCCCAGAAATCTCAAGCATTTCCGAAACGAAGAGCGCATTCCGGTATACAATATCAACAAATAAAGACTAATTTCCCTTCTGAACAACGGATAATCCCACTCCTGATCTAACATTTACATCCATGATAGCTAGTATCATGCCTCATCTTCGACAATAAGTAGAACTCTGTATCCGTTATCAACATAACTACAGTACAGCATAACAACACCCTCTGACAAAAATCACAGTGCCGGCACCACTCCGCGATCGATTTTCGTATGCAGAAGCTATAGCCAAGACCGCCAACACATGCCTGGAACCACAACAAAGTATCTTCAGGTTAATTTGTTCTGTCCTGTCGGTAGATAAACGAACCATCCAGCATCACTTAAAGATAAAATACCATCCCATCCATATCATCCTCTCTCCGCATTCATAATCACGCTGATCGAGTTTCTTGGCTGTTTTAACCACGTGCTAGGCCAGCTTGTCATTGTTCCAGATTCACTTGAACCTTCCCAAAAAGATGTAGAATTCAACTTGGCTTGTCAGGTAAATACCCTTTCAGCCTAAGGCAAGACCTTTTCCCCTCTCTACCATCTCCCTCAGTAACCATGATGCATATCCAAAACACAGGTACAACAGCACCGCAACGCGAGACGACTGAAGACCAGCCAGAAACAACGCCTTCCTCAACCTCCAGGCTACCCTCAACACCACCTTCCATCCGTCAACTCTTTCTGCCGCTCAGCCCCCAGCCTTCATCCACAGCAGCCTTGAAAACCGATAGAGAAGCAGAAGAACGAACTCCGCTAGGCACCCCTGAAGGTCAGTGGTGTTGATGTAGAAACAAAAGCTCACGAAGAGGTCGACTGACTCAGAAAGAGAGATAGGAATAGAAATGACCCTTCAGGGGATGATTCGTCACATATACAGTACTACCATTCATTTTCCGTGCCACGCCTCTTACTCCATCACATAGCATTTCCTCCACTTCATAACAACATGTAGAGCCACAGCACCCCAATCATATCCATAACATCAGCACATCGTGGCATAGACTTAGACAAACTTGACGTAGAGAGGCGATGGACATGACAAACTCCAGTAACAGCAAGTAGCCACCATTTAGAACTTAACTGAAGCCCCCAATTACCTCACGCTAGAAATCATCAAACACCTCGAAGAACAAAATACAATCTTGATCAGTACGTTAGTGTAGGGGGGCCCTCAGTGCAAAAACATTAACATACAATACATACGCACAACGCTACGAACCTGAAAAAACTCCAGGTAGCTCCGTGCAGCAACACTCGGGTGCACCGACACCGTCCAACGGATCGTCGTCTTCAAAGAGTACATACAGCACTCCGGCAAATGTTCTTGCAAACGCCAAGCGCGTGAGAGAAGAAGCAGAAAAGGGAGCGAACGCACTACACTCCCCGGCCAACCACGACCAGCCGCCGAATAAGGTCAAAAAGACGAGCAAAAATCAAAAAGGTATCTGTCACTGGAATGGAGCATTAGCCTGGATGTCACCCGATCTTAGCTCACAAACTAAACATCACGAGAACCGCACCAACCCCACGTACAAAACTTACCATCCCATCCACATCACAGCCTCATCGCGATCACCGAACCCGGTGCAAGGCGAGCATCCCATTGAGGTGCTGCGTCTCCAACGAGTAGGTCTACCCAAGGAGCAGATCGAAACCGCACTTGCTGACCACGAGAAAGCCAACACCCTCATCGTCAACGAGATAAAATTTTCCTGAACCACATCAAGTTTGTGAAGCCCTCGCGGCAGACTTACAGCCGACCGGTCACGGCAACGGTGAGCGCCTACGCCTGTTAAAGGGCATCGACGCCCTCCTCAAGCAAAACAGCACCCTCCTCGCGCAAAACCAGTGCCTCAAAGGCGCACTGAGAAAAGAAAAAGACAGCGACCGCGTGTCTTTCGCACGAGGTGCTCCAGCGATAGGTACTCACCCTGCAGCTTATCCTTATCCACCTGTCGTGACGTACTATGAAAACTCTCTACCATAAACTCACTCACCTGCAATAGTGAATATGAGTACAACAGCCCCGCGACACAATACATAGTAGGATACCCTGAATTCCGACGTCACGTGCGGTAAAGGGTCCTACACCGAGACACACACCAAATAAATAACCTAACCACACACGCGAACCCACAGACTTGCGGCACTAAGCCATAAGGCCGCTATCTACAATGAACGACGACACGAAACGGGCCAGCCAATCCCAAGAGATGGACACTGATAACGGACCCAGGGGACACCCCCGGGGACAACCGACCAAAGAACCAAGACAATCAGAGTCGCCGCCTACACAAAACAACAAGGATAAAGGAGGCGGACAATCCTCATCAAGTAAACGCCCCAACCTTGCTCACGATGACAAAGAAGCAAAATCACGAAAGCCGACCCCCCACGACAAGCCGAGTCATCAACGACCCAAGTGCATGAAAGCCGTGCTCCCTTTGGAGTTCCTCGTCAATAGGAGCCACAGCGACGCAATCACAGCACTCCACGAATACGACCTAGTGTCAGACTTCCTCAACGAACATCCCCTAGTTACAGATGACAAATTTACCACAAACAACAAAACATTCGCACAATGGCTTGACCAGCTCTTCCAAGCCAGTGACGCTATTGCCCAAGAAAACAACCAACTCGCACTCGAAAAGTGCTTCCCCAAGCGTTCGGCCGTAGGAAAACCATCGCCAACGCTAAAGCTGATCATCAAAGAACCTCGCGACTTCGCCCTTCGTCTTGCCACGGCTGAACTATTACCAGATGACATCTTCGAAGAACGAGCTCCATGTGAGTCAAGTCTCTTAGACGACACGCCGAGAAAACCATTCACAAGCCTCGACGATATCCGAGATGCGTACAAACACGCCAACCTAAACACTGAAGACATCGAGGAATACATCGCAGAAGGATGGCACATCGAGCCGATCTTCTACCAGCTTGTCACTGCATACAGATGCTCAAGCAGCTGCCCTAAAGCAGCATGCGTCCTCTTCGACACAATGCCACCCATAGTGAAAAACATGATCCTAAAACTCAGACACGCACTCTACCACGCAAGATACCAGCACCGCCTGATTCCCGAGCCTATCTGGGACGCCATCATAGGAGGCGCAAAAATCATCTTCGAAAATACAAAAGAACGCGATAGAGGCATCCACCCAGACATCCTCCAATCACTGGAAGCAGTCCTCCAACTCCTCCACTGCTACCACCGCCCGGATAACACATACCACACAGGGGAATGGGCTGGGCACCTCCCTGCTACCACACTACGCCAAACCATCAGCAGCACTTTGGTACAACAGCAAAACTGGGCACTGACTCAAAGGAGAAAACAACACACGTGGACTCACCTCCAAAACGATAACAACACACGAGAAATCCCCGGAATCCCTGACCAATATCGCATCTCTAGCGACGAGTGGCCAGGTGAATCTATTGGACACGCCAACTACTTCACATCAACAACTATCGACTGCCAAAAGTGGATACCACTAAGCACAGCCGAAGACGACTCATCAATAGATAACTCCGATGACGACTTCGAGAACCCTGCGAAGCAGGTCCAGGACATGCTAGCGAGTGGCAAAATGACGCTCGACGAGTTCACAAGTAACGAGGAACAACAATCACGCAATACCCACACGACACGACCGAAATCTGTATCATTCGTATCCCCGACGAAGTCCTCCAAAAAAGCAGAACTGAAGCGCACCTCTGAAGCAAACAGACGCCGGGTTCGGTCTGTATTCGCACCCGAGACAAACGAGATGGATATCGATGAAGACTACCATGAGGACGAAGTCACCAACGAAGAATACGAGGAGTACTGGGACCCCCCGAACGCAGATGGGCGAGCACTACAATGCGGCCCAAAGTCATCAAAATGCCCTTGGGGATACCCGCACTACGAGGACCCACTACCTCCAAACTACATGGCAGATGCGTGTGACCACAGCTCAGAAGCAGCGATAGCACTTGACGCGCTACACCTCTACTGCTTCACCACAGCGCGACCCGGGACATCTGACACCATCCCTCGGCTCCTAAACCCTCTTGTCTTCCGGAAAGTACGACGATGCGTCGACGCCCTCATCTCAGGTGACGAAAGTCGCCTAGAAGCCCCAGTTAACACAACAAAAAACAGTCCGGCTTTCGCGCTCATCCACAACGCCCAAGCAACTCAAATCGTAAAGTCCAAGAGCGACACACCAATCACACAGGACACGTTTGCGGACGCGTTAACCATCCTCTCCATCAACCAATACGACCCACTAGTAATGCTAGGAAGGAAAGCAGACGACGTCATCAGCGAACTACATCTCACGCCTCACGCAACAGTGAGCCTCAGAGCATCTCTCCGCGAAATCATCGAAACACTAGGAGCGTCCAGTCTATTCGCAGGATACTCCATACCCCCAAGCTTCTTCGGACTCCAATCAGATGAACTATCAAAAGCCGTCAAAGCAGCGGAAAAAATCCTTCAGTCCGTAGTCACTATGCATGACCACGTCAACGACTTCAACTCCGAAAACCACAAGAAACTACTCGACATAGCAAAAGGCGAAAGAGCTTGCCTCGTCATGCTCTACGCGGCCAAGACCCTCGATTCTAGCTTCCAGAAGTTCACCGAGCTTCGAGACTCAATGAAGTGCGTGCAAGGGTTAGGCGCAGCGCTCTGGAAACTCAAGCAGACCGCCATGATCTCGCACCTTGCGAGTGACCTCAAATCCGACCCATCACACACTTCAAAACTAACCAAACGAGAAATCATTGACATCCTTAGACGCATCAAAGATACCGCGCCTGTACAACTATTCGAAAAGAAACCAAAGGGCAAGGGGAAAGCCAAAGGCAAAGGGTACCAATCAGGAAAACAAAGCTTCTCGAGCAACAACTATGCGTGGAGCTACAATCCCTACGGACCATACAAAGGCAAAGACAGCAAGGGGAAGCCGCATAAAGGAAAAGGGAAGGACAAAGGCTATACCAAAGGCAAGAAAGGCGGAAAAGGAGGAGGTATCGAAGAACTTATCTGCAAAACAATAGACACTATAACCGAGAATACACTTCTGACACGAAATCATATCTACACAGCAAAAGCATGCCCTCTCCACCTCGCAAACCGACTCCAAATTACAGTACACAACGAACAAGGCGAAGCAAAGGTGCCTCATTGTAACAATGGGCACGACCATACAACCACGGAAGCACTAGCGAAAGGAGCAAAGGGCCACGGAGCCGCAAAATAAAGTACTAACAAGTTACACCATCCAAATCGTCCCATTTGGAGTAAATATACCTACGACTATCTAGCATCTTATTACTCGATACTAAAAACATTACAGCATGCGCCGGTCCGCCGATACCCGCAGGACGATGCGGGTCACATAGCTCCGCGTTTCCGGGAGCAGGAAGACCACTGGGTGTACGGCTGACCCCGTATTGCACTGAATGCGGAAGAACGGTCGTCCACTGTGCTTACTGTGGAGCTGGTCCAAGTACCCATCAGCAAGCACATGGTGCAACAAATACCAACCAGGGTACACCAGTGGCCGCAAAGTCCTGTAAGGGAAAGGGCACCCCTCTCTTCCAGTGAAGCTGAAGAGAGAGAAGTGAGACATGCTTCACCATATGCTTCGAATGTTTCTGCGCACTTTAGCAGACTCACAATGACAATGGGCCCTGCCCCCTTTAGCAGATACATTATCCAAATGGATTCCGAAATTAATCCCTCCCCCACCCGCAAATTATTTTAATCTCCGACGGCTCCACGGCACTACAGCGGTGTTCTAACAAGAACACACTCCGCAATCCGTGACTGTAACACAAGCAATCTGTAACACAAGCAACAAACAGAATCTGTAACACAGCCAATCTGTAGAAGAATCTTTAACCTTCTTTGTTTCCCTAGAGCGAAAATACAGACATTTTCCCCCCCTCTCAGCTAACCCCTGAACTAAAAGACAACGAAGACGCCGCACCTTCATCAGAGACTCTAGACAAAAACAACTTAGACAGCCAAAGATGGAGGACCACACCCTCTGGACACACGCGTCAGACCTCGACGCCCGCATGAAAAAACTCATCGATACATACGCCAACGAAACGCACGGCAGACCATCTGCCGCCCACGCCAAACAACTCCACGACAAATTCTCCACTTTCGCCACTCTTTACAACACAAACACGCACTTGACCAAGAAGGACCAAGAATCCCGATCACGAGAATCCGACCACGCTGCAACCCTCTACAGTACCGAAATACCAGAGGGCTATAGCCGAAAAGTTGCAAACAAATTCCTCTACTGGGCCGAACTGTCAGACTTCATGAACCACGAGAACAGAGAAGCAGTCTACGGCCCCGACGGTTTCCTCGAAAGGGGATTCCCCAGCACAGGCCCAGTCTTCAGGTACTAAAGACCTAGGAACCTACCTAACCCAGGCTCAGACCCTCACCCTGAAGACCACCACGCATCTATCTCATGCCAAATTAACAACAGGTACGGAGTATGGCCGAACGCCAAAGGCCTCACGAACAAGGAGAGCGACGAGCTCAGAGCATGCCAACTCCACTCACGCCACCCGAAAATACAGATGCGCCACCTCGGCCCATACGAATTCGAGACCCCCGAAGAACTACAACGAGGCTACGACACAATGCAAGAAAGCGTGCGAGCCGGCTTCCTCTCACCCATCCCTGCGCCGAAACTCGATGACCAAGGCATACTACGCACCGCTGAAGGCGTCAAAGTCGAAAGATTAGTCCCGATCTTCTCCATTGGGCAAAAATATTGCTACAACATCAACGCGTGGCTCAAAATCAGAAACATCGCCAATGAAAAACGGGACAACAAAATGTGTTCCGCGATAAGCGAACACCTCACACTCCCTAACATCCCGCACATTCTCAACATCCTCCAAAAATGCATAGCGCCATTAGTCGATGCCCCTGTCACTATGACGAAGCAGCACCTATCAGAGCAGGTACATCAAGAAAGGCAACGCGTTGACAGGTGGCAGGATATGACCACGATAACAGGCGGAAGAGACGCACAACCTACAACGTCGGCAACATCCCCCGGATTCACTCCCGTCATCAGCAAGATCGACTTATCAAGCGCGTACTTTCAATTCCCGAACGACTCGAGCAAAGGGTCCTACGTTCTCTCATACTGGGACCCCACTGCCAAAGCGATGAAATACACAACAACGCGATCCATGACCTTTGGCAACATCCACAGCGTCTTCAACTTCGCAGGGAGTGTCAGTCGGCTCATAGAGCACACTCTCCAGACGCTCTTTGGAATCATTGTAGTAGTGTACGTGGATGACATCCTCATCATATCCCGACCAGAATTAGCTGCGGTTGAACATGCGTTCGTGAAACGATTCTTAAAGCTACTCGGCTTATACCAAGCAGATAAGAAAGACGTAATAGGCATGCTCGACAGCCCCACCGAAACACTGGGCTTGGAAGTCCTCACATCATCCGCCAACAAAAACGACGCACCCATCCAAATCACTAACCCGGAAGACAAACTAAAGGACGCAATAGTAGTCATAGAATCAATCATCCAGAAAATCCTCTCCAACACCATGACCTTGCGAGACCTGCAACGCGCAGTCGGAATCCTCAACCACTACCTCTTCTGGAGACAATACCTCAGCTGCGGCCCCTTCGTCGCCATGCTCTTCCGCTACACGGCTGAAGGGAAGTTCGGCCATCTGTGCAAATCGCGCGCGCTCCGCCGTACGACCGCGCGTCTACTCAAAGACTCAGTCGCGGCACTTCAAGGAATGCCAGGGCTACTAATCTGCCCCGTCAGACTTGGACGAAAAACCAGCGAAGTCTTCACAGATGCGTCCCTGACACAGGCAGGAGACCTCTGGATCGGTGGCGTAATCTTCTCAGTCGATCTGGCGCGGCCACTTTACTTCTCTTTCAACTACTCCATGAGAAGAGGACCTACATATGACAATTACGCACATATGAATCCCACCGCTCACACACAAAACGCCCTCACTATCATCCCAAAAGCCACTTCCCCCCTCCTTTTTTCCTAAACCACGCACATGAAACAGACTCTAAAACTCGCAACTCCAACCAATCGAGCTTCGTGACAAAACCATCTACTTCTACGAGTTGCTGGCAGTACATGTAGCATTCGAACTCTTCTCGGAATACCTCACCAACCAAAACGCTGTCTTCTACATAGATAACCTAGGAGCAGGATACGCCCTTCTCAAGGGACAAACAGGGTGCATATACTCAGCATCACTAATAGGCTACATCATCCTAGCAGCACAAGCACAAAAATGCACCATGAGCATCAAGTGGATAAAAAGCGAGCGAAACCCGGCAGACGCCCTCACTCGTAGTGAACACTTCCGCGACTTTATCCTGAGAACCAACGCAGAGCCAATCGTACAAGCAGAATCAGACGCGCGCGATGCAGTAATGTCCAACATCGCAGGAGAAATCATCGACAAAGTCAATAGGTGCACAATCAACGAGCAACATGATGTCCACACGGGCCAGGGCGAAGAACCTGCTCAGAGACCCGACGACCAGACTCGTCTTTGAACAAGAACTGGCCATATGGCCCCACGAACTCGGAAAATCTGACAAAACAATGGCAGGGCGACGGGGTCACTGGGCCTCATTCGTAACCTGGTACAACCTTAGCCACCCAGAAAAAATCATCATCCCACAACTAGTACAGCACGCGTCCCAGATCAAGGTGCCACAAATGACCTTTGTGCAAATCTTCCAATTCGGCAAGCACCTCCTCGACATGGACCTCTCCCCCTCGTACCACATCTACCTTGCGACCGTTATTCAGCGGCTCAAATACCTCAACCGTCTAGCAGTAGGATCACCATTCGCGAAAGATCTCGAAAGGAGCACCCTCAACGCGCTCAACAAGCTACGGGATGAATTCTCACGATCTAAAGCAAGACCAGTCAGTTGGAATAAACTCCACACAATGGCCGACCCACACAAAACAAGAGCACGACTCTGGATAGCAGGAGCATATCGCATCTCGTCAATAACATCAATTGAATCGCACCTCATGCGACCTTTCCCGCACGCATCTCAGTGGACCCTCGTGCTCCTACCCAAAATGAAGTACAACCCCGACGCCAATGATGTCTTCTCAAACGTCATACCATCGAAATACGCACCACCCCCCTCACTCAAACTACATGAGAGGGAGTGCAGAGCCACGGCAAAAGAAGCAGACACAACGCCCCACGGGTTCCGCCGAACAGCCGCGATAGCCGTAAGGCTAGCACTGCTGAGCGCAGGTTTTCAAACCACAAGATCAATCCCGTGGAAAATACTCAATCGCATAGCGGACCACTTCGCGTGGTCACGAAATTCGGTCACAAACCAACTCAACAACTACACGCTAGATTGGTACCTCTACACCCACCACTCTTTTTTCTTCCCAGATGAACTGATGACGTACCTAACATGTAACAGAGTCAAGACACAAGGCACTCCAAACAAGTGGACGTACAGGCCCCTACCCTCCAACCCCGATCCAATCTAACAAACCCACAGACGCATAGTATGCGAGTAACAGAATACTGCTAAACCTAGTCACAAAGTTACATAAGATGCAACAATATGACTCCTCCCCCGCGAGCCGTCCAGTGTTCGCTCAGTGCACTTGTCACCAAGGCACGTCACAATGTACGTGCGGGACAGTGCCAGCACAGCTGCAACCCGCACCGCAGCCCGCGTCGCTCGTGCAGGACGCCCCTGAAGGGACATGGGTCCTCACACTCCAAATAGACTATCAAAATGGTACAAGGGATCGCCAAAGCGCGGCACTACCGCCACACATCGCCCAATATATTGCCGAAATGGTAGACCGAGAAGTCTACAAATACTTCGATGATGAGGATGAGTCATCATCTTCCCACGCGTCATCCGATAGCCAGTCACTTTCAATATCCGTCACCTCCCCGTCGAGATCTGACTCATTAAACAACGCTGAGTAAAGTCTGAGATAGATTACTTAAGAACTACCTCCTTACTGACAATCCCCATGGCACCACGGCAAGCCGGCAGCGCTATACCTCGAGATCACTCGCCTTGCTTCAACTCCACGAGAATGATTATTCCCGCAGACTCTGACGGACCGAGAATCGAAGACTGGTAGTAACTATATGCAAACATGCAAACATACTCCATCGCGTGAGACCCTAAACACTTCACCTCCCGCATCCACCCTAAAAACTACCTACGCACACAATCCCATCTGACAGGTTAGTGAGATCACCATACGGCTGGGTATATACGATCCACTTTGGTCTCACCAGAGGAGAAGAAGTCGGTTATGTCGCTACCATCACATGTCACTGCGGACAACTGAAAATGGAGGTAAAGAAGTTGCGCCCCGATCTACCACCCGGCATGGACAAAGTCATTCTGTCCATGGAAGTTGACCTTGAGTAAACAACACTATACAACCAATGTCACACCACCAAGGGCAACGCATCAGATCCATGAATCCTATATCCAAGACAGAACTCGAATCAAATCCCGAAAAGTAAAACTGTGTTCCCTAGTGTTGTTTCCTCCATCGGCGCATGGTATGGCCGTAAACAGTCTCAATCCTAATGAGTGACGCCACACGACTCCATAACAAATCACGAAGTACAAAATGAGCAAAGCAGCATAACATAGAATTGACGGTGGCAATCGGTAGATTTTTACACTTGATGATAATGCATTTCAGCAATATGCAACTGTTTCTATAAATTAGAGCTCTTTGCTCGTTCTAAACACTATATTGCATAGTGTAAGGGTGCCGCTGAATAACTCACATCCAAAAGATGAGATGCCGCCTGTCTATGTCTGAACCGCCTATGCAGCGCAGCAAACGCGAACGTGTCAACCCGACCCAAGTCCCCTCCCCTGGAAGGAGGCTGCTTGAGCTAATCAACAGGCGACTACGCAGAAAAATAGATAGAATGGAGCACATGCTTGACTATAACAGCAAGCACCTTAGGTTAAGCCAGTACGGGCCATCGAACCAACCTGGAGCCACTTTCCAAAACTAGACTCACTCAAGATGGAAAATGGCCGAGAATGGTTGGATGATGCGAACCACCCGGACTCTAATGCGGGATCTCGAGAATCAGCTCGAGCAACATGAGAAGCAGGCGTGGAATACAATATCGCCACCTGCCGCCAAGGAAGTCCTAGACATCGCACCATTTGACAACGATGACCACATTGATATATCCACTAAATGGGTAGGGCTGAAAAGAATGAGAATCGACGAATATGCCCTCAATTGAAGGACAATAACCATATAATTAAAACTGCCCCAGAGCAACAACGATGCATAACTACATCTTCTGTCGCAGGCCATCATGTAAGCCCTGCTAAGTTACCACAAAAGCCACCATCCAAATAAGACCTATCGTTACCGTCTAGAAACATACGAAAAGATCCTCGCCGGCGCCCCACCGCGAAACGGTGAGAAAATATAGCCAGGACGCCAGCGAAGAAAAATAGGAGGAATTTAGACTAAAGAATAAATATCGGCGTCCTTGCAATATCTGGCGAGAGACGTCGGTAATGATGCGGTCTAATGACTCTCGGACGAGAGTCGGTCGAGCGAGAAACAAGGACTGAACGCAGAGCGCGTTCATCCTAAGTTACTGTGTGTAAGTGTTTGTCGGTGGTAACAAGACTAGAATGTAACCGTCATGACGAAGGATACTTGGAAGATATTAAGTAGGATGAGGAATAAGGTGAAATTATGGAATAAAGTGTGATGGCTGGAATTTTGAGTTCCCTCCCATGAGCACTAACCCACAGACCCTTGTTTAGCGCTCATTTCCCGACCCTCTAGGAGGAATTTAGACTAAAGAATAAATATCGGCGTCCTTGCAATATCTGGCGAGAGACGTCGGTAATGATGCGGTCTAATGACTCTCGGACGAGAGTCGGTCGAGCGAGAAACAAGGACTGAACGCAGAGCGCGTTCATCCTAAGTTACTGTGTGTAAGTGTTTGTCGGTGGTAACAAGACTAGAATGTAACCGTCATGACGAAGGATACTTAAAGGTGCATCTTCCTGCGACCTCCGTTTACGAGTGGGGACCTAAAAGATCCTCCCAGGATGCTGCTCAAGATGGAAGATCTATCCTATCCTATGTATAGAAGTTCAAGTTCTATCAGAATCTAAGAATACGCGGTGTATTCTGCAGTCGCCATGCTGTATGGGGTCGCCGAAGCCGCTCCGCAGGTTGTCTCCCTGGAGCCTTGCTGCCTTGAAGTGTTGTCGATGGAGGTTGCGGACATGTTCGTGCCTGAATTTCGCAAAATCTACGAAGCGAAATTTCGCGCCAACGGCTACACGGTTGGGCAGTTCGTGTTCGCCTTGCACGAGTTGATTTATGGGTGTACTACTGGGGAACTCATCATCTACATCTTCTCCAAATGAGTCATCTCAGAGAGAGAGAGAGAATAAGACATATGAGGAAAAGGGACCTCCCAGAAGATGATCCCTGAGATAATTCCAATTGCCTAGTACTACGCTTCTAATTGATGCGGCGCGATATTCGCCTGCTGGACTACAAAACGGCTCGACTGGACCGCCTGCACCGAATCTTTTTGGACGAGGTGAAGGCACAATTGGAGGGGTTGCAGGCGCTGGTTTGCTCGCACTTAGACGAAGCCCACATGCGCGTGCTGCTGGCCATCATCATGGGGGAGCGAAGCGACGCCAGTCTGAAGAAAGCAATTGATCTGACCACTCTCATTTATGGTTGACGTTGAAGTTGATGGAGAGTTAGAGTTTCCCGCGTTGATGTTTCGGATCAGAATCTTTTGGTTGGTCCCCATCCGAGAGTAAGTGCGTAGAGTTAGACTTTGGCTTCGGCTGCGTTTTTTAGCCTCCTACTTGCTTCGGCATACTAGACTTATGAAAAATAACCTTAACAATTTCAGATGCTTTTCAAGATCATTGATCATTGAGTTTATCATCAGCTTTCCTTCTCTAATCCATTTTCCCTCTTCGTGGAACGGTGTCAGAAATATGCCACCAAGCTGGTCTGGCACCACAAATGAAGCCGGCAGTGCTGAGAAGATACCTGGCCACCTGCTCCCTGATGATTCGGAAGTGTCTGGACCGACAAGCCACCCTAGAAAAAGAGAAGGCTAGACATTACACTTACGCAAAGGACAAGGAGTAAGAGTAGTCACTTGATCATTTGAAGATCACTTGTTGTTAGTACAAAGTACATTTTCAGATGAGCATTGCTATTGCACCCGATGATCACTTGATCATGAGCAGACATGATCACTGATTGCACCCACGTAAACGAGTAGTCTCGATGCAAAACAGACTCCTATATGGCAAATAGTTTTTTTTTGGGGCTTGGCTCTCTGGTCTCGGCGTCAAGAAGGAGTAGAAGCTGAATCTGAAAATGATTTTCAACACGTGCCAAAAACACACTTGGTCAGGCCGGTTTATTAGCAGGCACGTAGATCTACTTCATCAGGAAGTTATAGTATATTTTCTAATCGCTTTATCGATTGAAACTTGTGGTCGACCGCCTGCTCCGAGAATGTCAAGAGCAGGAGGAGCTAATAAGTGCAGGCGCCAGTGCGGACAAGCCAGACCCAGACGTTATGCTGGAGGGCGAAATGATTTTTCTATTCGGGATAATAGAGTAGTCCTAAACCCTGAATGCTACATCTTCGTATTTGTTTCATCATAGTGAATATTCTTTTCTTGTCATAAGCAGCTAGTTGGAGCCACAAAGAAACAACTGGAATCAATGCCAGCTGGTATGTGCAGTTCCGAATTTGAAGGGCTAGAGTACTTTTCTCGTAAAGCACCCTTTTCCTGCTATCACTTTTCCCCTCTAACAACAATTATGGTGTCATGAAGCCGGCCATCGACTACATGCATACGCTACGCATTCAACTTAAGGCAACTTATACCTCATGTAAGTGTGCGTCTTGGGAAGCGTCTTGAACTAGAACCTACCAAGTCTAGAAGCAATATCTTGATGAACTAGTGCATTATAGAGGCTTTTCGCCCAATTTTGAAATTTTTCGGGACGTGTAGACAGTGGGACACCAAAGATAACGTCCATATCAGGGACGCACGCCCGCATGACATGCCCACCAAGTCCAAGCCAATTTCCTCCAGAGTACTAGAATGTTAGGTAAGTTCTAATCCGTTCTTCGAAGATAGCGGCGCTTTACGAGAAAGTTTTTATGCAAAAATCCGAAGCGAAGAACAATACCTCGTGCCAGGATACTGTGAGGAGCTCTTCCAAGAAGCCCTGGGCACGCTTTATCCTGAAAATTTACTTCGTTAATCAATAAAGCCTTCAGGGTTGTAGAAAATTTACTTCGATGAATAAAGCAATCTTAAATTAGTCACGTATCTGGAAACCTAATAAACTAAAAATAGCCAAGTATCTATTAACGTATCGTAGAATGCTGGTCGCGCGTACAATAAGATACCACAAGAGCAAGTTAGTACCAGACTTTTCGACCAAAGTAGTTTGTAGGCAGACGTTTCTCACGAACGTGAATTCAAGTCACTCACGTCAGTATTGTCGCTTACCAGCTGTTATATCATCAAGTCATTTTGCAATCACTCTCGCCATTCCGTAGATTTTCTGTAACTAGTAAGTCCTCAAATAGGAGTAATTGTTAGGTAGTATAATAACACACCAACGGACATCAAAATGTTTGGAAATTGATGTTGTTTCGAACTCATGCAATCCAAATCAGTTACGAGAGATTTTGTAGGACGAGCTTTTGGATGCATGGACTCACTGTGTTTCCAAATGATTGATTTCTCGGGATGATTACAAGTATGTAAAAATCGATTCTGAGACATTGAGAATGTTATTTCGAAATTAATACTGAGCAGGAAAAAGTGTCTGGTTTATACTTCCTTGAACAGCGTGTGCGTAAATCATCGAAGCGATGGCTTGTCTGCGCCGGTTAACATTTTGCGGTCATGTCTATTTTAGTGAACTAGATTAGCAATACCCCGATGATCCAGTAAAAAAACTATAGAGTATTGCATGCTATATTAGTAGCATGATGTAGTAAGAGCCAGCTTGTATCATGTTCGGCTCTTTTGTGATAGTAGGCGTTTCGTCTTTGTTTTGTGTCTCTCTGCTTAGAGGTTCTTTTTCTTTTACTCAGCCGGTGGCTAATTCTTTTCTTTTTCTCTCTTACTGAACAAACAAACAGGACGAAGATAAGAAAAAAGCTCCGTGCTGCTAGCCTAAAGTAGTCAGGAATAAACTAAGAAAAGTAGAGAATCATCGGGAACGAAGACGAGTAAGTGTAGCCGACAGTGAGAAATAGCGATCTGGGGTAGTTGATCTCGCAACAAATTCAGCAAGTCCGTCTAGGCACACGCGATGGCCAACAAATACAAGGGCGCTGCGTTGCTCGGTGGACGACAAAGGGCTTTGCGAAGTTGCGGCAGCAATACAACCTCGTCGTTGGTCAACAAATCCTGGCTGCGTCGTATCAGGGACGGGCACCACTACCACAAGGACATACTGTACTGCATGTAGAGGGAGCTAGCGGCCAGCGAGTCCGCGGCGGGACTCGGTCATAACTTCTGCTGATCCGGTGCTCAATGCGCAGGGCTGAGGCGGAAACCCCTCTAAATCTAAATCTAAGAACGTCGCTGCTGGTCTTGGTTCCGTCTTCAAAAATGCATCTCTCGTCCTTTTTCTGGGGTAATTTCCTTCTGCACAGTACAAGCACAGCTTTCAGTACATTTCATTTGATATCCGTCCTTTCTGGCGGAAAAAATATGATCCAAGTTAGCACTGCGAGTTAGCACTGAATTCTATGTTGAAGCTGTGCTGGCGATGGATGAGGCGGTGGAGTCCACTGGCTCCTGTTTGAAAAATCAATGCACAAGAAGGATCAAACTCATTCGTAAAAGGTTACAGTTCAATTTCTTTCGACTTAACACGTCAATGGAACCCCCTTAGGCGGTTACAGCGGAAGTAACAGTGCCGCTTCCTTTGTCGTGCCAATTTGAAAGCTGGATGGCATTCATTTCTCGCCAGCGGGTTTCTGATGGGGACCAATAAGCCAACCTGCGTAACTGAGATGTGATGTGTTGTCTTCGTAATCAGTGTCTTGTTGTCATGATGTCTGATACGCAAGCATATTTGGCACTATGGACTCTCCACTACGAGGATAAAAACAGCCAGTTGAACAAGAACTGCCTTTTGCGACTCGAAATTATAGGGCGCGCAACTTGTTAACGGCCACTGTCAGCTATGATAGATTCACTATGCGTACTTATGCATATTTAGACGACTCTTTCACTCTTCAACTCCATCCTCATCATTGATAAAACAAATGGTAGTAGTGGATGTAGGACTTTAGTATACTCGGTATGTAGCCTGCTTGATGCGTGAAGAATATTACAACTAATGATCTTGATTTTCAAAGAAGTGCTTCTATCCAGCGAAGATCGACACTCGTTCGCCCTCTTCACCGTCATTTTCATTCCTCAATTGATCTCGACTCACCACAAGACCAGGAGCAAAAACAAGGAATTATTATAACGCGGATTAAAAGTAACAAAGGCTTGCTGTAAGATTTCCGTCTGAAGACCTAAGCTGGTGGATAATTATACGAGGATTATGTATTATTAATGAAATTGAAAAGCTCTTCTGCTAACCGATAGTAAAAGACTACGTCGAAAATTGAAATTGTTTTTAACTTCCGTGCAGTATTTTGAAAGACACCATCGACAAGTAACTTTAGGTGGACAGAAGTCGTGGTGCTTCAAATTGATACTGAGACAAATCATTATTTCTTGGTTCCTGTTGTCCCGCCTTTTTTCGATGAAGATATTGCGGTCTTTATTGACAGATTGGTTGGAATAGATTCGAAAATTGAGATTGTGCATGATGGCGAGCAATGTGCCGATACCCCACTCGAAGTACTGGCTGGGACGAGGAAAAGCCGGCTACGTTGAAAACGAGACTTGGTGGCAGAATGGTGAGGGATGGCTCTATCAGCATCAGCAACAGTTAAGGCAAAAGATGCTATGACTACCCTCGTGGCGTTTCATATTGTCAAACTCGTCTGATTTTTTTTGGCGGTGTAAGAAGTCAATCTTTCGATGCCACGAGAAGGGAAAGCAAAGACTTACATCAATCTTTCGATGCCACGAGAAGGGAAAACAAAGAGTTAAATCAATCTTTCAATGCCACGAGAAGGGAAAGCAAAGAGTTACTTTCTTGATCGATCGTCTTGATTTCCAGTTTGTTTGAATCAAGATACATCTTTGGCCCAGGGTGGAAGCTGCCAAAAGCGCGAATGTCAGGCATCCGTAAGACTTAGCTCTAAGAACGCCCGGCGGAGGCATGAAATGGGTCGCAGTGTACAACGTGCTCGCAAGAAGGTATGTGGGTGATGAATCATCGGACGACGAAGAGGTCGTCTTCACAAACAGGCCAGCGCGCGGAAGTAATAACGCAGCAAGCAACTCAGGCTCTTTTTACTCCGGACAGCAGTGGGGTGGCGCCTATCATGGCTACTCCACCGGTTATGGCCAGACTTCTGCGAGTTCTAGTTTACTGGGGAACATCAACACGAGGTACGAGCAAGCAGGTGAGCAGAGACGCGAATACGACTACCAAAAGCTCGGAGAACAGAGCTATCACGCGAGTACCTCCCACGCCCCCTACGATCAGCAGAATTACAGCGAGGATAACTACTACGTTTCGACGACGTCGGGTAATTCTGCTGCGCGGGCCAGTGAAAGCGTGGAACAGGCAGGGTATAGCTACAGAGCCGCGAGCTATCACAAATATCCTTCTGCTTATGCTTGTAGTTAGTTGTGAATAGGTATCCTCGACAAGAAAAAGTTAGTTTTTCTCCCCATTAAATTTGAAATGCTCGTGCGTGGATATATTTCTAGCGGGGGGCGGACATCATTTCTTCTGCCGTAGAATTTAATAGATCCACTTTCTGCGTCCGACTCTAAGTCCATGCTTATGGGGGCTACACCGGCGCTTACCGTGGGCACGAGGAAGCAGCGGCCGAAGAAGAACAGGCAGCCGAGGAAGAGCCGGCTGAGGAAGAGCCTGTGTCCCTTGGCCGTGGTTTATTGTCTGCTAGAGTTGGGCAGGAGTCATTTAAGGTCATACGTACTTGATATAAATATGATTTTACCGCTTTGAATGCTGGCGTTGATATGTTCAGACAAGAAACTCACCTTCACATTCACGTTACAGAACAATTGCCATCAGCACGTAAGCGTACCCGTAGTACCTCACTCTAAGAAGTACCCAAGTGTGGAGGTGAATTCTCATCAATTCATAGTACTTACATTTACAAACTCGTATGATGTTATATCTCGCCGGTGCTGTGGCAAGCACCTCGTGTGATTACACAGTCGAGGCATCCTATCCTATCGAACAATATCTAAACCGGACACACTGTAACTGATAGGCGTTCATCTTCTAATTTTTGTGCGTCATCCATGATATCTGGCAGTGGATTCAGCGATGTTGGATCAGAGCATTGGGTAAAGCCGTCCGATCTTTTTCCCGATCGCGCAAGAACGTCTACCGATATTTTTGGCGATCGCGCAATTTCCTTGAGCAGCGCCGATTCAATCCATTCTCGACCACCAAATGCACGTAAGTAGTTTGATCGTAGATTTAGAGACTTATCAACCGGTGGCTCGGTCTGACCACTTGAGACGCAATGATGATGATCAACCTAAAAGATGAAGATGTATTGTAGAAGACCCGACTGAAATATTAGTAACTAGATGAAGAGCAAGAGGCAACGGCTTTTTATGATACCCCCGCATTAACCCTCTCTCCCCGCTTGCTGAACTTACCCCCAGAATGGGTATACTACTACTCCTGCTACTACTTCTCTTAAACATATCTCTCGCATTTACATCATCCTTTTTCTTGCGCTTTTTTCTTAGAGGTTCCTTCTCCAACAATCTCTTATAGATACATAGACACATTCAACAGTAAGATATAAATCTGACAACAGCGTTCGGTGATCCTGGCCGAAAGCGCTACAAGCAGCAGCCGACAGAACAGAACACATCAGTTGCGGGGACTGATCGCGAGCAGGACCTTGAGGGCATGTCCCTTTTCGACGACGACGCGATTGGAGGGCACTCGAAATCTTCAATAAGGCACTGAGTATTATTTTTATTTGCATTGAATGATGCTGCTTCCTAGATGAGGCTGGTTCACTTTTCTCAAGCATGATCAATCTTCTCCCACTAGTTAAATTGTCATCGTCCTCCTCAAAAATTCTAAAAGGTCGAGGTCCTAACTCAAGTAAGTAGACGATCCACCTCATGATCTGCTTCGATTGAGATAGTATCTTCCTCCGTGTCGCGGTTATTAACTGCAAGTTCAAGCGAATAAGAAAATACTATCTTTCCAAAATTTGATAAAGTGACTATCCTCATATAGACACTTTTGGAACTTTCTTATTAGTCTGATTCATATTGTTCTTCTGTAACTAACCTCCTCCCATAGCAGGTCTTTAATTCCCCTTTGTTTTCTTTTCGAGGTGTGCTGCAAATCTTGATTGGCTTTCGCCCTTTGGTGAAGGTTTAGGCCCTGCGGCGCTCAAAGCACTAAGTAAGACAACCGGTTAGTTTTCGCCTCGACTAAATTAGGTTTATCCCGAGCAACAATATACTATCTTTCAAATCATTATATATACCATTTTTTAGTGGGTTGAGGAAGAGAAAACACAAAAGGACTCTTCTCTAAGTCTGAGAAAAAGCCTCGGAAAAGACAGCGACGTGATTTCGCGAGCAAAAAGAACCTCAGTGCGAACCCCTCAAGACTTAAAGAGTCCGAAAAAGAGCCGGAGCGGTAGCGCAAATCGAAAGGCTCCGCCTCCACCTCCAGCTGCAGCCGTAGGTACTTACTATTTTTAAAAGAATGTTGACATCCGCTGCTTACTACTATAGGGAGAAAGCCTCAACGCCTTAGGTTAGTCCCTTCAACTAAACTATTAGAAAGAAAACCTTTGTCTTTGAGAAGCTCTGACGAAAATGAGTAGAAGCAGCTGCGTTTGTAGTAAGTCAATCTAATATCTCTGCGAAACTTTTTCTTCAATGGGATGCGCACCCTTCGACGTGTAGCGAATGTAACTAGTCATCGTCTACACCTATGTATGTTGGAGAATCCATATTTTCATCAGACCGAGAAACAAAGCTACATCGTTTCGTATGAACCCTTTCAGCATCCGCTTCGTTCCCAGTTTGCGCGGTTAAAGCTGTTGATGAAGAATCAATAGCAGAGGAGGACCTGCCCTACATTTCGCGTGTCATGCCTCCTTCAGAACAAAATGTCAAAGCGTCGCCGAAACAAGTTGGCGATGGCGCTGGTGATGGGGGAGTCGGGGAAGAAAAACGTGGGACGAGTGAGGAAAATAATATATTTAACGAGCCCGCTACTGGAGGAACAAGTGTCGATGTCGAAAAGCGAATTAGTGAGGCTGTCGAAAAGCGTAGTGGGAGTAGAGATGCGGCTACATTTTCGAAAAACTCTAGCAGCAATGCGCGAGCAAGTAAAGTCTCTAGAAGCAGTCGGGAGGAGAGTAAAGCCGTATCCAGTTCCAGGGACCAGAAAAAATCCCCCGCCTGGGCTGAAGATGAATCGAAGAAAGGCGATTTGTCACCTTCAAAACTACGCGAATATCCAGGAAACACACACGACAAGTGCGCTCCTCCAGTGCACAATGACCCGGAGCATTGGGACGAAACACCTGCGGAGGAGGAACTTATGATTCAAGATAAGTACTTCTTTGATGAATGACACAAGAAAGGGTAAAAAAGAACTTATGTATGATATTCAAGATTCTTCTTTGAAAGCGTCCTCCTTGGAGCGATCTGCCGGAGTGGTGCTGTCACCTTGATGTGACGGCGAAATCGAGGCATCCTATCCTATCCTATCCTAATCTATCCTTTGAAACATGACAAAAAGAGTAAAGAACTTATTTTTTTTTATTTTCATCTGGGATTCAAATTCAATCTTCTAGTTCTTGGTTACAGTTTAAACAAACCTTGCGTAAAAGCCTTCCTTTCTTTTCATAGAATCCTACGTGGATGAGGCGCAAGACGCGCAGAGTAATAAAGACCAGTGCACTCCTGGTACCGGGGCTACGCCAGGGTTTTTTTTGCCTTCGGGTGAAAGTGGAGAAACACCTGCCAATTGGTGTCACACGCCACATGACCAAAGCCACACTTAAGGCTTGAACAAATCCATCCTTCTCGGCATTTTGGCCCCATTTTGAAGGGGAAAAGGGAAGCGAGATGCTGAGCGAGATGGATTTAGGCAAGTTGAGGTCTAACACACTCCGGGAGATGCCCACACGCACAGTTGGCACACGCCGGCTTCTGTTACGCGTCTTGTAGCTAATCCACATCCATCTTTAGATAGATAATAGATCTTGGAGCTGGTAATTCCCATAGACGAGATAGTAGATCTTAGTAATTCCCATAGATCTTGGAGCTTGAGATAGTAGATCTTAGTAATTCCCATAGATCTTGGAGCTTGAGATAGTAGATCTTATGAATTCCCATTGAGAGGAAAAGGACAGGAGCTTTAAGATGAACAGCCTCAAAATGGGTGATTCGGTTTCGGGTGAGCTAGCTCTAATATTGGTGGAGGGGGAGTAGAATTTTCCGAGAACAAATACACGACGACCCCGGCGCTAACGCCTGGTAGCAGCGGCGCCAACGTCAGTGGCGCAGCGGTGGTGGCAGATGATGTTAAGGCTTACAGTAATTTATCTTGGGAGGCATCTTTGGCCCCTTTTTTAAGGGGGACAGACGTCGAGGATGCTTTCCAAGATGAATATACGAAAGGTCTAACGATGATGGAGGAGTGGACGACATGAGCAGTATGCAGGACGAACCCAGTGAAGCGCCCCAAGTATTAAGGCTCATCGTAATTTTTCATATCCACGTCCACAGAGGATCCATCTCTTTTAGAGTATGGGCTGCTTAGGATATGAATTATTGTGAGCTCTAAAAATAGTAAACGTGGAAGAGCACGACAGTCAAGCAGGAGACACCGAAAAAGATCCCGACGAGGATGCTCAACTCTTCTATGGAAAGAAAATTTTGGAATTGGAATGAAATTATAGATAGGATGAATCCTTACTAATGCCAATCATGGTTGTGAAAAGTAACACTTTGCTGCTTGTACTGCTTTTCTTAGTGATTTATTATAGCAAACGCTGACTCATCAAATTCCGATGGTTCATAGCAGAAAATGACGTCGAGGTGGGAACTAGAACTACGAAGAACAAGAAAGATTGGATAAGACATTTCTTCTCCACAACCGTTTTTCATGTTCGGGGAAGGAAAGAGATCGACGCGGATCTCCGTAGTCGTGGAACAGGGCGCGCGGGCAGCTTGCGATCCCATCAAAAGGCAGGCTCTGCTGCTGCTGCTGCTGCGTCCGGTGCTGTGCGCAGTCGAGCGCAATCCACTAAGGACCCGCTGGCGCCTATTGTCCGGTACCCGCAGCTTCTTTCTCACAAAGCGAAACCCGACGTGAAGAAAAAATGGATACCGCAAAGCATTGGCTACGCCAAAAAATACCTCCCAGACCTGCAACAAGCCTGTATTAGTTACGGGTTACTTAATAACCGATCACACTTAATACATTTACATAAGCCTGTATTAGTTACGGTTTACCCGAATACTCAAAACAAGCGAGTAAGTAACACAATAACCGAGTATCTGAGAATATTCCCTAGCATACTCGGTTACTTCAGTTTTTCGATTACTTAATAACCGGCCACATTTAACGCATTTACATATGCCTGCACTAGTTAAGGGCTAGTACGTATAATAACCAATCACACTCAGCTAGATTAGCGGGTAGAAGTCGTCAGGGAAATCTTAGGCAGGTTGCTGAATAGATTCACGCCATCAATAGCCGGCTGCACTTGATACATGTACATCCTCCACAAGAAGAACCACCCACCCTCACTCTTTTGCTAGTGGGATGAATGTCATGGGGATGATCATGTTCTGAAGAATGTGATGCGGCAACCTTTAACTTATTCCCGACGAGCTTTACAGAGCAGATCAGTTCCCGGATGAACATACGTGTAAAGTCGTCGGCTGTTTCGTTCGCTGGGATTCGCATAAAAAAATGCGTTTAAGATTTGCTCTTAAAGTGAGTACTACCTTGTGGAAGATCTCTTTCTAGCTCCAGTTGGAAGTGATGTGATGTTGCATCTTTACATGTGCATATTGTTGCTCTAGAGAAGTGAAATTCTTTTTTTTGTCTAAGGTCTACCTGATGCATATTGTAGTATGGTCCAAGAATGAAAAAGAGAAACAACAAGTGCATTACTCACCTAGACCATCTTAAGCGTAAGTAGCAAAATCATTTAGTGAGCAGGCCTGATCCTTTTTCATTTGTGGATGGGGTAACCCGGGCACCTGGTGGAAGAGCGTGCCCTAGCCTGATTACGAAAATCGAATCCGCTGGCCAGGTAGTGGGACAAGACGTCCGCGAATTCGTAATCACAAGTCAGGAGGGATCCGTATGGAAAACCGGGGTCATTTACAACAACAAGTACTATTATAGCTTAGGGCTATCGTAGAGCTGATGTATCGTTACCTCAAGTTGGGCCTGCTAGTAGTATTGTAGTTGTTCTTTCTAATACAGCATGAATGGCTACGTCTGTAATGGCATATAATCTTTTTTAATAATGCATCCATGAACCTAAACCTTCGATTCAGTCGTTTGAGGTTGTCCTCTATTCATCTTCATGCTGCGAAATTTATTATAGTATGTCGTGTGAAAGATTCTTCTTTCTAAAGTAACTGCTTTAATTGTTCAAGGTTAGGTACTAGTCGCCACCCACAAAATCCAAATCGTGAAATCCTAGGTGCTACCATAAGTTGTGCCGCGGCATGGCCAAGACTGGAACCTGTGACAAGCTGGGGTGCCCCGACCTGCACAAATTACCGGAGCAGGCACGAAGTCTGGGGTTCCAGATTGTGCGCAAGTTTTTCGTCGGCGACAAGAAAAGTTCGAACAACGATAATAACGTTAAGGCTACAAAAATATATCCATCTTCCCAAGCATCCTGTTCCCGTTTCTCAAGGGAAAACGGGCTCCAAGATGGTCAACAAGATGGATCTCATCAAGGTCTAATAACGATGATGATCGGGAGCGTAAGTGGTGCAAAAATGACGAGGGCGTGTGGGAATACTGGAGTTATCGTATCGATAAGGAGAGCGGCGAAAAACTGGACTGGAGGCAGGAGGAGGACAAGCTTATGATTACAGGCGGAATCATTTGGCCGTCGCCGTAAGTAAGTGAAATACTGAAGAAATGATAGGATAGCTCGAGCAAACCTACCCTCTTTTTCTGCACGACAAGATACTTACAGATGTGTTATTGCTTTTTTGAGTTGTATTTGAAACTTTTTTCCATCCCCTATCGCATTTGTAGTTCAATTTGTGTCGGTACGGAGAGATGATTCTGTCCTCTTTCCTTGAGAAGTTCTATTAAAAACTCATGCGCTTTGACCTGCGACATGGATTTCCTCTAGAAGTACTTTGTCTACTAGAGCTAATTTTTGTTTTTCTAACGAAGAGTGGGGTACCGCAGATAAGAAGGACACCAAATGGAACAAGGACAGTAACTTTTGGAATGGTATGGCCATCGCAGTTGCATCCTCAACGTCATCCCTGACTCCTTTTCTACTTCTTGACTACTTTTCTACTACTACTTCTTGCCTACTTACTACTAGCCAGGGATGCGCTCAGGGGCGATGCGCCTGCGGTAGGTCTAAGAATGGCAAGAGTGGAAAGTACGAGTGGAAGGACAACACTCGTAAAGACTGGGACGACAGAAAGCTAGCAGGCACACAGAGTAACAGGAGCCAAGCTGGCGAGCTAAGTCCTGAGCAGATCGAAGAAGGTATCAACGATTAGGGCTCAATACAAATAAAAGGCTAAGACAAAGAAACTTCAGTCTAACATTATTATTCCAGGCTTGACCGTGCAGGACGAGGTCTCTGCTGTTTCCCACCTACACCTATACACAGATACGGAGACCTGCTGTTTCACATTTACACTTATGCATAGCTATCGATGTTTATCTTTTTCCCCGAGCTCTCTCTCTCTCTCTAATGGAAGGCAGTGAAGAAGTGCGAGTACGAATCGTATGACGACTTTCTACTGGTGGGTTACGTACCGGAAGTAGAAGACCAGGATGAAGTAGCGTCCAAAGCTCGGAATTCACCCGCACGAAGTTTGCCACCATCTGTTGTACTCAACGATGTCAAGTCGAGAAAGCGCAAGATGAGCGAGGACTATCATGTTACGGCTATGCAGGTGATGAATTATTGGTCTAAAGCTGAATATGGGATTTTTTTTCTGTTGAAGAAGACTAGTTTACTATCCACATTGTACTCGGTATTGGCTGAATAACATGGGTAGGACACATTCCACGTCTGAAAGCCACACAGATTGAAAAGGAAACTTGCTAATTTATTCTGCTCAAGAGTAAGACCAGTTTCGTTTTACACCATCATGAATCTCGAGCGACAAAAGCAGGAAGATGTAGCGTTACCTAGTACTAAAAATAATTTTACACCTAAGTAGTAGTACGTATGTATGAGATTGCAGTAGGTGTTTTTTTGCAAAAGGAGTCAAGTTTCAGCTATGATGCTATGTGTCTCACTACTAGTGGTATAAGAAGACCACCAGAGACCACGCGTGATGATGATCAGCTATGTAACATCATAGCTCTTCCAACATAATGTGGATGGACTAGACGCCGATTAATCAAAGGACTAAACTATCCTTGCTACTCAGCTATGTAACATTATAGTTGTTCCAACACAAATATGAGCTAGCTCCTCTAAGGCCGACGCAGCGTCAAAGCATGGAGGCATCACGCCGGATGACTTGGCTCACTTGCAAGAAAACAAAGGGTACACGTTAGAATACTGGCAGAAAATTAAGACTCAAGATAATTCAAGGGTCTTTTTTTTGTAGTGCTGACTAGAGCGATCTCCTCTTAACACATGCTTTGTAGTGCCATGCATGCCTATCCGAAAGGGAAGAGCTTGAAAGGGAAGGGGTGACTGTCCTCAGTTTCCTTCTTGGGAATCTGAAGAACTGAACTGCAGAAAGGAATTGCTTTGAGCTCTAAGAAAAGTGTTGTCAATGGTGTCGAAGAGCGCATCGACTGGATGGAGCCGTTTGTTATGATGATGTCCAGACGAGCATGAGAAATTGATTTTGAATTCGATTTCTTCTAAGCAATTTGTTGCTCGTGGTCCTTTCGATCATGCATATCTCGCCGTTTGTTCTCAAGAAATATAGCGAGCATTTGATTTATTTCAAACAAGGATGAAATGCATAGTGTTTTTATTGAGCGCGCATGTCGAGCATAGTAAGTTTAAAGGAATGAATTCACAATGAAATGTCAGTGAGAATGAAAGCGCTAATATTCGTCACAGTGGCAATCCGCAAGATGGGCACGGGCAGGCAGCGCTGAACAAAGGGATCAACGGCAGCGTTCGCGGTAGTCCGTCAAAGCACGACGACGATGCGTCTTCGAAACGGTCTGGGAAAATCGTCGCGGCCTCCTCCGAAGCGGGCAGCAGATTGCTAGCAGCAGGTGGTGTCGCAGCAGGAAACAGACGCGCGAAGCATGCAGAGGCTAAGGCTTCATCCAACAATTCTTGATATTCAAATCTCAACTAGAGGCATCATAGAATGAAAATTGACAGAGTAAGAACTATTGGTTGTCAACGGGATGAAGAAAGTCCTAAGAGGTCACAGAAGTAGATGCATGCGCTCCTCCAGCAAGGCGTTTAAGAACATGTTAGGGAACCTACCACATCTACAAGCTCTAATAAATGCTGGCTGCGCGTGGATCTTACTGTATTTGAGCTAGATAGATCGATCGAAGCAAGGCTCCAGAAGGAAGCTGAGGCAGCAGCAATGAAAGAGAAGCATCGATACGCAATCGCCCAGGTCATCGGCATTGCGCGATTTCCACAGAAGTACCAGTTCTGCACGAAAAATGGACACGTTTTCAAAACCGACATGATGGTACTAGAAATAGATGATTATTACAAGGGGAATGGTAGTCCTCGACCTAGATAGAAGTCCACCGCTCGGGCTCTAATGATTATGTAAGCGTTCTGAGGTTCATTAGCCCTTGTCTTTTTACTCCCTTCACGACATAGATATGAAGTTTTGGTGCAGCTACTAGCTACGATACTAGAGGGGAAAAACTGCCAGCTAGCGTCGGTCTGAGGCTTCTTATTCGTAGTGTTCACCAATTGTCCGAATTGCGTACAACAAGTTTTTCATGTCCAGGCAGCTTTGCTCAAAGAAATTTAATTACTTTCAAATAGGCACCATTAGCATTAGTTTTCCTTCATACTCTTTCTCAAGAGTCAGTTTCTTGATGTTGACAATGAAAATTCTCCTGTACTACATCATGCACATCTGGAAAAGCACCTAACAAAAAGGTTCGTCTCTATCGTGGGTTATGGACGCCAGCGGAAAACTTCGATAAGCCAGAAGCTGACATGATAGGATGGACAAAAGAGAGGAAAAGAGATGCGAAAACGCGTTTCAAGAATGTCACTCTGTGCGAGTTGGAAGCCGATACGAATCTCACTGAAGAAGAAGTCGCGAATATGCTCACGGTATCGATAATGAACCTAGTAGAATTTTACGTACTTAGTTGTAGTTTGTACACTTATGAAAAAAAAGAATCTTAGGCACATTGCCGGATAGATTAAAGTCATCAGTTGTAGTATGAACATCGCAGCATAACTTCTTCGTTGCCGCTTTGATACTCAATCCTAAGTAATACTTTCTCATCCAAATAAGAACAAATCTAAACTCGAACTGCAAACTAAACTCGATCGAAAGAACAAAACTAAACCGCAGATCGAGTGGTGCAATGAGGGACAGGAACCGTTCGATGACAAGATGGACTGTTGGCCAATTTTCGACCAAAAGCTAGCCAAAGCGAAACAATCAATCCAATTTGTACGAGACTTCGTCTTTGATGACCAGATCCTGAAAAGTATGTTACAGGGTCATCGCTTGCAGAGTGGGAGCGTGCGCAAGCGGGAGCTAGAAAGCGTACTATAATACTATACGATTTCAATCTTAGTACAACTTCTTCAGAAATAAGCTTTTGATGAAGATGATGCATGAAGATATATTTGTACCACCTATATTACCACGCAGAGCGCGAGCACTCGTCTTGTTGCTAGAGGAATTACACCCGTGTGTGTCCTGATGCATGAAAGATTCTCGTCAATAGATGCGGACTCAAGAAGATTTCCCTCGATCATTCCTGAAAGTCAAGATGAAGATCTCTTAGAAATGTGATGAATAACGTTCTATGTAAATGTATTTTCTTTGCCGCCACCACAGGAAATCGTTGCCTTGCAGTCTCAGTTGTCGGCTGAGGGCACGAGCGCGAATCGGATGACGGAAATCAGACGGGAGCTTGACGAGTGCAATGAAGAGCTGAAAGCGAGCTATGAGAGTGTCGCGAAAAATCGGCAACACTTTGAGAAAGACGCGCGCATGCTGGCTATAGTGAACGTGAATGCCCGTGTCGAGGAGCTGCAGAACGATCTAGATCATCGCCGTGCGGAGCGTGAGCGCAAGCTGGACCTGCGGCGACGTCGCGGTGGCCGCGGGGGGGCTGCGAGTCCAGCCCGCAGTGCGCCCGGGAGTCCGGGCGCCGGAAGTCCCATCGTGAGTCCCACCGGGAGCCCGCGTAGAGGCCCAGCGAGCCCCGGGGGAAGTCCCCGGAATACTGCGCACCGGCAGCCAGAAAAAGACAAATACTTGAACCCCTTCGCGCGAAAAGAGTGTGTGCCGCGGCACATGTGGGACGTCGAAAGCTGTCATAAGCACGTGCGAGCGATCGAACTGAGGAAACAGGGCATTGATCCGGCTGCGGCCGTCAAGGCTGCTGCTGCCGCGGTGAAGAAGAGTAGCTCCAAGAAACATGCGAGTTCCAAAAAAATATCTGAACGCAAAACTTCGAATCCAGCACCTGCGGACGTATTAACTTCTACTATAGGTGTTTGTAAGCTAGTCTGCTTCCTCGGTTGTTCGGATAATCTTAGTCCCTATTGCCAATCTTATGTGTAAGATATATAGTTTTTCTTGTCCTCTTGTTCCAAGTAGAGAAGCGGGAAAAAGTACTTGATCGGAAGATCCTTCCGTGACTTTTTGACAATCTCCCATAATGATCTTAGTTAATCCTTCGCCCTCGGTCATGTCGACTTCATCATGATTTTTGAACATGTTCCCCCTGCTCTCCTCTTTGTTGGACTCACGACCCCCAGAATGCGTCAACCACTACTACTACTATTGATCGATTTGATGAACTATTACTGATCAATATTGCTTGGAAAAACCTCATCATCATCATGGGCATAGGCAATTTTTTTTTTGTTCGACTAATCAACCCTAGCCTGTGAAGTAGGTCTATTTAACTAGCTAGTTAACTAGGTATGTTGATATCTGCAGAACCAGGCGGTTCTGCAGATCCGATCATTCACATTTCTCACGATTCAAGCCTTCACATCGTTCAGATCAGCCGGACCTTTTCTTGACCTGTCGCCAGACCAGTCCACTTGCCACTACACCAGCTGCCTGCCAGCAGCTGCCTCAACTTAAACTAGCTAGTTAACTACGTATCTACCTATCCTATACTTAGCCCTACTTAACTGCCATAGTAAAATTTTTTTTTTTTGCCTGTGCCCATGATGATGATGAGGTTTTTCCAAGCAATAATCAAATGTGTCAACCGCTACTGATGACAAAAGGTATCTACGGCCGGCGGCGCAAATGGCTTAGATAAAATGATGATGGATGATCTGGATGACGTTTTTGGCGACGGATTTGCTCTCGGGCAGCAGGCGACGCTCGCTGATACGCAAGCAGCGACGCAGGCTGCTACACAGGCGGCAGAGGACGTCTCAGCCACAGCTGGTGTCGGTGGGAGTTCAAAAGCTGCTTCGTCCTCTCCTTCGAACGGCTCCATGAGTGCTCATGGTGAGAACAACAAGAGCAAAAGCTCAGACACTACTTCTACTCGAAAGACGGTGTTAGATTAAGGCTCCACACAATTCACTTCTACATCAAGTCATTTCTCACTTGTTCCGTTTTATTGGGAGATGAAATGCAGGTAACAAAAAGTGAATTTTTTGCGCTCTAATTTGAGGACTCTAGCGGAGAGACGGACGGGCCACCCGCGAAGAGAAGAATGCAAGGAAGGCAGAAAGTCTTCTCGGACATGGAGACCGGCGAACCACAGCCGTCGCATCCTATGCTGCAGTTTTTTTCCCCAGAACAATTCATGCAAATCGTTCAAGATTCGATGAAATTCGGAGGGCCACCGTCGACTACTACAATGTCTACTACAACAATGTCCTCTAGTACCTCGAGGAGCAGTAACCCTAGAGGACTGGAGAAACAGGAAAGCACAGAAGCGGAACAAAAACCTCCAACATCTCCAAAACAGCAATCTACTACCACCACAACGAGTTCTTCAAAGTCTACTTCTGGTGCAAATCTTTTTGTCGAACAGGAAGATAACAAGGGAGCTTCAAAGAGTCTTTCCTCCAGTCCGACCGGTACATCTACGGCTGCGCTAGGAGCTTCCTCAAATAACCCTTCTTCACGTGGGGGTTCGGAACGCAGCTCACCTGACCTTGTCACAGATCCTGCTATCGACGGCGGAGAAGGTGAAGGACCGATCGATGGGACTACTGGCACTGGCCCTGGCGATGCAACCGCGAGCAACAAAATGGATGACGTGGTTGGTGAAGATCAAGATCCTCTCATCGCAGAAGAAGACGACGAGGAGGAAGATATCTTGGACATTGACGCGATGCGCACGCCTGGTTTTCACCAGGGTCATTTGCTCCATAAAATGACAGGCGCATCGGCGATCGCAGGATACACATCGGGCGGCGGAGCGATCACCCCAGGTGATAGCCTCACGCCTGGTGGCGTCTTCGGTGGTGGTTACACTCCTGGCGGATACACGCCCGGCGGTGGTTACACTCCTGGTGGTTTGCTGGGTCCGTTGTCGGCCATCCCGGAGAGCGAAGCGGCGAACACACCAGCGGCAGGTAACGTGACCCCAGGTCTTGAGGCGGCCGGAGCTGCAGCACAAACGCGTTTGGGACGTGCGCCTGCGGTGGGAGGGTCGGTTTTGACGAATTTTATGATGCAGCAAGAGCAGAGTGCAACCCCGTCAGGTGGAGTCAACAAGCCACAACAAGAACAAAGTGCTATAAATGCTGCCGCAGGAGAAAGCTCATTAGCGGGAGAGTTGGATACAGCACTAGGGTCAAAAGCAGAAGTAGAAGCGCCAAAGCAGCCCCAGTTTAGTCTGTCAGAACTCCTCGCCGCAAACAAAAAAGGCATCGACCTATCAAGTTTTGTTCAATCACCAAGTGCAAGGGGTGATTTGGAGTGATGCTATTACGATTTTTGCAGTACTTTTACTTCACAGAATTTTCAAAAGATACATACAAAAAGAGGAAACTAAAACACGCAAAGAGCGGATCTTTTTGCCGCACCAAAAATGCAGTCCTTAGAAGGGATAAACTTAACATGCAAACTATGTAATTTTTTACCCATTTAGATACGCCTTTCCAGCGAGTTCTCACGCAGAATGAGACAGCTTCGTCATAGTAAATTAGCAGAAGAGGATTACTTAGACATGTAAAAAACTACTTGTTCTTGGGATTGGGAGTCAAGAGGGTAGGTTCTTCGCTTTGTTTTCTATTTTTCTCGCGCGCTTTGGTTTAGTCTTAACAACCGCGTGGTGCTTGCATGCGCATGGGAAGAAGAATCGCAATTTATGCAATCTGGGAAATCAAAATGATTACTTCGTATCTTAAAGATTAACAACAAGATGGCAGAAAAATGAGAAATTGTTAAAACCATTCTTGAAGAAATCTTTAAGTTTAACTTCATTTCTTGGGGTATTAATGTAAATAATCTAAGCGTACGAAAAATGATTTCTTTTGTAGGAGTCACAGTCGGCGTGGGAACAAAGACCGTTGATAAAGATTGCCGCCGTGAAGCTCTGAAGCTTCCCCTGGCTTTCTCCGGGACTTTGCATCCATAAAGTTGTGAACAAAAAGGACGTCGAACAAATGACGCTGGCACGACAGTCTAACAGAATGACAATTATCTTCATGATGCATAAGAGCCACTATATCTATAGTTTACCTAGAGTAATGCCTCTGTACTCAAGCAACACTAGTAGGGCCACTAGTTTGATAGTGCTGGCCGCTTGCCGAGAAACTCCCATGGAGTTGTCCTCCTTGTTCCTTGTCTGCCACCTGTGAAGCGCCAGTGCACACGGATCTCTGTGATGAGGTAGCTGGGCTCACACGCTCTACTGCAAGCGCATAAAAAGGTGTTTCTGTCTCTCTGTTACCGCGAAGTAACCTCAAGTTCGGTTGACTCCTGTGGGTGACTCCTGTGATCTCCTGTGGCTACATCACGATCAGGGAAGCAAGACTATCAAGTTGGCAGCCTTTTATGATAACAGGCAACTCTGTTTTTGCTGCTGCGACCTGGTGAAAGATTCATTTTCTTGTGTCTTTCCAAATATAATAGACCACCAGTAGTGTTCGTGCTTTTTGTTAGGAAAAGGCAAGTTTAGAAAAAAAAGAATACAGAATGAGAATTCGAATTGTGTGAGAACCGCAATTCTCTTGAAAGTAAATTTTCTCTTTAACCAGTTGCTTATTCATACGACATGATAGTAGAAGTGAGAAAAACTTGCCTCTTCTACAATCGAAGATTCTTGAGGAGCTTTATGTATCCGTATTAAGCTTATTGATAAGATAGACTTTGTTGAGGCCTTTTTATTTTGGTCGAAGGAAAGTAAGGTTAAAGCTCTTAGAGATTGTTTTTTTTTGAAGAGAAACAAAGAATGGCGACGTCTCGAATACTAGGAATGGTCCAAAAAATGGACCTTGTTGGTCTGGTGATGCAGGCGCTCAATGTCGCGACCTTGATGGGCAGCATTGGCTTGAAAGCGCCACAGATTTTCAGAATATGGAAGCTTCGAAGTGTAACCGGAATAGCAGAAACGATGGTGATCACAGAAGCACTCAGTACTTCATTGTCCTGTGCTACTCAGCAACGATAGTCATCACAGAAGCACTCAGTACTCTCGTTTCAACTTCACCTCAACTTCATTTACTGTTTACTAGTACTTTTTGACTTTGAGTTCATCTTCATACTAGAGCAAAACTGGATTGTCTAATTCGCAGTTTAGTTTTCGGGTTCCTTTTTTGCTCAACGAACCAACGCGTATTAGCAACCAGAGTTTGGAGGATCTGGATTAGGAACTGTATTTCAACAAGAGATAATTAGACACTGGCGTTTTACACCCGATCCCATTGATGATCTGGGTATATAGTGATCAATGAGTGAATCGTTTGCGTAGGTGTAGGGCCTGGCCGTTGTGCTTCAGGCTTCCCGTTGGGTATTTAAATAGAACGATAGGAGCGGGAAACTGTAGACCCAGGCACCAACAAAAAAAGCGAACATGCTAGGTAAATGAATGAATGAATCGTACTACCAGATAGCGGCCTGAGTACGACCTACGCCTTTCTAAAGGGGTTCCCATTCGGCACGTGGGGCGAGTCCGCTTTTATATGGGTCCAAACGTTGATGCAAGTCGGGCTATTCTGGAAATTCTCGCCAAAACTTGATCTATTCTTAAGGCTACAAGAAATCCATCTTCACAGGCATCGATCTTGGTCCCGTTTTTCAAGGGAAAAGGGGGGCCAGGATGCTCCTGCGGATGGATTTCCCTTAGTTCTAATATTCCCGCGATATCTTGCGGGCATCATCTACGTGCTTACTTTCGTCGTCGTCTTGAATCACGGACATGTACTGATACATTTAAAAAGTTTCATCTGCAACCACTTTCTTCGTGATGAAAAAGGGCCTAGGTAGTAGTTGTTATCCTTAGAATTTGATGATTTCAGGACATAGCGATTTTGTTGTTCCTGGTCGCAATAGATATTTTTCAGGTTCTTCGTCGTGTTGAAAGGCCACCTGTGACTTACCTTCTAACCGAGGTAGTTGGTGCTCATGAGGAGGCACGACGATTATTGAAGCATAAGCGTTTGTGAAGCTATGGTTTCAAAAAACAGATACTTCTAGACGACTTCGTGATCGACACGATTGGGCTGATACCGTCAGGGCTCGGTACCGCCAGTAAGATACCACAAATCTGGCGCAATTACTCACAGGGACACACGGGCACGCTCTCTTTAATTACCTGGATGCTTGCATGGGCGGGTTGCGTCGTGCGGGTCGCCACTACAGTCTACTTCTTAAAAGGCGATGCGGTGACACTTGTAGGGCACGCGTCAGCGGTCTTTTTGAACGCTATCTTGATAGCGCAAATACTCATTTATTGGAAAAAGACAAACGCGGTTTTGGAGAAGGAAGCGGGGAAAAAGGACGAGTGAGGTCACGGATCAATACACTCGCAGTCGCTCCCCTACGCCGGTAGCTAGGTGCGTGGAAAATATGTAGGCAGGTTCTTAACGGAACTTGCTCGCGATACAAAAAAAAGCATTCGCGCCATGCTGATTGAGATGAGTTATGAGCTGAGTTATCCCTTTTATGACTATCCATCGTCGATCCTGCTTCGTGCTGCCTTGTTGAAACGCGCCCCTCCCGTTTCCCCTTGAATCGTGTAAATTAGCGCAGAACCACAACCCCAGTTGTACACAAATCATCTGGTTTTTTTTTAAGATCAAAAGCACCTTTAAGTGTGAATAAAAATGTCAAAAGCGCTCAGGTTGTTCTCGTCTTTGACGGATAGGACAAGCTTTAAGCACGCGCGAATGATAACTTATTCCCAGAATGGGTACACGACTACTACTACACAAAGATGAAATGGCAGAACCTGTTAGACATGACCGATCATCCATGTGTACATCTCCGAGCCCCATGATCAGCGGATCCTCGCCTTTGATCTGACCTCTCTGTATTATCAAGTTGCCTGTCATCCTCTCAATCCTTATTATTGGACAGTTTTGAAGTAAGTGATCCTTGTAAAAGTATGAATAATCCTGTTGTAGAACATACTTCTTAACAGAATATACAAGCAAATGAATGAATGAATGAATACAATTAAGAGTATGACATGATAGTGCTGAAGAGAGTGTAGCAGTACTTTTTTCGTTTTCCGTTTTGTCTAAACTTTTTCAAGATGTTGTTGTGCTGATTGACACAAATAAGTTAGTTTTTAGATTTAGAAACGTTCTGTAACTGTCTTCAAAATCCCATCAACGATTTGAACTATTCCGCCATCGACGTTGTTCATTTGGTAGTTCTATTTATTTCGTGTAAAAAAGCAAAATGCAGTCGTTTGATGTGCAGGCTGCGCCACGGCGGACCGAGGAGGGCGGTCCGAACGCCGGCGTCATTATTGCAGCTGCAACAGGATTTGTAAAAAGGAGGCCCGTAACCGTCTCCTTGTGGGTCGTTGGCCTTCTAGTCGCAGCCTTGGGGAATGGGTTTGCGGTACTAGCACTTAAGAGTGAGATGTACTAGCACTCAAGAGTGAGATGGACCATCTTAAGGATGCGTTTGAAATGAGAAAGCAAATAGCCTGCCAGGGGATTCATATCTGGATAGCCTCTAGGCTATTTTATGGACCGCTTAAATATGCCTATGCCATTGACCGAAATCAATGATGTTTTTCGTTTTTTGTACTAACGCTAACTTGTGGAGCGATGGTTGTTTGTCGTTTTACTTCTGCCTTTATTCTTGATGCGAACAACATTTTTCAAGAATAAGTAGATCCATTTTCTGAAAAAATGAATCACGCCAACAGCTAGTGGTAAGTAGCTAGAAGATCTTTCTCGCACGCAAAAATCGTAGGTAAGCATGCAACAGATGGAGACATATCAAGACGCGATGTCGCATGCTCATCACGTAACGGATAGAGAGCTGGGTCAGGCACGAAGGTTATTCAAAGAGGCAGACCAAAGATATTACAACGCGAAAGGCTGGTTTTGGAGCTGCGACGCAAATTGTCAAAAAATGCTCAGTAGGCGAGACTTGGCGCAAGCCAGATTGCTGGAGGTACATACTTCATGACGTTAAAAGTGTATGGTTTTTTACTCTAGTCGTGGTGTCGTGTTTTACTCGTGTAGTGGTGTCTTACTCAATCGTGTTGCTCGGCCATCTGTGAGTTTTGCGGGCGGGTATCTTCTGCACCGCGCTTGCCTTGCACTGATAATTTGACTGACGCGGCTTTCTTTGTGTACAAAACAGGTAGAGTCAAAGCGTGACAACCTCATCAAAGAAGCACGACAAACAGTAGGGATATGGTCCACAATTGGCGTGCAAGAGGTGCGGGAGCGCTTCTGGGGAGCATGGGAGCAAGGAAAAGAAACTGCGAAGAGATGGACCATGATGGACGCAATCTTCATGGCATTACCCGGCGATAGGGAACGCACCTTCGTGCAAGTCATCCTGCAGATCATATTTCAGTACTTCTACAAAAGATTTTGAGTTTCTTGGATTGTGAACACAACAATTGTGCTTACAAAGACGATAAATTTTAGTTTTAGATACGGGGAGGTAACTGTTGTACAGCTAAACTGCCTTTTTCTAGGATAGATTTTGCTGTCAAAAAATCAGTGTCAATCCCCAATCAAAAAACCCAAGGTATTTGACGAATCTGACTATTGGAATGATCTCGGCGATGTTCATCTTTCTGACGAATGTTGCGTACCTAGTCTACAACTACGGGGAGAGCTTTTTAAGCGGTATCGCGTTCTTCGCTCTGGTGGTAGTAAGCTGTGTTGCCGTGGTATCGACGTATCTCGGCGTCCTAGGCGGCGCAGTAGTCGGCGGCGTCACCTACGTTGTAAACAAGGAGCAACAGCGGCTAGCCGGCGGAGCAGAAAGAAGAAGAGTCAATTACAACAGTTCTGGCGCTAGTGGATACCGGCGTCCCCATCACGATTAGTAACTTGCTTCTCCAATTCCTTTTCCTACAATTCTCATCTCAGTTACTTGACTTAGCATCACTCTCTGCCCCAAACCCTCCCCAACGCTACATAGTACTCCCAACAGTACTAGTTGTGACACCAGCAAAAGCGCTTGTGCGAGAGAATTCCAACACGCGAAACTAACCCTTGTTGTTGGATGTCGCACGAGTGCCAGGTCCCGCCCGGGCCCATGTGAAAATCACCGATGAAAAACAAAAGAGAAATTATGTATTTCGACTCGTCCTTTTGCTGGCTGAGTATAGTCAATGACTTTTCTTTGACGCTCAGCGGAGGTGACACAAGATTTGAAAGCATTGTTCGTTCCTGAAAAACGAGTCTCTTGAGAAGAGAGGCTGTTGTGTCTCGTGAGAGGGCGCCAAAGGGGGAGACGAGAGAGAAAATCTGAACGATCGAGTGGGACTGAGATATTGCAAAAATAGAAAGATGGAAGGCAAAATAACCACTTCTTATAGCACGAATTTCGAGTCGTTTTATGAGAGAAGTCTTGATTGTGTTCCTGAAAGTGGGAGGCGGCAGACCACGTAGAAAAACTCAATCAGTTTTTTGATAGAAAGAGTCTGATTCAGTACCGACTTCGCCCCTTGAGCCATGCGGTACTTTCTTGTCTGGTGGAAGACTCATAATATTTATGTGTGCAGTTGATCACGAATGCTTGGTCGGCTTGCACACTCGTCTTCACATGGAAATGGACGATCGTTATACATTTCATGATTCAAAACTGCATGAACAGGCATCCTCATTGTTTTATTTTACAACCCCCTCAAGTGAAAGTTCGTTTCCTCGAAAAAGTGCTCGAAAATTTATTGCAACATATATTTCTAACAGCAAATTGAGACGGACGAGTCACTGTCAGTTGTGACTATTCGATTGTATTGCTCCTTTTGTTTGACCTTCAATGCGTTTGCCGTGAGCTCGGATGATGTTTTTGTCATTTGAGCTGAATGATTAAGAACATATGAAAATTGCGTGTGAAGAGAAACACTACTGACAGACTACATTTGCATTTGCTATGTATGATATCTTCTACTTATAGAATTGCATGACGTGGCACACCTCAAAAATAACCCTCTCATTGCCGAAAGGCTAAAAATTAATATTGTGACTCTAGCGCCGTTTGCCTACTTGCTTTAAGAAGCACTATACAGATCATTGTTGGACAACAGAAAAAAGGACTAACCAATATAATTCGAACGGTGCGGAGAAAGAAATGGCAGCAGGCACATATGCGCTGCTACGCGTGTGTTGTTGTGGTGTTTTGACTTCTCAGTTTCGATGAGGCGTACAACGCGACGTGTAACGCTGGTCGGGCTTGCGCTCAGCGGCGCATCTTCCGCCTCAGCAGACTCGACGAGGAGTGGGAAACGCAGGGCCGCGACTAAAGGCGGTGAAAGGAAGCAGCCGCCTGCATCTGCACAGCGACCGCCTGTGGTAGATCATGACGAGCTGCACGATGGAGAGGCACACGCACAGCACCGGAGAGCGGAGGCTTTTGTGCCTGGTAGCGGAGACCCGTCTTCGGCCAAGAAGCTTCAGTCGGCAGCTTCTCCTGGTAGTAGAGTAGAGAGCCGCAGCCATGTGACGAGGGGAGATCCTGACGAAGAACAAGATGAAGAGCCGAACAGAATCGAGCCGTTGCTAGAAGACACGGCTTCGACATCGGATGCAAGGGACGAAGAGCTAGGACCGCTGCCACCCGATGCAAAGTTGAGGCGGCAGGGTGAGTTCCCGTATGCAGATCGCGTCGCCGACAAAGACCGGCCACAGCAGCCAGCCGTTTTCGACCATCGCGGCAAGGAAATGGAACGAGACCCGAAGACGGGGAGATTGCTAAAGCTCTACGACCCAGACACGGGAGAGCTAGCAAGGTTGTTCGACGAACACGGTCGCGAGCTTGTCGTAGTCGACGTCGCGCGCGGTAAGCAAAGCACGCTGCAACATCATGATATGGAAAATGTTGTTGTTGGCGGCGGACAGGTACACTCATCAATCGACTCCAATAGAGGCACGTCGAGTACCAGCTCGTCAGCAAGAAGAACTGAAGGCAGAATGCTGGACAGCCAAAAGCGCAGTGAGCAAGTTCGCGCGGACGCGACAAGCGTCGACTCTTCCGCTGAGTCCTCGTCAAGTACAAGCTCTCAACGACCTGGAGACCACCACACACGAACTGTGAGCGCCAAAGCGCTGCAGGACGGGCGGTTACAAGAAGGAGGCTCGTCGTCATCAACTGCCATGCAGCGTCGTCATCTACCGCAATCTTCGTCGAAAGACGAGAAGCAATTTGTTACTTCTTACAGTTTCGAACCAGGACGTGAAGATCTCGACGCACAGAATGTTGAGATAACCTGGATTGAAGCCACTTCTACTAAAACGGAAGGCCCTAATCCTAGAGGTGGCCCATCGAATGTTGAAGCTGAAGACACTCGCGCCCTAGAGGGAAGAGGTAGCACGACCACGACGAGTAAGGGAGGTGAACACCGGCGTTTGCTGGGAGAGCCGCAGGAAGATGTCGGTTCGCCGGAAGAAGAAGAGTTTTCTCCAGGCACACGATCAAGAACGCTAGGTGGAGAGGTGGTTGAGGTTGCAGAGAATGAAGATCGTGCGTCGTCATCTGTTTTGGCCGAATCTCGTGCAGCACCGGAATTAAAGCAAGGAAGTCGACCGTTGCCGTCGGCCTTTCGAGGAGCAGGTCCATATGCTGAAGATAGTCCACGACCGGGCAAAAAAAACTATGATAGTGCCCTTTATCGCAGCACCTTTCACAAAGATCTGCCCGAAGACCTGGCAGTGCGGCAATTGCAACCTGGAATCTTTGTCATGGATCGAGCGAGCGCATTTTCGAAAGAGGCCTCGCTCGTGCAAAAACTTTTAGAATACTCGCTTTCAGGTGGAACGCAGCATGGGCTGTTCTCTACATCGCCACTGGGAGAAGCGGCGTCCTTGGGTCTTTCAGGAGCTGTACTGTCGTCCGCACAGCATCCCCCAGCAGAAGTCTCGAGCGTTGAAAGCGTGACGGTTTTCAGCACCACGCCAGCGGGTGTCTGGTCCCAAGTGAGTACCACGACAGTGGTTCACCGTGACGGGTCGCGCGAACATAGCGAAAGTCAATCCTTGATGAGTCCCTTGTCTGAACCGCGCTCGCAGCCGCCAGCAAAAGACAAAGCCGACAAAGCTCAGACAACAATGGCTTCTGCAAACGGGAAACAAAAACCTGAGGATACTGGCAAAGAAAAAGCGTCTGCGGAAGACAAATGCTTCTACCAGAACACAGTCTGCAGAGAGTGCAATGGCCGGGATGATTGTCTAGAGCGGAATCAGCTTAATTTGCTCGACTACGGGGACGTTGACGAGGATGGGGGAGGACTCTCTTCTTCAGCTTCCTCGTCAGCCTCTTCTTCCAAGCAGCCGCCCCGTTCCAGCGACGCTGAAACCCCCTCTGCCGCAGCGGCACCCACCACTGTAGAAACGAGCAGACGAAAGCTTGTGCTGGTGAGAAAGTTGCAGGAAAGAGACGAAGCTCGACGTCGATCGCAAGAGGAGGTGCCCTGGCCTCACGATTCATCTGCAGACTCCGCGAGTGGAGGCCCATCGCCCTCCTCGATAGGTGCGAGAGATGTTGTCAGTGTGCCAGAAGAGCATCGCAAGGAGGGCGACATATCCTTCAACCACGAAGTGATGGCAGAACTCTCTGCTCGCCGCAGAGCAGCGGAGAGAGGTGGGTCAGCGATGGCACATGTCGGGGCGACCACAGATACTTCTATGCGTAGACACCCGAAGAGCCTGGTTTCAGCAGCAGTAGAGCAGCTGAGATCCTGGCAGAGCATAGGTGAAGAGTTGGCTGCGTCCTACATGAAGCGAGAGGGGACTGACGAGCAATTCAATGCAAGCTTAGAAGCGGAACGCGTGAGGCGGCGACAGCGGCGACGGGAGGAGGCGCTCGCCTTTGCGAAGTCGAGACTGCTAGGGATCAACAAGCAACGCTTTTTGAGAACTAGAGATCCTAGCCTTGTCTCGGACCAGCAGGCCTCAAGGGGGCAGCAGCGGAGAACAGCGAGAGTAAAGCAGCGGACGGGAGTAGACTATGTAGAGGATTTAGACAATATGGATCCACCAGAGCTTCGATATCGGCAACTGATGGAGCGCGAGCTTGCCAGTCTTCAAAAACCGAGCCAGAGTCCTACACCGGAAGTCTACAGCAAGCTTTCAAAGCGTTTACGGGCACAGGTAGCGGAGGAAGTCGCGTCAGGCGTATTGCCGTCAAAGCTAGATCATCAAAGTCGTGCGAGCACGGTGATGCGGAAGAGCACGTCGTCCTGCGACAAGATGTCTAGTTGGGAAGACGAAGATGATGCGATGCTGGGCGAGGCACTAGATAGTAGCAGGAGCTACTCGACGTCCTCGACCAAAAATAGCAGACCGCTCAAGGTCTCGGCGTTGTCTGCTTCCTCCCCCAGGCATCGCCGGTTAGAACGGAAACTCAAGGCGGAGCGGCGCCAGCGTTTGCCGGCGCCTGGGTCGCTGCGTCAGCTGCAGGACGACGCATCGCTGATTGCGTGGAAGACGACGATGGGATTCACAGACGAATGCATCGGGTCCACCGGTAACTCAACGTTGAGGGAACTTGAGGAAATAGCGCCGGGTCCAGGTGGGAGGAAACGAGGCGTGATCGCGCAGCTAGAGCGGCAGATGGAGCGGGATCGAAGGAGGCACCTACGAAGACTAGATGGGCAGTACGTGGCACGGCGCTTGTTGGGTAGTCCCACGAATTTCGGTAAAGAATCTGACTTCGAGGTGTTACGCAGTGTGGTCGAGCCCGCGCCGCTGACCTTAAAAGACCCGGCGAAGTTGCTGGCGCGACAGCGCGAGCTGCAGACTTACCTGAAGAGCACCTTCACCGGTCAAACGGACCAGTGTCTCTGCTACCACGAGAATACCATTTTCAAACCTGTATTGGACCTGTTCCCCGTTATGCTGCCCGACTTCCGGGAGTGCCTCACGAAGCATTTCGCTATGGGCGATGCCTGGGAGAGCGTCTGCACGCTGGACGACGCATGTAAATACGCCAGCCGCATCGCTGCGGAGATGCAACTAGTGGATGAGCCGCGGGAAGACTGCAACTGCGAGCTGTGCACGTGGGGCGAGGCTTGGCACGCGCCGGGACAGTCGTCTGCGAGCTGCCCCAACAACCACGCCGAGCTGTGGCGCGAGATATGCCAGCCGTGCAAGAAAAAGAGCAGCGTTGACATTGCGGCAATGAGCGACGCGGATGTGCCGAAGCGGGACCGCTTCGAAAAAATCGGCGAGAAGGGCGAATGCACCGACAAGAGCCTGCGTTACGTGCGTGGCCGCGGTGGCGTGGCCGAGTCGCACACAGCGTGCCGAGACATGTGCTGGCAAGCAGTGGGCCTCGACTGCTTAGGCTACTCCTACTACCACTGCTCGAAGCGGTGTATCATTCACTTGCGACTTGAGGGCATGAACAAACTTTCGCGGTGGACCAAAGTGAAAGGCGAGGGCGACATTATCCACGGCACGGACGGTGCCTGCGGCAGCGAGTGCTACCGCGTCACCTACGGACAGTGCCCGCCGGGTCAGATCGCAAGCGGCGGAGTCGACGTTACGTGGGAGTCGACAATGGTCTACGGCCAGAGCGAGGTCTTCAAATGTCCGAGTCCTTACACCGGGCAGGTGACCATCACCTGCGGCGGAGCTAACAGTCAGACGGTCGAAGGCATGTGCCTTGAGCCCTGTCCGAGTGGTTCGCTGGTACTTCAACATCATATCACGCAGTAGCAGCTCATCATCATTTTGTGATTTTGTTTTTCATTTTGCTCTCGCTTTTCTTTGCTCGCAAGTGCCGTTGATTTTCCAGAATCGAGAGCTGCTTCCTTTTATGTATTGTGGGTTTCTGCCTTGCCAAAGTGAATGTTTTCTACCATTTCCAACGTTTTCTGTCGTTCTCGAGTCGAGTTGGCTTACTGCGATGATCCTACAATGAATGTGTCTCAAATTATTGGAAATACACTCTCTAGTATTCAATAAGCAGAAAGTAGCTGTTCGCTTGTTTTTCATTGCAAATATTCCTAAGGAACTCCGCGACTATCAAGGAGCCAATTAGGTAGTTAGTTTCGAATCCGATATTGGTATTCATCTTTCATCTATGCAACAGCAATGGCAACAGTAACTAAACCACACACAATAGGGATCTCACTAGTGTTTCTTATCTTCACGAACAGATCTACCGGCCGGGGCTGAGTCCGATCCCATATCCTGTGACGCCCATCGCAACACGTAGAAGGCTTCCCTGTCCATTCGATCCTACGAATCCGTCTTCGAATATTGAGTTGCTGTGTCAGTCAGACCGATCTATTTTGATCGTTTCGCCCAATTGCGGCGCGAGCTGCGCTCCCGGTATGTACACGCTAAGCATCGGTGGCGGCATCATTCCCTACGATTTCATGACGCATCGGCAGCGCTTGGACTATTTCCAGTGTCCCTTTGGCTACGTCGGCGTGCTCGACCTCATCTGCATCGATGGCGTGGTCACGGAACAGCGAACGCCAGGGACCGGCTGCTTTCTGCACTGCTCAGCGGTGCATGCTATGGATGTACCGCGTGCGGAGGGGAAAAACAGCACGTCGCTGGACGTCCAGCTGCGCGCAGAATTCAATCTGACGCAGCCCCAGTGGATCGGCAATCCCTCCCGTCTGTATCAGAACGAGACCTTGCAACTCAGTTCGATGAGTTCGCAGTTCCTGGAAGGCATTTTTTTCAAACACGGCACACTCCTCGATGCCCCTTGTAAGCCCTCGCCGCTTACTTACGGCATTATCCGAGTCAGCTGCAACAACGGGATCATCGAAGCGCAAGATGAGGATTGCAAGTACATATTTGTTGAGACATTGCGTGGGGAATCGCGTGCTTATTTTTGATATTTTTGCTGTCTAACCATTTCAGCCAATGACGTTTTTTGGTATCTCTACCCCCGCAAAACATATTTCTGCCGTCTATTCTGGTCGACTATTACTAGAGGGCACGCCTCAGAGGCGCAGACGTGGATCCTCACCATGAGCGCCATTCGTAAAGTATCTCTCGCGCAAGCCACTGCGATCTTGTGGACAACGGCTTCGTAATTGCTGAGGCTGGCAACAGAGCCGGCAACCAAGAGGGGGCGCTGTGGTCAGTGGTAGGACGGCTCGCCCGTTTTTGCGCCACCCTTTTGCCTTTTTCTCGGGACTTCCCTGCCTTATATCGCCATTTTTCGCACCATCTTCCGAAAGGAAGAGCCTTCTTCTCAAAGTGGGCCGTTTGCTTTTCGAAGAAAAGCGTCGTCTTCCCGACAAGAAGCGCACATAAAGACATCGAACTGCTCGTTCGCCGAGGACTCATATTGAGTTCGACGTTTACACATGATTATACGAAATGGAGCTTCCTGCGTCGAAAAGGGCTTTTTTTTTATCTTCTACCCCCGTAACAGATATTTTCGTACTCGTTTCTTGTGTGCCCATCTTTTCGATGCTGTTGTTGGTTGGACCTCCTTCGGGAGTCATCCGTTAAAATTGGAACGATACAGAGAAGATTAGCATGGCCCCTGCGCAAGGATGACACGCATAAATCGAGAAGTGTAAACAATTTTTTTCAATATTTTCCTTTTCGCGCAGCACATTACCGGGTTCCAGGGTATCTTCAGCGTAGTTCACAAGTGCGCCTCTCATTCTGGCGGTAGCTTCCCGTTCAAGCCGCAGCATCCCCTTCATGTCGTATCCTTCCCTTTTTCGGCCGATTCGGCCTGTTTTACGAGGTAGCATCGTCCTCAGTGACAACATAGCCTGGTTTGTACGGACGTCTTCTCGATTCTAGGCCGCTTGTTTCACCCATTTTTTCAGACAGTCCAATTCACCGTGCTCTCTCAGCTTTTCAAGGTCCGTTGAGCATGCCTTGCAAGGCTGATTTAGGGGCCTTTTCGATCTTTTCAAGGCTAACTGCGCCTGCAGCTTTCCCTGCTGCAGACCTCGAACGCCAGCCTAGAATGTGCCTACCCGTACCACGCACCATAAAATCTTGGCACCATTTCCCATTTGTCCGCCAAATTGCTTTCCCAGGTACAACTGCCCAGCCGGAGAAATTGAGGCTGCTGAGGGTGGACACAGTCTGAAGATGTACCATTCTTATCTGCCCGATTGGCACTCGGTTGAGGTCGTTTGTCCTCCTGCGCAGTGGACCGGCACCGTGCAATTGAGCTGCCGCAACGGGGTTCTGTCTCGACGGGAAGGGGGCGTCTGCATGCGACACTGCAACGTGGATTTTCTCGTGAGCAACGGCCTCAACATCTTCATCGGGAAGCAGCTGAAGCACAACAGCACAACTGCGGTCGACTGCGTGGACGGCGGGAACCCCAACTTCGCGGGTAAGCTCAAAGTGCACTGCAACAACGGCGCCGTTGCTGTGGAGGGCCGCTGCGGGAAGTTTTGTGGACCCACGATGATTGTCTCGAACGACGCGATGGTGCTCACCTTCCGGCAGGACCACGACGAAACGCGCGGGTATCCCTGCCCCAGTCCGTGGACCGGAACGCTGTCCCTGCTGTGCGACGACAAGAACCTGATTACACTTGCCAGTTGCGGACAGCGGTGCGACGCTAGCACGATTCTGGTCCGAGGCGTGACGAACATGCCCTTCCCGACCGTGAACGACGTCGCGATGGGTATGCAGGGCATCGACCACGGCGACGTGTATGAAGCCGGTTGTCCCGCTGCAACGGATGCTTTGTCTTATACGGGAAACCTCTTCCTGCAGTGCGACAACGGTGTCACCAGCGTGCGTTCGGGTCATTGCTACTTCAACTGCAATAAGATGGTGGTCAACTCGGGAGGGTTCCCGCAGTCGATCGAGTACATGGCCCACAACACTACGGGACCAATCACCTGCGCAGCTGGCTTGGACACTGGATACCTCATCCTGAAGTGTTTCGACCAAGAACTGGAAATTCTAGAGGGAAGTTGCACCAATTCTCCATGTAGTGCTGGAGTAGTATCCGTCGCTGCAACACGATTCCTGCCACTCCCGCACCCGCTCATCTTTCACTTGAGTACTTACTAATCACTCCCGCACCCGCTCATCTTTCACTTGAGTACTTACTAATCACTCCCGCACCCGCTCATCTTTCACTTGAGTACTTACTAATCACTCCCGCACCCGCCATCTTTCACTTGAGTACTTACTAATCACTCCCGCACCCGCTATCTTTCACTTGAGTACTTACCAAGGTCACCTGAAGTGTCAACATGTATTATGAAATTAGTACCTAAGTGACATACTCTTTTGTTTGAGAAAGTGTAAAGGTTTTGGTCTTCTTCGGTTTCAAATCATTATGAACTTAGTCTTTTGTCAAGACAAATTTAGTAACTAATGCATGGATGCACAATCATTTTGCTCGTTGTACTTGGCATCGCATTCGCATCTTTGATGTAGAACTTCGGCTTTGATGGTATCAACAGCTCCTTCGAAGGAAGTCATTATCTATTCTGGTCTAGACTCTGTCAGTCTCTAGCTCTACCACTACTTGTACTACTTCTTGTGAAAAGAACTGAATGATTACCTTCGCGTATTTCTAGTCTTACCAAAAAGTTTGAATTTTTGAGATCTGAATGATCAACATCAGGTTCAACCACCCTCGCGTGTCCGGAACCGCTGACTGGTATGCTGACGCTTGCCTGCAATACGCAAGTTATTTCTGTGCCTTTCAGTGATTGCGGGGATCGGTGTCAGATCAATGGTACCATTCTTCCGAACATCATCAACAACCTTGGTTTGCCGATTTATGGGGGAATCCGCGTTGCCACGCCGTTGATGGACCACAGCACGCGGCAAACGGTTGCTTGCCCTGGCCAAACGAAGGGAATGATCACCTTCGAGTGCCAAGACGGCACCCCGAAGCAGGTGGACGGCGGCTGCAACAATCCTTGTCAGCCCTCGCAGTTCACGACGCCAACCGGCGCGATTGTGCAGATGTTGTACATGGAACACAATGAGACCAGGTACGGCATGGAATGTCCCATCGGAACGACGCGAGGAGGAACCATCGACGTCACGTGTCTTAACGGAACGCATCACCGAACAGGTGGCGTCTGTCTCACGGATTGCCCTGCTCGCGAATTCACAAGCAACACAGTCATGCTGAGACACCCGAGCATTGCGTACTTTTGATTGGTTAAGAGATAAGCAGTAAAAGGATCGGTTGAAGTAAGTAAATGAATACGTGGATCTCCCCTTGATCGAATAACAACTTCATCTTGACAACATCTTGAAGAAGATATTAATATATTTGATGGCCCCATCATGCTTAATTGATTCATCTTGCCGATGGTAGAGAAAGACCATCTAAGACGCAATGACGATGAATTGGCTCAAAGAAAGTATCAGAATGGCACTTAATCTTAATTGTTCTTCTTGGTTTTTTCTCGCGTTGGTAGCCTTAAATCACTGGTTCTTGTTCTTGTTGTCAAACTTTTTTTGAAATTTATCCAATAAATTTCCAATTTCGGACACCTTCAGGCACGGCCAGTCGTATCAGGCGCAGTGTTCCTCGTGGAATAACGACTACACGGGTTTGATCACGATCGCCTGCTTCCAGGGCAAAGTGAACGAGACGGGACGTTGCAATCGTCACTGCCCGCCCGGCGCCGTGGTGTCGAATGGGGCGACCGTTCCGCACGAGCAAATCGATCATGGTGTAGCGGTGAACCTGACTTGTGCTCTCGCAAACGTCGGAACGATTGATTTTGCGCACACACTGCAGCTCAGTTGCTCGGACGGCAAAGTTCTGATTGACGCGGCCTATCAGAATGACAAGAAAAATCTCACAGGAACCTGCATGCGAAATTGCTTGGGTACATCAATCCACTTGCTCGATGTCTTAATGATCTAAGATTTCTCTCTAGTTTGATTTTTTTTGGCTTTGGTTTATTACTTACCTGAAGATTATATATAGATATCTACTAACCTTTTTCTAAAAACTTTTTTGCTGAGGATTATACATTTTGCTCCTTTCTACTTGCTCAGCTAAAAACAAATCAACGATCGAATTCGAAATCATCCAAGTACTATTGTTCCCTTCAAAATGAAAATCTAAAAACTGTGACGCTGCACCACGCAGGTCCGACCAAGCTTTTCGGGACGTCGTTTAATCATCAGAAGATTATTGAGGGGACGATGGTCCAGGTCCAATGTCCGGGTCCCGGTCTGCTGATGCTTCAGTGCATCGACGGCATCGCGAGTCCGTTTGAAAGTAAGTGCTTTCAGACGTGCCCGCCATCGACTTTGTCGACCTTGAAGATGAAGGGAGTGCAACGGATTGAAACTGGTATAATACAGGAGATAGTGATAGCACTGCTGCAGGAATTTAAAGCCATCGGAGATTAGATGATTCGCGTGTTGATTTTGGAAGTTGGTGAGAGCAATGTAGTCGTGGTTATGCTACAATGGAATTTCTGCTCATCCTTCTACAGTTGTCACTGCCACTTGGGATGTTTCTATTACGCACGATGTCGTGTATCCCGCCCCATGCGACCCGACGATAGCGACGGGCTACGCTGAAATCCAATGTATGGACGGTGTGGCCCGTGTACAGGCGAGCTTCTGCAAATTGAAGTGCGACGCGGGTGACATCATTCAAGAAGATCCAGAGGACCTATACAAATTCGATATTCGGCTTTCACACGGCGATCTCGTCGATGCCGAAACAGAAGTGGTGCAATGTCCATCGCACTTGGCGGGACGCGCTACTGTGCAGTGCGATGACTCGATTGTCAAGATCGTAGCAGGTGCAAAAAAATACTTATCAGAAGTTTGAAGACGAGTTTGTTGTAAATTGCTATTGCTTACTAGTATACATCAAGAAGCTTTCATTACTAATTGCAGTATACAACTTCACTGATCTGAATCTTATGTAATTAACCTCCTCCCATAACAGGCTTCTGGTTCCCCATTATTTTCTCTTAGGGGTGCGCTGCAAATCTTGACTGGCTTTCACCTTTTGGTGAAGGTTTAGGTCCAGCGGCGCTCAAAGCACTAAGTAAAACAACCGGTTAGTTTTCACCTCCACAATTCTAGGCTTATCCCGTGCAACGATATACAAGCTTAAATTTCATTCTAGATGTAGCTTATCTCATTTCCAGCACTGTTTCCTCCGCTTCAAAGCTCATTACTAATACCCTGTGCTGTCCTGCTGCTATAATATCGGTATCGCATTTGCACATTTAGATTATGTTTATTGATTCTGATTGATTGCGATTCAGTCTTCACAACGTTCTTTCGACATCGACGAGATCAAGAATAAGAGATTGCTACAACGAGTAGTGAATATTCGTCGCTCCCGCGCATAACACAACGTAGGTAGATCGTAAACTGATTTTGCGGACGAAGATCATCTTCAGCTTCAGATGCTAGCTTCAATCACGATGAAATAAGATAATTGTAAACTCTCTGTCGTTGTACTTGATAGTTTACCAGCTTGCAAATACTAATAAATAGAAATACCTTGTTCCTTGTTCATTGTAAACACTCGGTACATTCCAACTCAGGTTCTTGTGGCACGTCGAATTGTATGCCTTCGGAACTTTTAAGTGGTGAAAATTTAATGATTTCGTATCCGCAAATGAATCACGCCGAAACGTACGAGACTGATTGTGGTGCCGGTTTCATCGGGAGAATTCGCTTTCGTTGCGAGGAAGGCGTCGCAACCCGGGAGTGGATTCGAATGAACTACCTCAATCAGATGAGCAATACGGTACCAAAGAGAAATACCATGACTACCTCGTGCTAAATATTATGTGAATGAATGAAAAAACAGTTCTAACTCAACTATACAACTAGATTATACATAAATACATACTTTTTACTATAAAGGAGCTTTGAAAGGTTTTTAACATTTTCACTCTAAATACAGGAATGTACACCTAGCAATATACAAAAAGAAGCAAGCTGCTGGCGCCGCATCACACCAATGGAAGAAAGTCACGAGTGCATAGTTCAAAAAAATCCCAAGATTGTCATCTACAACTACAACAGGTCGAAACCGTTGAGTTGTGCGAGTGCTGTCTGACCAACGGGGTCTCCGCATTGACAGTTGGCGATGGGACAATGGAATTAGGATCAGGAAACGATCAGTTAGTGGGGTGGATCTCTGCGGGAGGCCTCTTCATGATCGTCATTCTCGCCGTCTTGCACTACAACAGTTTCTGGAGTCGACATGTTACACCGCGAATCCGCGACTCCCAAATTATGCGCTATCTGCGTGCCAGGAGTGCCGCAAAATGTACTACCATAGATAATTACATGTCCTTGCTTGATTGTTCTTTTCATTGCCTTTGCAGCGATTTATTCTATCATCTGATTCAGTTTCTGCAGTATCTGGCTAGACTCGTAAGAGTCGTCGTAGTAGGTGAAGATTTCGAGGAAGCTTTCTTCTGAAAAATTAGCCACCTGGAGTTCATTTTGTAGGAACACGTCGAAAAAAAAAACTTATCATAAGTACTAAGGATATTGTCCTCTTCATCCAGTTTCACTGTCAGAGACCTCATTCTCACCACCGACGTGGAACATGATCATGACAAATCAATATGGAAATCGAGATCTTCATCTTATTTCCTCCCTTCTCATCAGTTAATTTATCCAATTTACTTTTCCCTTATCTCCTTAACTCATCAGCCGCTGCCACTCGGTCGGCATTGCAGGCTAAGCTAGCTTCGTCACAGAATAAGGGTATCAGTCGTGCGCTGGAAAATGTGCAAGATGACGAAGAGGAAGAGAGCAGTGGAACAGGCACTTCGATTGCGCCTCTCGAGGTGGAGGATGCCGCGAAGGGAATCGAAGATGCTGGCTACGAAAGCAAGGTTTCACCGCAAATCGAGGACGGGGAAGTAGTCTAAAAACGGTTAGGGTTTCTGGTGGTCATCTCCGAGGAGCAGTTGTCTAAAAAAATTGAGGATGAAAAAGCGGGGTGGATATTTCGGAGATAGAAACGTCTCCTAGATGAAGCAGTCTAACAAAATTGAGGACGGAGAAGAAGTCTAAAACAACTAGTAAAGCGCGGATGCGATACTAGGATAGCAGCAGTCGGCTCACCTACGAGGAGATGAGCGCTCACGACTGTAGCGGGCCGCCTTATAGTAAAGTTCTTTTTTTATGTATAACGAGAAGCAACAATAATTTTTACTAATAGGTGGACAAAGTTTATGCCGGATGTTTTTTCGGAAGGGAAGACTCTACTAAAATGTGTAGTAGAGCGTCCTGCTGCTGCTTCTGCACTCTGGCGAAAGGCCTGTTGAAACTACAGTATAACGAAGTGCGCGATTATGTGAGGTTCAGGTGCAGTATGTGTATGATCTAGTATGGAATACTCGTCTCTAAGATGACTAAGTTTAGTCATAACAATGACACACACAGACATGCCTTACAATTTTTCTGATGTTACCTGCCTGCTTTGCAAAGCGTCTGTGGAAAGAGTACCTCTAATTTAGTCTACATACGCAGAAGATGAAAGAACAGCCGCTTGGGCTGGTCCTCTTGCTGAAAACCTTGATAAACGATTAAATTGCTCTTGTTTATAGTGAACTGTTTTTCTGTGGTGACTGTTGTAATGTACTTCTTTGACATAATTTCTTGTTCCTGAAGATCTCGCTTTTTGTCTAAATTCATTCGTGGGCTGGTATATTACATTCATTGGGCGGCTACTCAAATACAGAACTTGGAACGAAGACTAACTAATCCATCATAAAGAAACAAGAATAAGAGTAACAAGAAATAAGAGAGTACGTTGGCAGCTTGTCAAATAAGGTTAAAGGTCGAATTTGTCACGTCGGTTCTTGCTTCAACAACCGCCCGAGAAGACTCTTCGAGAATTCATCGATTCATTATTCACTTCTAGAGCGGCTACTCTATACCCCCTTGGTAGTTTCGCTCAGCTCGTTGCTCATTTCCCACTAAGAGAGATGCTGATACACGATACACCCTTATTTGAGTGAAAGATGACTACTTCGAAACAGGACCAAGAAAGTTGCTCTCTCTTCTACATTCCCGTGACCTATCCTTTTTTTGTGCAGCATGGTTCTCGGGATATTCGGATCAATGGGGCTCCTGAGCCGGTTTCTAATTCTAGTATCTGTGTATAGATACAACACTCACACTCCAACGTCTACATACTCTTCAGAATTTACGACAGGAAATTTTAGAACAATTTTCGAAAAGCTATTGTGGGTCATGATCGACCCGAAGATACGCACAGCTGGAGTGTCCGAGCGGCTGACCTGCTCCTGCGATTACCTCAGCGCATCTTCCTTTGTGTTTTCTCTGGTCTTCGACGATTGAACATGCATAGGCGAGTTATCGCCCATTTTTCGTCTTCCGTGCACCGCGTGTCACAGCATGTGTGTGGCAGGCTACGAAGGGATCGGCAGAGAAACTGACCCACGAGAAGAGAAAGCGACGAATTTGACGGACAAAGTTTTGAGTCCAGAGAAAATATCAGAAGACAAAAGAATTTCAAAAAATCGGATTCAGGAATGAGTGATTGAACAATGAATAGTACTACACGCATGTTGTAGTTAGTACAACTACAATTAATCTGTGAAGAAATTGGCTTGAAAACCGAAGCGTTCATTGCGGGAGTCAATAGTGACAGTGTGCCCGCTGTGAGAGGAGGGGGTAGATTTTGCAATTAGTAACTCTAATTTCGTTATTTTGTTTTTCCTACTAAAAGCCCTCAACAAGAAAAGATCAAGGGTTTTGGAACAACTACATTTCACATACATCATAGTCTTGTAGGATATTCACGTGATTGGAGTGACTCGGCCCCCTTAGGGTCTGGTCGTTGCCGGAAGAAGATGTCAACGCTAAGCACAAAAATGACGAGGACGACGATGGCTATCATCATGTTTCAGTCGAGTAATGTACTCCAGTGCTTGACAAGAAGCAGCCTTGAGACATCTCTCTCCGAGGAAACGAGTAAGAAAGGAAGTAGGACTTGCTGGCTTACCGAGGCGGGCCCCTGGGGTGGAGGTGTCGGTGTGGGTCGTACGCCGCGAGAGGGTGCAGAAGAAAAAGGTCACGGAAATCAAGCAGGGGAGACGGCAAAATCTCTTCATGGGGACGAGACCAGAGCGGAACGAGACGAAACCGTTGTTGTGCCGGGTGTCTCGTTTCTATCTGAGACAGCTTGGGAGTTTGAGCGTTGTTGGAAGCACAAACTGGATCACGAGTGGAATTACTTCCACATGTTTGAGCGCAACCTTCTGCGGATCTTCTCAGCGATACAGCACGGGCAACAGGAGCATGAGGTGAACAAAGTTGCTACAGCGATGCTGCAGCAGCAGCAGCAGCAGCATGGGAACAATACCGAAGAAACTTGGGGAAGCCCGCTGCTCGGGATCAGACAAGCTACGATGAAAGCCAGAACAAATGCCCCCAGGGTGATTATCTTGGACGGTGCTCAAAATGTCAACATTTTGAAGGGGTGGCTGAACGTTTTGTTTTCCGAAGATGCTGCTCTTCCTTTCGCGGGGATGCCAATGCGATATTTCATCACCAGGAAGTCGAAGTCGAACGCGGGTAGGGCGGCGTGTTGCAGTCAAGTGGAGAGTTCCAGTACTCTGCCGGGATCGTGGCGAGAGGTGGCACCGCACCTCCGGGAATTCATGTATCGCAAAGCCGCACTTTTCTCGTTAGCAAGTAGTAAAGAGGTTGCACTATTAACAACACATCAAGAGCCGGCGGTTCGGTATGACCACTTGAGACGCAATGACGATGAAGAGCACGATAAGAACACAGCAATAAGCCACAAACCCGAACGCCGCGAAATCGACGAGGCAATCGAAAGCGAGCAACAAGCAAAAATAGAGCTCACGAAAACATTTGTCGACCAAAACGAAAATGTTCGCAGCATATCTACACAGGACCTCCACGAAAACGACCAGAAGAGGGGCCGAGGAGCGGGACCTGCTGGTAGAAGTGGCATGGAAAAGACGGGCCAGTTCTGCTTCTTCAATCGAAATGCCACTGCAATGGGCCACCGTGGGCGGTCGTTTACGAACCTGAACGAGCTTGTCGGCTTCGTCAGGGCCGCGACGTCTCTCGAGCCTGTTCTTCTGGAATTCGAAGCGATGGCTCCCCTGGAGCAGGTGAGGGCAGTCTCCAAGTGTGATGTCGCGATCTTATGAGTCTTGGAAACTCATCTTACGGGGCATCCCACCTGACGTGTTTTCTATCGAGGAACCTGGCCAAGGATGGCGCCAAGGATGCGTTTCCGACAACTCTAATGACAGGCATCCACGGCGCTGGTTTGACCAACTTTCTCTGGTTACACCCTGGGGCACTCGCGATCCAGATTTGCCCCTTCCAGTCCAGCAGTGCTTTTCAGCGAACGTACCAAGAAGTTGCGGAAGCGGCAGCCCTGCAGTACCGGGAATGGGCTCCTTCGAGTTATAAGCAGGTCCGGATCCACTGGGAACAGATGCAGGATTCCAAGACGGTGCTCGCCGCTGTTTGCAAATGTGGAGTGCGCGAGCTGCTGGCGCATGGGACTAAGGGTGCTTGTGGTGACGATTTTTTGAATTGGGCGTTTTACGTAAACCAAGACATTCAGCTGCCAGTCGCAGACCTTCAACAACTTCTTCCAGAGAAAATGAAACTTGTTCCCGCGGCCCACACAGTAGTTCAAAAAGAAACTGAAATATCAAGGACAAGTTCGAACAAGAACTCGTTTAAGTCTCAAGCCCAGTACCAGAATAACTTCTATGAGAAGAATACTAGTTCTAGTGCAAGTTCATCAAGGCAAGAAGAGAAAAAACTACTACGTGTGGAGCTAGATGCAACAGGAGGAACTAGTGTTGATCAGGTGGGGCAGCTACTTCAGAACGAGTCATCTGCACGACAAACGGCGGCCCAAACCACGGACAGAATCCAGGAGAAACTTTTTTTTCAGAGACTGAGCCAGCAGCTAGCAGCGTACGCCACGAAGATTCGGAAGGTTATCGAACGATTTCGTCGCCTGGGCCCCGAAGAAGCGGAAAAGCTTTGTGCTGCTGCCGATCGTTAGATTACCAGTAGTAAGAGATATGAAGCACTAGTAGTAGGAGAATGAATCAGGTTTAGACCAGGACTTTTCTCGCTGGACCACGTAAGTTTTTTTTGAAAAATGCAGCCAGGTGCAAGGCCTGGCGCACGACCATACACTCCGGCCATCACGTGACTGTAGGCCTTCGGTGTCGTCGAGAGGCAGCCGCCAAGGGTGCCGGGCTCACCGTCCATGGGGGCCAACCTCCGCCGCGGAGGTCTGAGCCAGGCAAGGGGTGCCCGAAAGCGGCACTTTTTGGCCAAAAATATACGGGGTCACTTTGGGCGCATTTTGCACGCCTTTCGTGAAAAAATGCCGCCGGGTCATTTTGGCAGGGCCGAAACGGCCCCACCTAGTGGAGGCTAGGGGGTGCCTTAAGGCGACCCTTTTTGGCTCAAAAAGGCCGCCAAATGACCCGGGTCGTTTGGGGTGTCAAAGTGGGCCCTTTTTGTCCCCCCTTTTTGTCCCCCTTTTTGACACCCCTCCAAGCAACGCACCTCCAATCCGAGCCTCCCAAGGGTTGGGACTCCCCTGGCGGCGCTTTTAGAGTACACATTTCGCGATCCTTGGGAGGGGAGTCCCGCTCCGAGGGTTCACTGCCAAGCTATCGGGATGGCCCCAGCGGTCCCGAAGGGGTTTGGCCTTGTTAGGCTAGCAAAATTAAGAAAGAACATTAACGTGGTGCAACGAGAAAAGTCTCGAGGTGCTTCTGGTGAATTCGAAATGCGGCAGGGCTTATGCTGATGGTACAACACAAGATGAGCTGTGAAAAGAAAATGGAACAATAGGAGTGAGGGACGAGGAAGGGAGAAGGTGTTTGCTTTATTCAGGTTTCTTGTCCAGCTTCAGTTGAGTGAAAACATAAAAAGTCTAAGAGACATACCTAGTAGGAACAGTCTCGAAGTACAGCATTTGGGGAAAAAAAGCAACGTATAGTAGCTTTCTAAAAACAGCATTTAATTTTAAGACGGATTACAGAAATTACTGGAAAGTGTATGTAAAGTCTATCCATGGTGGGACCCACACGAACAGCTACCCTCCTCGGACTCCTCTCAATTGTTACTTCTGTGGTTCTGCAATAAGCAAAAGAGGATGGCGACGCGGCTGGCTCTGCTCTAGTGAGAAAAGAGAGCGACCTCGCGCCGAAGAAGGTTGCTTAGTTCCTTTCACATTGGACGTTTTGTGTGTCTATATGTGTTAATCTGAGGAGCATCCGTTTTTATTTTCACTCTGATGCTGAAGCTGATCCATCTGCCTGAGTGATGTTTGTGAGTGCGTCGACCCAGAAGCTCTTTCCAGTCGGCAGAGATAATGAAGGCGTCGGTATTGACTTGTATCGTCCTTTCACCCTTTGAGTCGATCAATTGCGTGTACACCTCCCCGCTTGCCGACTTTGTACTTATTCAATAAGACAGATCGGTCACTCTCACCTAAACGAATTATAGTCGGTGTGTAGTTGATGTTGATGTAAGTCTCCAATGGCATGCGCTGGACTTGCACAGACTCGTCTGTAATCCATCTGTCCACATGATATCTAGTGCTATGATTAGGAACAAGTTTGCTCTTGCCGTCAGAATCGGTAAACATGCTCGTACTTATCTATCAGCGATGTTACCCTCCACTAGCACTAAGACTATGCGCGTCTCCATTCAAGCTTCTTTTGGTAATTAGCTGTTATTTATTATCTTTTTTTGCAATTGCATTGAATTTTCTCTAGCTTCAATAGCACACGCACTTTGTTAGCTGATACAGCACGTGTCTCCTTAACCGTATTTACCGTAGAAGTCCTAGTCACACGGATAGCGTCATCCTTTGGTTAAGGAATCAATAATGCTGAATATGCACGATTCCTTATTTCATAGCAAAGATCTTTGAGGACCATCAAGGAAGCATACAAATTATGTTAACGAGCATCAGGCGAAGGTGTCAGTCATATTGATTCTACTTACTTACTGCTAGTTCACTCTGACTTCGGCACTACTTAGTTAGTTGTAAAGAAGGAAGTAGTGTAGAGCTTTGAATTTCATCATCTTCTTCTTCATCAATGTACATTCTACTTTCATCATGCTGGTGGTGCTCCATATAGACAGGGTAGATTGAATTATGTAAACGGAGAAAAAATGCCTTCCTCGCGTGGTGATTTTATCGTTCCTGCCAAGGACAGTAGTTCTCTTGGTGAGGTCATTTCTTGGTATCGGACGAAGGCGACTAGCGGTGCGTCGCCTTCGCGAAGTCTCTCCCCGATGATGATGAAGAGGAACAAGGGTGGAGACAAATTCTCTGTCTCCGCGTCATCGTCTTTCGACAGCAATGCGTCTTCTATCACCGCTAGCATGCCGTCCACGCGAGGACGCAGCCGTGGCACAACAGCGTCGTCGGGCGGTTTTGTGTCGGCTGGAATGATGACCATGACGAATGGTAGTAGGCCATACGGAAGTCGGGGTCGGCCAGGCCTCAGCTCCGCAGGGTCTTTGGCGCATGTCGGCAGAAACAACTTTTCCACATGGCGGGCGGAGAAAAGGAGAAAAGCACGCGAAGCATACGCTAGAGACCGCGCTCGTTCGCATGCTAATTGGCAAGCACTGAAGGACCAATACGACCGGAGCATCGAATTCTCAGAATTTGGCGAAGACCACGGAGAAGACCACGGCTACGATAGTTAAGACTCGCCTTTCATTGTCCTTCAAACATTCCCAAATGAATCCCAAATCAATGAAATATAAAGTCACAAAGAAAGTTATTTACTTATACCTTTACTTATACATACAGTTACAGAAGAGCTAGGAGATCAACATCGAGGAAGATATTTGATAGCTTGTTTCTACTATACACAGCGTAGAACAGAAGCGATTTCGTCGCTACCTAAGATGGAAATTAGCCCGACGCATCATGACTCGCCATTAGAAATCAATCATAGCTTATACTTGTTCTTCAACGTACATACAACGTGAAAGCTAAAGAGAGCGTTATGCAAAATCTTTAAGATGCTGAGGATTTTGAATTCAGCGAATACGATCGAGAAAAGGCGAAATTATACGCGGACATAGGGCGGATACTTGACGAGCGTGACGATAATAGGCTTTTGCGGCTAGCCGTCGCGTCCAGCAACACATCTCGGGAGCATGTTGACATTGGAACAGGTAACGGTGAAGATGCGTCTTCTCGCGATCAGAACCTGCGCCAGAATCAGGGCAGCATGAGAGATTTTCTGGTAGGCAGAGGAGTTCCAAAAAGTAAGGGTAACTCAGCATCATCCGTCGCAGAGGAGAGAGCAGAACAAGCACTTCCGGAGCAGGTAGAAGGCGGCGACGGAGCAACGTCAACTTCTGGTCTCGGTGCACCATCTATCAGAGGAAGTCGTGCGCGTCGAGGGCAATCTCGAGCTGGCGATGACGATATTACTAAACTCTTCTGCCGACCTAGCTCCCGTCCATCCGCATCCGAAGACCTTGGCGATCCGAGCGCATCCTCGACGACAATAGGTGAATTCTTTCCGCCAAAGCACGAATCAGATGCGTACACTGGTGAGAGCAGTAGTCTCAACACGACTGTGGCCATATCATCATCGTCAATATCCGAAGATGTTGGGACAGCTTCTACCGGAGCATCAAAGCAGCCTGCTCAACAAGGTCTGACGAAAATGTTCTCGTCAGTCCCCTCATCAGGTCCATCATCGACTACAGACGAGAGTGATGTCGGGGAAAACGAGCTTGGAAATTTTGCAGCAGCAAATGTGAGCACTCAGAGCATCAAGACCACGGCATCGCTTGATATCACGGGTGCAAAACGCGTGATATCAGGGGGTGGCGAAGGCGGGGGTATATTTAATCGCCTCTACAACAAGTCTACTAGCGGACAAAATAAACCGATGGGTCGTGCGTTTTCATCGGGGCAGGCGCGGGGAGAGGAGAATAGAAGCAACTTGTCTCAGCAGCAACCAGAGGCTTCCTCAGCTGCCTCACGACAGTCCAGCATCTCGAAGCACGAAACACAGAGTGTGGATTCCGCACGCCATGTTGTAGATGGGCAAGTAGATGAACCAGAGGAGGACCTCCAGGAAGAACAGTACAGTGCTCACACGTCCTCTCGCAAACAGGCTAGCCGCGCTGCACTGCCGTCTATTCCTAGCAACTTCTCACCCTTACCCGGAGTGTCCAGGGCCGGGTTCCCGCCGTCCGTGTCGCCCCCTGCCTCGCGGAAGGGGAAAGCGATTGCGCGTATTCCGTCGCGGTCGCCGAAGGCCAGTCCCCCGGGCTCGGTGCGTGGTGCAGATCAGAGTCTGACCTCTGCAGACGGACGAGGCCACGTGAGCAGTGGACGAGGAACCGCTGCTTCGTCGTCACGAAGGGCCTCTCGACCAGGTAGTCGATTTCACCCGGAAGGTGGAGGGGTCGATAGGGTCCCGCTCACCGAGGCGGAAAGACAGGAGATGCGGCGACGCAACTTGGAGGCGTGTCCCAGAGGTCTTGTGCCAGGTGAGGAGGCATCAAAACAGTTCGAGTTTCCTTCGAAGCAACAAGCCCTTGATGATGGAGATGAGAGATCCTCAACTTCAGAGCAAGACTCCGAAGCAGCGGCACAGGCCCAGCGGCGAGCGGACCAAGAGAGGGAGCAGCAGTTCCTCCGGAAAGTATTCGGGCCGCAAGTAGCGAAAAATGCTTCCAATGCAAAGACCGCCGCCGCTCAACACAACATTAGAGGTGCTAGGGGAGCGGGAGGTGGCAAATCATCCAACAAAACCTCTGCTTCATCGGTAATATCAACATCAAGTGGTAGTGGTGCACCTTCAAGCAGAACCAAGCAGCCAGATGCGCGGAAGAAGCTGCTAGCACCTGCCGGTCCGTCGCCATCATTATCTTCAAAAGAGCCGAAGAGCCCCACTGATGAACAAGAGAACTTAAACGCCGAACGAAGAAAATCAGGCATGAAAGATGAATCTTTAGACGAGGTTGAACAAGTACCAAAACATGCTGATCCAGATTCGACTGGACATCGCATGAACTCAGGAGGAGTTGCCTCACCAGGAGTTGGCACCCAGGAGGAGCCGCTGCCTGCGTCTACACCTCCTCCACCATCATCTACTGTTGAAAACAGGCAACGACAGCCGTCAACTTCTCCTAAAGCAACAGGCCGTGGATCGGACCAACAGAGCTCTGCGACAGCGTCAATCATGGGGGCGAAGGTACAATTGGACCGACAACGAAAGAGTGCTAAATGGGGCGCACTCTTAGAAGAAATGGATAGATTGGTACTTCTATTTGATGTGAATAGCGATAGGTTGAGGTCAGCGAGATTACGATTTGCATATGAAGATTTACGTGGGAACTACAACTTTGCTTTGTTGAAAAAACTCCAAAATTTAAATTTTGGCGATAGTGTTAGTGTAGCGTCATGATTATAAAAGTTTAAGTACGTACGACTTGCATCCACTTACACTAAGAAGATCGTATCCCGCTACCTGCACGTCCAGACTGCGGCAGCGGCTCACGTACAAGCCACGAATCCAGGATTTACTGCTCTCGCAGTTCCGGGATCCGCTTCAAGCCAAGCAAGCAAGGATGCCGCTAACGCACGGAATATGAAGGAGTGTGATCCGGACTTCGTGCAGAGCACATTCATGGGCGGCTCGGGGTATCAAGAGTTCGGGACTTCAATGGGCGAGCATCCTGCGACGCTCGAACAGCGTGCGAGGGCCAGAAGAAAACAAGGGCAACGTCGGGAGCAGCAGTTGCAGCGCAGTCTCTTGTTTGCGTCGGATCCTGCTGCGTCTGTGTCGTCCTTAGGGGAGCCAGCGCTACCGAATCCAACGGTTGAGACTTCCCGAGAAGCTGGCTCTGGACCACCCGGAAAGAGTAAAAAAGTCAAAGGCGGGAACAAGAAGAAAACGAATCCGCGAACGACCTCGAAAGACAACGCCACTAAAGCAAACGGGAAAAGGGATAAAGTTGACAAGGATATCAGAATGAAGATCGAACCGCAAGAAGCTGCGGGATCGTCGTCTTTAGTAGAGACAGCGAATATTGATTCTCGGCAGTTAGGTATCGCAGCAGTCGGTGAACAGGAGAACGAAAGCACGCACATTCAGGCTTTAGCAGACGATGTCGGTGAGGATCCCTCGGAAGAAATCGACGAAACTGTACTTGGTAGGCCCATGCTCATGAACGCAAATAAGCGACGGGGAAAATCGAACACGATGAAAAAGTCGGCATCTTCGCTCGGTACGAAGCCAACACTTGCAGAGGGAGGCGGAAAGGGGACTAAAGCAACGGCTGCTCCTTCTGCACGAAGTGGCGTGACTCTCTTCGCAGCACTAGCCGAGGCTCGCAGTAAAAGTGCAGCTTCGATAGAGAGTGCGGGGAACACCACGACTTCTTTTTGGCGAGCAGGTTGGAGTGCTGGCGCACGCACGACTAGGCGAGGCCGGAGGGGTAAAAAGCTTACGCGTGGAAATCAAAACGTGCCTGCATTGGAAACGCGCTCGCTGTCGCTGGAGGGTCCGCAAACTGATGCTGAGGTAAAAACTGAGCAAAAATTAGAAGTTAGGTGAAGGAATTGTAACCTTTCTCAACAAACATGGTGAACATCAAGTAACCTCTAATACTAATATGCTGATGTTGTCTCTCATTTGATCTTATGAGCGCCATAATTTTCTTTGCACTTTTTTAATAAATAAATGGCCTTACTTAGAACGCGCCACTTCGCGCGGCGTTTCACTTTCATTACAAATGTGCTGACTGTGTAATAAATAATTGCTCATCTGGATCTCTCTGCCTGACTTCTAGCTAGGTTTTTTTTGCTAGATTCAAAATCCGAATGACCCATCCTACCTGTGCTTTGTTTCAGGCAGAAAACAGCGGATCTTTGACCGGTAGGCCTGCCGAAGAGGAAGATTTGAGCAAGCTGCAAAGTTTGAGCACGGTTTCGCTTTTGGACTCGCATGCACTCGCAGAGGCTACTGAATTTTACGAACCGGACCTGAGTCTCACCGATACCGATGAACCGCGTTTATTGAATGACCCAACAGGCGCCCGTACGGGCACGAAGCATGGACGGTGGCGCTTTTCTTTCTCACGACAAGAGAAGGCCAAGAGCTCGACGCGTAAACGTGGCAGAAAAAGCGGTTCATCTGGAGCGAGTCAGACGCGAAACTTTGCAGCAACACACTCAGGCGAGATCGGATTCCGGAAAAACAAGACAGCAAGCATCAGTATGACCTCGACGTCCTCATCCTTTTTTGAGACTTTTAGGCCAGCAACAACTGCTTTAAGCGCTCTGCCGCCGTCAACAGCCAATAGTCTTGTTGTATCTTCCGGTGATGTAAAGGGAGGGGCGAAGAAAAGTAGCACCTCTCAGGTCCAAGCGAAAATGCAGCAACTGAAGCGGGCAGCAGAAGAAAACCTTGAGTTGCTACAGGGAATAACAAGCCCAACAGCGAAAGCGCAAAGGCTAGGAATTCCGGTTCGTTCACGCTCGTTTTCCCCACCTGGGTACAACTCGTCCTCCGCTATCATGAACTCGTCCGTGGAAAGTCTGACATCGTTGGGCCTCGCGGCAGGCGCAGATGTTGGAGCAAGTGTGACATCATTGTTCGATTTGAGCGTTGGGAATGTACCTGCCGCGCCAGCAACGTCGTCTTCTGCAAATTTTGCGGGAGCACCACCAGTTGGGGTAGGCGGACAACAGGGCAATGTTGTAGGAATTGGAAAGCCGCGAACAGGCCGACGACGGAGGCGACCAATGCCGCTCATGGACCCAGGTCTGACGAACGCGCTCGCCTCCTACATCACTGCAGCCTTTTCGCCTTCCCCGGAGGGGAAACGACTCCAACAGCAGCGCGCGGAGAAAGCCGCTTCGAGAGCTGCCACGGCACATAGCGTCGGCACGAAACCGTTAGCCGCAGGAAGTGTGCCTCCTTTTCGGCTAGGAACAGCAGATTCCGCGGGAAGCGGGCATCACATCGAGTCCGCGCATGACCTAAACATGTTTGTCGAGTACAATGTTGTCGGCAGCTCATCATACTCACCAAGCAAGATAGCGGCTGCGAACAAGCGCACCCAATCCCCAGTCGAATTTTCATCTCACTACGGAACCATTCCAACAACATCCTCGTCAAATTCAAGCGCTTCTACAACGCAGGCGCACGGGGCCATTAACGTGAATCCGTTGAAGTCCCACTACGACATTGCCACGGGACTTGAACCGGGTACCCATACCCACAAGCAAACGAACAAGAAGGCAGCTGCAGCGGCTCCCGGAGACGATGCGGCGGCACGAGGATCATCCACCTCGCCGACTCGTGCCAGCTCTCTACTGGCAGGCGGCATTCGAGGCCGCGGCGGCGATCAGATAGGCGCAGGCTCTCCGAGTAAATCTATCAAAAAAGCTCTGGGAAATTTGAGCATCGTGTTGAACACAAGCATTAATACCGTCTCTTCAGGAGGAAGAGGAACCAAAGGGAAAGTCGCGGAAAGCTCTTTTCCTCACCGCACCGCTTGCAATGTGGGGATGCGCGACAACGACCAGAAAATTATGAGACGCATACGTGCTGTGAAGTCACAGGCGAAAAAAGAAATGGACGATCGTGCTATGAGAGCGTACCTCCGTGGGCGAAGCTCACACGATGATGATAAGTGGTCTTGGGGTGTTGTGCGCGCAAGCAGTCGCAGACGGAACTCTACATTTCTTGCGGCCAACACATCTTTGTTGGGCAGTTCGACAATGAATGGTTATCAGCCAGCATCAGCTCCTTCATCAACAAGTCTGCAACTTGCTTCCACCAGTATACTTGATAGAAGTAGTACCGTACAAGAAGAAGTAGATGAACAAGACGAGGAGGGGCACATCGAAGAGTCAGTGCCTCCCAGAAGTGCATCATCAACTCGCAATGGCCGTAGCGAATTGCGTACGACACGTAAACGATCACTGTCCCGAACGAATTTGTCTGTCGTGGCGGGGGATGCGTCATTAGATAACTCCGATGAAGCGGCTACAGAATCCGAGACGGTGACAGAGAAACTTGAATTTCATGGACTTACACAGTCTATAACCCAGGAGGCCAGGCCACATGAGCGGCTGGAGTATAATGTCGGGCAGGATTTTGAATACTTTAAAAGTGTACCGGGCATTGCAAATGCTTTGACTACAATCGCAGCTGCAGACGAAGGCAGCACAGCCGCCGAATCGACGAAAAAGATCACTGTGATGTCTAAACGAAAGAAAGCCATTAATAATTACCTGTTGAAAACTGGGCCAGGACAAGGAAATCGACGCCGTCAGCCTGCAAAAGCCAATGCGTCGCTGCCGAGGGAGTTTCCTGAGAACGACGTCCAGTCAAATGTCGAACAAGGTGCGGCAACAGGATCGGCAGGCGAACAAACTCCTGCAACAAATGCAGACTCCTCCAAGCAGCAGTTGCAGGAGAGCGCTAACAGGGTAAACGCCATTGGCAAGAAAAAGAAGAAAATGACTGGCATGCGGAAAGCTTCGGTAGCGCCGCCAGATGCACCGGCGTTGGCCAAGGCGCTGGAAGGGCCTTCAACGAGTTCGGAACTTGATGCCTTCCCCACAGCAGTGTCGATCGCTGATAACTCCAACAGCAATCTGGATAGACTGTGGAAATCTTCACATCCTGGTTTGCCAAATTCACGGTTCAATAACGAAAGATTTTCATCGCAGAGCATGCAGTCGTCATCGTCTTTCGGTTTCAACTACTTGGGTCGCTCTTCTTCACTAGCGGATGGTTCTTTCACGGGCATCATGACCCACAACAAGGAAAAAAGAAGCAAAAAGTTTCAACATGTAGCTTCGTCGGAGAACACAGCGACTACTTCCACAGACCAGCCAAGCGCAGGCGCACCAGTAGAAAGTGAATCGGAGACACCCGAAGGAGTGAAAGGAAGAGCGGGAACAGGGGATGCCTCAACCAGAAGGTTCGATGCAGTTCTACTTGCAGCTGCGGCAGGGTCACGGGTGCCTCGTCCTCAATCTGAGAAAAATTCGAGGCATGGTGCTGGTGGCTCGAGCAAAGCTTTGGCGACACTCCCACCACTCGTACGCGGTTCGGTGACAGCGTGGGACACTGTCGAAGGAGAAGGAGATGTAGGTGTTGCGGAATATCATGTAGAGCAGGACGAGGACTCGCGGACCGATAATGACCCATCATTTTCAGAGTCGTTAGCCAATATGACATGGCTCTCAGGAAACGAGAAGAACACTCAAGCTAGTAAAACCAGTGATGCTAAAATGAAGGGTGCCGCAAAGCTCTCAGGCCTTCTACCTCCTGCGTCGCAAAGGAGTTTTATTGTAGGAGATGAAGTGAGTACAAGCGCGAGCGCGACTGAGAACGAACTGTCAGGATCGTCCTCCTCGTCGGCGTCAGAGGTCGAACCCTACCAGGCTCCAAGCTTCGGGTCTAAAACAACTACCACGACATTTCCAGAAATCGCACCGCACGAGTTTGATTTTTTACGTACTGGACCGCGACCCCGCACGTCACCTGCGACTACAACTCACGGACAACAGCCCACGACCTTTTCGGGGACCGGGTCCCGTAGCCAGCAAAGACAGACGGGCTATTCGCCTATCCTTGAAAACGCTTCGGAAGACGAGGACATTGACAATGAAAGTGAGCAGATACAAAAGATGAAGAACAAAGACTCTAGCAATATAACTTCACCTCGTACTAGTACTAGACCTACAAAAGAGCATCCCAGTGGAGACAGTCCGAGCGCTTCAGCGCCGTTTTTAACTACCGTTTCCTACGATGGCCCGATTAACTTGTATGACGACCACGACGATAATGGGCGCGGCAAAGGACGGAAGAAGAAGGGTCGCAAGGGACCGAAAGAAGTGGTCTTCGACAAAGTGAGTCGAAACAAAGTGTCACCTGTGAAAGAGTTTATCCTCCGATTTGCGACAGCACGTGCTCGGGCGAAGAATAAACTCCTAACGCTCGGCACTTCGGACGACATGGCCGTTCCGGCACACGGTGGTGGCAAGATTCGCACAACTGTATCGAGAACCCGACCTCAGCGCGAAAATTCTACTCGCGACCAGCTGCAGCAAGGAGCTTCTTTCAACGGCTCAGGACAGCCCTACCTTGGCACGTCATCAAGGGCGACACTAGGGGCATCCCACGCCAATTCAGCTGGAGAGGCACAGCATGAACACACGCTCGCCGGAACAAGTCGAAGCCGTTCACACTTGTTGCGAGAAATAGGTGAGGAAAGCATGGTGCACCCGCCAGAAGATGTCGATTTGGACGCTCCATCGCTCAATGTAGAGGGACTGGTAGTGCCAGATGGTAACTTACGCCGTGCCTTCTTTGCCGCGGAGCCAAAGAATAAGCAGGTTGCTTTTGTGGGAGGACCTTCAGCTCCAGGAAAAGATCAGTCAACTTCGTCCACTTCATCTGCTGCTATCGGAAAAAGTCGAAGTGTAAACACTAGCGCGAACAGCAGTGCGGTGAATAGCATGTTGATGTCGACCTCTATACACACGAAGCCAGCACCTGGATCCTCGACTAGTTTCGAGAGAAATGACATTTTCGATTTTCCGTTTGCTGCAGGAAGCGTGACGCCGGAGGCCTTTCGGAGATCGACTTCCGTGCGCAGCGGTGCAGGTGAAAAATCACTAGCATCCATTTCAAGCGCCAGAAAACAAGCTAAGGCGGCGGCATCGACTAAGCACGTTGCAGATACACGAGCCAGTCGCTTAGCGCAGCAAACCTCCACAGGCTCATTGGGCACTACGATTGAGCCGTTGACGCATGACGAAGTTGAGACCAACGCGACAGAGCGAGTTCCGACATTGGATGAAATAGGCAGCGAGCAGTCTGATGAAGACGATTCTTCACAGCAGCACAGTGCTGGCGTCATTGATGACGCAACGCTTGCAAGCGGGGGACCACAGTTGATTTTCGATGGCGAGCATAATCAGTCGTGTCCTTCTTCAGCGGCAGACTCCACCACTTCTATTGGACGAGGCAGCGTCCCAGTCCCTGACGACGAGGCCTGTTTTCCGCCACCCCCGTTCTCGCCACGTAGCGTGAATACCGCTCCGACCGGCACGAAAAGACCTGCCCGACCTGTGGTTGTCACACCTGAAGACCGCGCTCGGGAGAAAATCGCGAAAGCAGAGCGGGATCGTCACGAGGAGTGGCTACGTCAACGTCGAGAACACCGAGAAACAGAACGGCAGAAGCAAATGACCGCGCACGCGCGTGCCGCATATGAGACTTCTGCTTATGGCTTCTATAACGAAATGCGTGTCAATATTGACTAAGCTCTAGTTCTTGTTGTGGTAGTGGTTGTTCATTACTAGTTGCAGTGACGCTGTCGCTATTGTATTCCATTTTCAGTGAACTTGATCGTGAAGGAAGAACAAGGGAAAGAAAACTAGAGTCACACAGGATGAAGGTAAATGAAAATCAGTTCTGTGGTATATGTATCGTTTATTCAGCAACAACAGTAACAGCATTGCCTTTCTAGCTTTAATCTGTTCTCGGTCGCGAGGCGCTACGACCTGGCACTACGCCAGCAGCTATGCGACCAAACCGTGATGGTAACGCCGGTGGTCCCTCGTTCAACGATACTAGGCCATCGGCCACCCTGTGGTCTCGGGGCAGCTCCAGAGGACCTATTCCACCGGGCACGCCGTCTTTCTCGGAGGTCGCCGCAGGGGCAGACCTCAGAAGGATCGGGCGAAACAGTTTTTTTACACACGGCCCTCCGCCGCCGAGTCGTGGGAGCGATTTTAATAATAGTAGTCGAGCAGCGACGCCTGCGACAGGCGTCGTGTTTCCTCCTCCTCCTCCTCCTCCTCCTCATCAGCAGTCTACTACTTTCAAGACGAGGAGAACTGCAGCATGTGCGCCGCTTGGAGTATCACCCGACGAAGCCACATCGTCTTCATCGACATTCTCAGCTTCAACTTCTTCTTCTGGTGGCTCCTCGTTTGGCAGTTCTAGCGCACCCCTAGGGACGAGCGCTTCCGCGCCACCGGTAGTTGCACTTGCAGATCCCGAAGTTGTGATCAGGTCAGAGCTAAAGCGGGAAATTGCTAACCTGCGCCACACGCACCAAACAAGTCCGAAAGATTTTCGCAAACAAGGACTGCATCTCCTCGCCCGCTGGCATCCCGATAAGAACCCGGACAACAAAGACATGGCGACCAAAGTATTTCAGTTCTTGCAAGGCGAGCTCAAGCTAGACAAATAGTTATCATTTGCAGCATTCGATATCGATATCGATCGTACACATACTGTCTCTTATAATGATCATAAAAGTTAGTAGTCGTTCTCCTTCGTTCAGCGAAATAAATAGTAATGTACCACCTTTGTTCATCATCTGCAGCACGTGTCATTTACGTGGACTTTTCATCTCTTCTATTATTCTCACGTCGGAGCAAGGCGACTTCAATTTCTAATCTTGTTTTCAGTTTGTCGATCAAATAGCGTTGAACTTGAGTCACAACAGATTCGGACCTAAATGTAATGAATCGCAATGATTCGTATTTCAGAGCATCGCAATACTAATATGTCATCTTCGAAACAACGCTAGTGGACGCAGATGCAGTCTTAGATTCCGTATTAAACATAAACGTAAACGTTGAAGTTGATGATCATGCGCACGCTCAATATGCATTTCTTGTTTTCTGTATCCTGACAGTCATCGACGTGACAGTCATCGACGTGGTTCTCTAAAAAATCTGACTTGTAGGATGTTTATGCTCTGCCCGAGAATTCCCGCGTCGCTCCTGTTGACAACATCAAGGAAGGTGTCTAATTAGCATCCTTAGATTTGATTTGAGTTTGACAGAAGAGTAAAAGGATCGGCTTTATTCGTACAAGAAGCCGGGGTCGCTCCTTGGGCGACCCCTCCTCGATAACAGCACAGCCACAGGCACAGAGTAGAAACTTAAGAGAAAACAAAATAAAAAAGCGACGGAGGCACGGAGCGCCCGCCCCCTGGCGGCTGCCGTCGAGATGATGGAGAGGAACAAAGACCGAAGCAGCCCACGCAACCCAGAACCCTGGCGCGCGGAATCAATTAAGCACGCCACGCCAATGAGGCAGGCCCGGCGGACATGCGCGCGCGGGGGCGGAGGTGTTGCCAATGCCGTAGGGGGCGCTCGACGTCGGTGAGCCCTTCCAAGCCCGCGCGTCTTGCTCGTCTTCGCTGGTCTGGAGAGCTTGCCCAGGCAATTCGGCTTGCCAGCTTTGGCCGCTTAGGCCTCTCCGGTCTGAGCTGCCCGCGCCCTCGCCTGGGGCTAGCTGTTCTCGGGTTTGTTCTTTGGCTCAACGAGCGGGGGCTGCCCATCGGTCCCACCTCGGCCCCCAAAATGCCCCACGACCTCCCAAGCGCAGCGCGATCAACCTCCCCAAACACAGCACGGCCTCCCAAACACAGCGCGACCCCCTAAGCACAGCGTGGCCCCAAGCTACAAGGTGGCCACGCAAGCGCAGCGCGCCCCCCAAGAAACACAGACACGAAGCACCAAATACACCACGGCCCCCCAAACTTACTAACACGCCAGGACCTGACCACCAAGGAGAGAGGCACGCCATGACCCTCCAGGCAACCCACTACGGCCCCCGGAACACAGCACGGGCATGAGCATGGAGGCACAGCATGACCCCGCGCGCAAATTATGACAGACAGCCAGCCCCCAAAAGACAAAGGAAGCAACCCCGCAGCCAGCGCGTAGCCCCTGAGCTATGACCTGACCCGCCTCCTTAAAAAAAAAAAGCATGGCCGTAACTAGGAGGCACCACGACCCCCCGAGGCGCCCTCCTTGAAAGGCACTGCATGGCAAAGCACAAAACTGACCACGGCCCCAAAGACGTGGCATGACCCCCAGAACAAAGGGCGACCGCCATAACATAACTTGCTATTAAGACCTCTCGGCCTTACAACATAAGGCCCCACATGACCACGCACCAAAGCGCAGCCGCCTGGCCACTAAAACGCAGCACGACCCCAAAAGCACAGCGCCAAGCCTGCCAAGGCTCACCGTGACCCCCCTCAGCGAACTCAATGCGACCAAACGGGGACGCAGCACGCGACGACACTGAAAAGAGCCAGGCCACAAAGGGAGAAGAAAAAGCCTGGCCCCCATTCTAAAGCCACGCACAACGTGACCGACCCCCAAAGAGCAGCGCGCAGCCCCCGGAGCACCACGACCCCGCCCCCATATGGAGGGCCATGCATGGCCCCCGAAGCGCACCACGTGCACCTTGACGCCGCGCGGCCTTCTAAAGAAACTCACTGCAAAACACCACCCGCCCCGCCGCCCCAGCCGCAGCATGCGCATGCCTTCCAAAACACTGCGTGCCCCCCTGGGAACGAATTGGCCCCCCATGCACAGGCAGCACCCACCACCCCCGAGCACCACCCAAGCAAGACCTCAGGCACAAAGTGACCCACGAGACACAGACCACGACCTTCCAGCGGATCGCCATCGATCCCCCGAAAAATGTCACGGCATGACCTGCCTGAAGCGTCTACATGACCCCAAGACAAAGAATGCGACACATGCTTGCATGCCAAGAGAGACGCCCCCAACACCGCGCAGCCTCGGGGCACACCATGACCCCTAGGCAAGCACCGCCGCCAGCATGGACGCCAAGGCCCTCGATGACTCCCAAGCCCAAGGCGCGCCGCGATCCTTGAAAACCACCGCGGCCAGATATTCGCAATGAATCACTCACGCACCGCGCGCCCCCAAAGTGACTAAAAGAAGTGCAACCCAAGGCGGAACATGGATGGCGACCCCCTGAACACACCACGACGACCACCAAAGCGCGCCGAGCTTCTCCCGACACGCCACGACTCACCCAACACGCCGCGGCCACTTAGATACAGCCGGGCGCCTTAGTAGAAGCGCGGCCGCCGCCCGAAGACACTGCGCCGCTGTGTCTAAAACATAACGCGGCCCCGCAGTATCCGCCTGACCCCGAGCACGCACCACAGCCATGCATCCTGCCAAGCTCCCCGCGATCTCCCTCCAGACACACGCCCCCCCCCCCTTCGCGACCCCTCAGACCCGCAGGAAAAAAGCACAGCGCAGCCAAATGAACACCATCTCCCTCGCCAAGCGTCATGACCTTCCGAGCCTGACGCGNAGATACAGCCGGGCGCCTTAGTAGAAGCGCGGCCGCCGCCCGAAGACACTGCGCCGCTGTGTCTAAAACATAACGCGGCCCCGCAGTATCCGCCTCCGCATGACCCCGAGCATGTGCCACAGAAATCCGCTCAAGCTCCGCGACCTTCCTCCAGACACACACCCCCCCGCACTTCGCGACCCCTCAGACCCGCAGGAAAAAAGCACAGCGCAGCCAAATGAACACCATCTCCCTCGCCAAGCGTCATGACCTTCCGAGCCTGACGCGCTGCGGATAGCACCCAAGACACAGCACAACCCACCAGGCACCGAGACCCCCCAAGGAAGCACTGCAAAGTCCAAAAAGCAAAGCCAGACCCTCTGAGCAAACACAGCCCGAGCCCTAGGGCATTATGTAGCCCCTCTGGCACAGCGTAACCCCCTGAGGGAACACTGCGCGACCCCTCGCGCATGAGGTGGCCCCAGGCACTCTATGACCCGCCAAGAAGCACATCATGGCTCTCGCCCTCCAGACACACCACGACCCCCCGGCATATGCCACGACCAAAAAGGCGCAGCGTGACTCCTTAGACGCCGAGTGACCCCCCCAAGCACACCATGAACGACCACCCCAGACACACCGCGCACCCCGCCGCACACAGATCGACGCCGCGACCTGTAAACGCACGCCGGCCCCCCGACGCATGTCAGGACCCGCCAGCGACACTGTGACTGACCAGTCCAACGCTGAGCCACACCCCCAACACACCACGAACCCCGAGCACCGACCGGCGCCCCGACCTCTAAACGCACCACAGCCCCCCAATCTCGCAGCGGTCGGCTTAGCCTCCCCGCGCAAGATGACCTCAGGGAGGCGCGCAGCTTGACCAAAGCCGGAGCAGCGCGAGCAATAAACCCCGAAAAGGACACAACCAGACCCCCCAGGCACAGCATGGCCACACCGTTCCCCCAACACCACACAGCTGGACCCCTGGGGCACCGCATGAGCGAGCCCCAAGGCTACAGCATGGCGCCACAAAGACAAAGCAAAGGCGCCACCGCTCTGGAAAGATGGGGAGCAGCGTGGCCCCTCGAAGAAACGAACGCGCATGGCGCGAGCCCCGAACTTGGGCTGTTTCTCTTCCTCGTATGGAATGGATGCAGCCAGCGCCTTCAAATGAGAGCAAGAGGACCCACCGCGCGGGGCTTAGTATCAAGAAGCTCGCGGAGCTTGAGAGGACGCCGCCCATCGCCTGCCAGACTTTTTCGGGGTTTTTCTCAGAGGGGTACCACGTGGCCAGCCTCTAAAGTTGGCACCTTTTGCGGCTTCTTGTTCCTCCTCGCGTTGTCGGTTGTGACCGGGCGCAGGGGGCTTGAGGGGGTTGCCCGGGTGGAAGTTGGGCGCCGCGTTTCTATCTTCGTGAGATTGCTTACCCGCGGACTTCTCCGGCTGCACTCCCCCCCCTCGAGGGGTGTCCGGGTCTACGAGGAGCTAGCCGCGCGCCTACAGCTATGGCCTCGCACCCGCGTGGCTGGCTCTTAATTTCGGCGCTTTCTCGGCTTTCCTTCGCGAAAATCATCAAGCAGGTGGGAAGGTGTGGAGACGTTGCCAGCAGGTTGGCCCCCCTTAAGGTACCTCGCTCGCTGCTCGCAGCCTCCGAACGCACACGCCCAACCGAAGGAGGAGCTGTGAGACGCTAATCCCCCTAGCCTAGTGTGGTGTTGGTTTTCCTGCAGTTTTCGTTGAGGCTCTCAAGCGTCGCCGCGTCTGATCTGGCGCGGAAGTTGGGAAGGGGGTCGTGCAGGGGTTGGACAGGCACAGGGGTTCGGGAGGGGGTGGACAGGGGTAGGCCCCTCCTACCCCCCCTTCTCCCCCCGACAATCTCTCAAGAAACCCGGCTGAGATTCTTTTGACCATTTGGACAGGCACAGGGATCGGGCAGGGGTTGGACAGGGGTAGGCGTAGGCCCCCCCTACCCCCCCCATCCCCCACTAGGACCCCCCTTTTCCCCCTGGCAATCGATCCCTCAAAAAACCTGGTCGAGACTCTTTTGGCCATTCTTATGGTTTGGACAGGCACAGGGGTTGGACAGGGGTACGCCCCCCCTAGGACCCCCTTCTCCCCCCGACAATCCTTCAAAGGACCTCTCTAGACTCTTTTGACCATTATTACTCTTTTCATGGACGTTTATGGAAGTCAAGAATCTTGCAAACGGTGAGTGAATGAATGAAACAGGAAGCGGCCGACATATTCATATTCATCATGCCCTTCCTAATATGTATCCCCACGCCCACGCCCACTCAATCTACGTCAAACCCTTTGCTAGTTTACTACTCTTCTACATGATGCACGAAGCAATGAATCCTGAACACATCATCCCTTGCGCGCTTCTTCACAAGGATCAACACGTATGAAAATAAACCCAGCAGCGGTGAGCTGTGGATGTACAGCAAAGACATGTAAATGGTTGCTATGCAGCTACATAGAACTGCATGGCACTACCGCTCTCTAGCTCATCTGTTTTTTTCATCTTCTACCTCTAGAACGTATAATTGATTCACATCAGACTTACGTGTCATAGACTCAACCAAGAATAAGCTCTTGATATAATATTGATATTCCGTAAAGCCCCACACCTCTCGGTCCGCTTTTCTCTTAATATTCATCTATCATTCTTGTCCAGCAGATGATAGCTCTTGAATATTTCGCGCAAGAGCTTGTACATCGATCTACATATGATAAGGCGCATCAGCAAAATAGGTCATCGCTTCGCGGTCTAACCATTTGACTTCGGGATCGCGGTCTTTTCTTCGCAGCACGCAGACTAGCCCTATTATATAGCGGTAGGCCACATGGCTCCGAAAAGTATGGCCCCTGTTGATCCTGAAAAATTTGTTGTCTTCCTAGGGACGTGGGCTCTAGCTTTTCTGCAGCGGTGGCCGTTGTGCTTCATCGTCTAGTATTTTTAGGTGCCTGGCCGTTGTGCTTCAGGATTCTCGCAGGGTAATTAAATGTTCGTATGGCGAGGAATATAGACCCAGGTCCCAAAAAAAAAAAAAAACGAAAGGAGATGGCGTGACTGAATGAGTGAGTGTGGAGGTGGAGCGAGCAGTGTTTTCGAGAAGTTGTTTTTCTTGTGAGAAAAAAGGTCTACGGTTGTATCGAAAGGGTGTTGTCGCGTAGAGCACTTCGGAAGAAAGACGTTGAAGATTGGCATCTCAATACCCTGCCCCACTCTACCGCCTTGACCCTCGAAGATACCTCAAGGATCGCTTTGCAGCAAGAGCCTCAAGTAGCACTCAGTTGTAACTGAATTGCACGAAAATATATGAGCGATGATCCGAGATGAGCCGATATGTCAACCTGTCGTGCCAGCGTAGTTCACGCCTGATTCTTCTAATTAACTTCGGTCTAGAGTTTCCCGTCATCATTATTTCGCGGCATCGGAATGATCATGGTTTTTCATTGAGAACGGCATCCTTTTTCTGATTGAGAAGGCGCTAGGAAGCGAAGTCGAGTCTACGTAAATGAATTTTTCTTCAGCCACTGAATGCAGCATCATCTTTTCACTTGTAGAGGCATGCCTTTTCACTTGTAGGAAACGAAAGAAAACGACCTTTAGCAGTATTATAGACTGTTAAAAAGCACACACTCACACAACTTCTGTGCCTGGGGTTTCACCTGTAGAATCATGAACAGGGTGTCGCTTGCACGACCATACAACACAAAGTAGGCCTCCGACATTAAAAGAACTGAGTCCGAGTTTACCAGTACATGAGTCGTCCTATTTGAATATTTTCGCACTGTGGACATAGACGAGAGGCGGCAGGCAACGAAAAACGTTGCGGACATCGACTAGGAGCGAGAGGTGGCAGGCAACAAAAAACGTTGTGGCCATCGACGAGCAACGAGAGGTGGCAGTGAACGAGATTTTTTTCCTTGACATCGACTAGAATACAGCGGGATCTACTCGGCATTTTGTGAGTGGCGCTATAATTTTCCAGCTTCTTCTTGCGGTGGGATTGAAGGAAGTGCTGCTCCTCTGTATCGTGGTGACGCAGCAGAAGCACATTGCAAGGTCGAGAATAGCCTACTGCGACGAGGAGCGGAGCTGCAGATCTTTTTCGTCGACTGAATAAAGAAAAAGATCATCTTTTTCAGAACGAGAACGAAGCCTACTACAATTAAGTTACATCTTTACAATATTTTGGAGCATAGTTCTAGCGAAGATATAACGAGAAGCAGGAGCAATACGAAACTCGATCGAGTATCATTCTAGTACGAGATTCACGACACAGACGACAGCATAGATCATACGAAGTAGACGCCCACGGAGACCTGAAAGAGGTCACAACACGAACGACATCAACACGAGTTCCTTCTGACAGGACGGATGTCCAAAAAACAGAAGGGGCGGAAGAAGGGCGAAGAAGACCAGAATGTGGCCAACGCGTGCGCTAGAAGTGACCTATCGAAGTACGAGCAGCTGTTGGAAAAAGAAAGGGAAGAGATACAGTTGATCCTGAAGAAGCGTGAGGAGGAGCTAGCAGCGGAACTCGAGAAACAGATCGAGAAAGAAAAGTCCGAGCTGGAAAGACAACAGGCGGAGGCGGTCCAGAAACATGAGGAGGAACTAAGGCAACGGGTATCTATCAAGTTCATGATTAGTATAAGTAATTCGAAAAGTGTATCAGTATCTATGAAGTTCATAATCATAAGTACTTTGATCTTATTAAGATAAAGCATGATGATGATTCTAAATTCGAAATCTTGAAGATCATGCTTGCTAGACTACGAAGACGAAAGTTTCGGAATACTGATCTGGGCAACATTCCACTCACACGAGCGAGTAGCTGACTGAAATATCCGAGTGTCTCAGACGATTACTCTCTGGGATACTCGGCGATTTCAGTTTGTCGAATACTGGGGTTTTATCTCGATGCAGATCATGCTTGCTAGACTACGAAGACGACCTGAGGCAGTCGCACCATGATACTAAACTTGGAAGCTTGTTGTAGTTTCTTTAGGATTGCTTCTGTCTTGTTCCTAACGAATAAGTTCTCATCAGCATCGTTTTTTAGAGTTTGTCAATAATTGTACTTGAACATGTTCGTAGTATCATTTTTGTTCTGGATTTGTAATTGTATACCTGCTTCGCTGAGTGGGCGTGGAATAAAGTACACAAACACGCTCCTTTCTAGGAGGAGAAGCTCCGGCAGTCGCTAGAGCGCGAGCGGGCGGACTTGGCTGCGAAAGCCGCGCAGCTTGAGAAGCAGGCTCAAAAGGAGGCCCAAGATGCGGCTAAAAAATACGACAATATCAAAAACCACGAGGGGCAGAAGGTGAAGAAGCAAGAAAAGGTACTTAAATTTCTAATTGCTTATTCATGGAGTCTGGCTGTTTATTACATACGGCAACAGCACTCTTCACACCTATCCTTGAAATCGAACTAGCACGAAACTTCTCCAACCTAAGTAAAGTTGAAGTACGAAGATACTAACTTCGTTTTTTTTTTCATTCTAAGACCATCCTACCTACGCGTGATGACCTCCATCTTCAATATCTTCAATATCTTGCTGCAGCTAGTAATTTACAAGCTTTATATCTAATAATTCGTCTTTCCTTCTCCAATTATAATCAGCTCCTTGAGGAATTTAAGAGCCATGAGGATCAACGCCTGGCGCAAAAGCTTGAGGAGGAAAACGAGAAATTTCGCAAAGAGCGCAATGCCAAACTGCAGGCAGAAAAGAAAAAATTTTTGGATAAGCTCCACGAAAAAGAAAAAAAGCTCCTAGCAAAGAAGGTACTTATTATTTTAGGAAGTAAAACTCTATTCACGATTGAAAATTGCCGTTAAGGATAATACCTAATAGAAGTACAAGTACTATTTAAGGTACTTACCTATTGATTGCCAGCAAAGAAGTTTTTATGTAGGAAGTTTGCAATTTGTGATATGCCCGCAAATGATGGACCCACGACCTCTTGTACTTCTGAAATAGTGCTAGGGAGAATTTCTTGATTTCAGAAGTACAAGAGGTCGTGATTTGACATAGGTGCTGAGGGGTAAGGATATGATTGTCTTGATGTTCAACGTCGTGATTTGACATAGGTGCTGAGGGGTAAGGATGTTGCATTTTCGTGTCCTGCATATAATTGTTTAGTCTCCAAAATAGTAAGTGTGAAACTATGTGAGACTCATACCATGCGATGTCTGCAGGAAAACGAGATGCATGCGTTACAGCAACGAAAAGACGACGAGCTAGCACGACTGAAGAAGGAGATGGCAAAAGAGAAGAAGGAGTACGAGAGGAGAATGAAAGACGAGTTTGAATCCCAGCTACAACGCGAGCGTGATAGCTGGGAGGCCAAAAAAAAGGAGGAAGAAGATGTAACCTTTAAAGATTATGGATTGGAGATTCCTTTTTGCCTTTTGTTCCATAATAATGGAAGCTTCGTTCTCCCTTTTTAGCTTCTCCAAAAACGATGAAAGGTTCTGCAATTTATTGTGTTTTTCAGGTTGCTGTCCTCTAGGGTGTTTTTTGTCTACACTTGAAATACATAGTTCAAGAACAGCGGATACGGAACCAAATAAGGGTTTAGTAGGTGCTTTCCCTCCATATTTTGTTCGATAGAAGAGCGGGCGCAGTCCTTCGTTCGTGAGAAGAGGACCTGATACTGTTACTGTATTATGTGCCGCAAGACACAGTCTGGTGTACTTCAACTTATTAGCTTTATTAGACGCTGAGATAGACGAGAAAGAGAAACCTTCATTCTGCACACATACACAAATTGAAATTTCCTCAGCTTCAGATGTCGAGGTAGATTCTGCACAGAAATTTATCGTGCTGTTTCTCATGTGCTCTAAGACTGAGTGGAATCCAATTGGGTGCTTGTCGACAGCACACACGCGATTATCGATGTGAACAATGGAGAGGGAGAATCGCCGTAAAAAGAACAAGAACAATGGATATGACAGGAAAAAGTGTACTCATCCTCAGGAAAAGAAGCAGTTCCCTAGTCAGAAAATGCCGCGACGACTTGCTAATTAACTCCCTGTATACCCCATGATTGGGCATACTACTACTATTATTGCGTATGAGTACACTTTTTCTTTTCATCATGGACGAGGTCGGGACCTTTTTTTTCCAAACGAGCATTTCTACGAGTCTCTAGAAGGAGCAGACCTAACAGGAAGACCTACGTCTAGGAGCACAAGCACAACAGTAAGTACATTTTAGTACTACCTACATCTACATCAAGCCGCGCACACCTGAGTTGTAAGTTAGGTCCTACATCTACATCAAGCCGCGCACACCTAAGTTGCGAGTACCTACTACATCTATGTACATCAAGTGCGGTGTCTGAACACGAGCAAGTTGATCCGACTGGTTTTGCTGGTACAATTAAGGCTACCGCTAAAGCATGTCCTTGACACCAAAATCCTTGGATCTTCTTTTTCTACTTGAAAACGAAGCCAAGGATGGCGTCAGCGATGCAAACGTGGCGGCCCTAATACAACGTAAGCAGAATTCTTCTGAATGCAAGGGTCCTGGGAGAAGCTACATACTGGAGAAACAAGCTAGATACTGGAGCGCGATACCGGAGAAGGCGTGTGCTGCTCAAGTCCATCTTGTGGAAGAAGCTAATCAAAGAGAGGAGGGGTCGTGGGACAGAGCCGCTGTGCTGAGTTAAAGCTTGGGAGGTATCGACACATCTGCCTGTTAAAGCAAGCGCAGGAGTTGCAGCAGGACACTGGAGATCTCTTTTTATTTTTACTATACGAAGTCGAAGCATGATCTTTCTCTTTGTACTACAAAGTGAGACTCTCAGCGCTGTTGTTTGTAACACTGGCAATTAGGGAGAAGCTCAGAATTTTTGAAATCCGTTCTTGTTTTACCCCATGAGTGGGTACTTACTTATACTGCTACTACTTACTACTCTCATGTTGTTTTCGGATTTATGATAAGCGCCTCCTAAATTGATTTTCAGTTATTAGCCTAGAATCCAATGCTACGTTGTTATCAATCTTCGAACTGAGAGAGAATCATGCTTTATAATATATTTGTGTAACAAAGCGAACATTGAGTTACATGCTGTTCTTCTATGTTGAGTAAGTTTTGATCTGGGAACCTCAAACTGAGTTTCAACTTTGCTCCTTCAGCTCGTAGAATTGTTCACTCCTCTCGTCTATTCCGACCTTGTTCACTAGAAAGATGAATTATTGTTCACTCCTCTCGTCCCATACAGCGACCTTGTTCACGAATACGTTTTTGTGTAATTGATCCCCGGAGAAGGCGACAAACTTAGATTTGATATTTATCATACTTAGACTGACAGAGACAGACAACTGTAGTTCTAGTTGATTCTTTTTTTTCACGCATCGTCAACAAACACTGGAGGCTGCACATCATATTTATTCGCTCTGACGGTACAGGTCACCCTGTGGACGGCGAGCGGATTCCTATCCTATCCTGTCTATCTTCGCATGCATTCTGTGCCACACAGTCGCTTTTGTGTGGTTTTTGTTGTAATTAAGTTGTATCCACTCGCACAAAGGTAGGGAACAAATCTAGCGTTGCTGCCATCCTCGCACGATTTTGAACCATGATTTTTAGCGCCGTTCTTCTTCCACAACCGTAAGAACTCATACTACAATCTCGCTGAAGAAAAAACTCGTATGAATCTTATCATGTTGCAAACAGAGGCAAGATAGAAGGAGGGGGGACGAAGTCCTGCTTGCTGTTTTTCGTATGATTTTCTCCGTGTACAATTCACAACTCCTACAACATAGACGCTCCCGCATCGCCAGGGAAATCTTAGGCAAGCTGCCGAATAGATTCAAGTCGTCATATTCAAACCATCATACGGCCCCGCATATACCGAGCTCTACCAACTAGCATAAATTTTTTTCCATTTCAATACCTGTAGCTGGATATCGAGGATGGGGATGGGCGAGATGTTGATCTGTGTCAATCCTACAAGAAGTAGCGATCAACTCCAACGAGAAGAATACAGGTTTATCCAACAAGATTTACAAGAAGAAGAAAGGTTTACTCAACTCCAACAAGATTTGGAACGTGGAGCAATTGTTCCTATCCTATCCTGCCCGATTGGTCTCGAGTAAAGGTCGGGGCGGAGCTTCATGATGATGATGATGTCGAACGACCCACGACCAGCACGACCAGAGTACCCTCCGATGTAGGCAAGACTGTAGGCAAGCAATATGGCGACGTTCGTTGTTGTTCTGTGCAGGGCCTTCTAGGCTTCCCTTCGATGTGCTGCTTTGTCTCCTGCTGGCGAGCTGCCTGGCGGTGATGGCTTTCTTGGTTAACTCGGAACTTCCGGCGGTGCCGCTTGCATTTCGTTTATCCTGGTGTCCTCGTCTTCCTCCTCACTTTTCTTCGCGTAGCATCATGGTACCATATACGGTGGCAACTCTCTCTGAGGTGCTTTGCCTTGGTAGCTATGCAACAGACAAGCGCTTCTGGCGGCGTGAGGCTCTCAGGAACAATGGCCCAGTCGATGAAGGTCAAGCATTAATGGGCTACCATCCAAAGGGCCCTGTCTGTAAGTTGAATGCACTTCTGTCGCCATCCAAAGAACCCTTCACTTTTTATCTTCTGCCAGTAGACGATACGGAGAAGCCACGTGCATTTTATGTGAAACGACCGATCTATCAGGAGGTTGATTACGGTGTATCCGGACTATGCTTCAGAAACCCTTTTTTATCGAGTAATTACATGAAGATGTTGCTTCTCGTCCTTCATCTACTTACATACATAGATATCACTAGCGAAAGCGATACAACTAGTGCTCAAGTAGTTAGCTCGAAGTACTCTTCGCGCGGCACCACTGCGGGCGAAAAGCGGTAGGACTTACTCAATGCGCTTCGCCGACACTGCACCGAGCTCGTATTGTTCAGTCGTAGCTCTTTCCGATTTGAGGTTCTGCTGGTCGTGGCTTGATGTCGGTATTTTCCGCGTTTCGAAACCTCGGACAACAACACAGTCGTGACGAAAATGACAATCCAATTTCTGTGCTACATCATACATACAAATAGCGCGCGATTCTTTTGCTGTGGTTGCTCGACGTGGTGTAGAGGTCGTTGTCTGATTGTGGTGTCGGCTGAATCTTGTTTCGGTACGGCGATTGGTAGAATGACGGAGGGCTAGCACAAAGAATTAGAATTCTGTTGTGTGTGAGCGACCTGTGATCGGTGTGACACTGATACGTCTGGTAATATTCGGTAGTTTATCAAGTTCGGGCTGTGACAGACTTTCGTGCCCATCGGAATAGAGATTGAGAAACACCCGGTAGTTGGAAAGAGAAAGATGCACCCCACGACATTTTGTCTTTTCTCATGTTGAGAATTCGTCCTAGTATCTATCGTGGACATTGGTTTCTATTTCTCTTTCGTTTGAAACCGGTCTTCCCCGAGCCAAACGTGACAAGATTTGAATTGGCATCAGAAATGGAGCGTATCTGCTGGTTTACTCAGGATAATCAGATCAATCATCGCAGTACAGTATGTTCCGGTGATGTAGTGGCAACGGTGTAGTTGCTTTACCCCACTGAGGTTTGGAATGTATGAGCTTTACCGTGATTAAGAATTGCATGTTAGTTCTGCTGCTCGGGTGGTGAACCAAAACGATTCTCACCAGGATAGCACCTTCTTTAGCGTATTTTCCATTCTTGGAGGCTGCAAACCAATCGAGCAGCTTTGTTTCGAGCAGGTGGTTTGCGAGAATTTAGTGCTTCAGGGGGCTTCGGCGAACGTCAAGTATCCAAGAACGGCTCGATTGATTTTTCAGCGTACTGACAGGTGTAGAAGCCGCGGAAATCTCAATCGCAAGTGAGCGGAAGCTTGTGCGAAAAGAAACAGGCGTTTTCAGGGTTACAGGCGTGGTCTACTATTTGACAGGGTTCGCGAAAGCCTGCGACAGCGATCACAAGCTGTGAATCTCTGTGCTCCGTCAGAACAAGAGGTAAAGGAGAAAGGGACGAGACGTGGAAGCCTTCGGACTAATTTCGTGCCCAGCGTGGTGTAATTGTGTAAAGCATACACACGACGTCTCCCAGTACTGGAGTGAAAGGAAATCATGCTGGGATTTTCCCTCCCACCCGCGAATGCGGGGGGAACAGTGACGACAATCCACCATCATCATCATATCTACGGGACATCATCTTCATCCACAGCGCCGAGCAATAGCAGAGCCGCGCTTTCTTCCGGAGACGCGGGCAATGCGGGGGGTCAAGGAGGCCTTCCGATGCAATCTATCACGTCGCAGCACGACTCTCCTGGAGACGGCAGCAATCATCCAGCCTCTGCGCCATCGACACGTAGCGGAAAGCAGTCACTCGGAGCTATGATGCTAGCGCAGAGCGCACAGGGAATTGCACAGCCGTCGATGCAGGTAAAGGAAACTTGAACAATCGGAGATGAAACTCAGAGAGATTTTGACTTTTGTATTCTTATACCGTGTTCTTGATTAACGAAAACGAATACACCGTCTTGTGAGTTTTCTTCTTCTTCCCTTCCACGTTGTTGAAGTCAGTCCTCCGTCGTAATCTTGATTGGTAGTAGTTTACAACTTGTTATAAGTTAATCCCGACTGGTTTTCTTCGCCTTGTTTTTTGCCCGTGATAATTGACATTGACGAATAATTTGTATTTGGATTTCTTGTTTCTTTGTGAGTCTCCTCTCCTCGTCTTCAGGCTTTTCTAGACCTGAAGCAGGGACAGAACGAAGACGCTGGGTTAGACCATGCTGAGCTCGAGCGTGACCAATTGTTGGGGGAAAATTTGTGCCTGAAAGCGCGACTTCGAAATATTCTCCAGTACATGGAACGGAGTGCAACGACGCCGTCCATGACGCACGCGCGAAAGCTTTTGCCGGTGCTCCAGGAGATGGATCTTCCACCGGTTAGCTACCACGAGCTGCTGACCGAACAACTGCGCAAGAATAGCGCACCAATCAGCATCATAAAGAAGAAGCTGCTTTCCTTCTATCTGCCGACACTAGACGCGCCAGGGCAGAAGCGACTCAAGGAAGACCTGCGCGCGGCGTATAGAGCTGAAAGCGAAGAGTTTGCAGTGCGAAATTAATTTTTTTTTCTACTGTGAGTCTGAGTAAATTCCTTTTCCATTATTTCCATTGTGATAAATAGGCTTACGAAATTGAAATAAGAAATATGATGTTCTTGAAATTTAAATCGCATAAATCCTCTCACCCGTACCTCGTTTCCTAGGTTCAGAAGGAGCTCCAGAGATTGAATAAAAGTTTGACTGCGAAAACGAGGAAAACCGAGCAGTCGGAGAAACTGATACGAGCAGCTGCCGGAGAAAATCAGCAGTTGCTTTCTGGCAAACAGCACTTAGAGGAGGAGCTGATGGAGCAGAAAGAAGCGGCTAGTGAGAACAAGGTACCGACGCACTTTCTAGTACCTACAGTACTTGATTCTGCCTAATCATACCACTTACTAGTACAACTACTTACTAGTACACTGCTTGATTCTTTTCCCTTGGAGGATTTCTCGAATCAATATGCGCACACAACGAGAACACGGCTGACTTTCAGCCTGCCTTACTTTCTCTTGAATTTGCACTGGTTTTGTATTTTTAAGCAGTGCGTCTCTCCCCCTCCAAGCAAGCGATTCGATTCTTGGCAGACAATTCCACTTGGAGTACATTATACCAGAGTAGTTTGTAGCACGCATGGTGCATGGAGTAGCATGGAGCGCATGGAGCAGGCGCAGCATCGCCACGCATGGAGTGCATAGGGGCCGAACAAGCCCCCGGGTGGGCCGGGGGCTGTTGAATTCGGGGTCGGTTGATCGGCTAGACTGACGCCGCGGGAGCGCTGCCTTGTGCGTAAAGCGGAGGCGTGACGTAGCCGGCGGCGCTGCAGCGAGCTGATTTGTTGCGCGCCCCAAGGCCCCGGCCCGCGAGTCAGTGGACTCGGAGATGTAGTAGTTGGCTCGGGGGCTGGCGGTCTGGATGCTTGAAGTTCCTGCCCGACGTGCCGAGCTGTAGGCGTGTGGGCTCTTAGGGAGGGGCGCCCGATTTTCACGCATGGAATGCATGGAGCACCTGCTCCATGCAGCTCCATGCGATCCATGCAATCTAAAAAAAAAACTCCATGCCATGCGAGCTGCCAAACCTTAAAAAATAGATTATATATTCTGACAGGTCCAGTCGGAGCGATTACGACAACAGTTTCTCCTGGTGAATGCGACCGTAACCAAGTTTCTCAAGACTCTGAATTCAATACCTATTGCCAAGTTTGGAAACGAGGAGCGAGCAGTTCAAAGTACTTCATCATGTTCGTCCAGTGAATAGGAATACCTGTTTGAAGAGAACGAGATTAGTACATGAGTCAATTTGAAGCCACGGTTATTCTGCAGAAAATGGAATATTGGGTAGTTGCGATGTTTTTCACCTCCAGACCTTGCTTGTTTGCATTTTTTGTTCGACGCCTTTTTTTCTCCCTCAAGACTTTAAACAACAAGGTATGAAGCATACGTTGTGTAAGCTCGCGAAGGAGTCGTCACGGTTGCAGATTCAGTTGGAGAGCACGCTGAAAGAGGAGAAGTTATACGAAGTGAAATACAAGGCCTTGTCGCTCGAAACCCAGAGAACATGGCGCAGTGGGATGAACAGGGTCCCTCCGAGCACAGAGTCTGCAGCTGAAAGTTACGATAATCCTTATTGTGAAAAAAGCTCTGTCTCCGAGTGCATCTTGTTCCCCAGCATTTAATTTCTTTGCAGCAGTAACTTAATAATATCACTGTTTGTTTCTGCCCGTATCCGTGATTAAGTACTTAGAAGGAGGATTTACTGCGTTATCAAAATTACGTAAGTAGTAAGTTAGATAGAGGAGGAGGATTATTTACTGTAACTAATGTGGAGTTGTATCTACGTCGCAAATCCACGAGGTTGTACTTGTAGGAACTGCAACTCACGAGCTTACTAGAAGATGGATCCAGCTTCAATGCATTTTGTAGATAATCAGGACGGCACTTTAGTTTCTAATGATTATTGGAGTAGAGAGAAAGTGTACAACTTGTGGTGTACATTATAGTTGTTTTTGTTGTACTTACCCAAAATAAAGCTCTTCTAAAAATGTGCCGCCTTGTATGAGGCCCTGGAACTGGCGGAGGACCAGGCGCTCACAGGCCTGCCGGATCCGCAGCACCACGATCCAGTGTGGCGATTGATTAGTACCGATGCAAGGCTCGCTAGTGAACCAGCATCGCATAAGAATGCTAAGGCAATCGAGTTTCTGACGAGATTGACCCACAACTGCGGACAGGAGCCCGTTGACATTTTCAACGAAATGTATCTCGACGAAAAAAGCGAAGAAAGGTATTTATCTAAAATCATTTTCATTCATATCTGTGGTCTTTCTTCTGCGAGGGAAAGAACAAATTTAGGAAAAAAAGAACACAATAAGAAATATTCCAAAAAAAAGAATTCAACACGAGTCTCAAAAAAGTTCTTGCCAACAATATTAAAGAGCTAAATAAAAAATCAGCAACGCCCCCCCAGACTCTCACCCTTCCACTTTCGAACCCCAGCCCCCAACTACTTATGAACTTAGGAACTTCTGAACATGGGAACTTATGCGCGAACTTCTGAACCTCGGAACTTGCTAGCCCTGGGAATCTGTTAGAATTCCCGCGGGTTCGTATTAAGTTTAAATTTACGAAATAAAACCCAAACTTTTACGATTTGAACTCCAAATATTTTAATTTTTGAAAAATCCAGACCCAGAGCAAGAATTTTATCTAAAGTCTTAGATATGCACTAGCATGCATTTCATTACGCTGAAACGCAAACATTAACGAGCTGAATAAAAAATCAGCGGCGACTCCTCCAACATCCGAACCCAACACACCCGAACCAAAAACACCTGAACCGAAAACACTGGAACCAAAAACATGCGACGGACCCCCGTCCCGAATTTTTCCGCTTCTTTAGTAAAGATCAACCAACAAGTGCAACACATGAACACGCGAACCCCTGGCATGACGTCACGCATTTATGAAAATAAAGCACGCTGCGACTTCATCCAATTCGTCGGCGTTAAAATTAAAAATTTTGCAGATGAAAAAGCCTAAGTTTTGACTTTATCAGCCAAGGCCTTACACTCAGCCTCAAGACTGAATGTCGAAAGCTCCAGCCTCAAAGCTGAAAGCTGAATGCTCGAAGTTGAACTTGAAGGGAACGCTCTAGATTGGAAGCTTAAAGTTGGAAGCTGAAAGCCCACACCTGAAAACTCAGCATTGAAGACTCAAAGCCGAAAGTTCAAAGTTGAAAACTCGAAATTGAAAACTCGAAGCTAATAGCTTAAAACCTAAACGATTAGGACCAAAGGCGCCGCCTCAATGTTTCAGAATTTCAAATTTGAGACTTCGAGTCTGAAGCTTTTGACTGTATCAAAGAAGAACGAAACTTACAAAATTCCAGTCCAAAACTGTATCACAAGAAGGGGAATTTTGACAAGTTGCAAACTCGAGCGCTGCAACTTGCACGCAAAGAAGGCCAAACCTACCAAAAGAAGAGTAAACCTTCAGGCCAGCGCCTTCGGTCTGTGCCTCTTTAATCAATGGCCGCCCGCCGTCCCCCCGCCTCGCTCTTTTTCCAACGATCAGCGCCGCCTGACGGTTGGCGGTCGGGGGAGGGAGGAGCCGGGGAAGCGGAATCGCGCCGGGATTGAGGAAGTGCGTGCCGGGGGTGGGTGATCCTAGTGGGAGGAGTGTCGCCAGGCGCTCAAGTCTGGTACCAATGCGACGGCGGCGAAATGATGGGCGAGATTCATTAGTCGCGCTCCGGAAAAATCTTCAGGTATCGCGCAATCAAGTACCTCGCGCGAGAATTTGTGTTGCACCATCGAAAAGGCAGCATGATGACGCAGCTGATGAAGGACTTGCAAGCTATGAACAAATTCCGAGATCAGGACGTCGCACTGAGCTCCATCAATCTAGTGATCTGCCGCGTACTGGAATGCGACTTCGCGCGATGCTGGTATATCAACCACGCAAAAGGGCAAGCCTGGGTCACAGCCGAGACAAATTAAGGCTTTTCCTATTATAATCCATCTTCAGAGGCATCCTGGAAAGGCTTCTAATCGATCCATCTTCAGAGGCATCCATCCTTTCATTGAAAGACATCCTGATTTAAGAGGCCATCTTGTTGAAAACATCCTGAAGTAAGAGGCTACTCAAGGAGAAAAAGCGGCTAGGATGCACCGCAAGATGGATTAGTGGAGTAGTTCTAAACAAAGACGGGAACCAAGATCGTAACGAAAGATTTGAATGACGGAAGCTACGTCAGTCAGGCGTTCAAGTTACAGGCGTCGGTGAACATCCCAGATGCCTACGCCGACTCGAAGTTCAATAGGGAAATGGACAGATTAACTGGCTACCGAACCAAGGCTGTGCTTTGTGCACCAATAAGGACGCAGGGCAAGGTAGTGAATTATAGTGTAGCATAAAAATTGGCAACATGATATTCTGATTCCCTACTATTCAGGCTCACTCGGCGCAAAGCTCCGACTTGAAACTTTCCTGTCAGTTAGTTTGTTAAAAAAACCCCTGTGCTGGTGGGAGTTCTTTCTTCTTGTTCTATTTACTTACAACTAAGAATACAACAACAACCAGAACCATGTTTATCCCAACGATTCGCTATGGTAATACAATGAACGATTCTTATGAAGACCAATCATCAATATATTCCAACGATTGGTATCCCTTCCAGGTCCGCGCAGTGATTGAGGCGATTAACAAGATATCTACCTCTTCCTCGTGCTTCGACCCCTTCGACGAGTTTCTCCTCCACGTGATAGGCTATTCAACTGTCGACGTGGTGAACAAGTGCCAGAAGCACCGCGCCAATGTGCAGACTAGTCTACGAAAGATTACGGCTAGTTACAGTATATCACTAAAACTATACCGTGTCTGTGGACTATCCTCATTTGGTAGTTGCCCTTAGAAGTCAACACGGGGAGAGCAAAGGGTAAAAAAAGGAAACCCACGCAACCAGGGAGAGTGAAAAACTACCTCTAAAAAGAACATCCTTTTAGAAGCCGCGGAAGATCTCTTCCAGAAGTGCCATAGTGTCAAAGACCTCTTCAGGGTCTTGAAGGATCGGATGTTGCAGATGTTTCAAGCCAATGAGATTAGAATAGTCCTAGTGCACCAAACCAAGCAGAACCAAGCCTCATCCTTGCAGAGAATAGACGTCGACCTACATGGCGGCCTCATCACGAGGGATTTTGGTACTACGAACTAACTAGCTGTAAATGCTTAATGTACTACGAACTAGTAACTAGATGTAAATGTCTAATGTACAGTTGAAGTTGTTGTTGTTGTACTAGTTAGTAGTAGAAGTTGTACTTGCTTGTACTAGAAGTCATTTGGTGTCTTCTTTTTCATTTCATACTCGCAACTTGGTGTTGAGGTAGCCCGAAGTTGGCACGTTTGCATTCTCTATTGATTCTGGCGACTCGTTTATCCAGCACCACGCATCATCCCTGATTTCAATCTCTTTTTAGGATCACCCATCGAAATTTATTTGACCACTTGATCTCAAATGAATATGAATATCCAAGAATATCTCACTCACAGGTATGGTCGGTCTCTGCGGTGAGACGGTAGGCGATCGAAAATTCCAAGTTTTCGAAAAACCAAGACGGTCTTGCGGCCGTAGATTTCATCACGGCGTAGATTTGGATGGAGAAGGCAAGGTCTTTTTCTGGCCGTTGTTTTATCAGGGCATGCCATCCGTCGTAATGATGTTCTCGTTGCCTGTGCTGGAGGCCGATGAGCTTACCTTCAATGCCAACTCTTCAATTCACGTTCACGCATTGGAAAAACTCTTCGCAATGGTACATGATTTATAGTAAGAGGTCATCTATTTGCCAGTCATTTTTGCGTTATTGGTATAGAAATGTTGACGCTCACAAAAATGAGTAATCTTCAGCCGAAGCACTAAAAATATGTTCCTCATCTGGGAATGATACTCATGTAGAGCCGAACAGTTTCTCAGAGTTATTTGTTGTAAACTACGTTACCCCCGCCTCCCCCGCGCATAATATTTTCCAGGCGATGTTTTTCCTCGAGAAGTGGTTCCCGTCTTCGGCGCGCCTCGCTTTTTCCGACAAGCAGAAGAACGTGCGTTTCAAGAACTACGTGGAGTTTCAGAAGCTAATGCAACCGACGATGTGGAAGGAGGAGGTCGAAACATATGCAGTCTGCATGATTCAACGATGGTTCAGGAGAACAAGGATAAAGTACTACTAACTTGTTCAACTAGAAGATAATTCTGTAATTGTAGTTGACGAGCAGCAGAGGCAGAGCCTTACTAGATGATGATAATTGTAGTTCACGAGGAGCAGAACCACAACGTTGAAGTTTGAATAACTTTATGCAGCAGTTGTACTTGTAGATATATAATCAATCTATGTCCAAAGCCACTCCCAATCCCTCATACCACAACTGCCTCTTCGTTTTAATCAAAGTTTTTAGTGCAGTCGTTAGTCTACCCTACGACCTAAAGGCTAGTCCTCTCATCATCATATATGATAAATCTATGTAGTACGTTGTGTATTTCTTCATCGACAAGAACTTGTTGATGTTGAAGAATCTTTAGCTGTGTTGTACTTGTATGGTGTGTGTATTAACACATACTTCTTGTGTTGTTCTTGGCTGCTATATGAATCTCAAACCAGGTATGCGATTTTCCAGATTGCGAAGGAACGCATAGCTGCCGCGAAGTTCATCCAAGCGCAGTGGGCGTCGAAACGCGCCAAGGCTACCGGTTCGTCTTACCGAGAGGGCGTGCGAAGAGAGTATACTTTCTGTTTCCAGACAGGCGATTGGACCTCCAAAAAGTGGGAGAGGAGCAAGGCCTTCATAAAGAAAGCAAGTCTGATGCTCAATGCCTTCGGGTCAAGCGCGAAGGCCGTGGAGGAGGATGTCGGAGAAAATACCTCGGGGGACAATTCGCAAGCGGGAGAAGGTAGAGGAAATGAAACTGCTCAAAAGAGCGGTGAGGAGGGTCAGGCCGAAGGAGCACGTGGCGAGGCAATTGAGGTAGGTGGAGACTCAGCAGCCAGTGACGCGGAAGCGCAGGGATAGCAAGTATAATATCTGCTCCGGGGGACCATCAGAATCAGTGTTTCTTTCGTTAAAAATGTGAATGATCCACTTGGTATCTATGATTATATTGATGTATAACAAAAAAAAAGACATGCATGGTCTTATTGCATAGAGCGGACTCACTATCCACTTCCGGTGAAGCTTTCACCATTTGCAAAAATAGTAAACCATTAAAGATGGCGAGCGTAACTCATGTTCATAGAGCTTTTAGACCCAAAATATTTCTTCAGTTTATTCGCTGCATAAAGTAGAGCGCGCTACCCAGGCATGCAGAGCTACCGTCATGACCATGCCACAAAGAGGTATCCCCCCTTGACATACACTGCCCGTCCCCCCACTAGTTGTGAACCCCATAAAATGCTCAAATATGAATGTTCAGTATAGTTACAAATGTCCGGATATTGATAGCTTTCGCTTATAAGAACGCCTGATCTAATGTGCGGATATTGATACCATAGCTTTCGCTTATAAGAATGCCTGATCTGATGTCTGGATATTTTTGATGGCTTTCTCACTCTTATAAGAATGCCCGATCTTTTATTTCGTTTCTACGTATCTATTGTCGTTTCGCTTTCGAATTCTACGCAAATATCATCAGGGCTAAGTCATTTTGCATTTGCCGTATCTGATTGACTCACGCATCAAAGTTACACTCGATAACCATTACAAATGCATCAAAGTAGTGCTCCTCGATAGTCTTAATCACTAGCATCAAAGTTATCCTCGATAATACCTAAGCACCCGAATCAGGCTCCTGCTCCTGCACCAGAGTAGCAGCCGTCACATACCGCATTTTCCAAACAGGAGCATGTGACGACATCAGACCGTCGTTATCCTGATCTATGATTTGTTTTCATGCTAGCTTCTTGTGCGCAAGCTTAGCCGAGGAGCCCCCATTTTCGTGGAGGCTTTCCCTTTCGCTACTGACGGGTGTGCTCTCGTCGTTGATGTTCCACCTCGATCCCGAAATTGAAATTGAAATACCTTTGAAGAAAGGCAATCGATGTTGTACTTATACTGCCTACGAAGAAAGGCAAGTGATGTTGCACTATCTTGTATCTGTCATCGAGAGAACCTACACACAAAACGATCTGTCCCATGAGAGCTGAGTACTGCTGCGACAAGCTAGGGCGTCGCAGATTGAGAGAAGAAGGCAAGTATTCCTATTTGTCCTGTTTTCATCTGTGAGGTGCTGGAATTTGAACTTGAGATTTGCTCTGCACGAACTTGAGTTTTCTGTTGTGCTGCCGATACTCTGTTTTACGTGCGACGTTCCTCATGGTGGATCTGCGCGGCGCTAGTTCAGTGTTACTGTTTGATCTCATAGACACTTATTGATGAAATTATTGGTGACAGGATCCCTTCTTTTGATAAGTATTTAGATTCGAATCTTCCTTGAACGACGGTTACTTCTTACCATCGATTTATGGGATTTTTCTTTATCCCTCCGGATGAATATGACAATGCAATTCCCCAAAAGAAAATTCTTGCCTCGCATAACTTTCGTCCGACTTTTCTGATCTGTTTTTTTTTGTCAAATGGCATGATTAGACTTGTAGTTGAAGCGATTGGTGGATATCAGACGATAGTCATATCGAAGTTTTTATTTCTGATTTGACTCTACTATGATACATAGGACTTTTATCGAATCTAGTACGAAATAATGCCACAGACGTGCTCTAGACGTGCTGTATCGGGTTCGCCGAGTCGGACCTCCGCTGTCGTTTCTCCGCTTCGTGCTGTGTTGGACGCTGTTGATGCGCAGCGAAAGGTGGTAAGAAGTGTAATTTCTGCCAATCCGGTACTCAACGCGCAGGGCTGCGGCGAGAGTCGCGCTAAGTCTAAATCTAAATCGCAAAAGATGACTGTAGTTGAACAGAAAGGTACAACTACAACTTTACCAGGAGCTCTATGTCAGCATCATCAACCGGTTTTTTACTCGGAGCCCGTTGTTGCAGCTGAGAACATGAGCACGAGTGGGACGATTGCGACTATTGGAGGAGCAAGTAGCAGAAAGTCCCTGGTGAGCCGTGCGTCGACTTCTTCAAGACCAGCGAACGTACCGGCTTTGAAACTAAATGCCGGGACGTCGAGACCTTCTTCCGTTGATAGGAGGGTCGTCGACAGAGGAGCTGCCCACCTCTCCAATAAAGACCCCAATACAGGTTTAAAGTCCTCCCCGGTCAGAAGGGTTAACACGGTGCATTTCGAGGAGCGTATGAAATCAGTTTTGGAAGCCACCGCCAACGTTGCGGGACAGAGTGAGGAGATGGCTGGACAAATAAGCGCAATTTCCGCCAATGCTAGCGAATTTCGGGCTAAGAAGGATGCCGAGCACGACTCGCAGTTTCTTCGGAAAAGTGCTGCAAGCCGTGAAGAGATGGAAAGAAATCGAGCAGCTGCCCGCGCTCGTGGAGCTCGAGAGGAAGGCAGCGCTCGTGGAGCTCGAGAGGAAGTGCTGATAGAGAGCACAGGTGATGCGTCGAAAATATTTAGCCAGGGTGACAAAATTGATGCGGGAGGTTACGACAGCATTGTTTCCGCAACCGGAAGCAGGATCACGACGAAACAGACGATCGTGCCTCAAAATTCCTTGTTCACAACCTCCATGTTTCAGAGTGTAGCGGGAGGCGGAAGGGAGATGCAGGTTTCCCTTGGGTCAATCCGAGGCGCTTCCATTAGAGACGAGAACTTCGCTGGCCTGCAAGAGAGGGCTTCTATGGTAAAAACGCCAGATGATATGGACAGGAGGTCTACTACAAACGTATCGCCGCTACTAGATCTTCAATCAAGGAGGTCTGCTACAGTTACACCGGATCAGACGCCAGATGTTAAAAGTAGGAGATCTAATACCGTGGCGCAAGAGCAGGGGTTAGTCGTGCCAGCACGAGGAGGAAGGGGTAGTTTGGTCGCTAGAAAAGACGTTGAGGCACTGCGACCAGAAGAGGACCAGATGAGAGGATTAGAGGGAGCATCCTCGATGCCTAAGAAGTCCTTGCGTGGATTACGAGGGATGATGGAATCGCCCGCTGACATCTTGCAGTCACAGGCAGTCCGAAACTATCGGCAGACTGTTAATAGTACGATGGCTAGCGCTCCCCCTTGTAGTGTTGAAGAGAAGCCCCGCGACGAAAATCAGAATAGTATACAACCTGAGAGGACACCAGCCCCAACGACAGACAAACCAAATCCAAAAAATGCAGGAGGACGAGAAGTTCAACTCGTTACTACAACAAAAGAAGATGGCAAGAGTATCAATTTCCATACATTAGTACCTCAGGAGCAAGGTAGACAGGAAAAGCAAGTAAAAGAAGTAGAACCCCAGCGAGTTAGAAACGATGCAAAAGCCCCGCAACCTAGAAATGGTGCAAAAGCCAAAGAGACCGACATCGTACCTGTCCCAGCCAGAGACGTTCAAATTCAAACGGGAAAAGGAGTTTCTCCACCGATCGCGCGAACTTATGCGGATAGTGATGACGATCATGATCTTGACTTCAAGCCTTTAGCGAAAGAGGTTTGCGGAAGCGTTTCATCTTCCCTTGATGCGCTAGGTTCGAGAACGATGTTCGCGTCAAGCGATCAACACAGCTACATCGAGGCAAGCGGAACTATGGAGGGAATCATGGGTAGCAGTATGGTCCTGGATGAAACAAGTACTAGCATAGTAGGTAACGCTCCAGCCAAATTATCGGACAAACTGTCGCGCATTGACATGCGGCGAGAGGCTAGGCGTGCGTCGGCGTTAGCGCCGGCAGCGTCTCGGCCCTCGCGCGCAGGGCGCAGCTCTCGTGCGTCGCTATCGCCGAATATAGAGCAAAACGAGTTGACGAAAACGACTCCGAGCAGGACGTCTGCCATGACAAGTAACCGTCGGGTCTCCGGTGCACCTTCATCTGCTTTATCCAACGAGAAGAGCGGTCGTGGCAGGCGAGTTGATGCTGAAACAAAATCTTCTTCTACCAGAATAGACGTGCTCGAGCAGTCTCGAGACTACGCAGGTAGTGCTGGTAGCTCGTCGAGAGCGGGAAGTAAAGCCTCGAGCACGGGACGGGAAGGAAATTCTCGAGTGTATTCCCCTTGCGCGACTGAGGCGGGTGTGTCCAACCAGTTGGGCGAGCGGTCGTCGTCAATTGAGGCTGGGTCTGCAGCAGGAAGCGACCCCAATGCGAGGTCTCGGTCAAGGTCTGTGTATGCAGGCCCACAAAATCAAGCTATGCATCAGTTTCAAATCGCAGGCACCGCTACGATGCCGTCCGTTGCTGACGCGTGGAACGAGAAGCATCCTCAAAAGTCGTACTATTTGGTGAAAAAGCACCAACCCCAAGTAAGATTAAGGCTTCCCTTTGTTCACCTTGAGAGGCATCTTGGAAGGGTTTCGTAAGTAGAAATGGCTATCAAGATGCTCTTCAAGATGAATATCGGTAAGATCTAATAAGAGACATGGCGCAACGAGAGATGGGCAATCCTACACCTCCTACTGAGGAACAGCATCCGGAACATCAACGCGGCGCGTCTTTGCGCCAGGGAGCTGCTCCGAGGACTCATGCAGATAGTAAGCCTAGTAGTCAAGATCATTCCGAGTCGACGTCATCAACAATGCTTCAGCATGTGATATCGGAGAGGTTGTATGACGCGCCCGTCGCGACAAAGCGCGACTGTACGCAAATTCGTCTAGCTAATAAAATCACGGGCGGATCCGGGGAGTGGCTTTTAGAGTTGGAGTCATCTCAGAAAGCGGCGACGGCGAGCGAAAATCGAATACTCTTTAGTCCGGAGAAGGAGCGCAAGAACCAGAATCGGGGGGACCAGGCACGAACGAAGGATCGTAGTGACCGCAATGTCGTTGTGAGTGGGGATGCCGAGATAACAGACTACATTCCGAATGTTGAGAATGTGACAATATCACCTGTAGCAAGAGAAGTTGATGTAGGAAAGACCACTTCTAAGACGGTTGTTCCAATTAAGGGGGCGCCTACGTTTTCACCCGCCAGGGAACGACCGGGACGAACAAGTAAAGTGTCAATATCCAATGCCTTTTTGCACAAGAAGAACACCAGGAAACAAGGCGCTTCGCAGGAGCGTTCAGAGACCGGAGGAAAAAAAGAGCGACCGGCATGGTCAGTGGACACCAGGGCAATTCTTGGTTACAAGACTGCAGCTTCCTCAAGACTCCGAAGTCGCAGCAGAAGCCCGCACTCTTCGCGAAGTCCAGAGCCCGCCTTAAAAATCGGCGTATCGGAAGAACAGTATCGCGCATGGTGCGGAGGTGGAAGCGAGAACGAAGAGACGTCGGGAGACGATTTCAGTACCGACTACGAAGAGGATGTTGATCCAGTAGACTACAACTGCAACCACTCTAGATCTAGATCACCCCCGCCGTCGTCTCCTGCTTCTCGTCGCGGTGGCGCTCTTACCCAATCAAAGCAAATCGGAACGGCAACGGCTGGAAAAACACAGGAGTTTTCCTCTTTTGGGTCGCGCAATGAAGAACCACGAGCCGCGGGCATGGACTCGAGGTATCTAACTCCGGTGCCGGTCCACCTTCGCGGTCAAGACTTCTCACCGGAACGGGACGCGCCAACAAAAATTTCCTATGAGCGAGTCTGCAAAGTGCACAAGGGCGTTCGACAATATCCGCGACATCGATACGACACGTACGGCACACCACCGATACACCGAAAGTACCATTCCCAGAAGATTCGGTACGAGTCACCTTTAGTATCTCGACACGATGCTGATGTTCGCAGCACTGATGTATCTCGAATCAATGCTGATGTGCGCAGCACGACTGTATCTCGAATCAATGCTGATATGCGCAGTACTGGATCTCGAGACGATGCTATCATGGCAAAGTACTTTGCAGCTGGTATTAGATTCCAACGGGATGCGTCTGCTTTTCATCCTACAGCTAGTGGGCCTAGGCAGCACAAAGGTAGCGGTCGGAAACACGGAGAACATAGTGCATTGCTGCAAGGCAATGCTTTTAGGCACGATGGGAGAGCTTCCCCTCAAGATGATGGGTCTACGCACGATGGCGCCTCTCAACACCATCAGAATGGAAGTATCATAGCAACAGCTGAAGAGGTTCGGAGCATCTCGAACGTGAGTCCCTCGGTGAACGATCGGCAACATCTTGCTGGAGGACATCAACATCACCCACAGCAACAGGCTCTTATTGATTTTACAGTGGAGGAGAAGGTTCCTGTTGGTCAAGATGCGCAGGTGGAGAAGGTTCCTATCGATGATCACAAAGCCCAGCATGCTCGTGCTGGAAGTAGAAGTTCTATTGAATCAATAGATAGTAGAATTCTACTTGGGGGCGAACCACTACTGCCGCATGCGTTGGATAACAGAGTGAGCACCACGTCCTCAGCCGCGCAGGAACGGCCGTCTCTGGTGAGCGCAAGTACGATGAGTTGCGATTTCAATACGGATGTGCTACGAGAGCGCGAGGATGATGACGTAATCGACGCAGCGCCTGTGCTAAGAAGCGCATCAACAATATTCAACTTGACAGCGAAGAGAGCGCCGGGAGAGAGGGCGACAATAGTACCAGGGGGAGGAGCACCACTCTTGTTAAGGGACCACCAACAGGCAAGAACGCGATACGGCGCCTCGTCTGTGGCCAGCCTTCAGGGGAGAGAACATCCCTCGGACGCACTAGCGCTGAATCAATTGGAAACGCGGCAACGCTCAAATCATCCGCTCCGAGGAGCAGAGGGCGCTGCCGTACGACATCCCACTGTCAACAAGGGACGTGAACAAGAAAGCGTTGTTGTATCTTCAACACTTGTGAAGAATAACACCAGCGGCGACTTCTCTTCCGATGACAGCGCTTCGATTATAGATATCTTGAGTGATACTGAAAGAGAGCAAGAAACGACGACCACAGAAGTTAGATACATGGACGAAGCAGAAGATGAAGAACGTAGAAACAGCAACACTGAGGCCATTCTTGGAAAAACTGCTACACAACCTGTATCTACTACACAGGATGAAAGAAAAAGTATCGTCGGGAATGTTGTGCAAAAAGCGCTAAATGATAGGACGAGTAGAACAGTGGGACTGTCGCGCATGGCCGGGAATGGAGTAGAAGCAGCTGCGTTGGACCGCCGACCCGAGGGTAAAAATACTTACGATGCTGCTGTTGTAATCGATGACGAGGAGGATGACCGCGTAGTCGTGGAAAAGGGGGTTATTGGTGTTGACGCATCAACTACGCGATCGGGCCCATTGAGCAGAAAATCATCTAAGCCAACAACAGGCGAACAAGATCAAGAACAAGTCTTCACGCTTAAAAAGAGTGTCGAAGACGAGCCAGCGCAGGCGACAGCGATAAAGAATAAAAATGTTGCAACAAGAACAAGAGCATCAATTGCTCAGCGTGTTCGTGTCGTCAAGCCTGAGGAGGAGGAGGCTGTTGAGGACCCCTCAGCGCCAGAGCGTGGCGTTCAGAGAACTCCTTCGGTTGCAAACGTTGTAGAAGCACCGCTTTCGCCATCACCGGCAACGCCGCCCACGCCACCTCGCCGCAGTATTGCAGGTGGCAGCTTGGCGGTTCGTAATAGCAGGCCCGTTTTGCACGAAGGCGAGCTCGTTGGGGCCACGAGTACGAAGAGGAGGGCCTCTTCTGCGACTGAAGCACCAGCTGCAACCCCCACTGTACGTCTTGCCCAGTCGCAGACAGCTGGCGCGATTAGGGTTTCGCGTACTGGAATCATGAAGGCATGCCCGACAGGGGGACCTGAAGAAGAAGACGATGAGGATGACGATTTTGACGATGGTATGAATGTGGACGAAGGACCCTTGGATCTTGTAGTTCATTTGGGCAATAACGGTGAGGTTCGCGCTGCGCAACAGGCCGCGCAAGAACGACCGCAGTACTTCTTTCGTCAATCGATGGCAGTGCAAAATCGCCAATCAATAGGACTGTCAAATAATCGCCAATCAGGAGCCACGCAAAATCGCCAGTCCATGATGCAGGCGGGTCTTTTGGGAGCCTCTGCTTTGCTTCCGCGAGCCTCGGCGAACCGGTTATCGACACCAGGCCTTTTGGGCATGGGGCCTATAGGAAGCTCAGTAGCGCAGGTTGGCTTTGGCGGAAATGCTATATCTGCGTCTGGAACGCGAACACCCGCAACATACACTGGTGAAGCACCGCCCAGTCTGCTTCAGAGACCAAGTCTGATGTGAGATCACAGTTTGGCATCTTCTAAGCTAAGTATGTATACCTGCCCACTAAAACGAAATTTAGTTTTTGGTTTTACCTACGTTGTAATCTTTCTACCTCCACTTAGTTTTTTGGAGATCGTTGTTCGATTGCTAGTTAGCATCGATACAGCCGCACACGCATGGGTGGACAAAATGCATGGGACTGATGGAGAAAGAGCTGAACAGACTTGAACAGATTGTATAGAGACATGTTCATCGACTGTGTGTATAGGAACGTTCATCACGAATTCTTATGTTCTTGCTGAAAGGAATAGGATTAGCAGGAATTTGACGAGTCGTGCTGCAACTCAAGGTGTTGAGCGAAGCACGACACTCTCGGACGAGGTACTTAAGTAACTGTTCCCTCTCTCATGCAATATGACTGATGCTCCAGATGGTCGACCTACCCCGCTTGTTTCCTAGAAGCAAGCAATAAGAGTGAGAAGCGAGAGAAGAGAGAGGGAATTTATTTCAGGCTACCATCTTCAACGAGGCACTGTCACTGATTCTCTTTCTATCTTGCTTTCAGATCATTCTAGCTTGCGGCTGGTGCTGCGGCAAATTCGGTTATCATTGAGAGCATCAATCTTCGCAACGAGGTCTTTAATTATCTATCATGTTGAGATCATTGAGCGAAAATCTGTGCTTGAGTGATGAACATGTTCTACATTTTGTATATACCTGTCATATTGTAGGCTAAGCATTTTCGTCTGTTCTTGATTCGTAACAATATTCTGCTTGAGTGAATATGAGTGAGCTGTTCGGGTCTTCACGTACGAACTTCTGCACTGAGCTACAGTGAGTTGACTCGGTGTTCACGTTCAGTTAGTCTAGTGATTCTGGTTCTCTCAGCGATTTTCGCAATGTTCATTGTAATGTTATCAGGAGGGAGGCCCTTAAAACCCCAATTATCCCCATATTGCTAGCGACAAATGTAGATGAACGCTGCCTATGAATCCCTTTGATTTGTATTCTTGAGTTATCTGTCTTTGAAAAGTGAGGTGGAGTGTAAGTCTAAACGGTAGTAGCAGCTCTGTCAATGATAGAGTCGAAAGAAAAATTTATTTTCGTTTGCAAAAAACGTAGAGCTAGAGAGAGGAACTCTAGTGCTGCGCTCCTAAATCCTTTCCTCTCTATGACTGATGGATTTTCGCGGGGGATGAAGTATTTGAAACTTCGCATTGTGTGTACCTGTACTACTAGCTCCGTGCATCGTGACTAGTCAGAGAAAATGTCGTGGTTATTCGCTGGTTCTGGTTTGTTCGGGGGTGCGCAAAAGTCCTTGGAAAATGACGTTGCTGAAGATAGCGGCGATGAAGCGGCGTTACCGATGGGTAGTGAATGCGAGGACAGTGACTGCGCGGGCCTTCCGTTCAGCGACGATGACTCTGCTGGGTTTTATGAAGATCGATCTGTAGGAGAAGCAGACGTCGACCACATGAACGATGTGATTGGCGGTGGCCTCAACTACTCCCCGCAGCTCATCACGGTCGACCGGGCGAACGACTTGGACCGGCTGTACTTCGAATATGGTCCTGACATGCATGGAAAGTACCAATTCTTTCGGGAAGACAAAGCTGCTCGAACCATGCAGCGTGGGGGGAAAGACTACCTGCGCAGGAAGCGTGCGGAGGAAATGAGGCGGACCCACGCTGCGAAGACTATTCAACGCGAGCAACGCGGGAAGATCGCGCGGCGAAAACGCAGGGAGTACGTTGGCACAAGGTCGGAAGAGATGCGGCGAAACAGCGCGGCCAAGACGATTCAGCGGGAGCATCGCAAGCAAACGCAGGCGAAGCGGGACAAGCGCGCATTGGAGGAGCAGATCTTGAGGGACAGTCTTGTCCTGAAGGACCGGTCAGAGTCGATGCGACGTGAACATGCGGCACTCGTGGTCCAGAAAGCCTGGCGTGCGCGCCAGGAATTCGAAAAGGATCGTGCTGGACGACGCGCAAAGTCTGAAGATTTCTGTCGCGAACACGCGGCGAGAACGATTCAAAAAGAGGCCCGCGCGTCTTCGCAGAGGCGGAGCGATAAGCGGGAACGCTATGCGAAGAGCGACGACTTCAAGCGAGATCACGCGGCAAAGACTATTCAAAGAGAGCATCGAGCCGGGGCAGCGCGACAGAAGGAGAAAGCGGATGCGGCAGCGGCGCGGCGATCTGAGATGGAGGCGCGACTAGCGGAGTTTGACCGAAAAATGAAGAGCGAGGGCTTGCGCGAGCACCGCGCGGCAAAGGCCATTCAGCGTGGCTTCCGGACAACGCAGCCAACGCGACAGGACCGCAACGAGCGGCGCGCCAAGGCGGACGAGTTCCGGAAAGACCGTGCTGCGGTCTCCATTCAGCGGCTGCATCGTGAAAACGTCGGACGCACGCGCGAAGCCCGCATGAAGCGTGCCAACAGCATTTATCTTTTTGAGCAGCGCCGCAAGATGCTTCGTGAGATGGAGCTCGACTTGCTAGCCGAGGAGGAGCAAGCAGGCATGTTCAGCTCTATGTGCGGTGTCAAGTCACGGCGGGCTTCGGCGCCGGCCAAGCCGCCACGCAAACCAGTGACCGGCAAAAACAGCTCCTCGACGACGGACACTCTGGATTGGGACGCCGTTGCGGCGGGCGGCGGTACAAAGCACGCCCTTGGGAGTGCGGAGGAGCCGCGAATCGTGCGGCAGCTGCGCAGTCGGCGAAGCCGTGTCTCGCACTTAACTGACGAAGATCTGCTGCAAGAACGGCTCGCGGAGCTGCAGCGTAAGTACGAGGCGGACGCCGAAGTGCGAGAAAAACGAGCTGTGCAACTAACAGCCGGCGCTGGTGATGACGAGAACATTTTTTGGGAACCCGGCAATGAAGAGGGGCTCGCAATGCTTGGAGAGGATGGGGAAATCATCGATGGCGGAGAAGGAGAGGCTGCCGGCGCCGATGCGCGCATGATTGAGGGTGGCTTCGACGAGAATAACATTGATGCTATCTATCAGGAAATGGGTGGATTCCCTGGAACGCCACCTGGGGACCCGAAATCCAAGCACCGGTCTGTCAATTTCAATTTGAAAGGTAATCATAGATCACGGCGACTTCGCCCCGATGATGGCATTCAGAAAATCGTCGGTGTGAACACTTCGACCGTGACTGCAATGTCTGTGCGCAGTGACCGGATTCGAAGTGCCTACACGATGCGACGGAACAGCGCGGCGAAGGTAATCCAGAAAAAACACAGAGAGAATTCCGCGGCGAACAAGAAGCGGGAAGAAAGGGATGCCAAACTAGAGGAAATAAGGCAGAATCGTGCAGCTAAGACGATTCAAAAAGCAGAAAGAGACAAGCAACAGAGAAGGAAAGACGTATTGTTCTAAGTATTTGAGAAGATGATTATATATACATATTTATACTGTTGCTGCTGCTGCTGCTGCTGCACATCAACTAAATCGAAAAGTGATTCTTCTTCGCGCGACCAATATAATTTCAGTCGAAAAATCATCGACCTATAAATATATGGTCATTTTTTTCCACTAGTACCTCTACCCGTAGTCGTCTCTCGTCTCCTGTCCCTCATTTCGATTTACAAACAAATCAGGCCAAGCTTAAGAGAAGTCGACGCTTTCCTTTCTGCTTGTGCGGCGGTTTCGGTCGAGGTAAGGCAAAGAACGATTTTCCAGAGGAGCCAGTGGACAAAGCGGCCCAGACTAGTAAGGACACCGTGAAGGACATTGACATTGAAGATACCTACGGTCTGGGTGAGGGCGCCAGCAACGACGGAACGGGACTCGAAGACACCAAAGTCCTGGGAACTCCCTGTGGCAGCACGAGACGGGAGCACAGTGGGTCAGACGAAGGCACGCCAGTCACTGGTTCCGAAGAGGATGCAACCATGAGTTTGGTGTCCCACAGTGAGGAGGAGAAGGTGCGTGAAGCTGCTCGTGCTCATCACGATGAGGGAGGTCATAAGGATGCTGCAGTTGCAGAGCAAGAGGAGAATGCGAAGATCGAACCCGCGAGTGCAGCTCTAAAAGCAGGCGCAACTGCAAAATCTAAAAGGTTGATTATGGGTGTGAAAGCCTCTTTTTTTGCTGGTAAGGTAAGGTTTGGTGGAGCTTGAAATCTTTACAACTGATTCGATCGCATATTGAACACAGGAAACAAAAACTTGGTTTTTCTGTCGTGGAAGATGTTTAGGTACTTACCTGGTACTATCATCATGTAGAGTGTGGATCATATTTCCGCGTGAGCAAAGATGTGTTAGAAAGCATGAATGAGCAGGGATGATAGGGTGACGGGGTCGTGGCAACGACTCCTTTGAGTCTGTATTAATGCTAGCTTGTGTTTATGCAAAAAATGTTGACAATCGGTAAAGTGGCCTCACTACCTTGCTCGAACTCGCACGGCTGAACGCAGTGACGGATCGGCAGAATAGCGGAGAAGATACTAGGATGTGACATCGCATGTCAATGTGTCTCAGCAGGATGGAAATGGAATCTGTCTTCGATGATGTTCGGCAGTGGCATCATTCGGTCATGATCGGTTAGATGGTGCGGATTGTATACCCCATGATCCCACTTTATCCCATGCCCACTGAATAAAACGTTTTTCTGAAGAAAACGACTAACAAGGTTATAGATTTTGTTACACTATGACACCTGGATGATGAGGATGACGCAGAGAGTGCCCGCTTCGTTTTATAGTTATAGTCTATTTCTGTTTTCGATTTCTTGTATTCCTCATCCAGTTTATAGTCTGATTTAAGGTTTTTCTGTTGCTATAGAATGGCCGCAAATGATGCGAATCTTGCTGAGCATGGCGTGTTGGGTGCATCAGCATCGCATGACCGAGCCGTCCCGCTGCTGCAAAGGAGCGAACCACAAGACGTGCCGAAGAGAAATACAAATAATTTAGACGGTTTTTTTGAGTTCCTCGACAAAGAAGTTTTCGAGAGAGTTTTTGTTGAATATCCAATGGCAACAACTCTCCTGCAGGTCTCCAGCAGGCGTCTGACACCAGGTGCCTTATATTGCGGTCGCTTGTCTTCGCGGAAAGGAAGAGGCGCAGGAAGTCCATGCCCTGAAGGTCGGAACCATCCTCGCGGCGCTAGTGGTTTTTTACGGCTTTTGTCGCTACCAGTGGCGGGTGACGAAAAGGGAGGGTGCAAAAAGAGAGTTTCTGAAAGCAAAAGTGGAGTAGCTCGCAGTCGAAGCAAAAGCAGTAGAAGAAGCAGACACAACGGACAGAAAAAGATTACCGGTTCATGCCAACGGGCGTTTTTCCAAAGACTCTCGACGCCGGTCAGTTCGTCCGTTTCTTCGTGCTCTATTCTGAAGACTCCTGCAGCGAACAAGAAGACGAGCACAAGAAAGATGAATTCTACGAGAAGTTCCGCAGAAGAACAGCATGGCATGGCGATGATCATGTTGCACCTGGTGCACGTCCTCTTATCTGAATTCAATTGGTTTTTTCCCCTTACGAACGCGGGTCTAGTGATGATCATCGGCGTGCCCCTTCTCTGGGGCAGACCCTTCGTGGTCGATTTTGTGCGCATGGAAATGCCCGAATTCATGTTCAACCAGCTCTGGGCCACGAATTTTTTCGCGACGTCATGTTCCAAATTGCCAGAATGTGGACTAGAATTCTGGTGCTAGAAACCGCGATTAGCTTTGTGCAACCAGTGCTGGTGAGTGTGTGCGAGGAAATGGTAGGCGGTACAACTGCTCCTGGTTATGGCGGTGAGGAGGTTGTGATATCAAGTCCTGCGTCGTTGTTCTGCGAGTGAGTGAATGACCCAGACAATTGGGTGCTCAACATCCTTTTTCAGTATGGTCAGCTTGTGCCCCTTTTTTACGGCTTTCGCAAGAACGGTGAGCGGGATCGCGAGGAAGCGCAGAAGAAGAAGCACGCGAAAGAGATACCAACACTCGGTGCCGAGAACGCGGAAATCTCTCGCAAAATTTATCCCTTGTATGATGAGGAGGTCCTGAATAAAGCTACTTCTACGAGAACCTCGTCGTTTGGAGCCGCATGACAAGGTCCTGATGGATCATCATCATCGACTGAGGGCGGTAGTCCTGGGCGAAATTATAGAGTGCCGACAATCAGAATCCAATTGATGCTAATGGACGAAGCAAAAAATCATGAGGATGTTTTTTCAACGGGCGCAAAGATTATCGTGGACGCATTTGCAAAGGACATGGCAAAGCTGGAGGGCGTCGTAGATACTGCGGATCCCGAAGACTGCAGAAATTACGTTGATGCTGTCATGAAAAGCGCTTCGCATTTTGGCTTGGTGCTTGGAGCGTTTGACCAAAATGAAGGCAGGGCAAAACAGAAAACGTAAACATCAAAGCAAGAAGAGCAAAAGGAACAAGAGAAAGAGCAAATATTAATGACATCCTCGAGGACATTTCCATTACAAGGGGCAGAAGATGAGCTTGATACTAAAAGTTGTTCTCTTCGCGCATTAATGCTTTGTATCTACTTATTAATTCCCGTGTACTGGAAATCGCAGGAGGAGAAGGAGGAGCTGAAGATATTCGGTGAGCACATCGGGTGGGAGGCGCACGGGTTCGAGCTTTGGAGACCTCCGCACGAGTCGGACACTATCAATCCGATTATCCTTCGCCTTCCGTCTGACGAACTTTCCGAGTTGGGAGACATGAAGGAGAAGTCAAGTAATAAGTTGCTTGGTGATCGCCCATTCATCTACATGCTTGCCGGGACAGGGAAAGGGCTACGGCAGAGCCTTATTGGAGAAGCTGATCGCGATTTCTCGGGAAAAAGAAGTGCCGTTGGTGCTAGAAACAACCACGGCGGAAAATATTGCGCACTACCAAAAATACGGTTTTAGGGTGAAAGATCGCGTTGCGAAAAAGGAAAATTGGGTTTTGATGGTGCGCGAATGTGACTCCACTTCTTTTCCGTAAAAACGGGTTTTCCTAAATAGAAAGACATCTCAGGAGGACGACGGTCGTTTTAGGATGGACATAGCGTGACTAGCGCCCCGCTTAGTCGTGGATGCTCTCGTCATCATTAAATCAACAGAATTATCGGTGTCTCTGGATATGAATTTGGACAAGCAGTAGCTGGCAACTCATCGTTCCTCGATCTTATCCTCGGTCAGCACGTTGCGATCTGGAACAGTAAGAGTACCGCTTGAGAGCAGGGATCTTGATGATACAAGATAAGTACTACTTACAAAGGATACGCACCAGAGATTGGAGGGAGAGCGGTAAGTAGAGCGCGTGCGAAAATTGCGTTTGCGTGTGGCTTCTGCAAGAGCAAATCGTTGTTGCTAAGACAGAGCATGTGTTTTGTCGTCGAGCAAAGGGATCGTTTGGAAGTAATTCGGTGATTTCTCAGCGCATAAATTCGCTCCTGTTTAGTTACCTACCATGCCTAATTTTGATTGATCCACAGTGCTTCCTCAATGTAGATGGTGAAGTTCCAGCATCGGGAAGACGTCCCGATAAGCATGACGTGAATTGAAAAATAGACCAGTCCTAGCGCTTTGACGAGGCATCCTGACATGCACATGACATGAACAGCTTGGTATTTCAATGAACAACAACAAGTGCAAGGCTGCCTTCGCAGAGAGATATATTTAGGGATAAGAAATCTCCGTCTAGTCCATTCATCACATTAGGTTATAAGAAACTGTGATCGACGAATACGAAGATTATACTGCTGGTTCTGATTTTTGTTCGCACATAATTGCAGACGGAGATCGACAGCTGCGACACCATGTCCCCAAACGTAACTAACGGGTCAGACCAGCAGCAAGCTGGGCATTACCCGTCGTCTTCGAGTTCCGGACCTATACGGCGGACAAAGGGCTCATCCTTAAGGCTTGATACAATCCAAGAACCTTCTACAACAACTAGCAGGACTACCTCGACTTAATATACCAGGGGTTTTTAGTATTGTCTTCTATTTCCAACGATCAGTTTCTTGTTCTGTTTCCCTCTACTTGGGATTCTGAAGAAATGAAGCGAACGAGCGAATTGTTTTGAGCTCTAATACCCACAGCCAGAAATATGACGAATTTGCAGGTCGGCGACCGAGTGCACGCTAAGTGGGGGGGCAATGGATGCTGGTACCTCGCTGCGGTCAATGCTATATCGACCAGCGGGAGGCGTGTCACAGTCGACTGGGACGACGGCGACACGAGTGACCGCACTGTCGAAGCAAGAGATGTCTGCAAGGTGGTTTGAATACCATGTGATCTATTCTTAATCTGTGAGTGTGCACTACTTGTACTATGTATGTAAATGATGTACGCACTACTTCTACAACTAGTAAGTTGTGAAGGATGTAGTTTTCTATTATTTCTGCTTCAACACGACAACACCAGCAAACTACCGCTAAAAGTAAAAGAGCTTATTTTACGTGGGCTCTTGATCTAAGTATTATGTGATGCATTATCTATCATTATCTCTGCCGCTTTCATCTGACAGCGGCACGGACTTGCTTTTAGGAGCAAGAGGGCACGCGTAATATTTAACACTGGACAGGTGTCAGACGAATCGACTCCATCTACGGAGGCCGAGATCGACGCGATAAGTTATGTAGATGAACTGCCGGGAAAAGGGCGATGTCTTTTTGTGCGAAATTTCACAAAAGCAGGGTATAAATTTTTACCGCTTTTTTTAGTCGTTAAGTTTCTGGGCTCGCTGAGCGTTGATTCAGTTGAATAGTAACCTTGGCACCTTCGGATCAATGCTGGAGAGGCACAGGCTGTGTCATTTGGTATTCTTTGGGATTGAGTACTACTTGCTCGTCCCTAGAAACGCATGACAGTGCTTCTAGATTTTTCTTTCTCAAACATACGATGTAGGGGCGTTCTTTTCATCGAGCGGCCACTTCTTGTGTCGGTTCCATCGAAGTATCCAGCTTTGTGGGCAGCACTATCGGCGGCGAACGAGGTGGAGCCAGTTGCTCTGGGCACAACAACCTTTCATTTCGCCGCATTACTGTCGTGGCTTTGCCTCAACGACACTGACTTGAAGAAAATTGTGGATAAGTTTGCGCCGGACGAAGAAACTAGTACAGTGTCCAGGGACGCGGAGCGCCTCCTTGAGTTGCTGCCTCCGTTTCTCAATCACGACGGTGCGGCGGCAGCAATAGGTGTACGTCCCGAAATTGTGCGCTTTACGATGCCTACGCCGCAGTATATGCAAGCACTTCTGAGCGCTTGGCGATACAACTCTTTCGGCCATCATGGTGAAGAAGGACTTGTGCTTTACCACAGGATAAGCATGGCGGCACATGGGTACTACTATACTCTACTTGGGAGAAGAAAGTATTCTCTACTGCTCCTACTTCTACTAGTGAGCAAGAAAGGCCTAGTTTGACAACGACAAGACCGAATTGAGATTCAAAGTAAAATCTTGTACAGCTAGGTAGACTTGCGATTGAATGTACTTAACGTGAAGACAACAAATCATGATTATGTAGATGATTTGGCTCGCTTCCGGAGAACATCATTCAACTCGATAATTATATGAACAATAAGGTGTGACCCGACCTGCTGTTGGACGTACGGCGATGAGGATTCCTTCGTTCTACGCGCTCGTGTGACACTCGAACCCGGTGCAGAGTTGACCCTCAGCTATCTGCAGGATGACGACCTGCTGAGGGCAACGAACATCAGGCGACAGAAACTGGAGAACTGGAAGTTTCACTGCCTCTGCAACCGGTGCTTGATCATGGTGGACACGTGTCGCGGGTTCCGATGTCTCAAATGTCGCTCCGGGGCGCACTACTACATCGAGCACCCGCCGGACGACCTGAAAGAACACGTAAGCGGCCCAGACTTGGAGGTAGACAGCGGAGCAGATGTGTTCATGTCCCCTACAAACAGTCCGACTGGAGGCTCTTTATGAAATTTCACGAGCGCATTGATCATCTACAATAGACAGAGAGTGTTTCCCGCATCCATAAGTATTATCAAATTTCCATTGTTCTAAATCTAATCTTGTTTCGTTATTAAACTAAGTGCTTCCTTTGCTGATTTATTTGAATGACAATGTTTATGATTTTCCCTGGACTATAACGACACTGATCTTCCTCACTTAGACTAATGACACTGACCATTTTCCCTAGTAGACCTCCTGGAATGATGTTGGCTTTCATTTTGCAACAAGAACCGGCGATCATTGCTGACCCCATGCGAGGTCTGCGGCGAGGTTTGCCGTGAGGCTGAAGAGAAGCAATGTTTAGACTTGGAACCAGACTACATTCAGCGGATCGAGAATCTCGATAAGGACAACATCCATGACATCGAGTTGGTGTACAACGCGAGTCTGGACTTTTTTCACGACATGCATTGGTGTCTTTTCGCTTGCGACCAGCTGATCTGGCAATACTACCGGGATCGGGATCCGGTCTTGGCGTTGATGCACCAAGAAAAAAAAGTGAACTATCACTCTCGTGCCTATCCGAGGCCTACCTTTGTGTGGGCATGGGGGCTAGAAGAACTCGCGGACAGCATGCAAAAAAGGTACTCCTTTCAGAAAGGCACTCGCTTTTAATAATATCGTCGTGTTTATAATTCAATAACGACCTCCTCCTGTACTCTTATCTATGAAAGACGTACAAGAATTCTTGTACGTCTTTCATAGATAAGAGTACAGGAGGAGGTCGTTATTGAATTATAAACACGACGATATTATTAAAAGCGAGTGCCTGTTACAACAAGAAAATCCCTATAAAAATGTAGACCTAGACTTTTTGTTGTTGTTGTGAAGAGTGCTAGATTTGTGGGAAGATATTGCATTCGCAGTGTTGCACAAAATGTCTTTGTTTGATGGAAAGAAAATGAATTTATTACAACTCTCCACCAACATAGTCCGAATGCATTCGAGCGGCCGTCGCGGGTAGCACAAATGATGAACTTGTATCGTAAAGCACAGTGCCAATTGGGCATACTATGCGGGCCAGGCCATCCTTACGCGATCGGACCGCAAAATAAGTGGCATGCTGCTCAACAAAAATTTTCAGAACTGATGAACAAGTGAAGATGGCAAGTCGTAGTCAGAAGGCGGTATGCATGAACAAGTGATGGTAAGTCATATTGAACAGTCTTCTATCTTCATCCCTGGGTGCTGTGAAAATATGTAAACGAGTAGAGACCACGAGCCCGCAGGATGAGCTTCTTTTTTCGAGATTAACTCAGTTTTTATTTAACAAGCTGCAGCAGGCAAGCTCGTTTTCTTCGATCTTTCTTCACAATGTTGTGCGCTGCTGAAATCAAATTTTGTAGTTCATTCACCCAATCAGGATCGCAAATGCTCTGTCGTTATGTCGGCTTAGTCCGTATGGGCGTAGCATAAAGACATACATTCATAATTTAAAGACAGAGGAGGTATAGTACTCAATACTAGTGCTGATGTAAAACCTCTAGGACTATTATATGATTACATTGCCGCCCCATTTTCTTCTGAATAGAAAGACTAGTTCCAATACCCTCGCCCTGCGAATGAAGACGTCATCTTGATTTTCCGTGGTGATCTAGTGTGTGTTGCAAGTCCTCGGCGATGCGTGTCGTGACAGTCTGTCATAGTGTCCTTGCTCGCCATTTACTCAATGTCGCAAGTAGGAGTACGCGGCATGGAAGAAGAATACACAGCGTGCATGCCCCCCGTACCACATGGGCACAGCCACATGCCGACTAGACTTTCCTCTTTCGCGCGCTTGTCGATGACCTACTGCGGGCTTCTAAGCGTGGCGTCGTATGTCATATTCGTCCGATGAGCTGACCAAGCATGGAGCAGTAGTTGCCAGTAAATTGCCGTAGTTCATCTAGTAGATTGCCTTATGCACCAAATCAATATCCATGTAAATCCCAGTTGAGAACTTAAATATCTGGACCACTTGAAATGAAGTTATGAAATAACTCCGTCTGCAATTTTATTTTTAGAAACTATCTTGTCTCGCCAGTGGTAGAGAATGGCCAGTACTTGCTTATCATTGTCAAACAAATCCTCTTCCATTTGCCCCTTTTCGTTCTAGAGAATACATTTTGATTATCAACACGATATCCGATCGATCTAAAGAGGTCCATAGAAGTGGCGCAACTCGCGCTAGGCACATCATATGGTAGCCCACCTTTCTTCTCCCAAAAATAGTTGATGATTTTTGATCTTTTTTGTGACATCGCTTTCTTCGTCAAAAGAATCTCTCTCTTCCGTTTCTGTGTGTTGCTCTGATGCACATTCGGCTTTTACGTATCTGAATTCAAGAAAGTATTAAGTATTTTACGCTCCTGAACAAGTACGACTACTGCTATTCCATTAAACTCGCTTACTATGGATTCTAATTTAAGTGTCCGTTCCATGTGGATTGAAATGAAAACGAAAGAAAGAAAGAAAGAAACATTCTCCGAAGGCGAGAAAAAGAACTCTGCAAAAAGGTCTTGCCACAGAAGCGTGTTCGATCCTGATGAAATATGAATATGAGAATAAGTGATCCAACATGCATATTCTTAGCAAAATGTTGATGGTAGCTTTTGTATTGTTCTCAAGAAGACAACAACCTGACGAGAGGTTAGTACCGACTTTTCAATGGCAATGAGTGATTTAATATCATCGAGATACTGTCAGACCACGTCTCTACGGCCATCATGAACGATGGCATTAACAGAAACAAGAACAGCGTGCATGTCGAACTTCGTTGATAATGATAACGCAAAGATGAAGATGCATTTGTTTGGAAAGAGATGTAGTCCGTCCTCATTTATCGTCATCAAGGAAAAACAAGCTCATGTTGGAAAGTTCCAATGCAACCGCCGTACGATCTGCAGGACCTCTCATCATAGGTCTTTTCCAATTTTTCGATCCTTGTACGCTTCAGATCATCTTCTTCCACCTCTATTGAATTGTGATGAAGAACAATGTTGTACCCAGATCATTCCTTATGCTTACGATAAACAAAGTATGGCAGTCACAAGCAATGTATTATAGTTTTCCAGAAGACGTGAAGCTTGAAATTGAGGATATTATTGTTAGCTTACTTCTGTAGTTTGAAAAATTTGACCTCAGTCATTTCCATATCAAGCTAACATACGGCATTGCATGTGAGTGCGCACTATAAATGAAAATCGGCAGTGTGAGCATGTTGCATGGATAGACATGAACTCTTAATATTTGAGACTAGCAACGAACTTCTCTGTGTCTTGTTCCCACCTATGAGTCTTTGTCTTTCCTAATCTAGCTAGCAACTGTGAAGATACACGTCATTCTAAAGCTTGAGGGGAGCTTCGCAGCTCTTCGGGCTAACCTTTTCCTCTCTTCATTCCTAGTACACTCTATCTCGCTCCTCACCCTCCTGAAAACCATTTTGCTACTACACACCTCCTACCTTGTCAGTAGATACTTCTGTGATTTGTGCTGGTGCGTCATAGTATCTAATAGTATCTATCCCTTTTTCTTTGCTCTTTGTCATTCATTCACATCATATATCCATTTGTTCTTGTCACCTCCCATCCATATTTGCAAGTGTTTTAAGTGATCAAGAAAATGTCGGGCGAAATTCGTTTCGATGGGTTTGAGGGCGAATTGCTCGACCTAAATGGTGCTTACGTGCGTGCTCCCGGTGTCAATCATGGGAAACCGACGTTCAAAAAAATCGACTCCGGAAACCAGAGTGTACGTCTTAATTTCCGAATTTACGATGTAGTTGTATAAATATTAGAAAAAACGCCTCTTGATTGTAAAAATGGAGCTTTTGAATCAATCTAGAAGTACTGTCAATGTTTTAGAGTGTCAGTCGTTTCAACCTACCCCTCCTCGGGGTCTCCAAGTGAACAGATGTGACCCACAATAAAAATATATAGGTCATGATCTACTACTGGGATGAGCGTGATGGTGTGCAGCTTCGTGGTTGGTGGGTTGCTCCAGAGGTTGGTGGTAGCAATGTGTGGGCTATGTCTACCGCGACGTCGAACATGCCTCCGCACAGTGGATGGCGTGTTCCCTGGCACGGGGATGTCAACAAAAAGGTAACACTCTCCAAGGTGATGGGCGGCGGTGACCCCTCCAAGCGTCCGGCAACAGACCCGTGGGGCACGCAGCAAGCCAACAACAAGTTCGCGAAAACCGCTACTGGCGCGGCGGTACCTGGTGCTCCAGGTAACACACCCGTCGTTTTTGTTGCATAGGATAAGGATTTCGTCATTATAATAGACAAAGTAGTCATTGTGAAGCGACACAAGATGAAGTTGTGTTTCAAATAGATCCCAAAGCAAGTGGTCCATGCTTTGTACACTACAGCAAAAACCAAAAACAAAATGAAAACTCTGTAGGTGCAAACAACCCGAATAATACACCTCTCGGGCAAACGCAGCAATGGAATAGCGGACAGCAGCAGCAGCAGCCGGCAGGACAATATGGTGCCTGGAACGCACCAGGAGGATACGGTGGCGGCCAACAGGCTGGCGGCTTCCAAGCGACAGCTTACGGAAATAAAGGCGGAGCCAAGCCAGGTGCTGCCGGAACCGGGAGCCTTGCGGAAATTGAGCAACAGCGACGTAATGAAAGAATTTATGCTTGATACGTGACGAGAGTTTATGACGTGACTACAGTTTATTGTCCAGTGGCATATCGCGCATCATAAGAACATCATCATAAGTATTCTGTACTTACCAGTGGTTGATGTTTTCCTCCTTGTCCTTCTCGACAACTGATTGTTATCAGCTATAAAAAATACAGGTGATAACGAACTGAAGCGTCTTGAACAGGAAGAAAAGCGTAAGCAAGTGATGGAACAGACGCGACAGGAACGTAAGCTAAGCGAATCCGTCAATGGATCCGTACTCGCTGCATCGAATGCCGAGAGGAGTTTTATCCGGTATAGAAGAAAGAAAAAACAATTACAGTGCTATTGTTCTATAGAAGTCAACTCTTTTTTGTCTAGGGTCAAGCTGATCACAATGACAAAGCTATTCCAACAAAGAAATGCAGATACATAGAAAGGTTTTCCTTATAACAACGACAGTCCTTATTCTACCATGAATTTGAGCAACATCATCAACACTTCTCAGAGGTTCAGGAAATATTCACTATCATTGTCACCTTTTTTCAGGGTTAAGGACTCGCAAGCCGCAGCCCAACTGTTTGCAATGGAGGTTGTCAAGCCACAGGACTTAGCGCGTTTCTCTGCCGAAGTTGAGAAGGGCTTAAAAGCTGCTCAGTGCAGTTTGAATTCTGCTCAAACATTGCACTCCCGAAAAATGGAAGAACTAGAACAGAGCCAACTGGTACTTTTAGCAGTTGTCTACTTTGATAGGCTGAGCTAATAAATTGCTGGAGTTTGTCATGGTTTTTCAGAGAGGTAGGACCTTGTTTTTATGCTCAGTACTTCGTTTCGCTCTTTGGGTAATCAGCTGACCCAATATCTCAATATAATCTTCGAATACAACTCGCAATTACAGCTGAACTCCAAGACCGTCGAGTCTTTGCGACAACAGCTGACTGAAGCAAAGGGAAAGCTGGATGCCGCAACGTTGGAAACTAGGGAATTTTCAGAACGCGTCAGCAACAGACAAAAGGAGCTCTGGAGCAAATTGGTCGGCGACATCGTTGAAAAGAGCCAGAAAGATATGAGTACGCATACCTTTATACAAGTTCCTTCCATTCTACGAACTATGTATTCCTTGGCTATTCTTTTTCTATTGAACTACTTTAATTGCAAGCTGCTAGCTCCTAAAAAGTTGTAGTTTTTTGATGATTCAAAAATTCTCGATCACTCTTTTTGTTTTCCAACAAGCAACCACTTACTCACAAGTCTTAAAAACAAACCTACACAGGCGAAGCTGATGCTGCGGTTGAGGCTTTGAAAGATCAGAGCGCTTTGTTGTCATCAGAGATCGCGGAGCATCTTTCCCCAGCTGAGGCTATTGACGCGGCAGACACCAGCCACGAGGCCGCGGTTGCCGCCGAAAGTAAGATTGTAGAGGGTCGCGACAATATGCACCGCCGTCGTACAGAAGTGATGACCGCCATCAACTTCTTCCGCCAGAGCGCACAAGTCATGGGCACAGCTGGTACTATCAATTAAGTATCACTAATAGTGATATTCGCGTTTTCAATCTCCCGTAAGTCGTGGCTTACTGTTCACCACGTTTTCAGACCTGGACATCTTATCTCTTCTAGTCTTTGATAAGCTCTACAAGGTGGCAAAAAGCAATTCCCTGAAATATCTGGCCTTTACTTTTTTCGTTCTACCAAAATGATTTTTCAACTACCGAAAACCAGATTCGCCAGCAGCAGAGGACCCTTTGAATCTTGCTGGAAAGAAGAAGGCTGTTGAGGAATTTCTTCAGAAATTCCCGCTTTTGCTAACCGAAGTCACCAAGATTCGCAATCTCGCCGTTCACATTGGCAATCGTGCACGACAGGCGGAGGCACTCAGGTACGAGCGAATCTTTTATTCTCATGATGTTTAATCTATCATACTACTTGAAGTGATTATGATACAGAATATATTAATTTAGATGCAAATGCATAATCATCATGATAATGTTTGTCTCAACGTTAAGTGAAATTCATTTGTCGAGGGTGCATCTGCATTCATCGCTATTCGTTTTTTTCATCTTTTTTCTCTCAGGAAGAAGCAAGAGCAGAAGGAAGCTCTGAAGCGCAAGAACGAGCGCCGCGCAAAATGGAACAAGCAGCTGATTCAGGACTTGGGTTGCGAGGTCACTTTGTGCGTAGACTCACTTCACCGTACCGAAGAGCTTAAGCAAAAATTGAAGGCGTTGACGGAAGAGCAAAAGGACGAAACTGCAATCGCTGACGACCAGGCAGCCGCAAAGGAGCAGGTCGGAAAGGAAATCGAGAAAGAATTCGAGTCGCTGAAGCTCCACTTGGAACAAGCGAAGCGCACTTTCGAGGACTTCGTCGCGAAAAAAGACATGATCACGCAAACGGGACAGGAGATTGAGCGCTGGGGACAGCGAATTGAAGAGTTGGAGGCGATTCTGAAGCGGGAAATCGGCACTGGCATCAAAAAGGCAGATGTGGTTGCGGAAGTCCCGGGATCTTTGATGGTTGCCGGACTGTTAATCAAATATCTCGAAGATGAGCAGAAAAACGGAGATCAGCTCTGGAAAGAAATCATCTCCATCAAAGGCGGAGGCAGTGGAGACCTGGCAAATAAGGTATAGATAAAACAGACCTTCAAATTCAATTGTCTGGCTTTCCTTACACGGGTATAAGGTTTAGTTTTAAAAAATCGCTGTAGTGGACAACTTTACTGATAGAGATACTGAACGTTCTTCTACAGGCCTCGTGGTACAAATTTCTGGAGTGGACGAAGCGTCACGGTGAATACTTTGGAGAGAAAGATCTCGACAAGCACTTGCATGTCGACTTGCCGCCACCCACTTCGACCGGCATCAACGAGAAGAGCCGCCTTGCGGTCCTCCAGTCGCATCTGAAGGATGCTTTTGAGGAACTGGATTTGCCTCTTGGACCGGCCGGCACTGCGAAGCGCAGCGGCTTCGTGGAGGAGCAAGCTTTTTCCACAGTGTACCGCAAGTTCTTTGTCTATGACCGACAGCAGTTGTGCCCTCTGGTCGAGCAAAAAATCACGGTCAAAGCTGGCGCCAGCAACCCTCCAGGTGTCCGCAAAGATGGCCTCATCGAGGAGCTCTGCATCACACCGGAACTCGAAGATGAAGACGACAGCTCTAAGTTTCCTGTTCTCGAAGACAGAACGGTGATCGAGATGTTCGGTCCGTTGAGCTACGCGTCCGGAGACGAGAAGAGCCGTGTCAGAATGAAGGTAAGCTATGCACACGGAAATATCTTGATGTTGCACTCGCACCTCCACTTGCATCTTTTATGTATGCAGCGAATATTACAGAAGAACAAGGTTCTTTGACGAGATAGGAAACGAATCACAGCTTGCTTCATCCACTTGTCTTTTTATTTCCATTTTTCTTTGTCCAAAGGAAGACAAGCATGCGCATGCTCTTCCCACATTCATTACACAGGTTAAGCTCATCGATGGCAACGGAATTGAGCAGATCGGTTTTATCACCTACTGGGCCCACGGCCGTGCCCAAGTGCAGGAGCTCACAACCATGCAGTGCGTTAGTGAGACTGTGATGACAACTGGCGCTGAATTGAAGAACATCAAAACGGTGCGACGTGCCAAGCGTGAAGAGTTCTTCCGTATTTTGGACATCTCCCCAGTAAACACGCGACCCATGATCCGTATTTTCGTGCAGGCATTGTCCGATCAAAAGCGGGGCTACGTTACCGTTAGTAACGCAACCAACTACTACATGAAGCCGATGGCGGTCCCACGACCGCAGTCGGAGACCGAGGCCGCCAAGGCTGTGCCAGCGATCGGCGCTGTGCGCGTCAGCATGTACGAAGCCGTTTCCGTGTTGCACGACAAGGAGTGGCGATCAGCGTTCTTGGTCGAGCGTGGCAAAGTCCCCAACAAGGTGAATATTGCTTGGGAAAGCGATGAAACCTTGTCTGAAGTCGATATCGACACCGTGCGAGCGTCGTATGACCAGAAGAAGAAGATCACCCTGTCCATCGTCACCAAAGAAACGCTGCAGAAGCTTGCCAAGGAGCACTTCCTGAGCATCTTGAAGCAAGTGTCCGTTCCCGAAGTGCCGCCAGAGGGCATTAGCGAGGAGGAGATGCACGCAGCCTGCATTGAGGCGATGGAGAAGTCCTACCGTGCGCAGAAGCTGCTTGACCTTTGCAAATCCTACCTAGCGAAGCGGGAAATCCGGTTTCTACTCTTGGGAGATCCCTCAGTCTTTAAAGAGCCGATCGAGGAATTCAACGTGCAGCAAGAGAAGTGCAACAATGTGCGCCTTAGCAGTCGCAGAGCGAAAGAGTCAGTCGAAAAGATTCTCATGGAGATGAAGGAGGCAGAGATCAAACAGGTACTTGTTGTCACTCAGCAGGCTTTTGCTCTTTGATCAACATCTTGAAGATGCAGCGGTTCGTTTTAGCGTGTGTGTGAGATCTTCCAAAGATGCTGAGGAGGAACCGTGTTACAATTCTAACAGGAACTTCCATGATCATGAAGACCTTTATGAGAAGGTCACCAGGATTTTCATCTGTAAGATGATGAGCAATTAGGTTTCTAAGTCAGTATGTTCCTGCATCCAAAAAAACAGCAAATCGAGGAGGAAAACCGAAGACATGAGGAGGAAGAGCAGGCCTTGATGTCTGAGGCAGAGCGACTGATGGCAGCCGCACGTGTCTTCGCCAAGTCTTTGGAAGAGAAGCTCAACGCCGCTGAGGAATCAGCGCCTGGAACGACTGTTCCCACTGAGGACCCAGCCGACGTCAAAGACTGGGACGCAATAATTGGCGACATCAAGCATGCACTCGGCGAAGCGCAACAGAAAGCGACTGACTGCGAGGCTTACCTCAACAAAATTAGGGCAGCAAACCCAAGGCTCACAAGCAAAATTCAGGTACTCACTGCATTCTGGATTTCTTTTTCCATCATTAATCCTAGGTTAGTCCCTCCATCCACTGTGCCTACTAATAAGTAGATTGATTTCGCCTATTATAGGACTACGCAGCACTTACGACTGATGCTCAATAATGTAGCGTTTATGCTCAATAATGCATTTTGTTTTTGATTGCAATCACCAGAGCTGCAGTTCGTTTCTTTCAGGCCAAAAACATCCACCTTCACATCATCAACCAGCCTTTGCTTGCGGACATCGCGAATATGATGACATTTGACGGTATCCCTGCTCTAGACCGCGTCGAGAGCACGAAGAAGAAAGCCGTAGCCTTTGTCTTCGAGAAATACCAACAGGGTATCTTCGATTACCTGCAAACCTGCGGGCAGACTGCTGATACTTTGTTCGACCAGCTTATCGCAGACCAACAGCCAGCAGATTCCAGCGAGGACGACCCAATGGACGGCTCAAAGCCAGTACTCCGACCAGAAACCCTGAAGAAGAAATTTCCAACCTCATTCGACCTCTGCGCCATGTCAAAAGAGCAATTTGAACTATTCTGCGGTTGCTACTACCTGCTGCGAAAGGACGCTATCGTCATCACTACGGCAGCAAGCATCCGCGAAGGAAAACTTCTCACGAAGCTTCCGCAGTGGACAATAGTACTCACCTACTCACACTTTTCTAGTCGTTGATGAGCACCGTAGCTTTAGCCACGATTAACAACCTCCAGATATCTATAAATATACTTATAAGTTCTTGACATGAAGATTGTGTATGTGCATCGCGACCTACTTTTCGCTTCGCATGAAGAGAAAACTTTTCGGTCCCTTAGACCTCGTTTCGGGGTTTCAATGAGGGTGGCAGTTCGTCTGCCAAAGACCAATGCCAGGTAATCTGAGAAACGAAAGATAGAATAGAATTAGGACATTTAATTATGCTTAGAGCAGCCCCTTCACCTTCTATGAAAGTCGTGGTGAAAGACATGTTCTCTTACGACTATGTAGTCTGTTCTCTTAATACTGGTACTAACTAAATTTACCTGCAATTTTGCTTTGAACAACTCAAACTCTTTAATTGAGGTACAAATGTTGGGTGATGCTGTAGTTGATCCGGATACTGAGAACGTGCGACGAAAAGGGAAAGTTTTCACTCTTCCATACAGAGAAGACCCCAATGCGGAGAACACAGCGGAGGGAACTCCTGCCGTCAGTAGCGCCAGCGAGGCCGCGGACGGCGAGAAGCTGCCGACAGTGTCCGGTGAGGGCTACGAAGGCTACCTCACTGTTTTCGATAGGAATACGCTAGAAGCTAACTTGAACGCCTACGGGATTTCAGGCTTGACTTCACCGGTGACAGTCGTCAAGGACACGGTTCTTACCGACTTGCCAAGCTTCTCTACCTCCGGTGGAGACGGCGCCAGCAAATTCAAGGTGATTCGTCGGGTACGCGCGGGAGAAAGTATGGAGCTCATGGGGTTGCCGCAACTGCAGCCCCCGCACATGCTCCGGGCGCCGGTAAGGGCTGTCAGCGACGGGAAAGAGGGATGGCTCACTCTCTACGATCACAGCTGGAAGAACAGCTTTGTCGAGCTTTAGGCTGATGAATGGCAACCCCCATTACTAGTCTGCGAAGCACTACGCCTATTCCCTTCATAGTTTCCCTGCCCCGACAAAGATCCAACCCCATTATAGTAGTACGAGAAGATATTAACCGGACATCTGGATGAAGCTTCCGGTTTAACAACGCTCTAGTACATCAAGAATGTTATATCGACGACAGCCAGGAGGTGGAGTGCTCGACGCCGAATGTTGTTGAGCTGTTTTTTACCTGCGTTAGCAGGAACGGAAAAGGAACTCAGGTGACTAGTTCTTGCACGTTGGGGGGGCAATTATATCAAAACCTAGTGATTTTGAAAAGTAGTACATCCTCATGTAAATTTCAAGAAACAATTTATGAGCACGACCACATCGAATTCTGGATCTGGCGATGATCTTCTATCGTGGCCGGTCAGAATTTTGCAGATCGACGAAATTGATAAACTTCGCTATCATGATCATAATAAAATATTTATTCTCATTTTACTAATCGAAGAAATAATGCAGTTTATTGTTCAACGTCGTGCTGGTTCGATTGGGTTGAACTTGGACATGGGTGATGCCTCTACATAGAATCTTTTCTCCTGTGTGCTCACGCTCAGATGTACACAGAATACATTCATTGACATTGGCTGCTGTGGCAACGACGTCCCCGCATTCAATTCTAAGAAACTGGTGAAGTATGATCAAAATGAGCGATCTTGGTTTTGAAGTCGCTGCCGACAGCCAACGAGGAGTTTCACTACTGATGTACCATTTACAGATTTTGAAAAATCATATGCATGGACCAGAACTGGGAGGGTACCGGTACTAGAAGGGGTGGGAAAATAAGGGTTTCGACAAAAAAGGTAGAATTATCGATAAAAAAGGTAGAAGTAGACGAAACGCAAAAGGTAGAAATCGAGAAAAATAGGAGCCTTAGAGAACCAAAAAAGGTGGAAAAAAGGTAGAAAAAGACGCAAAAGGGGCTTGGCAGGAGGTCGCAGCAAAAGGACGAAGGGCAACTTCTACAGAAAGAAGGGCTTGTCCATCTTACTTGCATATGCACGCACACTGGGGGGGGGCGGGGGGATCGCAAAGGGAGGGAGCGCGCCGCAAAGCTCCTGCTGCGGGGGGGGGGGGCGGGGGGGGCGCAAATGGCGGAAGCGCGCCGCGAAGCTCCTGCTGCCTGGCAGTTGCCCGCGCGCCTGCCTCTGGCGGGTGCGAGGTACTGCGGCAAGAGCGGGAGAACATAGAGAAACGGAAGGTGCAGCAAGATGCGCCAAGCCTGAGGGACCGGCCGCAGCTTGGTGGCAATCCTGCCAGGACACTGCGCGGCCAAGCGCGCGCGGCTCCCCACCGGGCCCGGGCGCGCATTGCACAAGCCACCGGGGCGCTGCGTTGGCAGTGAGTGGGGTGGAAGGAGCAGCCTACAAGAAGGGCCAAGGTCAGGCCCCCTATTTTCCGGGCCCCTTCTGATACCGCGGCCCCAGTTTTTCCCGGGGCCATGTTGGCCCCAGTATTTCCGGGGACCCCGCCAGAACTATAAGGAACCCCGCGGGAAAATAAGGACCCGGGATTTTTGCGGCCCCGGTCCGATTAAAGGGGGAAAAGCACCGGGGCCCTTATAATACAGGGGGCCCAGTTTTTCCGGTCCATGCATGCTGATTCTTGCAAGACATTACCCTACCTTGTAGATATCTACTAGACTTCATAATTTTGATCCATCACGACTCGATCTTCTAAATATCCATGAAAACTGACATTGTTTGAAAGTTTTATCATAGCTATCATGCTGTAAAATAACAATCTTTTGTAAGTCGAGTAAGAATAACATAATATTAATATAATTATCGCGCCAGTCACAGTCACTCATGTTAGGGTATTACAAGATAGGAACTATGCCAAAGCGTAGTTGTCGAAACCCCTCCAGTCGCTTTACGTCCCTCTCCTATATATAAATGTCATAAAAACTACATAAAAGTTTTTAGTTGTGTCTTTTACTCTCCGCGTGTTGTTCGTTGTACTTGTTGTATCTCTACTAGTATTTCGTAGTTTCTCTGAAAAAAGCTCTAAAAAAAAATATCAACAGTGTCTCTCCGATCTACTCATGGTATGAATGAAAACCAACTTCTGAACTTCTCTCAATATTCCGTCAATGGTTTGGTTCTGTAAGACTCCATCTTATCCTTGTTCCAGCGCTAATAAGTATGATGTCACATCTCTCACTCTGTAGCAACAAAGTACTTACAACTTTGTACTTGTAATTGAGTACATACCCGATGAATGGGTACACCACTATCAGGAGGATGAAAAGAAAAACAAGTAGGAGCTCAGCTGGATATTCGGATCCATTCTCCAGTGTGGATTACATCAGAGACAAAAGAAATGAGATGATGGAACCCCGTTCAAATGGAAGTCAGACGAACAATAATACTCAACCACAACGACCGCTCATGTAAGTAGTCTGCGTTGGAGTTGGTGGTGCCACAGGTGTGGTACTATGCACGCCACTCAGCAAAAGCAAAGGCGAGACCGCACTGGTTCGTGTTTTGGATGGAATTGTTGAAAACAGTTTTATATAGGTAAGCATGCAGATTCAGTGCCTTTCGTCGAGTGATGAATGCTGCTGCAAACCGAATTACTTATATAAACAAGATTGAAGACGGAGGAGAATATTTTCAGAAATGAAGACGCATCGATGCATTCATCAATAGCGTTAAATTAGACCCGACGAGAGACAAACTGAAACGAGAACATCATTGCCGCTATTTCATCAAATTGCGTACTACCTGAGCCATGTCTTTACTCCGCAACATAAGGCAGATGGTAGGTGGAGATTTTTTTAAAATTTCAATAGAGCCAAGAGCACATTCCTGGTTTGTGTCAGAGCAATCGAGAGACAACAAAAAATGTTTCTACGAGCCTCGAAGTGACGCAAGGGTGCTGCAAAGAAGTTTCTCGCATCAAATACGGCAGGAGGCATACAACAAAAACGATGGGAGTAAAGGCAGAACCGCACCAAAGGTGGGTGCCCTGCGCGGAGACGGGGTACCGAGTTGTCGAGGGTACGCTAGTCCAGGGGGGCAAGTTCTTCTTATGAAAATGTCAGATCATTGAGGTTGATGGACTTCGTAGTCCTCAGTAAATCAATGGAGGAACTCCTGGTACCAGTTGTATTTGGAGAAGAACTGCTCCAGATGAAGACTCTACCAGTTACAACGGGAGAACTGCAATGTGTTCATTTGTTTCTAGCAAGTAGAATCCGCTAGCTACGTGCAATCTGTTTTGTTTCTAGCATTTCCAAGGAGGGTTTTCGACTATTTAAGGGTAACAAGGTTATTTGTTTCTAGCAAGAATCGATCTAGGTAAAAGTATGACTATGTGATTACAGCTGGCACCTCTAAATCCAGCTCCATCCGACGCAGCGGCCGCGGGAAAAAATATTCCGCTCGAAAAGACGAGGTTGTACTTCTTCGAGGACTCGCCGTGTGAGGACAACACAGCACTGACGCATCTGGACGATGCCAACATCCTCTTCAATCTTCAGCGGAGGTACGCGGAAGATGAGATCTACACATACACGTGCAATGTCCTGTTGGCGGTCAACCCGTACAAGAAGCTGCCACTCTTCGATGAGGAAACAACTATGAATGAACAACAACAGAAAAAAATAGAAATACTATAATTATGAACATTCGTCCCCTACCATAGGTATAGGATGATAGGCTCGTGTTAGACTAGGAATCAAGATGAACTACAGAACGCAGATGATTGAATACTAGAACGTGACGCCGCTGTCTATCTGATAGATTTTGACAGCATAAAACCCTCCCTGCTTGCTTAGACTTGTGTTCCCGTGCTTTTGCAGTTTTTCCAATCGTGGAGCATCAAACAAGCGGAATAAATGTTCTAATTCCTAGCAGCAGTACCAGAGCAAAAACTTGGGCATGCTGCCCCCACATCCCTACGCAGTTGCCGACGTGAGCTATCGCAGTCTCATCTGCGAGAAGAATTCCCAGTCCCTTATCATCAGTGGCGAGAGTGGTGCGGGAAAAACTGAAACGGCGAAAATCGTGATGCATTACCTGGCTACAGTGGTTTCGCGCACAGACACCAGCTCCGCCGAGAACATCCAAGAAAAAGTGCTGAATGCGAACCCGATCCTGGAATCTTTCGGCAACGCGCAAACGCTGAGAAATCGAAATAGTTCGCGCTTCGGCAAATACAACAAGATGTTCTTCAACCCGATCGGATCTCTGGTCGGCTCCGGAATCTCGACCTACTTGCTAGAAAGTAGCAGGGTAAAGCGAGGGCATTATCCTTAATATTATATATGATCCAGGGCTCAGGGCTACGGTACCAGCCTCCTAGCACAGGGGGGGACCGGTAGCCCCGGACCTCCTTTAAAGGCATCGGCCGGGTGCGGAAGGCTTCAAAAGGGGCCCAAGGGACCTCCTCCGCTTCCTTCCAGCTGCCTGCGTGTGCCCTACAGGCCTCCGACGTAGGTGGAAGGCTTCAAAAGGGGCCCAAGGGGCCTCCCCCGCTCCCTTCCAGCTGCCTGCCGGTACACTACAGGCCTCGGATATTCTTCGCCGCCGCAGCAGTGCGCCGGGTATGGAAGGCCTCCGAAGGAGGCAAGAGGCGAGGGGCTGGACCCCCTGAGCCGTGTGGCCTGTACCCTCTAGGCCCTTGGTCATCGGCCCGCTTGCTCTTGAGACCGTGGCCGCCTTTGGCGGCCTTTACCCCGGAGACCTCCAGCGCCAGCGTGTGAGGGTCAGCAGAGGCCAGGAGGCGGCTAGGGCACATGCTGAGAGGCGCAAGAGGACGCGCGCGCCCAGTTTTGACGCGTTCCAATCCGAGAACTTGCGAAAACAAAGCAGCGCGGAAAAGAGCGCGCAAGCGCCACCACAGACCCCGCCACAGGGAGGGGGACCGTGCGGCCCCGAGTCATATAGCTTATGAAAGAGGGCGCATTTGTTCTAGAGACTAAAGCTGTCTCATTTGTTGTCTAAGGTTAACAGTGTTATTTTGTGTCGAGCTTGATTATCTATTTGCGTAGAGTTACCTCTTCTAGGATGTAGTTCCTGACTCAATTCCAATCTCTTATATATATTCCCTCTTTGATCTTAATCTCAACAAGCCAACGTGCATGACTCAGGTATGCGTGCAAAACGGGGAGGAGAGGAATTATCACATTTTCTACGAGTTGCTGCATGGTTTTCCCCAACTCGGGAAGTGGGAGCTGACGCCAAATCGCTCCTACAAGATTTTGAATCCCGGTGATACAAGCAAAAATAGTCCAGAGAACGATAAAAGCAAGTTTCAGCATATGTGGGACGCTTTTCGGGCCATAGGGATTGACGAGGGAGAGATCGAAAGCATTTTTCAGATCATCGCAGCACTCATTCACTTGGGAGAATTTAAATTTCACGAAAAAGAAGACCAGACGGGAAGAAAAAGCGTTTCGGATGAGAAAGGGTTTCATTCTGACATTACAACCTTCTGTTAGTACCTTGGAATTTGGTGGAGAACAACGTCTCGATGAGAATGATCTCGGTCGGGGAGATGCTCTTCGTCTTGCTTGTCTTCTGTTTCCTGTATTCCTCGGAGTTTGATACTTCTCACATCCTTCTTGGTCTTCAGGATGAAGATTCTTGGTCTTTGTGATTAAGATCAGGACAGATCTTGGAACTTATTGATGTTTTGATCTCTCTCTCTGATCTCGATCTCGTGCCATTTTGTGCTTATCTATAAATATATATATGTTCCAGGGCTCAGGGCTGAAGGCTTCCCCGATCTAACTTTTTGAGGGGGGGGCTTCCCAGCCCCGGGCCCTCTTTTCGAGGGGCGGCCGGGTGGGAAGGCCTCAAAGCGCCCACCTCTGACCCCTTCCCGCTTCTTGCCTGTACCCTAGAGCGCCACCAAACCGGGGGGCGTTGAAGCTGGCAAAGGAGGCAAGGCAGGACCCCGCTGGCTTGTTGCGTGTACCCTACAGACCTGGCAAAGGTGGCAAAGGCTGGGCTTCGACGTCTCCGGTTTGGTGGCGCTCTAGGGTACAGGCATCAAGAAGCGGGAAGGGGTGGCCAGAGGTGGGCGCTTTGAGGCCTTCCCGCCTGCCAGCCCCTCGCAAAGAGGGCCCGGGGCGGGGAGGCCCCCCTCCTCAAAGAGTTAGCTCGGGGGGGCCTTCAGCCCTGAGATCCAGGGCTCAGGGCTACGTTACCCCCCTAGCGTATGGGGGTCGCCGGAAGTCCCGGACCTCCTTTTGCAGCCGTCTGCCGGGGGTGGAAAACCTCAAAAGGAGGCCAAGGGACCGCCTCCGCCCCCTTCCAGCTGCTTGGCTGTCCTCTACAGGCCTCCGATGTAGGTGGAAGGTCAAAAGGGGCGCAAGGGGCCGCCTGCGCTCCCTTCCAGGAGCCTGGCTGTGCCTTATATGCCTCTGATATGCTTCGCCGCCGCAGCAGTGCGCCGCTCACGGAGGGCCTCCGAAGGCGGCAAAAGGCGAGGGGCTGGACCCCCTAAGGGGCTCAGGGGGGCGCTTGCTCTCCCTTCCAGGTGTTTGCTTGTGCTTTACATGCCTCCGAAAACGATATGCTTCGCCGCCGCAGCAGTGCGCCGGGCGTGGAAGGCCTCTGAAGGCGGCAAAAGGCGAGCTGAGGGGCTGGAACCCCTGGGCTGTGCGGCTTGTACCCTCCGGGCCCTTGGTCATCGGCTTGCTTGCTCTTGAGACCGTGGCCGCCTTTGGCGGCCTTTGGGCCCGGAGACCTCCCGCCGGCGAGGGTCAGCAGAGGCCAGGAGGTCTCCGAGGAACACGCAGAGAGGCGCAAGGAGGCGCCCGCGCCCAGTTTTGACGCCTTTCACCACTAGAGTCCGCGAAAATCAGCGCGGAAATGCGCGCGCGCGCCACCACAGACCACACCTACCACAGGGGGGGGGCGCCGTGCAGCCCTAAAGCATATATTTATACATATGTATGTAGGGAGGGGGGCCCCCCGTGTGGATGGAGCGGAGGTGGCGTCGGCGCGCCCTTTTTTCCGCGGTGGCCGTGGTCGGTGGCGTGTCGGGGTTTCTGGGGGTGAAGGCCTGAAAAGGCGGGCCGGAGTCCCCTGGCGGCTCTCCGCGTGTGCCCCACATGTGTCCTGACTCTTGGACCCAGTGGGGGGGACGGCCTCCGGGGGCGGAAGGCGGCCTCGGCCGCCAGGCCTGGCCTCTTTGGCCCTCGTCCCCCCAATTGGTGGCAGCGTCTGCCGCCACCAAGCGCCCGGGGGTTGAGGACCAAAGGCGAGGAGGAGTGGGGGCAAGGCGTGCCGGCCTGGGATCGGTCGGATACATGCAGCATGGCGAGAGGGGTCAACAAGCCTTGCCACCTGCTGCCCTCGGAGGCCTCCCGCCCTCGAAGAAACTCCTCCAGTGAGGAGCCTGCACGCGGGAGATCTGCAGGGTACATGCAACACGGGAAAGGGGTCAAGCCTTGTCGCCTTCGGAAGTCTTCGCTCCACCCCCGGCCGTTGGTGCTTGAACGGCTTCAGGGGTTTGGGCTCTGTAGGGTACAGGCAAGAAGCTGCGAGGGCGCGAAGGTGGGCGTTTGGAGGCTTTCCCGCCCGGCAGTCCCTCGACAATCAAAAAGGGTCTGGGGCTGGAGGCCCCCCCCTCAAAAATTAGCTTAGATCGGGGGGCCTTCAGCCCTGAGCCCTGAAGTATATAGAGATGACTCATCCTTTTACTGCTTTACTTTATTTTTCAGTGACGAAGAGGAGCTACCCGAAATTGAGTTGGAGAATTTTCAGGAGATAATAGCGGCAGAGCTCTTGGGATTTGACGAAGTTTCACTTTTATCAGTACTCCAGTGGCGCACAGTGATGGTCAAGCATCGCGAATCTTTCTATCGCGTCCCGCGGACGCTGGAGCAGGCGGAGGGGACCTTGCAAGCGTTAACCAAAACGCTTTATAAGCGGCTATTCGAGCGAATTATTGCAAAGATAAACGCCTTGAGCTGCTCAAATGCGCAAAATGTATCACTTTTGCTCTTCAATTTTTTCTGAGCGAGTTAAAATGGAATGTCGTGGTAGGCCTTTCCCTGGTTTCAGTAGATAATTCGTACTGATATGAAGACAACTAACTAAGCACCTCCTACGAGTACGACGTCGACTACATACTAGTACAACGTTCATATTTACAACAGGGAGTGGTCGGCAGTTGGGATGCGACAACTACATTAAATATGTATCTGTACAACTTCTTCTAGCAAAAAGGTATCATCTGGATGTGCGTCAGCATTTCTAGCATCAGAGATGTTGGTGGAGAAGAAAATGGTGCAAGAGAGAGGATGAAGAAAAATGAGGAGAGTAGTCCTAGTCAAGACGAGTCTCGAGTAAGTTCCACGAACAATCTTCGCACTCACTCACTGAACGCAGGCAGGCAACTGCGAATGAATCCCTCAGGTAAACCACATTGGCATCCTCGATATTTATGGCTTCGAACGCCTGACAACGAATAGCTTTGAACAGCTTTGCATTAACCTTGCAAACGAGCGACTCCAGCAATTCTTCATCGAGAACGTATCTATACTATTGACATAGTTGAAAACGTATACCATATACTATACATTATAGATGTATGAAGAGAGTATTTTTATCCGTATTGAAATGGGATCCTCTTGTTTTACCCGTAGTGTCTGCAAGGTTAATCATCTCTGGAGTGTTTTCAATGGATTTGAATATGCCTGTGCCGAGGTACCTCATTTCGGAGGTGCTCCATGCGGAAGACTTCGTCAAATTTTATGAAGTCTGCACATACAATTAGGCACTTTCCCGTTAGAAAATTTGCAGCCACATAGCTGCATAATACTCAGACTTTTCTTCACAATGATTTGGCTCCTACTACAAACTAGAAGTACATTTTTTAAGGTACTTCTCGCAGAGCAGAGTATCTACACCAAGGAGGGTTTAAGCTGGACAGATCTGCCATTGCCGAATAGCTGGCCGGTCGTAAATGCAGTCAAGGGAATTTTCACAATTCTCGACGACCACTCTCTTCGCAAGATAAAGAATTTGGACACCAACGACGATAAATTCACCCAAGGCGTCCATGACAAGTATGTTAACGGCAATGCGGGAGATGGTATAGACTCTTTTATTGGATCAGAATGAAGATTTGATTTTCAGGGATGATTATTTTTCAGTTTCATCTAAATGTAAAGTAATTGTATAGATTCACTTGAGCGTATGCGTACGTTGAAAAATCAAATCTAGGTACTACTAGAACTACTACATCAAGAGCTGTAGTCTCCTTAGGACAAAAGAAGATCTTTCTTCTCATCAGGCCGCGTTCGCGCACCGAAGCTGCAAGGAGGCCGAAATAAGACCATGGGCCGACTATTAGATGGTTTCGTTGTTAAGCATTACGCAGGTGAAGTCTTTTACACAACGCGAAAATGGTTCGACAAGAACAACGACCGGCTCAGCTCAGAGCTAGAGACTCTCATCAAGGAGTCGAGGGTACCACTGCTTAAAAACTTTTAGATACTGAGGACTTCACACTCACTAGTCAGCAGTTCTTCTACTAGTTGCAACACCAATATTATAGATCTGCGATGATCCTGAACTATAATGAACGAAGCATCATCTACGTTTGATCTCCCCTCTCCGTCCTTCATTTTTTTTTGTTTCTCTCAGGTACCTCTTGTTTCCGAACTTGCTTGCGTCGAGGCGAGCGAGAAAAGTGACAAATTTGTTTCAGTGGGGAAGAGCTACGTTGAGAATTTGGAGCAGCTTTGTCAGCAGACATTGTCCAAGAATACGCTACATTTAAGGCTCAATATTTTTCATTTCTACAAGTCATTTCTCGCAGTTTCCTTCCTTGGATTCTGAGGAAATGATGGGAAGAAATGATAATCGAACGCTTTGAGCTCTAATACACTATATCCGCTGTTTCAATCCCAACGGGCAGCAGCGCAAGGAGAGTTTCGATCCAAAGTATGTTTTAGAACAGATTCTCCAATCCGGAACTGTCGAACTAGTACACGTCATGCACGATGGTTACCCGCATCGCGTGAGCTTTGAGGAACTGCAGCAACGATTCTTGAAGTTATGTCAAGCTGGCCTGTCTTTTCTACATACAATAGTCAGGTTAGTGAACATGTGAATCTTGATGAACTTTTTCTACACATATTTACCACTAGCACAAACTAACAGTTCGCTGTGGCGGTCGGGGACAATCTACAACTACAACTACAGGTTCCATTAGAATATACGCCTGCTGTTGTAATAAGCAAGCATCCCAAGTAGAACAACATTTTTCCCATTTTGTGTCTTTCATTGCCGCTTCTGCCAGAGGACTTCCAGCACTATGACAGGCGGACGTTCGTGGAGAGCATCATGAAAGCGTTCGAGATAGATCCACGAGCGTGGGAGCTTGGAGTTAGTAAACTATTTTTGCGTGCGGGCCAGCTGCGAACACTTGAGAGCCTGAAGGAATCCGGCAGCGGCGCTAGCAAAGAAGTCCTCAGTCGTCTTAGAAGGGACATCGTGCGCAAGAAGATCAAGCGTGTGAAGCATGCTGTCACGCTGTGTGTATAATTCTTTTTGCCTCTACTTTTTATCAGGTTCTGGTTCTTGAGATATCAATGCTGTGCTTGCGCAGTTGGATGATTTAGATATTTCATTATGTTGATCCAGATGAGAAATAAGAGCAAGAATTTCGAGAGAACGTGATAAACCCCCTACTAGTAGTACTGCATGATAACATGATAACATTAGAACATCATCTTTAGAAATCCTACAACAACAGCTCTGGATGCCGCGTTTCATTCGGCAAATAAGGCGAGAGAAGCTGATCGGAAACTTAAGATCAGCGTGCTTCGTCCTAGTGCGGCTCTACCGGTGGCTAGACTATTCCCGTGGCATCATACGGCGTCGCTTTTTAGAGGAGCAGAGGCGGAAGCAGCAACGACAGCTGAGCGCAGACGGTCAGGACGGCTTGCATTTTTCACGACCCAGATCTTTCGTCTGCAAAGCCTTAGTTGGGGGAAAGGAAAACCTCATTTTCACCGATGGAAAAAGCTTATTCTGCTGTGTGCATGGAGAACGCACAGTGGGCCCGATCTATCAAGTGAACATTCTTACTGGAAAAATTCACAAGGCCGTCTCGACAGCAAGTATGAAAGACTACAACACGTCGAGTGGATCCCCTGCTGAGGAAGGTGGTGGTGGCGTTGACGCAATAGAAGCAAGAAATTAGGCGCAGATTTGAGAACAATAGGATGGTGTCTGAATTCGTCTTCACTTAGTTTACCTACCGCTTAGTATTGCAGAGATGAACTCTTACTTTCTTATCGTGCTTGGCATTGGATTCAAAAATCACAATGAGAATGTTGAATACGAAATATGAACTCTCACACAACAAGGCAATACGGGTATTTGCTCCTGCATTTTCTGGTTTCTCTAAGAATAACAACCTTTTCCTGACGTTTGTGCGATCACGCAACATCCAAAGTATGCCTTCCGGTTCGCAATCGCGGATGTCGAAGGCCGTGTCTGGTTTGTAGACTGGCATGGCATACGGGAAGAAGACACGCTACTCTACTCGGTCTCGAGTGTCTTTCATGGCATGGCACATTGCCAGCCACCACGCGCTTTGATCCGAGGGAAACTTGAAGGAGGAGGAGCCGGTGGCAGCTCAATGCCATCTTCGGGGCCACCCTCAAGAGGAACTAAATTCGCATCGAAAGGCACGACCAGCGGGCAAGTTATGACTCTATGTATTACTTGCTGATGTAGACACCAAAAGGGATACTTTGTTTTTTTATTTTGCTTCTCTGATCATTTAAGACCATGCGTTCCCTCTCTACGTCGTGGGTGCGTGTTTACTTGCGACCATTGAAATTTCGATTTCCTTCAAGAGTAGCCCTGTCTGTCTAATGCACGTAAGAGTGCCGGTAGCGAACAGCAAGGTGGAAGCTCATCGTCATCGAGGGGTAGACACGACGAGAGCCTGCTCTTTCAGGAGGTTGCTCTCATCAGGCATCTAGCATACCTCCCATACGACATAACGAAGCGAAATGTCGTCGTTGCACTAGTCGAAACGACGGTATTGAAACAACTAGTGTATCAAGAGCCGCGAGTAGTTGAACATTGGGAGGTCAACAGGAATGACTTAGAAGATGTAGATGATTCTTAAATTAAAATTCTTTATGAGTGAAACCACTCTCACTCCAATTCGAGTAGCTATGTATGTGGCTATTAATTTTTGAAAAAATAGAAAAAGAGACAGTGTACTACCTTATGTTAGAAGGCAAATCCATTCACTCATTCCTTGGCTTGGCCAGGTAGAAGAGGAGTCATCGCCCGTCTTTTTTCTGCAACTGCTTGAGACCTGCAGTTCGACGCGGCCGCAGAAAGTGCACGACACACAATTAGTGGACACCAGCATGGCCAGGCTACGCTTATGGCTCAGAATGATTCATCTTCAAGGGTCATTTTCTTCTGTTCCCTTCTTGGGAGTCTGAAGAAATGAACGGAAGATATGAACAATCGCTTTGAAGAGCTCTAATACGCGGTGCGCTTATTGCAAAAGAGAAGGACCGTCGAAAGAGCAACATTAAGGCAAGTACCGCTGAAGCATCTCCTCAATATCATGATCCTTGGTTCGTCTTTTTCTACTCGAAAATGGAACCAAGGGTGCACTCAGGGATTCGACCGCGGTAGCTCTAACAACGCTCCAGAAACGGCAGCACACGAAATTTTTGCCTTCCTCACGCCCACTTGCTCCGGGAAAATGGTCGTGCTTGGCGGCTGCGCGCTTTTAAATTGCTACACCGTAGCAGAGCAAAAGGGAAAGCTCAAACTGGACTTGGAATACATGCTGGGATGTACTTACAGATGATCATAATCATTTTGATGTTCTTTTCGATTTCTTTCGCAATGGGATACAACATACTAACTGAGTTGTAGTTGTTCGTTGTATGTTCTTAAATTTTTTTTTTTACCTTTCATCTTGTTCTTGTGCTTCTCGTTAACCCTGACAGCCCGATATTGCTGGAAGAGGATCTAAAAAATGTGTTCATCTTCGCCTTGCTACATAAGGTAAATATCTCGACATCGAGATGCGAAATTTGAGGAGCTGCATCTGCCTTCGGCGTAGCATTCCTGCAACAAAAGAGAAGAAATCCCTCGGCGACTTTGTGATTGTAGGCGCTTCCGACGGGACCTTGTACGGCTTTCCATTCACCTACGTCATCGACCGGGGCGGCGCAAACAACGCTGCACTTAAGGCTACCGCTGGAGCATCCTCCGCAGCATCCTTGTCTCCTTTTTCAAATAGAAAAGGACGCCAGGGATGCATCCAAGGATGCCAATGCGGTAGCTCTAATGCTCCAGGCACAGCGCCGCAGCAGGGCCGCTTCATCTTTGACGATGAGAATGCTGGCCGCTTCGACGTGGACGAGGGAGAGGAGAAAGAGTCCATCGAACTTCTGTTCCCTATCCAAAAAAACTATTTCACAGCCCTAGAGAACAAGTTTGTCTCTATTCGACGAACACAAGCGTTCTCTTGGGTGATGGGCGAGAAGGACGGCATCTTCGGATGGCACCCGCAAGAATTCATGCTCAGCGGCTTACCTCCGGATTTCACCTGCGCGGTCAGCTCCCGTGTATACCCAAGTATGAGCCTCTTCGTCAAAAAGGAGGAAAGTACCGGGACATTTAAGATCATTCGCTGGAACCGGAACCAGAATACAAAAATTTAATTCACGTCATAGAAAGGATGTAAGAACTGGCGCATGGTACGGTATGACAAGTATACGCCTCCACCATTCCCGGTAGGCTGGGATCCTGAGGCTGCTGAGCTTACTAAAATTCCATTATAACAGAGAACTGTAATTTCTAGGGCATTATAGTTGGACTAGGTGATAATGATACTTTCTAAAGCATATTATTAAGAACAGAAACCTAAGGACGATTACCATTAGTTACGCAACATGAGCATGATCATTCACTTTTCTGTAATTTGTAGTGTTGGTCTTGGAGGAGTTGAAATTGAAAGTTCCACAACAACACTCGTCTGGTCATCTCTCTTACAATTCAGACATGCTACTTTCTAGGTATAAGTAGCTATGTATACTATAAGTATCTGTAAGTACGTTTGGTAACCCTCCTACCCCTGTAGATTATCCTTTTGGAACCATAACAACTCTACTGAGGATCATTTCAACACTCGCATCAACTCTACGGATAAGTAATTTATTCTGATCAAACATCTGAAGTAGGTGAGCATCTAAACAAACATGGAGAAGTGTAAAATATATAACTTTATAGTGAGTATTTTGGGTTCGAGTTCGTTCAACGTCATTGCTGTTACAACCGTTATAATCTTCAAGTTTGAGCACCAGCAAACTATGCTAAAATCGCGCAACCTATGACAGAGGCAAAAGAACTGATGTGCAGTACTAATAATGCTGCGGCCGGTCGGACTCGAGGCAGGGAGCTAAAACGCTTCCCAGCCTCTTCGCGCAGAGCTCATGTAATCTATCACGAAAAGTTGTTGCTTATTTTGATTCGCCGAACTCCAACTAAAGAACCCCAGCAATCTCGTAAGCAATTTATTCTGTGCTTGAATGTCAGAGAGGATGAGCGCGCAGACGTTGGAATTCCTCGCCAAGTGCCTGCTAAGCACGGGAAGTTAGAAAGACTGCTTCCTTGCTCGAATCAACCTGGGTGTTGATCGAAATTGCAAAGGTTGAGTGTGCGAGAGCAAAGCAACTCCTTTCTGAATCTTATCTCTAATGATGTTCGCGTGCGTGATGACAAGTAGAATTTTTGGCTTTCCAAATATATTCTTAGACGAGGTCAACTACAACGAATTATCATGATGCCATTCATCTGCTGATGTCAGAGCTGTGCGCATATGCGTATGTGTTTCTATGCGAGTGTATCTGTACGAGCCGCGATATGATTGAGTGCTCATCTGTAGCTGTACGAGGGATGCGAACATCTCTACGAGAGCAGAAAGGAAGGACATCGGTGCTGACGTAGAGCGTATGATTGATGAAAGATTGAATTAGACGAACATACTAAATGAGAGCTTATTTATCTGTACGAGGATTGATGAAAGATGATTCTGTGTTGAGCATTCTAGGTGGTAGTGGTCTGTAGAGTTGGCGGCAAAGAACGCTCAGCGACAGAATCCTGACCTCCTGACTTAACTATCACTTGCCATCTAACAGGCCATTTTCCGCATTACGCTTATGGGGCCACGGCCTCTGGCATCCCACTTTTTGAGCACCTCACTGTGATCCTTGGATTCATCCAAGGGTTTCTACATTTTTTGATCTACCATCTCGAATAAGTAGTTGGTATTGGCCTCCTTCACTCCAATCCGAATCGACTATCTAAAATCATCATTCGCTGGCTTACACCTCGTGCTAGGTAAATGAATGAATGAGTGAATGTATCTGTTGGCACAGCGTTAGAGGATAGATGGCTGTGTGATCACGACATTCTAATATCTTCTTGTTCATGCAGTTTTCTAGGATTACAAGATAACTGTGGATCTATGGTTGATATGGAGGAGTAGAAGTGAAAAGTTTATTTTTGGAAGTAGAGATACGCTAGCTACTTAACTGGAGTTTTTCTCACTCTCTTCGTTTTTGGTTTAATTGTGCAATATTCATCTGTTGTTTTGTGTGCATGTCGATACGTTTTTGGTAGTAGTACCGTGATTGATGCAGCCTTCACAAGTAGATTCAATTTCGCCCTCTCGCTCCTCGCTTGTGTAAAAAACAAAGAAAGTAGTCTAACAATATTACACTTTATTCCCCAGACCACGAATTATCTTTTAAAAGACACTGTTCCTTTACCTACTTTTTCTTCCCCTATTTCTTACCATAGATACCCAAAAACTAGTTCCGCGAAATGGTGTTAATTCATCCACCAAAATCCAAGGCACGGGCCAGTGTCGGGCCGCAGCTGGAAAAGCTGGTCAGGACTATGAACGAAGTTCAGCGCGCAAAGAAAGAATTCCTTTCAAGAAGAGAAGGTACGGACAGAACTTTCTCACACATTGGTGTTTGTCTTGGTATGAAGATGTTGGGTACCGTATCATCATGGTCATTCTTCGTCAGGTCTAAAAAATTTCTTTCAATTGCTACTGTTTCTTGCCGCCCAGCGCGGACAGCATTTATCACAAATAAAAATGCTTTTTTCGTTCTTCTTTTCGAAAGAGTTGGAGAATTCTTGGTTCGTGATTCATTCATCTTTTTGATCACGAAACAAATTACTTAACTATGTATATTTATAAGTATAACTTTTCTTTTTCACCCCGCACATCAGCCGCACGCCAGCGAAGAAGGCAGCCGCCTGAGTTTACTTTGTCAGCAGAAAAGCAAGAAGGTCTTGGTAAATGCTTCGAACTTTGGTGCGAACCTGGACAAGCAGAGATTCCAAGTAAATTTGTCATCAAGTTTTTCAGGGACAGCGGGATCATCGGGACGGACGAGAGCCAGGTACTAATAAAGCTTGTCAAGAATAATCGTGTGGCACGCCCTACTCAAACTTGTTGTAGTAGCTAGTTTTTTTTCGATACGATCCCATACTTTTAGCCAAGTCCTCCCTCTGCTCGTATTTCTTGTCAATTTAGAAAGCAGAGGGCTGCTGGTGACCTGGTATTGCAGGGATGTCGTGGACTGTTGACAACTACGACCAAATGATTAAGATAGAATGGATGTCTCATACGACCTCCTTCTTTGATTTTCCCCATACAGTTGCCGTCGGTTGACATCGACTTGCTGTTTAACAAGCACAAGAAGCCAAAGGAGCGCAGAATATCGTTCACGGAGTTTGTGTATATGCTCGTTGACATCGCGGCGAAGGTCGATGTGGAACTGGAGACTTTAGTGGCGCACATTTTAGAACAAGTTGGCGAGGGTCCAGACTTCCACAACGTATCAGTGCAGCCAGGACTTGCAAGAGCGAATCATGAAGGGGGTATTCAATCGTGATTCTGGTTGGGAAACTTTGTTCGCAGTAATCTGGATGTACATGTAATCGTCCTAGTCCGTTCTTAATCACATTCATTGTATCTGCAAGAAGAAGGAATAATTTACCTTTGCATACTTGAATTTATGGAGTCTGTCTCGTCTAACTCTAAGACTATGTATCTATGAAGTCAGCATACTGCAGCCATCTAGTAGCCATTTTGGCTCAAGGCTTCGTCCTTGTTGCCCGTTACCTACCAACAGAGAGACCCAACCGCATAGTTACTGCCTAGGATCCATTGTTCTGGTACAGCACGCATGGCTGCGCTCAACAAATCAATCCACCAATCAATCCATCAATCAATCAATCAATCAGATCATCAATAACAAGATCTTCCCTGAGCGGTTGGGTCTATAATGGGGCTAGTTTCATTAGGTCTGACGCGACTTGTTCTAGGTGATTACGATCCCAATGAGATACTTGAAAAGCGCAAAAAGTGAGATGAATAAGAGTAGAAAAGTTAAGGCAACACATAGTACAAATAAACCAGCATAAGAAAAGCAAACAAAATGAAGGAAAAGCGCGTCTCCAGCTAAATAAAAGGAAGAAAACTAAGCGAATCCAAACCGAGCAAAGGCGACAAGGCGGGGCGGCAGTGGTCTTTTTTGCGATTGGAATGGGCATCCATTGCGCGCAAAGGCTGGAGCATCCTGGTTTGGCCCAGATGCCCTACCTGCGGAGAACGCTTACGATGCTACCGAGGGGCGGAGACGTGATGAGGGACCACTGAAAATGACACAAAGACAAAGGAAAGAACACAAAAAGGGAGGGAAAAAATGAAAGGGAAAAGGGAAGGAAAGAGCATTTCCAATTTATCAGGAATGATATAAAACAATTTGTCGTGCTGCGACATAAAACACAACTTGCACCACCTCACGCTAGGCACACTCATTCACTCATTCACTCATTCACTCATTCACTCACTCACTCATTCACTCATTCACTCATTCACTCATTCACTCATTCACTCATTCACTCATTCACTCATTCACTCACTCATTCACTCATTCACTCATTCACTCATTCACTCATTCACTCACTCACTTACTCACTCACTCACTGTTGCACTTACAATACATTCTCGCCACAACCTGTAGATCTGACGGGCCCGGAGAAGTTTTTCTACGATAAGAGCACGTTTACGGGGACCTGGACCAACGGCGGGCCAAAGGCGATTGACAGCACGCACGGCTATTTGAAGGGCTTTCAGTCCTTGGTCCACCGAGAGCATATCCAAAATGACCACGTGCAACGCAAGAAGGCGACCGACGCATTTAGTCCGGCAACCCGTCGCAGTCAGGGGCTCGCCGATGGGGGATCGTCGCGCTCGAGCTTTAGCACCGGGACGCCTGGGAGCAGCACGGCGCAGTTGGTACATGCCCACCAAGTGGTCGTCGCGCAGAGGAGTTCGTCCGGAGAGGAGGCATCCTCATCCTCCCGAGCGAGTGGCCGAAGGAGACGCTCTTCCGCGTCGAAGGGCAACAGCGGTGGACGGCGCATCAGTACTAATAGGAACAACGAGGAACAACATGGGGGCCTCGTCGAAGAAGATGAAGAAGACAGAAATGACGCGTTGCGTGGACCGCTCAAATTTGCAGATCCTTCGACCTTCACGGGAACCTGGAGAAAAGGCGGACCACAGCATGTGGAGCCCAAACCTCTGTTATGGTCAGATTTTATCCATCTATCTCGGCATCTTGGTGCTTCTTTACACTGACACTGTATTCTCATGAGATACAAGGTCAAAGGGGTCAAGATGAGGGGGCCGAGATGAATAGAAGCCGACTCTAACTTTGAACTTCCGCCCATCGGGGCGAACGAGCAGCACCGGTGACGCATCGTCCACGAAACCTGTTAGGCAGTCAAAACGAGGCACTTCTACTGATTTTTAGTTGTTACTTTATACCCGCTGCCTCAACTCCCTCCTCTTGCACGAATATCAGGGTTTCTAATCGGGTTTGGAGCTCTTTATAAAATCATACAGTTGCTACTTTTTGTTTTTAGAGAAAATCAGCGGACTTCAAAGAAGTTGTTTTTCGTCGTCGGTCGTTCTCGCTTTTCTGTGCTCAGCTACAGCTGACTTTCTTTCGCAGAGTTTTAAGATTAATAATCTTACTTCAGCATGCATCTTCCACAATTTCAGAAACGGACGCTTCAAAGGGACCAGAACGGTTTTATTACGATAAGAAGACGTACACAGGGAGCTGGAAGAACGGTGGCCCAGATGCCGGTCAGCGCACAAGCCAAGGATACCACGACTTCTCATCCCTAGTTCACAGAGATCACGTGCAGGATGATCACAATAACCGAAGGAAGAGCACGAGGTCATCCAAGAGCTCCGTCGCTGCCTCGACGTCATAGAAAAGAGGATCAAGGAGATGGGAACTGAAACTTACTCATTGATACTCGCTTTGCGATAGGACACTCGGAGCTCTCATACCGTAAGACAAGGTTTTTCGTTAAAGTTCTCATGTGTTGGTACTTTTCTCGTCGTGAATCATGACGAGTTCGAAATTAATACTTTGTTGAGGTTTTGATCATGTTTGGGCTCGTTGTGAAGGTGGGGCTCGTTGTGTCAGGTGCCGGTGGGGCTCGTTGTGAAGGATCCATAACCTAACCTAATCTTTGAAGGTGGATATATCGCAAGATCGCTTCGGAATTAGATGAAACTGCGTAGCTGGTTCCCATTCTTTTTGAAAATTTGTTTTAGTCTGTAACTATAAATCTCAAGAAGTACGCAGTACTAGGTAGTTGGTGATGTCTTCTTTTTCTAATATGGCAGTCGTGAAAGCAATGAATAGATTGATATGAGTCGTGAAAGCAATGAATAGCTTAGGAGAAATTCGCTTAAAGAGGGCATGAGGATTCAGCTTTGTTTCTCTAGCTGTGGTTGGTGGTCGTGGGCTCAACCCGTCAACATGTTTGATTCGTTGTGTATTGTGTATGAAAATCGCCGAAGCAAGCAGCATCTTCATCCCATCGACAGTTTCAAGATACTTATATCTGGGAAACTGACTATGACATCAAAAACCGGACGATTTGCAATGTGATGAAACGCGCCTCCAACAGTGCGAACAGACACCACATGGGAAGGAAGACACTAACTAAAAAGAAAGATGAAAAGATGATGGTCAGCTACCTTGCGGCAAGTCGAGTACATTATGTATGATTAGTTGAACGTTTTACGGATATTCATATTACAATACAATTATGCTGATGCAAACTAGTTGTTACTACAGTTAGTCGTGATGTGTGTAGTAACAAAATAGTAGTAGTAGCAGTAGTAGTAGTACTAGTAGTTTTTTTTCGTTTTTTGATGTTAGTATCGTTGTCTGATTAAGTAGAAGATCCGAGAATGCTTTTTTTCATGTATATGGGCAGATACGTTTTTCCAAGAACACGTAACTAAATATAACCAATGAATGTCTAGATTGCAAGTTCAAGAGAATGAGCTTATAACACAAAGTGAAAATATGCGCAACCAACTTACCAAGATGAAGATTATTAGATAATGACTGCTAAAATGAATGATTAGATAATGACTTCTGCTGTTTAAGAGTAAGAATTTCGTAGTACGACGGAACTCGCATGTACCGATATGCAGTTATAGTAAGTACTTCTGCAAACGACCCTTCTCTTGGGCTGCGGTTTCCAGACAGATGAAGCGGTGAATCGACAAGAATGTTGGTCCTATGTATGCGAAAGACTTGGACGAGAGCGAGCTGATACGCAAAGGTGTGAAGTTGGTACATCTACATGACTATGAACAAACAAAATTCATCTGTAATCCGAGGTAATCCGAGGAGGCTATCTTCGCGGAGCATGGCCCGTTAAGAATCTGTAGTTTTGAGGGCAAGAGTGCTGTTCTTCATATCGTTTCTTAATAACTGTTACAAGTTGATGTCATTTTTATTGGAGGTAATTTACATTAACAATTTATGAACGAAGAAAGGTTGTTAGTTCGTGACATCATAATTTTGTTCGAGCGACCTGAATTATCAGTGTTTCTGGAGCGATGATTATGATTCAGAAAAATAGTAGAGCGAAGATGTCTTGTCCACAAGAACTGTAATCTGTGTTGATTGAGTGACTTCGTCAAACTAGAGTGATGCTCATTTTGAAAATATTTCCTGTTAGTTTATGAATTCGTTTGATCATGCTGAACCTGAAGAAAGTGACTCAGAGCCTTGCTTATCCTTCTCTTAGTTCAACAGGTAATGTTGGGGTCGTACGTTCTCAGTGCTAAACCTAGAGATTAAGACAGACCATACCTACGCATGTCTTTTTCGGCATTCTGTGCAACAACCCCCCTCGGATGTGAATAAGTATATCAATCCGCAATTATCTGACGTGTCCGAACCAAATATTACGGCTTTTATTGGTTTTCCGTATCATTTTCTCCACATTGATTCTGTTATTCATTCAAGCGATAGATAGAAGAGTCTTCGTGTGCTTTGCTCCTTACCCAACCAAGAAAAATTTATTGTATCATCTGTAAGCGATATTTTTATTACGAGAAAAATGGCAGGTGATGCACTCAACGTTGCTTCTTCGCCAATCGAGAGCCAGCTGAGCCCGGCTGATGTCGTAGTTTCCGATATAATCGATACTTCGCGCCTCTCTGGGCAGGATGTGGATGCTGAGCATTGTTTCGAGCACTCTGCTAAGATAGGTGCGCCGCCCTTCGAGTTCTTTTCTGACGCCACCAACTCGATCCAACAAACAGGGCCGAGTGATAGTGCCGGAGCTGCCCGTGCGAACGCGTCACAAGCTAGCCGCTCTAACGCTTCACAGGCGAGCCGTGCTCGGATCCCACGTGGCTGGTCGAAGTCGGCTGAAGTTGCCCGTCGCAGTACGCGAGCCGACGATGTTGTGGATATTGACGTCGACTTCGGTCACTCAATCAGGAAGCCTTCCTACCCCGCCTTTCGGGAGGCCAGCCAAGACGCATATGCCGCAGCGGTTGCGGGTGTCCGAAGGACGCAGAGACGTTCAAGATCACCGGAGAATGGCGGTCGTGGCTCCACGAAGGGAGTCGGAAAGCGTCAGTCGAGTCCATCTTCTGGCGTCATGACTACAGGCAGCAAGCGGGTGGAGAGTGTGATGGATCCCTACAGTTTCATTGAGAAGTCTCAGCTTCCGATGCCGGTTATGAGTGCTCCTACTTCTGCCAATCACATTATAAGTCCAAATTATACGACTACAGCAGGAGCAGCTACTGGCGCTGGTACAAGAACGAGCAAAAATTCAACTCCGGCCCTGCTTCAGCCTCATATTGATGAGAAACTGACTACCCGGGAAACTTTGGAGATGTTGGTGTCCGCGCGAGAAAGACAAGCACAAGCACAGAGAACATCTTTGTTACTACCCCCGCAAGATGATGCTGGAGTATCCCAGGTGTCGGGTCGAGTGCCAGAGGGCGCGATACAGCGTATGCATCAGAGCGCTCCCGCGGTCAAGTATTCTTTCATGGCGTCGCGCTCTTCAGGAGGAGCACAAAGTTCGGGAGGACAGGCTCTTTCTGGACAGTTTATCCCGGGAGGTCCTCAGCAGCCTGGCATGGCCTTTCAACCACAGGACCCGCGGGCGATGTTGTCCTCAGGTGTCCGCGATCCAAACGTACTATTCACTGAGCAGCATCAGCAGGTGCACCTGCGCAACGATGCGCGAGCCTTGGTGGACTTCTACGGACAAGCGCATGCTAAGGCGCTAGCGGCTGCTGCGCAGGACGCACAGGACGCCGCTCGCCGACATCATCCCACGCAGGCTGGTGGAGCTCGAGCTGGTACATCAACTAGTCCTCTGCCAGGAGGCGCGTTGCGAAAAAGCTCTCCGCAACGGCCTCAAAGCGTTTCCTTTTCGGCTGACGTGGACGCTGCGACCAGGTCTTCTCAGGGTCGAACGAATGCAGGTCGAGGTTCATCGCGAAGCCCATCGCCCCCGCAAGCAGAAGCAGGCGGTGGGACACGGCAGAGCAAGGCGACTGCGACCACGACAAGCGACTTCTTGTTTGATGCGCGTGCACGCGCAGCTGCGCGAGGTGCAGCGAAGAGACGGTCTGAGGGAGGCGCGGCGCCGACGACGATGGAAGGGCTTCACGTGGTAATTGATGCGAAACAAAAGGCTGACGTGGCAAAAGTCGGGTTCAGGGCATCGGCAGCGGAAAACCTCGGTCTGGACAGTTTCTTTGACAAAGACGGCATGCCGTCATCAATGGGGAGCGGGAATAATGTCAGGAAATCTATCATCGCGCAGACGATGCACTTGGCTGCGGAGGGTCCGGCGCCGCTAACGGAGAGCGAGCGCCTCGACCGAATTGTGGAATTCCAAAAAAAACAAGCGAGCAACTACCGCTACGTCGGGTCCGACGGGAAAACCCTTGTGCAGGTGAGCAAAAGCTCACCAGGCATCAACGACCAAGTGCAAGCGCGCACCCCAGTGACAAATCGTCCCAATGCGGGAAAGCCGACGTCGCATTTTCCAGCCGATAAGAATGCCCTGGTGCAGAGTCAAATCCCGAAACAGGAAAAATTTTCAATAAGACAAACTCAGCAGGTAGAAGAGGAAGAGTCACCCACGGATCTTCCCCCACAGCAGACAATGGGCTCTCCGGTAGAGACCCTGGTGGAGCGCAGTCCGACTGCTGCAAAGCTGGCTGAGCCGGCGAAATTCGGCCTGTCCGATGCGGAAGCGAAGCAAATCGATTCCGTTATGGACATGCTGGACCGTCCGGATTTTAGCATGGTCGGGGTAAACTACGGGAGCCACATCAAAGAGATCGAGGCTGCGGAGGGTGACGCGGAAAAGGGACTTTTACCGGAGAGCATCCCAGTCAGCCACGCTCCCGGATCGCAGGAAGGACTGGGCGCAGACAACATGGACGGCGATTTCATGCCGTTCATTCCGTGGCAGATGAAGAAGCACGCGCCTTTTATGGAGAGCTTCAAGAAGTACATCCGCGACGAGCGTGAGAAAAAACTGCAGAAGACAATGCGCAGTCCCCGTGGGGAACAACTACAAAACCAACAAGAGGGGGAGGAAGGCGCCGTGGCTGCTCCTGGAGGAGGCGCAGAAGACGAGGTGACCGGAGAGGAGAAAAGACGGCAGCAGACTTCGGTCGAGCTGTACGGCGCTCCCCGTAGCCCCTCGGTCATGGCGGACCCACGCTTCGGCAAAGCATCCGCGGGGGGCGCGCCCGTCTCGCTCTCGGGATCTCGGGTTGCCCCACGAGAGCTTGCCTCCAGTCTGAGCCAGGGAAAGCCACCCGGCGGCAGCATCCGAGCTAGCAGCAAAGAGCGTGCGAGCAGTAAGCAAGGTAAAGGTCGTGGACCTTCCAAGCAGTCTGTGGCCCCGGGTGCAGGAGGAGAGGAAAGGGACCCCACGGAGCGGTTGGCGGCACTGCGCAATGACAAGTCTAATGCTCCTCAGCCGGAGAGCAGCAGCGAGGAAGAGGAGCTCCCCCTTGACCCCTACGGGCCTCAGTACAAGGCCAAGCGTGGGATTGAAGGCCAGCTGCTGGTGAACCGCAAGGAGCATCACCTCGTTGCGGAGTTTCTGCAGCGCGCACCGGCATACTTCAGGCAAAAACGGAACGTGCTCTTCATGAACGTCCACAAATTTGCGGCCAACAGGTTCGCAGACCGCGTGAACCTGCCCACTGCGCAGCAGCAGTTTCTCCGAGAGTTGGATTACGTGAACGTTGTCCTGGACCGCGAGATGCAGGGCGGCAAAGGGGACCACACCGAGGTCGCCAAAATGATCGAGGAGCGGGAGGCGCTGCACGCGGAGGAGAAATACAAGGTGATGCAGGAGTGCGAGAACGTGCGCACGCTCACGATGCTGGTGAACGCGATGGCCGACATCGACGACGAGGGAAAACGCAACTCGAAGGTGGAGCGTGCGGAGATGGAGCAACGCTTGTTAGAAGTGCGTGAGAAGATCGCGGCCGACGCGGAGGCCGCGGCTCTCGCGGAGCAGGAGGCTCTGGAGGACGCGCTGGATGAAGTCGCGCGAGGCTCCTTGATGGGCTCCGGGGCCGAGGATCTTGTGGGAGAGGCCCAAGACGAGAATGCCGAGGAGCATTTCCAGGCGGTCCAGGAAAGTCTAAAAGCGTCACAGAAGTCCATGATTTTGAATCGCTCGCTCAAAGTGCAGGAAAAGGAATTGGGCACGGACGACAAGGGCAAGAAAGGTGCGGACGGAAAGGGGCGCGTTTCTGTCAAGGCGAAAGATCGTCCTTCAAGCACGGCGAACAAGAATAACAAGGACAAGATGAAGGACGAGAAGCAGGACAAGGAGAAGGACGAGGGTGATAAAGGTCGCAAATCTTCGCGTAAGACCGCGAAGGATTCTCCGCGGGGCGTGGGCCGCAAATCTTCCCGTAAAACCGCGAAAGATTCTCCGCGGGAGGAGGAGAACGGGAGCCAGAAGAGGAAGAAATCGAGGCGAGGCAGAGAGGGAGAGACTATTGTGAAAGTCGCCAACTCCAACAAGCCGTCGGGAATTGCGTATCAGAATGTCCTCGGGGAACTCGTCGCTTCGATGAATAAGAAAAGTAATGACAAAAACCTGATAGATGAAGAGACAAACAACATGCAGCCAACCGGTCACGACGATCTTGCTGACGATGCGGATCGAGAAACCACCGACTCCCATCCAGACCACCCGTTCGTGCTTGCGGAAGGCGAGCAGGGCTATTTAGGGGACTTTCCCCACGACGAGGGAGAGGAGTCTTCGGCAGGAAGTGACGGATGGATCCTGAAAGACATGCACAAAAGTGCGAAAGAGGACGCGCTGCGGCAAAAAAATGTCGAGGACAACGCGCGGGGTCTCAGTCGTGACAAATTTGCGTTTCTGAGAGAACAACAAGTAGAGCAGCCGCAAGGACTTTTCACAGGTGCTACCAGAGGTGCGGCGAAGCCGTTGCCGCGCGCTGAGGGCGAGAGTGCACCGGGCGGCTACTACGACTACGGCAAAGGAGGTGGCCCAGCACCAGACCCGTACTACGCCAATTACAATTACGGCGGAGCAGAGGATTGGGGACCAGAGTATCCGCAAGCGGCAGGAGGAATGTACCCTAACTACAACGTGGGCTACAAGGGTGGCAAAGGCGGGGGCGGCATGGACTATGCTATGCGCGCAGGCTTGCAGTATGAACTGGGTGGGAAGTCGAACCACTGGGCCGACCAGAAAGGGGCTTACGTTCCGGGCCCAGGCGCCGGCCATCGCGGGTACGCGCAGGCGCCGGTGGACAACGTCGCAGCCTACGGCGCCGCGTCCGGATACGAAGATCCCGGCATGCTTGGCCTGGGTCCCAACGCATGGGACATGATGGGTCTTGACGACTATCGACAAGGAAAAAACTGGGATGCCGGTAAAATGCATCCCGGATTGGGAAAGAAAGGCGGAGTAGGCAAAGCTCAAGTCACAAGGATGGGGCACATGCAGGCAGTGGGATGTCACAAGAATGTGGGGACTAATGCTTATCAATGGACTTACTAACTCCTGAACATCAAAGGAATGTGAAGGGATCCTACTGATATTGCGATAATCACTGAAAGAATAAAAACTACGTCGTCCTCGTACAACTCGTTGTACTTCTGGTGTTGCTGATGCACGACTTGGAATTGTACTTGCTTGATATGATGTGTAACATCTTCTTATCCATTGCGAAACGCGAAAAACTGTTGTACTTGTTGTATGTAACTGAGAACTCCAACTTGGTAGTTGGAGTTTTTTATGCGATCACAAAAATCAGACATAACATGACATGAAGATGATAGATATTCACAGGATGCATAGACATGCAGTTTAATGAAAATAATTAACGATGGAATTCTCTATCTAATGATGATCTCTCTTATATGTTGTACAGGGAGGACAACTGCAGGGCGGCTGCCTCTGTGAATACAAACACGACTACATACGCGCCACTAGCATGAAATGAAAACGAGTGGAGTAAAAATTTGAAATTTGTTTTCTACAACTAACATTGACATCTAATGATAAGGCATTGAACTTGAAGTATGTGCTGTTGCCGATGCTGAGGCTTTTATCTATTTTCTATCTTTGCCTCGAGATTGACAAACAGAAAGCGTCAGACATGGATCAAAAAACTAACGATCAATGATGATTAAGTTGAAATTGAATCAAAAACAGGTTGGAAACATAAACTATCGGGTGAGGACCACGTAAGTAGTCTTCGGCGACCCAGGTGATGGACCTGCGCCATAGTTAGACACGACCCTCGTACATGTGAGTGTGACGTGTTATTTGTAAGCCTGTGACAAGAGCCAAGAGAGGGCAACAAGAGGGGCGTAGAGTGGAAGAGAGAGCTGCACCGAGTGAGCGACAGACAAGACCGAGATAGGCTCGAAGCAGCTCTCCGAGTAGATACCCTTCTCATATCGATGAATTTTTTCTATAATGGCCAGTTTCTCAGATTGATTCTTGACCGAAGGGAGTGAGTAGGTGATTGGCGCTGTTTTTTTTCGATAAGTTGCGGTGGAAGTGATATACCGGACGGGCTGCAGGGAACACCCAGCTGCTCATGAGACCCGATGATGCACGAGAAGAATGAAGTCGTTCTTACTTACAACTACTCTCGTGCCTGCCGCTTAAGGGTGACATCACCCTCTATAGCGCTACGTGGCTGCCCCCGTTAATTTCTTGTGTGCTCCTGTGTGGTTTGATAGCTCGTGGCAAGGAGCGTTGGAGCTCAACAGGATGCGGCTGAAGCGTAGTGCTCGATCTCGATGTTGAGTTACTCAAGGACGTCGCTGGGGATGTCCTGAACGGATGCTAGCCTTGCTAGTGACGTGCTGTAGCTGTTTGAGGTAGAAGCAACTAGCCGCTTCTCAGCTGACCAGAGAAAAAACACACATATTAATCAACCTACAACTTTGTTTTGTGAAGCATCTTCTAATGTCGAACTACGCAGAACTACAAAAACTTCAATTTCAACCACAACCTACTTGAAGTACTCTTTACAACATTCAGAACTTTTACAACTAAGTACATCATTCAAGAAGTAGTTTTCCTCGCGGGCACCGCCACCAGAATCAAGTAGAAGATGAAGATGAACCACTACTACTACGACAAGGCGTATCACGTCGCACGTTCCAGACTGATAGGAGACTAAGGAAAAAGGCAGCAGCACAACTACAGAAATCCAAGTAACCGAATAAGAAGTTTTCCGGAAAGCCTCGTCGTCCAGTGATTGTGATATTGTACAACAGAACAAACGGAGGTAAAGAAATTGTTTCGATGAACCTCCCTCAGAAGTAGAAGATTAATACATCACTTGTTCGTTGTACTACAAGCACCAGAGGAAGATGGGAAAGTTAGCCTGCGATCTGGTGCTGATCGCGCTTGCGGTGTCAGTTCTCTTGGACCTGCTTGCGATGTTTTTACCATGGGGAGGCTGCCAGTCGGTTTCGGTATTCGGGCTGCGCTCGGCGAAATACTACCTGCTCCACATAATCGTAGAGCCTAAGGCTAGCATCGGCGAAAAAATGGGTATCTTCACCTTCTATTTTAAATGAAGATACGAATCCTAATACGTGATCTTCGTGGATGTTATAGAAATATACTACATCTCATGCGCAACTACTTGGTGTATCTATGTATTTGTTATTGATGATGTGTGACGTTCATGAACAAATAGCCTCTGTTGTATGCTGTCAGTGAGATGATTTGTGGACCACTCCATCAAACAAGTGCTTTCTTATATTATAAGTACCTCCACTCTCTCCATGTTGATGATCATTTTTTTCATGATCTGGTACAACATTTATTACATCAGTCGACATTACTTCGTTGTCCGGTAAGCGCGTTGCCTGTCCCTGGCCCACTGAGACTCCCTATTGCTACAAATTCTCGACGTACGACGCCTTCGTGGACGCATCAGCTTGGCAGGCGTTCGAAGGCTTCCTTTCGATGAATAGTTTAAGGCGTCCCCGAATCCATCTCCAGAAGCATCTCAGAGCTGTCGCGTAAGGCAAAAACAGGCTCGAGATGTCTCCCAAGATGGACGATTCAGGATGGCTCTAAATAGTCCTACGGCAGGAGCTGGGAATATGATGGCTGCTTTCTATGGCGGAGTGATCACCTTGCTCTTGTTGTTCGCCACAATAGTGCTCTTAAGGGCAGGGTTTAGGTGTTTCTGCTTCCGTTTGTTATGGCTCTCCTAAAGGAGAAGAGCATAACAAATGGGGGATAGAAACACCAATACCCTACCTCGAATGTTCCTAGTCATGAGTGGATGCTACCTGTTCCAATATTGCTACTCTCTGCGTCCTGAGAACCGGGGCAAGCGAAAATGGCGCAGGCTTGCTCAAATCCTGCTTTCTCTCGCAATCGTGCTCAACTTCGTCCTCCTCTGCGTGTGGCAGGGCGCGCTTTTGCTCATATCCAGGTACTCCTATACTTATACATAGATACCTATTCATATTCTGTAGACATGAAGTTTTTTCATCTCATCTGTGAAATAGGTTTTTAAAGACTATCTAAGGTTAATAAGGTTTGTCCATTTTGAGCGGATACCATAATACCGTGCCTCTATAGATGTGGGTTTCGTTGTACTTCTGTTTTTACTAGAACATACATGTAGATGAACAGAAAAAAGATGGATAAGTTTTACTTGATGAAGCTTTATCATCTCGTGTCGTGTGAATAAGAACCAATTAGATCTTACCTCTTGTCAGGCACATCAATCAATCAATCAATCAATCAATCAATCAATCGTGCAAGATGAAGCGAAGGAAACAAAGGCAAAGGATATATCTTCATCGCCCCATAATTCATTTGGCAAATATATATCAGGGACGTTGGCGTACTTGCTAACCTTGCGATGCTTCGCAGTGACGCCATTCCCGCAGAGGGCTGGATTCTCTCTTTGTTCAATCTGTTGCTTCTTGTGGGCGTACTTTTTTCGTATCGTACTTGGCGGTCACCCACTGCCGAAGCAGCGCAAGACGCAAATAGAGCTGCGCAAAGACAGTGGATTGGCGGAGGCCGTGGATTGATCAGTAGTCTCACTCTTACTAGAACAGAAAATGAAATTGAATGTCAATGTATGTGCACCTCCTCTATGTAGTACCTGAATGAAAGTGACATTTAATTTGATACACTAGTATCAACTTTAGAAGAACGCGGTGTAGTAGAACTAGAACGTTATAGGACAACTAGTAGTTTATTATGTAGTCTTACCTTTGTGTAGTTTGTGGTTTTTTCCCAGGGAGGTCTAGTACGTCCTCGTTCAGCGGTATAACGACTAAGTAGTACTTGCTGCCGTGAAAACGAAGCTCCTGCTCTTTCGCAAACAAAACCAGTTTGTTATGCATCTCCCCAAGAACACAGGTCGTGGAAGTGTAGCAACGCGAAAACAGCTGGCTTACGATTCGGATAATAACAGCAGTGACGACGAAAAGAGTTTTCTTTCAGATACTACGCTCTCGTCTTACCGCGGCCATGGCGGAGATTCGGACGAGTCAGTCTCGGAACCTGAAAGTGAAGACGATAATCGCGGCAGGCGAATACCTTACGCCTACAACAGCAATGGTACAACACGCGCGACGTTGCCGACAAATAAGGTACCACCACTTTCCCCATATTAGAGCTGAAAGAATATGACGGATACTCATGTTGATGTTGGTAGCACGGAGCAGTAGTAATGCTTAAAGAGTTAAATGTAAGCAGATGCGCGTTTTTTTGCGTTCAGGGGTTGCGTCAGAAGGTCTACCAAACACTGGTCTTAGTCCCATTTTCACACACTTTTTATGTGTATGTATCGCTGTGGGCGAACCCTTCTCGTCCGTAGCTCCAAATTTAATATCGCACTCTCTGAAGCAGATTCGGCCCCTGGTGCATGGGCGGGCGACGCGCAGTATAGGACACGAGCATCACGAAGTATATCATGTTCACGGAAACCCGCGAGCGAACGCCGCAACGTATCACAATTATAGTGTACCTTACAGTGGGGTCCCGCTTGCAAACGGGTCAGCGTACGGACATCATCAGCCGGTCGGCTACAGTGGTCACAGAGGGAACAATAATTCACACCATCAGCTGCATGCTGCGAACTTCCATCGAGGCATGCGAAACACCGGTCCGATGGGTGTGTCCTCTGACCACCAACAGCGGCCTCGAAATTTGATGGGGACGCGCGCACAGGCCGCGAGAGGACACGGAGGATACCATAATCTTGTTCCACTACCGTGCGCGCCACCCCCATCAAAGACCAGCCTTAACATCGCTCGAAAGGCGGCCGCAAAAGCGGGTGACCCAGGCTCGACGAGCGGGGAGGCAGGCAACTCGGTCACAACGATTATGATGTTGCGAGTGAATTAATATTTATCAATTATAAGTACTTACTTATATAGTTTCGTTTGTTTCCTAGTTAGGTGTGCTCCACCGATATTATAAGTACTTACTTATATTATAGTCAAATTCTAATAGAAGGCCTGTGAGCCTTGTGTAGGACACAGAAAGAGGGTCCGCTATTCTCGAAACTACTCGTGGTGTCGACAGAGGGTTGACATGCCAATCAACAACCAAGTCTAAATTTAACTGAAGTCAAGCACCATCAGGAGAATTAACTACGAACTCTGCATGCCATTACGACCTTTCGTCTAGTTCAAAACGTCGTTCTAAAGCTTGCGGTGAAGGCAGCTCATCTGACTCTTCGCCCCGTGGTGGACCAGTATCGCCGTTTCCAAGACGCTGGTCGAGGACAACTTTTTCTTCTCCATTCTGCTCCTCCTCATCCGAAGCCCAGCGACTCTGGCAGCAACAGCACGGAGCAGCGTATCCACCAGGATCGTATTCTTAAGGGTTTCCGAATTACATCATCCACTACCATCCTTGGTCTCTAGTTTTCTAGTAGGGAAGAGGCTAAGGATGTTCTGAGGTATGTAATTCTGCAACCTCTAATATTCTGGAGGAGGTGCACGAGCAAACAACAAGTTTCACAATGTATATGCTGTTAAGGCACGTCAAAATGGCTGCTCAACGCTTAGTGGTTCGTTCTTGCTTATAAATTGCAAGAGAAAGAAGTAAATTCATATGTTTTACTCATCAATTACTTTACTAGTACTAGAGTGGGTTATGATGTTGCTGCTCGAGGAAAGTGAGTTTTGGTAGTGCAGCAGCGTCTTAAATTTCTGGATAGAAGTACGCATTATTTCCATACTTTGCATTTCTAATGGCGCGTCGCCGTTCGACAATGCGCATGTCGATAGCGGGATCAGCGGTGCAAGTCGAGCCAGCAACAGTCACGCCGCAACGTCAGGTAGCAGTTACAATATCCAGAGTCCGCCCACAGGTGCCTACCACGCGAATTTGCAGAATAGTAACAACCTACACTTAAGGCTAGTTAATCACTATCGCCTGTGAACTATGCCGAGTGGACCCTCCCTTGATTTAAAGGTGAAACTAAGGGGAAAAAAGGTGAACTCACTCAACCAGGGATAGTGAAAGACTACCGCTAACCGACAGTGGCGGGAAGCTCATTGATCCCCGCGCTTCTTACTCTGCTCAGCCCGGCGATACTACTCGCTACGCGTCGATAATGAAGGTGTAAGCCGTGTGTATTTCATCTTCCTGCTGTTTACCTTAAACTACATACGATACTAACACTTAGAATTGACAGTCTATTTCTAACAACATGAAGACGTACCTACCAATCGTAAAGTTGTGCCCTTGCTGTAGGTATTTTAGAGAATATAGGAAGTGACCCCGTACTACTTTGACTAGTGTGCGTGGTCGAGCACCTTTACATCCCACTCGTATAAGTAAAACCGTATTTACTACCATTCCATCCTAGTAACCCTTTTGTCCCTGCCATTCAGTGTTGTACCTGTGCATCCACCTCTCAAGCTTGTTTGGGAGGATCCCCTAGAACAACTCGCGTGATCTACGACGACAGCTTTTGTTACTTAAGTACACAAAAATTCTTAAACTACTGTGAACTGTCCACACTCGCAATGAATAATTGTAATTGTTGAATTACAACTTCGTCCTGTATGTACGAATAAGTAGAATCAATATAGCGATGAATATACAACCAGATCCACCACAAAATTCGGAGTTTTCATTTTGTGGGACTTTATTTTTGTGTTTCTTTATCTCGGAGTTCACAAAGATAGAACCGTTCCAGAAACACTAATACATAGTTACATGATTGATGAGCCCAAGTCCATAAGTATATTCGACTACATAGGAGACTAAGACCAATTGAAGATATTAACATCATGTTAACATCAGGTCTAGATCTAGTCCATCACAAAGACGTATGATGATGATCAGATCTAGTCCCGCATCATATCAACATCATGATCTAACTCAATATAACTCCCCGTCAGTGGTCAACATTCTACTTAATGCTTATCCTTCACTGGTAGGTTTGGGACCATGTTGACCTCCTGAGCATGAAAAAACCTTTCTTTGAGAATACAGCCTTTGTTAAGAACTTCTGGTTTGAGATCAAGAACCGAAATTTTCGAATGTATGTTTTGAAACTTATCCGGAGCAGCATAAATTGAAGAACCATTTATTCCTCCACACTCCTCAAGCTCAAGAACTAGTACATGTTGGATGAATAAGGTCCCCTTATCACAGTGGCACCCCGAATGCAGCTGTACTGACATGAAGATAGATGGATCGGCGGGCACATCATCTGCGACTTGGATGATAGTACAGGTACGGAATGTCCTTGTTCCTTGCATGTGCGAGAAACCATCCCGTGCTTAATTCATAGGGCTGAGGCGGAAGTCTTGCTAAATCTGAATCGGCATCGAAGCGAAGCTTCGTGTGCGTCACACGAACACAATGACTTGCCACAATGTACTCGGTCTTGCAGACACGAGGCTGAGGCTGAAAGCGCACTAGAACCGAGTAAGCACCTTTCCAGTTTGCTGCAAAAAATACAAACGTTACCTTCGGAGGAAATAGAAGGTTCTGGCAGAACTTAACTCTGTTGCTGTCGAGCTTAAGTCTGTCCCTCACAACCTTTTCCTGCAAAGTGAATCTGAGGCTGATAGAGGCGCTGGTTCTGTGTCGCCACAGGTCGGTGAGAGGCAACGCCGAAATACAAAAAGATATTTTCTGTAGTTTATTTCTTTTCGGTTCATTTTAATTTTTTTGCACTCAGTCGTTTTTGCAACTATCCGATGATTGATTCATGTATGTAAGGATGAGGTGGGTATGGCTTCTGGTTCGATCTAGCTACCCGCGCATCGTTGTATCTATGGATCCATCTAGCTAGCTAGTATCTATCTATGCATGAGTCTCTTTATCTATCGCGGTTTTTATTGGAACATCCTTCGGGATCCTATCAGGAGCGGTTTTGTTTTGTCCATGGTAGAGAGTGACCATTTGAGACACCATGATGATGTATGATGGAACTGCGAGGATCCCCACCCGATGCAGATACATACGGACGACACAAGTCATTCTCCTATCGATAGAGTTTTTCGTTTTGCCTTTCCGCAATTGTTGTTCGGAAATTACTCTAAATCAGTGTGCTTGTACTGTAGAGCAGCATGATTTGCTGGTGTTGTCGACATGGAAGATTTGTGTTTATTCCTTCACATCTTCGAATCACTTCTGAATCGACGACGAACTACAAGAAGTAGAAGCTGTTCTTCCAGCACGACTCGATATCATGGTGAGTCTAGAAAAGCAGGCAGGTAGATTGGGATCGAAGGTGCGCCGCGCTGGTTCCCGCGCTTCATCGCTTGCATCGTTAGATAGTCCGAGCACTTCGAAAACCATTACGCTCGCCAATGCAGAGTCACAGCCAGCAGACACGGTAAGTCATTAGAATAGAAGTATCCATACTTGCACTTCCACTGGTACTGGTAATATTAGAGAAGTGTAATGTTGTAGAATGATACTACTTTGTAGCTGCGGTGCGATAGGATCCATTGGTTCACGATCTCTTAAACTTAATCAAATCTTCAGGTGCACTTTCGTATGAAATAGACCTGCGAACAAGAAGAAGTAACTAAGAAGCCGAACAAAAATGACGATCATAAGCTTCAAAAGGGTGCCTGGAATGTGTGTTAATATCAGTCTTTCTTGTATTAAGTACATTGAAACAAGAAGCTCTCATTTGCAGACGCAAAGTAAATCCTCACAGCGTCTCGACGGATCTTCTGTTTTTCCTCGAACCTTTGACGATGAACTCCTCCGAGGCGGCTCTTTGGCGAAAGCGTCTTCCCAGGTGTCCATGGAGCGCATGTTAGAGCCGGATTTGTACGACCGTTTGCAGGAATCGGCTTCACGAGCGGTCTCCAAAATTACGGCTATAATCTTGTGGAGTATCTCGTCTACTTTTGGACAATCTGTACGACAACGTGCATGATCTTACCTTGCGTCTACTTGCACTAGTCGACGAGCCTTACTAATTATAACAGTGCGCTCCTTCCAGAACATCTCATGGCTACGCACTTTCTTCTTCAAAAGAACAGGAGCTAAAAGATGATCTAAAAGGTGGGCAGCTGTTGTTACCTCTAACAAAACGGCTTTTCTCAACACTGGTGCTGGATCTGGGACGAACATCGGAGCGGCGAGTCATCTTCCCGTGGAAAATACAACTGTTCCATCTTTTATTAATAGTACTAGTGCCAGGGCTCCTCCTCGTCTGGCAGGTGGAGCAGCAGCTGCGTCTACTGCTGGTGGCGCGGCCACCGTTGGCGGGATGAATGTAGTTGGAGGTAATCTTACTAGCCTTAAGGGCGCGACCGCGACAGGGCTGCACTCGAAAATGAGTACGCTAGACGACGGTTTCTTCGATTCAGGAGATGAAGATTCTGTCCCGAAAAGCAAAATGATCATCCTCAATCACGGCTCGTCCACGGGAACTATAGGTGTCGTGCCCACTTTGCAGCCCACTTTATCCGTGCCGGCCGCATCATCTGATGATATTAATCGGGCTCGGGCGGGGGAAGATGCTTCATTTGTAGATCAACAGTCTTCTAGTCGTCTTGGTCTTCCTGGTGAAGGAGCAGACCGGTGTGGAGACCGTACTCGACCGACAGAAATTTCAATACACGCAGTTGTGGAGGACATTCTTCACAGTCCGATGTTCCGAGAGGTTGAACGTGGCGGCATGCGGTATCTCCAAGTAGACGAAGAAGAAGCCGACCGTGTAGGATCCCGCGTTGGGGAAGCCATCGAGTATCACAGTCCCCCGGGAACCATTCTGCACCGTCGCGCGCCAAAAAGAAATGACGAGAAGGACGAGGGTGGCGCTGGCGGCTTTTTACCTGCATATGGATGATGTGTTTTCCATCTGTAAGACCATCGAGATCGAGGCTGCTCCTTTTCGCCTTGGAAGTTTATACATTTAGGTAAAGCTAAAAGGGGGGCCTCGATGGTCTGCCTAGATAGAGAAAACGCCGTTCATACTGCAGTTGGATTGGCTAGCGGCAAGCAGGAAATCGAGCGCATTCAAAGAGAGCAGGCAGAGCGAGAGCTGCGGCAATTGACCTCATTGTCAACACCGGACAAAACCCGAAATAGTACCTCAGCACCGGGGATGCAGGGCAAAAACATGAGAAGTACGCGACCAGGCATTGGGGGTACTACTTCATTGCATATCAATGAAGGCCTAATGGGAACCACGAGTGATGTTCTTACCCAGCCCGCTCGCGCGGAGACGGATGGCTTCTTCTCCGGGGGGACCAGGGTCGTAGATATCATTATGATCATCTATCTCGTATTTTTTCTGCAGATTTTTCATACAATTGTAACGAATTCCTGCTCGACGTCATGATACAACCACCATATTTTGGCGCTACACGATACCGACAAGTGCTTTATCACGCTTTACGTTTTATTTCTGAATACCGGAGCGCTTCAGAAGAAGAAGTATCAACAGTAGTGCGGTCTTGCGGTACAACATAGCGCTTCTATCTTCGTTTTGATCCATCTAATTCTGATAGCAAGCCATATTATTCGCCACTGATTTCACCCTCCCGGCGGCAGCCGGACACGCCTCTGCTGCAGCAATCTCCGTCATATCGGGCTCTGGGGCAGTTCCCAACGAATCAGAAGGCCAAAGCTCCGAGCTATGTAAGCCCCGAACGTCGCTTACAAGTTTTGCAGACTCTCGAAGGCAAGCGACAGGAGCGTCGAAATGCCGAGAAGACACCACTGGATTAAGAAGGGCGCTCTGTTTTGATATTGATCGAAGATGGATCGGGGATGTCCAAATCCGATATAGTGGGTCTTGATGGTGATTTTTTTGTTTTCGACAAAGAGAAAAATATGATGCTGCAGTCATCTAAATTAAGTACGTAAATACAAGTCCTATAGAATTAGAAATTGCTTCTCGTCTTTCATTCGTGAAGAACGGATGAAGCTAAGCGTGAGATCAAGCGCATTGCCGACGGAGTCGCCACGTTCGAAAAAGTAGGTGATTGCCTACCTGAGGTTGGTTCACCACCACCAAGGATGCCTCAGTTTCGACAGTGCAGCAAAGAGCAACCAAGCGAGCTCCTATATGCCGGAAAGGTCGAACAGATCAAAGCCGAAGCGATTAATGGTCGTGCGCACATTTCACCTTGGTTTTCGACTGAGGGACGCAAGATGCACAAAAAGCTCTCCTTGTCATTTTTATGTACTCAGTAAAAAGTAGCTAGAGGGTTGTGAGCGCATGGGCATTGGATCTGCAGTTCGTGAAGACGACGGCGACTAAGTAATCAAATTCAAAATCTAATTGTTGTCTCCACGACTTGTGGCCTTCATGCGGAACTTTTCTCTAATTTTCCTCGCAGACCGGTACGATTATGCAGACAGAACAGCGATCAAGCACGAGGAAGTGAAGCGGTACTCGTTGCTGTCGCAGTTGAGACACGCGAAAGCTGCAAAGGGGAGCCACATGCAGTCAGAGAAAGAACCTGGTAGAACCAGCGAGACACCAGTGTTTCGACAGATTGAGTTTCTCTTGCAACACGCGTCTTCGCTTCCGAATGAAGAAGCGACCACGATGTATAGTAGGGGGGCTGACCCGAGCGCGGTGGCGCTGCAGCAGGCTAGTACCTCACCCAAAAGCGGTCGAAGCCCAGGTGGGGCGAGGGCTGGTACTACCGTAACTTCTTTTCCCTATGTATTCGTATTTGACGTGCACTCAAAGTACTATCTTTATGTGTGGAAGAGCTTCGTTTTCAAACGGAATGACCAAGCACATTCTTCATTGCTCCTTCAAGAAATCGAATTTTCGATTTCGAGTTCTTCAACAAATATGCTTGGACGTGATGCCAGCTGAGGGTGTCAAGACCGAACTCTTTCAATTTCCAAACTCAACATAGAATTGAAGCCTGCCGAGGGTTTGACCGAACTCTTTCTACCGGTGTCTATTCCCGGCCGCACGTTACGTAACTGCACATTGGAGCCACCGCCAGAATTGCGGTTCAATTTTTGCGACATGGAAGACTACGAGTTCCTAAACCGCTTGGTGGTCAAGGAACGTGAATTGATAGCCATGAAAAAGCTCATGGCATTGTACTTATGATGAACGATGGTCGTTCCTGTTATTATTTTGACCTAGAGAGGACTGACATTGATGTTGATGCGAATACAACTCAGTTCCATGATTTCACCTACTTCAAACGCACCAAACTTTTAAATCAATAGATGAATAGTTAAATACAGTCCTTTATTTCCGGCATAATTTTTTCATTCATCTTCGATGGAGTGACTACACGACCACGATCATTATTATCTACTTACTAAATTAGTGCCTTCTAGGATCATGCGGACCCGCGTCTTTCATGGATTGCGTACTCACTTTCGCGTGGATATTCGTGTTGGGAATTGTACATGACGCGAAGTCTTTGTTAAGGGTTGGAAGTTGGCCTCATCTCTATGAACAACATGTCTATGGCAGGCCTGTCCAAGTAGGAAATCCATAGATATACGAGCTAGAGGTAGAGCGGTCAACTTGGAACCTCTAACTTTGGGCCCGCTTTTGTCTGGACTGCGGGTTGGTGCATGAGAGGTTGGCGCCGTATCATTGGGTTCTACAAGTCTTCGATGAGTATTATGATCGTAGTGCTCGATGATTTATTTAGATTTACATTTTGCTTTTGAGCAAATACAAAGGGGAAACTAGAAGTAGCTCCTCCTCTTCTTCAGCTTTGGAAACAGTTCTAGCTCTACCAGGGTTTCTTTTGAGTACTACAGTTCAACTGTGTGTTACGATGATGTTGAGGAACTAAAACGAGAAATACTTCTCCTGCTGAAACGAGCTTCGCTGCTTTGCTAAGAATATGCGGAGAGCGCGAAGCAACAGACATTGTTTTTGGAGACACAGAGCCTGAGAATGGTAGAGGATCCGACAGGTTGGGGGCGCGCGGTCCAATTACAGTCTCCGACGGAACAGGCTCATTTTGGCGGCAACGCCTCTTCCACTCTACTAGGAGGTGCCAGCAATGGATCGAATAACAATAAGGTTCAGCTTCCGGCAGTCCAGAGTGTTGCCGCCTTGACTACATCAACACTTCTGGGCGGGATGTCGTCCAACAGCCCGCTTCGGGCAGCGGGTGCAGGAGGCTCCAGATCGTCAAAAGACCATCATGAGCACGTTCATCAGGGAGTTGTCGACGGTGTCACGCTGCGCGCGACAGGAACGCTGATGGGTCCGGACGTCTCCTTTTCCGAAACTGTGCACAATTCTCCACCAACAAACCGAACATTAAGGCCCACTGTATTTCATTTATACAGCGAGTCATTTCTCGTAGTTTCCTTCTTGGGAATTTGAAGAATTGAACCTAAGAAATAGAATGTTTTGAGGTCTAAGAACACGGAAAAACGCTTCATCTGCCTCGCCGAAGAAGACGCTTTCGCGTGCTGGCTCCTCGAGTCCCCTTAAGCAAAAGGTCATGAGCAACTCGGCGTCTCCAGCAAAGAAATCGTTCGCAAACGCAGTGCGCAGTTCTGTTTTGGGCCAAGCAGCCGGGAAAAATCTCTTTGGCGCTTATGTCCTCCACTCGAGTCTTCCTCACTCTAGACTTCGCGTGTTGAACCGTTGTAATATCGCTGAAGAGTAGTTGTAACTACCTAAAATTTATCTGCGTCTTTGCAGATCATAAAGGTATCTGACACTTGTCTCTTTCCACGCACTAGTAATTCGTACAGATTAAGGGAGAGTCATACACCGATAAGAAGCTGCTGGTCCCAGAACCAAGGAGTGTTTGAAATTCGTAACTAAACGATTGTCTATCCCTCCATGCGCAGGGCTTCGTCTTTACTAGACAATTTTCGCATATTTTTGTTTTCTAACAAGCAGGTGGCAAAAATAACAAGTCAGCAACACAGTTGCCGAATCTTTTACAGGATCCTCTCGGGGCAACTGTCAAGGATAGTGCATTTCCCAGCAACTTGCCACGCATTGGAGCCAGCTTGGTGGCTGATGCGCCATATCAAGGAGCATCAGCGGGCGGCACACCAGTATGGATATTCGAGTTCTTTTCATCTAATGTGAGCAGACCATCTCGGCACCTTCTTTTCCTGCTCTTGTAGCTGAGAAACACGGGAGGTGTGATTGTGTAGCCTAGATGGTCAGCCTACTTATATGGAGATGATAGAGCTTCTGTGTCATCACCAGGAGCGGACACGGGGGCTTCGGCGGGTGCGCGAGGCTGGAGCAAGAGCAAGAGCATGACCGCTGTGGATTTGGCAGCGGAGTTGCTGCGTAAAGCGGAAAGTGGCAGAGGTAAGGAGGCCAGGCTAAGGGGCGGGCAACAGGTAGTGCAGCGGGACGACAGCAAAAATCCGCGGCCGACCAACATCTACGCGCGACTCTTTTACAAGAAGAAACGCAGCATTCAGGAAAGGAGAAAACGCAAAGAACTGGAGCGCGAACTGAAACAAGAACGTAAAAAATTAGAAACGCAAAGGAAGAGTCTATTGGCACAGCAGGCAAGCCGTGAGGGTCGCGGTGGGCGACGTCCCTCAGACGACGCTCTAAATGAAGAAATAGCAAAACTAAACATGATGCTTGAAGGTACTTTTGCTCAACTTGATCCAGAAGGAATTATTCAGCTCTCTACACTCTTTTCATAAAGTGGCTTTGCTAGCTTCTGCTTGTTAGATTCATTTCTATTTTTATTTTCACGTTTTCTTGTATAATTTAGATCTTGCGTTGTACTGGTTCTTTCGGGGTTAATCCGCAGCTTGGCCAGTCGGTGTTATTTTACGTATACTTAATTTCACCAGGGAAGGCGCAAGAGTATTATCCGATCGATGAGGACTCCGATGCTAGCGATGACGATTTGCGGGCTAGTGGTCGAAGCCTGAGTGGACCACAAGTTCTGTACCCGAAAAATTTCGCTCGCGCGGTGATCAAAGTCGCTCGCCAGTTCTACGCTAGCCGTGCGGAGCTGCAGACTATGTTTTTCGACTTCGATGAGGAAGAAAATAGCAGTGACGAGGAAATGCGCGAGCAGCGTGGCAGCCATGTTAGTGCAGGCGGGGCTAGCCATCACAGTGGCGGTCCTCTAGGTGGCGGCCACAGCAGCCATGGCAGCAGCTCCTACGCACGACTCGGCTCCAAATCCTCGTTGCAAACTGTAGGAAGCGGCACGTCGCCCACACTTAAGGCTGTACTTAATTCATCTCTCACTGCATCCTTGAAGCGTATGGCAGAGTATTCCAGCCCAGGACGATCTCTGTCATACTTTTCAAGGATGCACTTGAAAGATGAACAGTTACGGACAGTTCTAACACACGGCCTGCGACTGGAGCGTCAGCAACGTCAACGACCGCTGCGATGTATGAAAAGAAAAAGTCTACTCATCCTCAAAAAACTACCTACATTCTAAGTAGGGAAATCAAATGCCTCTTTTCTTGAGTATGAGTGCGTTTTTTCCTTTCATGCGATGCTATCAACGGGAAGTGGGCCAAGGCTGCTTGATGTCGAATGGAAGTTGCCTAGCAATCCTCTGATCACTAAGATATTCTTCCGAGATGAGGTCACGACCGACGACTCGTTGCGGCATCTACTTCAGGGATCGCTCGACATGACGTCCAGCACTATATTATGGGAAGAAAACTCAGTTGAACTTTTTCATAAGGTCTTTTTTCATCACGACACCTATGTATATTTTCTCACAGGAGTCAGGCACTGCAACCCTCCAGGAGAGCCACCGGTGACAACCAGAGTTGACTTGTGCTTTTCTGGTACTCACGACCTCGTCTTCCGTTTCTAATTTCAATGACCGCTGCTGCGTCTGTAGGAGGAACCACGACAACGACATCGAGCGGGTTTGCGCGCGTTTCGCCAGGCAGGCAAGATCACGAACAGCGGATGCGTCTAGCCTTGGAGCAAAACCGCAAAAATCTGTGGCGTAATCGTCGTATTCGCAACTGCTTCCTCGAGCCTGAAGTAGTGCATTTGGTTTGCGCCTACCTCGAACTGTTCCAGATTCTCTTTGATGCATACCGTTAAGGCCTAGTTATCTGGGCTCCTAGATGAACATAGATGCTCTAGATTCTACTTTGATGTGGTTCGACCTAATTATCACGATTTGCGATGCAGGGTGTGTGACCTACACCAGTCTAGTCCTTTCATCATTATCACGATGGTGAGTATTTTTGCTGTGTCGTGGCCAAATTGACAGCGCACCCTCTGTTTCTTTTGTTACTTTATGATCGATTGCCGGAGCACCCACCTTCGCCGTCACACCAATCATCATTGGTGAGGCTACTTCGACTACTCCACTATCAATCTGAGTACACTTTTAATATGTTGTAGTTCAAAGTAGACATCTCTGGACTACTTTCCTCATATACATGTAGTTCAACTCCTGCTGCTCTAATACTTGGAGAATGCAGACGACGGTATTCCTCTTGACAATTTTTTGCTGATGTGCGAGGATTTTGAGTTGGTGCCCAATTTCGGTTCCTTGCATGCTTTCACCTGCGCTTACAAGAATTCGGAGTGTGCGGAAGAGCCGGAAAGCCCACGAAACGAGGTCACCAAGCAATTAAAAGCTACACCACCCTTCGCGCCCGAGCAAATACCATGGAAACTGCAACCATTTATAGAGTGGTGCGGGGACCAGGTGGGTCTTCTCAATATTTTGTGCTCCAGCTGGATTATAAGAAGATCTGTTACTGAGTACTTAATTAAGACTGAGTTGCTGCCGCTAAAGTCTCGTTTTGACGTGGTCTCCTTTCTTCGTGTGCATGACGGGTAGGTTCGAAAAGCGAACGTGTTTGTTGCGGAACTGCTAGCTTCGTCCAACATATCTTGTTATCATGTGTGTAAGTAGTCTTCATTCTGCTCTACGTCTCTCTCGCTCTCAACATCAGAAACTTCAAAAGCTGACGGGAGAGGCGTTTTGGCACTTTTTGTTCGGAAGCCGCGTGACACTAGTGGATTTCACAAAGTTTGAATCTTCTGTAACAAACCCCAGCAGTACGCAGGGAGAGTTGGGGAGTCGCAAGGTGCTTGCGTCTTGGAAAGCCTTGATTTCCTACCGAGTGAACAAGGAGTTAGGGGCACCCGGCAGCGTGTACGAGCGTGGGATGGTTCTGCCATCGCGCGCAGCCGGACGTGGTCTTGCGCCCCTGGACCAAGACGGGCTAGACGGCGATGGGGCCGCTACGACAGGATCCTCTGTGGCAGCAACCATGAGTGTGAATGGCGCGAACTCATCTTCCGGCACGTCGTCGCCGCCGCAGCGACGGCGCGCGAGTGTAGATGCAGGTGCTCTTCAGAGCGTCGCCAACAGCAACTCAGGCGCCAACAGCGGCCAAAGTTTGATGGCTGGTTCGAGCAGCAGTGGACCGCGTGGACTCTTCGGATCAGGGAATGCCTCCCAGAATCGCCGCCCAACGCAAGGTGCGAGCGAGCCCGTCGTACCGGTGATGCCCGAGACTCGGCTTACGGAGTTTCTGGAAAAGAGCACGTTTTGCGCAGTCTTGGATCCTCTCTTACGAGAACTGAGACTTCGCGAGCAGGCGGCTGCTGCAACGAACAATGGGCCTAACAGCAAGGAAAAGTCTCCAGCAAAGCGTCGTGCCTCCACTGGGGACATGATGTCGGCAACCGGCACGGGTCGTCGCGCCTCTCTGTCCTTAGGATCCGCACCAAATGCAGGCACCAACGGCGATAATTCTACAGGGAGTCCCTCGGTGGGAAATGCGGGCCCTTCAGGAGGAGGAGTCATGGGAACGCAGTCCATGGCCGTTCGCCCACGTCGCGGCTCTGTAAGTGGGGCTCTAGAAACCGTCGATTCGACCACGTCCATACCCGTTAGTGGAAAGCGCATGAGCGTTGGCGCTCTAGGAAAAACCCTGACATACGTCAACCGCGCAAAAGCAGGCCTGCGGCGTGGGTCGTATCTCAGCAGCCCTGATAGCGACTTGGAAAGCAGCTCAGAAGACGAGGAAATGCAAAAGCCTGATGCTATGCGAGAGAGGACTAAGACACGACTAGAATAACGATAGAAATCTTTCTTGCTAGCTCCTTGATGTTTGCACCACAATAAGTAAAAGTAGGTCCTTTTAGTAATGAAGTTCGCAAATGAACATCTTCACCCCATGCTTGAAGAGGAGCATTAAGCTCAAAATATTTTTTTTATCCTTCTCCTCTGTCTCTTCATAGTTCCAGAACGGGACAGATCGGACCCAGCAGTTTTCAGGGCTTTCCTGAAAAAACGATGCTCTACCCTTTCGCGCGCATGGAACCTGATGTGCGGCAAAAATCAGGGACGATCTTTCGCAACCTGGTCCGAAGCCAAATCGCAAGAACGCAGAGTCGGCGACACTTCGAAGAGCTGTCGCACAAACAATAGTCGCACTTTTTATGCCCCGTCTGTCAATTCGCATTTCTCCATGAGGATCATTTTCATGATCTACTTCTGAACGCTTGTGTCACATAGTTGACGTTGACTGATACCAACAAGCTTAGAAATTATCCAAAGTAGGACAATGGGCTTCTTCTATCGTCGAATTTCTACGTCAGAAAGAAATTGCTTGAGCTACTCGCAATTCAAGCAATGAATAGTACTTACTCATTTCTAATGTTTTTCTTACGACGAATTCGAAGAGATCCTTATCGACCGGATGAAGTACACCACTGAAAAATCTGTGGTGTTGAGCCTTTTCCGAAATTTGGACGATGATAATTCGCAGACGATTTCGATTGACGAGGTGCGTCCGGATCGAAAAACCAACTTTTTCCTAGCGGCCTTTATCGAGGCGATTTTGAAGCCCGTGATGGTCAAGATGGTATACGGTGGAAACCCAGTGGTGCAAGGAGGAATGACGTAACAAACTTTGTGAATACATACTAGCTTGGAGCGCCCGATAGCAACCCCTCGCGCTAGGATTCCCCTCCTCCCGAAGTAACCCAGGGAACTACAGGCAAAGCAATGCCTTAATATTAAACAACTACGCTGAAACTCAATCTCTTGGATTTGAATCCCTCAAATTTCGAAGCTTTTCGCATTATTTGTTCGCTTTGGGACGGATTAAATTCGCTGGGTTTGAATCTCTCCAATCCCAAAATTTTTGATTTTATGCGTTTCCTCTGGGCCTCAACTTCCTGGCTTCGAATTTCTCAAATTTGGGAACTTTCCTCATTATTTTGCTCCTTGGGGATTCAATTCGCTGGATTTGGATTTCTCAAGTTCCAAAATTTTTGATTTTAAGCCTTTTCTCTGGAATTCAATTCCCTGGATTTAAATCTCTCAAATTTCGAAGCTTTCCTTATTATTTTGCGCCTTGGGGATTAAATTCGCTGGATTTCTATTTCTCAAATCCCAAAATTTTTGATTTTACGCATTTTGTTGAAATTCAATTTCCTGGATTTGAATTTCTCAAATTTCGAAGCTTTCCGTATTATTTTGTCGCCTTGGGATTGAATTCGCTGGCTTTGAATGTCTCAAATCCCAAAACTTTGGATTTTACGCAGTTTCTCTGAAATTCACACTCCTGGATCGTGAGCTCCTGAGTTCATGAGTTCGCGAGTTCATGAGTTCAATCATGAGCTCACGAGTTCAGCACTCATGAGCTCACGAGTTCAGCGCGAGTTCATGAGTTCGTGAGCTCATGAGTTCATGAGTTCGTGGCTCATGGTTTGTGGTTTGTGTCTCGGAGGTTTGGGGCTTGGGAGTTTTTTTGTCGGAGGTTGAGGGTGTGGGTGTTGGAGGTTCGGGTGTTGGAGGTTGAGGTTTCGGAGGAAAGTGTTTGCTGAATTTTGTTGCTCTTAATATTTAATCTGATAAAAAAGAAATCATGTGACGAGAATTTTATCTGTGTTGAATAAGCACAATTACATGAGAGATTCATTTGATTTTGGTTCTTTCTTTATCTTTTCCCAATTATTTCCGTTCGTTCCATCATGATGAATTGAAATCAAGGTATTTAAAGCTGCTGCTGTTCTTGGCCCATATGAAGCGGGTGGTGATAAAGAAGGCGAAGGAGCTGCGGAGTGGAGGGTTGACGCCGGAACAGATCTTGTCGCCCGCTTTTGAGCCCACAACGTCGGACGAAGAGGAAGAACGCGAGTGGATGAAGCGCAAGATGTCAGCCAGTAGTTTCACTTCCGGCGTCTCGCCAAGTAACCGGAAGTCTACTCAGAAACAAGATCAAGACGCACCGGGTAATAGTGCAGCTGCAACTAGCAATGCTCTGGCAGGCTTAGGGCTCAGAATAATTCATCTTCACAGGGGAGTACCCTATTGTTCATTCTTGTCTCAGATTCATCCTCTTCGTTTTCTTTTTCTAACACTATGAACATAAGATAAGGTGAGTTATTGTGTTAAGTTCCAATAGGTGCAGCAGAAAAAGTTACACGATCGACTTCTGGAGAGTCATCGAATACACTCAACGAGGGAACAGAGGGCGCTGAAAGACCAAAAGCTGTCCAATGGACACCAAATCGCAGATCTGGTAGAAAGGTCACCGACAAATATTTTCGGCAGGACAAGGAGTTGAAATCTCTTGCGACTCGTAAGGAGCAGACCTATGCGGCTAGTAAGGTACTCATTACTTCTCCGTAGTAGTATACATTTAGTGGTCGTTGAAGTAGATCTTCATGCTCGCGTTCTTCGTGGGACTTCTTGTTCTCAGTTACGGAATTGTGTTGCTGCTTGTACGAGTAGTGTTTGAGTTTTTACCACATAGAAAATACAGTGCACTGATCAAGATACTTCCCACAACTTATACTTGTTCAACTACTTACTACTTCTAGGTGTCTCGCTTACGTGCGTCATTATTGAAGTTGAAAAACTTTAATTGGGAAGACCCGGCAATGGTGGACTCGAGATTACACGCAGATCCAGTGATGAACAACAGAAAACCACATGCGCCACGAGACTTGATACACAAAGATCAGGGAATTCATGATCGCTATCACGAGCTGAGTCGGCAGCTTGTTATCTCATCTTCTTCGGACTCGAAAACGTCCCTAAGCGGAGTCTCATCGATGACGTCACCTGCAATTTCAGGTTATGTTGCACGGTGATTGAATTCTACCTAATATATACATGTCATAGATATAGCCAACAATGAATAATAATAATTTTCTATTTCTTGAGATTCACCCGTTGGTTCCCTTCACTAGTACAATACTTTCTGAGTTTGCGAAACCAATCGCTTCTAACAAGTGATAACCGTCTCAGTAGGGTCTCGCTCCTCTGCGGGACCTCCAAAGGTGTGCGGGTATTGTGGCCACACGATATCCAAGGCAGGATGGGGCAATCTCTTCTGCATTTGCTGTTCCTGCTGTACCGAAGCGATCAACAAGGGAATTTATCCCTTACTTTTATGGCAGATGCATAGCACAAGTTGTACAACCTCTAGCTTTCTTATTATAACAACTAACTGCAGGTGAGTAGAAGGAACTAGAAGAGCATTGCGCGATCGTGCGAAAATGCTCATAGCACGCGGTCATTTTTATAAAATGTAACACAAATACGTTAATAGGGAAATCTGACGCACGTTGCCGCGTAGATTGAGATCATCACGAATACTTTCGTCAGGCCCTGTTTTAACCCAGACAGCTCTAAGACAACCGCTTTTCCATAGTAACTGCACGGCATCTCCGCTCTTTACGGAGCAGATTGCGCCATCCCGTGCGGACGTTTGGCGATCCCAAAGTACCGCGAAGCCTCGCATATCAACAATCGAAGGGCACTTCTGAGCGAGGAAGGCATTGGCAAATAAGACAATAAAAAGGAATAAATATTATTAGATACTTAATACTCGTCGTGTAGTTTTGAATTTGATTTTGATTTATTTATCAATGCCGTCATGATCATCTTGTTCAGATTGCAATTTTTGGCACATTGGTTGTGATCATGCTACTGCTCTCTCTAAAGCATCTATATCTTCAGTGCCTCAATACAGTCATTCCACGCATTGGTAAAACTAAACGAAAAAACAATCACTGTCACTGACTCAACCACAGAGTGCATGAATTTTGTTAATCCATCGAAAATAACAGAAGTACCACACTAGTAAAATTGCACAGGAGACATGATTGTCACGGATTTGAAATGATAGTAGTGCTGATCCTATAAATCGAATTCGTGAAAATGACAAGTCATCCCAGTGGTAACATGTACTTACCACGTCCGATTTTTACACGCGTATGAGAGCAGTCTTTCGTCGCGGCATTGTATGACGACCACCGAATAACTGATACTTCGAGGTCGCGGATCAGATCCTGATCGGAGTGTGTGCAGCAGGCGTGTAAGTCGTTAAAAAAATGAACAAGAAAAATCAATATTGATGCATGGTTGTCATAAATACCTATAATCCACATCCTTCTGAATCAATTGATAATAAGTAGACAATATCAATATCCTCGTGGCAAGGGGTTCATTGTACAGTATTGCAAAGTTAGTGTTACCAATCAAAATCGTACCCATGATACGACATGCAGATCTAGATGCACGTAGTCATTTTCACTTTATAGTTTTGTCCGTAAGATCTTCACGAACGTAGCTATGAAGATAACATTAGTTCTGGCGGATTCAAGTCATGTGCATGTTCTTACTGGTATAGTTCTTTTACACATTCGGAAAGATGCTTTGTCAAAAATTCGAATATACTTATAGATACTGAGTTAGTTTCGTCTATCGTGCAGGGCTATGTAGATTGATAATGAGTTTCCACTGTTTTCGTCAGGATCAGGAACAGGATGAAGTAGGGCCTTCAACCATAATGGTGAATTCAATTGCTACTGTTAAAGTCAACCTAGTCGGAAATTACCTTAATGATATCGTACAAGAAATAGAATATAATAGAAGATCGAACAGTGGATGACAGACTATCTTTTCCATGTTGCATCCATGCAAACGTCGATAACTCGTCAATAAGGATCGATCCCTTCTACTGAAGTTTATCCGAGTGTCATAGCTATCTCTGGTGCAAACAAGCATCATCTGCCGAATGGCCATTGTGGACTGTGTCCCCGTGGTTGAGTCTGCCAAGAAAAGATTCGGTAGTGGCATTTTTTCGGTCATTATAGATATATAGAGACATGAATGCGTTCGTGCCTACTCCTACTCAAGAACAATGCGATATCATGAATTCTGTGTCGGTGATTGCAATTCTCGGAGTTTCAAGGTTGCGCCCTCTTCCTCAACTTTGCTCCTTTTGCTCCTCGGTATGCCATCCCACCCGGCAACGAGGACTATTTTTGAATCTTTTGCTAGTCCTCAAACTCATATCGGAGTACGATCATCTTCATCAGTTTGATCATCTAGAACTCGACGAAATTTTGGTATAATGAATAATTATATGTAACCATTGATTTAGTCGAAGTAAGTGTAAGGGTAATCAAATTTCTTGAAAGCATCGATTTTCTCCATTGACGGTCATCACCAAACACGAGTAAGAAAAAATGACGACCTATCATTTTTTCAGTTCGTCGTTTGTCCAAGACTCGTTTCTTACGAAAACAGCAGGCGTTGTGCGGGATGCCAACGAAACGCTTTTCTCGTGGTTGCTATCAAATCCTCCAAGCAGCAAAGCAAAAGAGACCAGCGCAGACAAAATTGATACCTCCTTCTATGGCACCAGCGTGTCTTTCTCCTCGCTGTGGCGTAGGCTACCATCTTCAGAAAATGTTCATATTGTTAAGGTCCACCCTCGTGGCCGGAGATCATGCTCCACGTCTTTCAGAGCACTACCTTGCTGCCCGGGGACGGATCCCAATGAGCAACCACCCCAGCCTGCGACGGACGATGCGGGCCATCCAGCTGGAAGCTTAACGATAAATGAGGAAGAAATGAAAATAGAGGAAGGGGCGGAAGTAAAGGACGGGATTGTCATCGGCTTTGTGAGCATGCTAGTGGGATATATCTGCAGTAAAAAAGCCAAAAAGTCGATACAAGCAGCACGCGTAGAAGCCGAACTTGATCGCAAACGCGCGGAACTGTACAACTAATCTTTTTACCTGGTGAATGCTGGTGGTTCGTGTAGTACATTTTTTTTGAACTACAGGGGTTCTCGCGGATTTTTCATTTGCCTTCAAATCAATTCTAATATGTAAATCGTAAAAATGCATGTTGATGTTGAAGAACGTAATTACACAGGGCTGCCTTGGAAGCCTTGGGTTCTGAAAATGAGCTGGAATACACAACCGGTGGAACCCCCGTTCTCCGAGGTCGAGGTAGGACTAACGCCGATGACTCGAGTCCCGGTCGTGACGTGTCCGATGGCGATGACACTGCAACCACTTCACCGACGATCGGTGAGAGTGATGGCGCCGGAAGAGGAGTGGGAGATCCGACAGGAAAGGGCGAAAAATCTTCTGGTGGTGGGAAGAAAAAAGGCAAAAAATCGGGCAAAAAGAAAGGAAAAGGAAAGGGAGCGAAGTCACCAGAAAAGGGGAATCGCACACCGGAAAAGAAGGGGAAAGGGAAAGGAACACCGGAGAAGGGCAAAAAGAAATCTCTGGGAAAGGTCAAAGGGCGATAGAAACAGAAGTTTAGACCTGTGTCGCTCCTGCTGACGCTGACTCAATTCGAGACGCTGATGAATGATACCTGTCATATCTCTTTGTATGCACGAAATATCGGAGTTTTTTTGCATATTCTGATTCCTTGCTTACGAGCTACACTTGATAGCGTAAAGTCACTTTGTTTCTTGCCACTCATAAGGTAAAGAATCTCACGCCGACCTCGTGTATGGGACTGACGATGTTCCTGCTCATGGCGACAGAGTGAGGACTACACTTACTTATAAGTATCGCAGTCGTTCTTGTTTTGCAACAACACTTTCATAGGTGAATAGTGCATCTGGTATCAGGAAGGCGAAGGCGTTTATTGTTGAAGAAAACGCTGAACAAAAGAGAACAGCCGCGCAAAAAATGTATAGCAAAAAAGAATAAAGACTTTATGTGCCGCGGTGACGGAGGAAGAGAGAACCAATGAACAAATTTTTTCTTACCTGACGTTAATAAAAGGTAATGGGTTTGCTTCACCAATAGAACTATCATCAAGACCATCTTAAGTACTTCTATCTAACCCTAAGACTAAGAGTCGATACTTATAGTATATCTTCATCAGGTCGGTCCAGGTGCATCAGGAGTAGAAAAGATGTCGTCGCCTCGTCCGTACCTTTGCGCATTGCGCTCGGTGATCACGTTGTACGAACTTGAAGAGCGATCCACGACGATCGGCCGCGACGCGAACAACGACTTAGTCTTGGATTCCTCGAAAGGAATATCCCGATTCCATGCGAAACTTGATTGTAAGTAAAAAAATCCCTTGCCACCTAAGCAGGACTAGGAGTAAGAGTAAAAGCCATTTAGTCAAATTTTCTTTCCTTTAAGCGACTGCTTGTATGTTGGGACTGTCCCAGAACATACTGATCTGGGCAACTCACCATGACATTCTAAAGTAGGGATGCATTGAATGAAGGGAATCTACAACAACAACAACTCTACTTGTGGTTTTGTTTCATCTCATTCTCAAGAATTGTAAGTATACAAAGCCATAGCCAAGTATAGCACCAGGTCTACAGCCTCCCTCTGCATTTCGCGGTGGGCGCGGCGACGAGGGACGGTTCCAATTGGTGGATCTAGGTTCTGCTAACGGCACTTTTGTGAACGGCGAGCGGCTCGCGTCTCATGAAGGTCATTTGCTGAAACATGGTGACCTCATTTTCTTCTCTGCGTATTCTCGGAACTGCATGCGCTTTGAGGTGTTCGGGGCGCCCGAACTCGGCAACCTAGACGCCAATGTAAACATGCCGCCAGGGCGCGAGCGCATGATCGGCGGCGACAGCGCAGGTCTGCGCAGTCTGTCCCGCAGTGGCGGCGTCCGCGCAACGACGTATCCAGCGCATTCAGGTGATGACGCGTCTAGATACGATTGCTCCTTCTACGAAGATGCGGCAACTTCAAGTGCGACGCCGAGAAACCGCTCACATAGCGCCATGAGACGACGGACTACAGGTACTTGGTTACGCAGGAACACGAACAGCATGATGCGAAAATTTTCTCCACTTGCCCTATGATAAACAAGATAGAATGTTCATGCGACTGCTCTTTCTGTCACAGAGAGTGACTGCGCACTTAATGCTGAAAACTTTTTCCTGCAGTGAGCTTAACAGTTTCCCATCTTTGTTTTCTTCAGCGCCGGATCCGGCATTTCAGTACCGGACGAAAGCGGGCAGCATAAAGTGCAGGCCTTTGGCGGAAGTCTTACCCTCGAGACAAGGCGATCCATCTGAGTCACCATCCAGAAAGCGGTTTCGGGAGTTGAATGAAAAAGCTGAGCGTGAAGAATTCGAAGCATTCAAAGCAGCACATGGAGACATCGAGATCCGTATAGATATTTATATTAATCGGCATCGCAGTAGATATATAGTAGCTAGGGTCCTTGTCTCTGGGTCTGGTTGTGGGTTTATTTGGTGAACCGGTACCCCATAGCGAATAAACCTGCGCACACAACCAGAGGGCTGAGCACTCACCGGAGGCGTTGCGCAGGGCTCCGGCCTGCCTTTGAAGGTGAGACCTATGGGGCTGACAGGACGACGATAGCGCCGGCGCACAATTAGTTTGAGCAGATAGGAGGACGCTTGGCGATAATTCCCCTTTTCTCTTTTCTATCTTCCTCGGGTCTTTCTTTTTTCTATTTAGGTCGGCTCCACCACATATATTTATCGGCATCTAGTACTTCTTGTTCTACGTACATATACACTACAGGAAGATAGTGCTTGTTATTTTGCGCCGTTTTGTGAAATATTACGAAGGTCGATTTTTGCACTCATCTGCTGTATGCAATGAATTCATTAAAAAGTCACTCGTGCCAATCCTTCATTTCCATTTTGACAGCCCCAACGGATCAGCCGTTGCCTGGGCAAAAGCCGCCTGAGACGCGGCATTCACGGATTGGCATGAATCCCGAAGTTAAAAACCAGCTTCGGGAGCTTGAGTCGCGTCTCGATGCGCTCCAGGAGATGAAGCAGCAAGCTGCTCGCGAACCACCACCAGTGCCCGATTCGGTGTGGGCGTCGCTGCCTTTCTCAGCTGCGAATTTACATTAAGGCTCGTCAGGTCCGCAAGCCATTTTCTGAAGCTCAAGCATGTAAATCATAATTAAGTAGCTCTAGTGGGTGGAGCAATATCGACGTCTCTGCAACGGCGAGAACAGCACAGTTAGTATAGTGTTTTCGGGCTGATTTTCTGATGTGGATGATCGTAGAAATCGAGGGAGTTCTAACTACAACAGGCGTGCAGCGTGTTGGAAGGTTTGCTTGCGACCGCTATGGGTAAAGACCGAAACATTGCAGAGGTGCTGTCACCACATTAAGAGTTGGAGATTGATAGTGGCTCCTTTGGCGTACTAGGCTAGTAGTCCCTCGATCAAACTAGGAGTAGGCGACTGTCCTGGCTACGAACAGAGCATCTTCTTGACTACTGAGAAGAAAGAAACCCAAACTTCGTCTAAGCATAGAAGCTGAACAGTGCGAGAGCACCGGAGCTGCAAGCGTTGATCTCTGCGGCAGAGCAGGAGAATGGGGAAATCGTATTTCCCGACCAACTACCGCGGAAACTGTTGAGACTAGCAGAAAAACTGGAAGCAGCGGTGACGCCAGACGAGGACTGTGGACGCGCAAAACGTAAGAAGCGACGAAAACGAGGACCAGCCAACCGCACGGGCGGATTCATCGTTGGAAACCCAGCCCCAGATCAGATGCCGGAATCCTTTTGGTGTATGCGCAGGGATCTTAATAAAGATACTAGAATGAATCTTTAGATGAACATGACCATCTAGGAGGCAGGTGTTACCGAATGTCCATGTCTTTGATTTCTTTCCTTACGCTGATGTCTGGACGAGGGTACTGGCAGGTGCTTGTGCGCATGTATGTATTGAAATAGCTGTAGCCTAGCGTCTTATCCATGCATGTTCTAGTTGTGGTTCATGTCACATGACGATGACCATGGCTACGACAGTCTTTATTTGTTTTCTTTTCCTTTGATTGTCATTCAAAGCTCGCGGAGCTGCGACGTCCGAACGGGGGCGCGAAGGCTCTGCATTGAGCAAAGAGGAGCGGGAATTCCTCCAGCGAACGGTGCGTCGGCAAGAGGATGAGTTGACTGAACTGCGAGAACAACTTGGTCACTACTTGAAATACTTTCCGGATGGATTCAACTCTCTACTCAGTTACGAAAGAAACGCCTACTCAGAAAGTAGACGAGTTAGGACTCATCTGCTCTTGATACAACATAGGAATCGGCTTTCTTTAGTCCATTTGATGAGCGTCGATACGAAAACCAGTACCAGTAGCTAGAGCTGCTTGAAGCAGATTGAACCTGATGTACTCCATTGAGCTGAAGAACTGCTCACCGGTGTTGAGCGCCGACTGTTATCAGTCTGACTTCCGTCTCATCTAATCATCGAGCAATGAGCAGTCTGGAGTTGGAAATTTTGCTAACTGGCGGGATCGCTTAGCGTTGAACCCAAAGCTGACAGTGGAAGAAAGCGCGCAGCTTCTAGTGAAAATCACCGATGCGGAACGCCTTTGCGGTGAGTATCAGCGCCGGCGGGAAACGGTGCGGCGGCGTTATTTGAACCTTCAGGAACAGGTTCGCAATATGCGCGACCAGGCAAGACAATATGTCGACCAAGTAACACGATTGCGCCAGCTATGAAACACAAATCCTTGTTGAGAGATTTCCTCAAGAAAAGTAGACAGGATGGAATAATGTGCAGGTGGAAGTGGCCCAGGTTCCTTTTTGAGCATAATGAGTAAGCTGTTTCTTTTCATACTAGCAAAATGGCGGAAAGTGTCCGGAAATGCTCAGAATTAGACAGGAACGACATCTACAGCGACGACGCGGTCTTTCCAACTCTATTACATCGGGAAAATCTGGCGGCGCTGGGGCAGTCGTAGCTTCTTCTGACGAAGTAGGTCAGTTGAAACAGTTATGTTCTGAGAAAAATTAGAGTTGGCAGTGTCATTTTTAATCAATTCAGAGAGGATGAGTGCGTTAATACGGTGTTGCACGTATGTCCGTGTTTCGCTCAATAGAAGAAGATAGGAGCTCTCCGATATATAGCGCGCAAAGTTCGTCTTCGTATGCTATACTATGTATGTACTTAGATGTTGATGAAGTGTTCACTTTCATATTGAAACCGCGATACACTCGAGTTCCAGTCTGTTGCCGATAAGCTGGAAGCGGAGGCTCAGTCGCTTCTGATGCGTCTTTTCGATGCAGAAGTATCAAAGTCGGTGTTAACAGACGAGTTTTATGGAAGGGCGAGGTCTATACATATTTATAAATATATCTCTTTTTTTTTACTAATAATTTGTAGCACGTTGGATTACGATTTGATCATCATGATGCTGCATGATCTTCGTTTCAGAAAAATGTGCCCAATTTTTCTTGATTATAGCACCCATAAGCAAGGTCAACAACGCCGTTCCGATCTCATTGCGAGCACCTACCTTTCTCATTCCTCACGGTAGGGCCTTAGGTGGCAGAAGCCAGGAACTTCCACTCTGAGCGCTCTACTTTAAGTAAATTGCTGTCTCAGTCATATCATCTGGAGTACTTCTACTTTCCTATTCCTACTTTTTCATTTTTCTGTTCGCTCATACTTCTAACTCTCATACAACTTACTTAATCTTTCCAATCTTAAACTACCTCATTGACTGCAGATTAACCAATTCCACCCAACACTCTTAGGGACATTAACACACAAACAAAAACGAAAAATGTCATCCAGCAGCAAACCGCCTCTCTGTCCTGTGATCAGGATTTTGCTCATCTCAAGTAGAATATGTTTGTTGACTATCTAAGGTTCACAAGCTGACTGTAGCCCTCGTAAGTCATAACGATAACAAGTCCTTCATATGATGGATGCGCAGCATTTTAAACTCAGAAAAGGGCGTCAGGCGTTAACCCTGTTGGTTGTGATTGTGCAAGTAACTACAATCGATCCTCTAATTAGTGGAATCCCACGTGACGCGTCGTGAAACCTACCAGACAGTGATCGAGGCAAACGCGGAGCAAACGTGTGAGAATCTTGCCAAAATCAGCAGTGCGGAACGCGTATTGATGCTCGAAAAACTCTGCGAAAGTCTAGAATGATATGGCAAATTCATATCCAACAAACGCCCAGTTTAGTGAGACCTCTACTCTTCAGTTAATGATATTGGCAAGCATAGTTGTACCCAAACCCATGGAACTCAATCATGTGGATGCTGACAAGACCTTAAAAGCGTTTAAAATAAGTGCGATGGAATTATAATTAGTTACCGAGGACTACACCTCCAAGCTAGATGGTGATGGGTCTTGCATCTCGAGCGCTACTTCTAAATCCGGGAATTGCTGCGGGAGACAAAACCGGATGTTCACAACCTTGTGGTTCGGTCAAGTTTGCCGTCTCAGCTGCCGAACTTACACGTAGATGCAGGCTGGACGGCAGGACAAGACCAGAGCAGTAAAGAAGAACAACAGGATACTGTGTGGTCGATGCGGGCGTTGTTGGACGATATCTTGGCGAGGAACGCTGCCCTGGAAGAAAAATTGCTCGAGACTGTTCTTGACGGAGCGAGTAAAGCACCGCAATTGCACGGTGAAGAGCAGCCAGACGAAAAGAGACGATCTTCACCTGGGCCAAATAAGTCGAACAAAACTCGTTCACGGTCTGGTTCTCCGCGCAAGCTGAAAAATGAAGATGGCAACGATTTTGAAGTACTCCAGGGGGACATGACGTCGCGGGGCCGAAATTGTCGCCGACATGTCGGCGTCACCCTCTACGAGGGCGCGCTAAAGCGGATGTCCCCAGCAAATTCACGCGTGCGCGATGCTGCAGATGCATCAAATGGGGGTGCACGAGCACTGCGATTTGATGGAGACCGATGGAAGGAAGCAAGAGGTGGCGACGCAGGCACTGATTATTTCTAAGACCATAGACAGATACAGGTAATCATAATTCATCTTTGACTTTGAGGTGGCTTTGAGTTTGAGAGCATCCCTGAAAAGTATGAGTGAGATTCTATCCTAATCCTGGCACACTTCAAGGATGCAGGTCAAGTAAGCTGAATATCGGACAGCCCTAAGATTACGGTAGTAAAGGAGGCTGCTACAATGAAGACTTGCCGTAATTCATCTTCAGGCATCTTTGGACACGATTTCAAGGGGAAGTCACGTCAAAGATGCACTTCAAGATGAATATTGGGAAGGTCTAATACAACGCTTCGGGAGGTTTAGCAGACAAGCGCTCGCTATCCCAAGCGGCGCGATATCGGAGTTTATCGAATCCGCGTGTTCGAGAAAACCCACATATTCTCGATGACTTGGGTTCATCCTGTAGTAATGAAGAAGATGCAATTGCAAGTTCCGCCCCCTCGTGGTCCCAGATGCTGGCTGCACCACCCGAAGACGGTAGAGGAGATGGTAGAAGTAGTAAAAGTATTAATGTGAGGTCGGGCCCGGGCAGAGGAGGAACTGGACGAGATGGATCGTCACGGCGTGGGCGCTCGCCGCGCAGCAATGAGAAAGTAGAGTCTGCGTCAGCAGGTGGTCGGAAGCGGGATCACAAGAAAGACGAATTCACAGAATTGGAAGCAGGATTCAAGGACGAGTGGCGTCCTAGTGTTAAGGTCAGCATTTATTCATCTTTCTCGGCATCTCGATGCATTTTCTCCTTGTATTTCATGGGAAAGGGGTCGAGATGAGGGGGCCGAGATGAATGCCAGCTGCGTCGAATAGTGGCGGAAGGATGCCGGACGCATTCCACTTTGACGGCAACGACGAGCGGGCACGCAACCCGTCAGACTTTTGGAGTGCGAATAAACTAGGTGCGGGGGGATCCTCGTCATCCTCACGGGGAGCCGCGGGTCCTGTAGTGGACCAGGAGGAGGCGGAAAGACAGGACCAGGCAGAGCGACTCCGCCGGCAAGCGGAGGATAACATGGCCGAAGCTTCGTCAGCTCTGTTTGCTGCCGCACTCATCCCAACTGACAGTGCGATCTTGCCGCCAGGAAGGCGGTAGAAGACATGCAGGTGTCATTTTTGTTTGTCGTCAAATTCGAAAACAAAATGTTTGTGTGTAAATAATTCATTGTTAAATAAATCATTGATTTTGATGGCAGTGTTCTGCTCCTTCTCATGTATGACTAGGATGTTGATTGAAGTTGTCCGCTCACATCAAACTCGCTCTCCTTGAATGTATCGACAGCGAAACGTCCACGTCGGTAATATTCCGATGCAGTTTTTAGTACATCAGAAACTGGCAGTGGCAAAGATATTTTTGTGCGCTTCTGTAAACCTTGGTGGACCTTCGTGGTTCGTAGGCGGTGAGAACCTCACAAGAAATCATCGTGAGTGGCCTTCTCACGCGATCGGTGATCATCTTGGTCGTTAGATATTACCTTTCGCATCTCGTGTGATGTGAGGGTGATAACTGAAGTCCAAGAACCGACGCTGTGGGCGACCTTGATAACGGATGGCAAAGGACTGCGGCGAGCATCATCAACTACCGGACTGACATGCTATCTTTACAGCGACAAAAAATCGAAGAAAGATCTTTGTCTCCATTGCACAGGTTCTTCTTCTTTTGGATGCTAGGAAGTTTTGAAAATAGACGATAGAATTCTTTTTCTTTTTGTGATCAAATTTACTCTTCAAAATGGTTGTTACTGTTAGAGGTACAACAAAACGGTTTTAGATACTACTAATAGAAACAAATACGTTGTGGACGTTTTGGATTTATGGGAGCATGGACTTCTAGGCGAACTTGAGTACTGACGTAGGACTGGTTTACGTACATTCACTCTACTGCGGAACCCTCACAAATTGGCTACCACTGTCACTACTTCCTATAAATGTTTGTCTTTGTGATTGTGGTTCATATGTTAATTCTTAGATTTGTTTCATAGTAAGTGTCGTGTTGAAAGACTAGAAAAACAGACCCACATATTTCCACCTGAAGACAATTACGCGTATAATTACATTTTGTTCTCACTAGTGCTAGAAATTATCTCTTTCACGATCTATTGCTCATTTTTTGCTCACCAGAATGGGTCGTATTTTTCTCCGTCGTTTCTTATCCTCGGAAGAGGATGTTGCCATCCGGATTGAAGCAGAGGATCCCGCACTCTCCTCTACAATAGCCTCAGCAAACGCGGCGAGATTGACACCCGAACCCGCATGTGCAGAAGAAGAAGGTTACGACTATCACCAGTTCTGTGATTTTAGTTGAATACGTACCTGATAGTCTGTACGTCGAAGCTACGAGAGAATTTAAATTGTTTTCATCTTCTATTCTTGCTAGAGCCACAATTGCCTATAAACGGAAGACATGAAGATGAACAGCAAGAACCTCGGAGTTGGGTTTCTTCCATTGAAGGATGCAGTATGTAACTAAAGTAAAAGTTGTTTGAATACTCGAGGAGCGCTAAAAAAACCTGGTTGGGGTCGCGGGCGCGAATGAGAGTTCCGACTCCTCAACGAGCAGCAACACCAGCACAGCTACTTACGAGGTTTCTACTCACGAACTGCTGTCGTCCAGCCTCCAGGGACCTCATCCATCCTTATCGACGACGACGACGAGCACACAATTTTCCAACATCGCCAATCCGGCCCACTATATTGTCTACGTCGATCGCGGAACCAACTTTTATCGCGTGCATGATGTCGTTTCTTCCACCGAGGATATTAATCATGCTCTCAACAACATCATGGCCTCGCCGTCTCCTCTCCTACAACACACATCCGAGCTCACAGGGGCCACTTTGGGAACGAATATTCCAGAAACAAGGGCCCAGCAGTTAAGTCAAGGGCAATGGAGAGTCTAGTTCACTTCTTCGATTGTGAAGATTGATTGCTGCAACAAGTGTAAGCGTCTTGGTATCAGTTTTTTGCACTGAGATTGATCATGAAATTAACGAAGTACCCACATGGATTTAATCGTAGATACAAAGTAACAGAGGAAGTCGTCGCACGAACATCTTCGTGCCACTGGTCGATGGATTGATTTTACGTAAAAAACCAGAAAGAGAACGCCGCGATGCTGAAATTGTTCCCGGTGCTCTCTAATGTTAGTACAGCAGACGAAGTCGTCGTTTGATTTTTTTGCTTGCCGTGCCTGCGGAACACCATTGGCACTGCACGGCGATTTACTGAGCCGCAACTTCCGTGGCCGAACAGGTACCGCCGTTCTCTTCGACAAAGTTCTCAATGTCAACGCTGGGGAAGTAGAGGAATCGCAGATGACAACGGGGGTTCACCTGATTCGTACTCTCTTCTGCGTTTGCTGTCAGGAAAATCTGGGATGGCGTTACGAAAAAGCCTACAATGAAGACCAAAAGTATAAGGAAGGCAGGTACATCCTTGAGGAGGAGCTAATTAGCCCGAGAAAACAATACGCTCCAGCGATCAGAATACCACGTAAAACAAGTGTTGCTGTTTCTTCCTCGCGTCGACACTCGGAAATTTATGAAGTGAACAGGAACTGCGTGTAATCGTAAACAGCGTACAGTCGATGATGCATTCTTGTTCATCTTCATGCGAAGCCTTTTAAAAGCAGAAGTTGCAGTCATGTGGATTGTCCTATAGACCAAGACAACAGGAAAGTATTCCAATGAATTTCCAATCTACCAAATACATCAAATGTTTGTGATAACTATGTTGATGTTGTACTAGCCACCTAGCACCTGCACCACTAGTGGCTCTAAGAAGTAAATGCGGCAGATGCAGCAGGCGAAGGCGGCGACAGCAATATGGAGCCACTTGCGTGCGACGCGGGGTCGGGGGGCAATGGATGCGGCGACGACGACGACGACATTGGAAATCGTTCTAGTCATTTATGCGTTGGTGAGACAAACGACACGTGGAGGCCTGTGCTTGTTGACCCAAATGCTTCCTCGAGTGCGACACTGCTCTTACGTCCCTACGAGGAAGATAGCCCGATTGGAGCAACGTTGGGCTCGACGAGTAAATTGATCGAGCATCTTGTAAACTTAAATATGAATACTTCTACGTGCACGTCGACGAGTCACCAGTTTCGTTTGGGTGACCGTTTGTGCGTTACTTTTCACCAGAAGTAATTTACCTAATTGTTTGAGAATCTCAGTGTTGTTTGAGGAATAAGGAACTTGAAGACAAGTACCACCAGAACCGAAAATATCAATTGTGAGTGGGCATAATCCCCAGAGATAGATCAACGAAGTAGACGAAAATTAAAAACAATCTCGAATTGGAATAAGTACTAATATCAGGGATCTTCGTATTCATAGTTCTACCTCTACGTCTACAACTAGAACTAGTAACCTCAACCTCACATGTAATTCTTCGTCTTGTTCTTCTGGGTTTTGATAGCTAATGAAACGTAATATTTTTGAGTAGTTCCGCATGTGTATCGTGAAGACCTTGATATTAGTATTTACACGACAGCTAGAGCAAGAATAAGGAAGATTGTATTCGTAGGACTAGAGAGCGTTTAATAGATGAACAAGAACAAAGATCAATGACGAACGAAATAATGAACAAGGGAAGCCTTTTCCCAAATACCTAATAGACCGGCAATACACCTAGTACTAGAACAAGACGGATAGCTGTTGGGAATGAAAGAACTTGTTATGGTCGCCCTTTCGGAGTCACGACAAATGTGAGAAACTATCAAGCCCCGACGTAAAATTTGCGAAACAAAAGTGTAAAAAGAACTGAAGAACGCCAAAACCTGAACAACCTGTCCTAAGAAATAAAAAATTTTCTTGGAAGGGCATCAGCAAACACTTGTGAGACGCAAAACAGTTGTATTCCCTACTTAGTACAATTCGATCAAATTTGTTGTATTGTAAAGTCGGTAGTCAGGAGCGCCTACCGTCCTACTGAAAAAAACGCATTGTGAGAGGATAAAAAGGGTAGGAGAGTTATTCGATTTATCAAAAGTGATTGGACTCGGACGCTTGCTTTCTCTACTGCTCGACGTCGCGTATAAGCATGGAATGTCGGTCACTGCAAATCGGGAGTCATTGACAATACGTAAAGAAACGAAGAATCCCATCCTACTTGCGTATGATCTGAGCCCCCGATTTGCCGCCAACCGACTTACCCCGAAGAATTTGTCTTGTTTCCTGCGAATATGTTTCTTCGTGCCGTCGCCTATTCTTTACCTGCCTCAGTCGTTAGTGATAGCATGTTTTTATTTCCGCGAAAACGAATAGAAACAATCTGAAAAATCTTGATAATTTGGATTGTAAAAAGGCATTCAAGACGAATGCACATGAACATCACGCAGTAACAACCTTTAGGAAGATCATGAATATGGATAGAAGTGGGATTAGGAAATTGACGACGACCACTAGCCACTATTTTTCTCCCGGAAAAAGAGTGCTGGCCAACAGAATGAGGTCTCCACTCGGACTAGTTTGGGCGCAGGGTCTTGTGTGGGCGCGCACAGAAACCGATGCAGCAGGGAACCAAATGGAGCCTGTGGTCGATATGCCTTTTCAAACGCCACGCGAAAAATGGCTTGGCATGAAGCTCACTTACCAAGGCGAGGGCTTGAGACGTATTATCGAATATCACTCGTAGATGAAGAAGTATTGATGTTGCTAATAACTCTATTGATGAACGAATGAATGAACTCTAGTTGTACAACTCGTGGTCGTGGAGGATCCATAACGTTTCTACGATCACATTGAATTTGATTTGTTTTTCTTCACTGCAACAGCACAACGCAGGTCATAATTCGCATATGCTCCTGGCCGCGGACGAGGGCAGTGCCGCTTTGAAGAGTGCGCAGGAGATCGCTGCTTTGTACGTGCCCTTTGACACGGTCCACGACGAGCCCACTAGTTCCTGGCTGCAAACGAGTGACACCATGCACCTGGATCGGGCTCACGAGTACCTCCACAATGTGAAGCACTGGGAGACGCTTAGCGCCCATCACGAGCACATCTTGGCGCACGGACCCGCAGCGAAGAAGTCGGGCGACCTCGTTGCGTTCTCAATGGCAGCTGCCGGTGAAGGACGCAAGTTGCCTCCCTCTCAAACGATTGATGGGGGAGATGCAACCGAAGAAAACAATGAGGAGATCAAAGAAGGGACGAAAAGACAGGATGACGAGGTGGATCAGATGAACGACGCCTCCAGTACTGCACCGGCGGCTGGTAGCGCCATGCTGGAGGTTTCGTCGGTGGTGGACGTTGAACCGGCAGTCCTAGGAGCGTCCAGTCTAGTAGGTCTCTCCGACGGAGTCGGACATGAGGAGGAGGAGGAAAATCAGGATACTGCTGACACAGACATGCCGGCAGAGATGCATCATGGGGAATTCTCGCAGCGGCCTGGTAAAATGAGTGCTGCGTCATCTTTTATGAGCTGCTTTAGTTTTCCTCAACCATTAGACGACTTGATTGATTCGTTCACCGACACCGACTAGTGTCTTTTACACGCAAGTGCAAATACAACAGCTTTTTTTGTTTCCCGACGGACAGTGATTTTTATCTCGCAATTTTCCCAAAGAAGACATCAGACTTCTAATTGAGCTTCTTGGAAATGGAATATAAATTCTGTTTGGCCATCATCTCCTAATTATCACCAATAAGCTAGAAGTAGTAAATTCTGCTAGTCGCTTCACTCTAATGCTGCTAGTAACAAAAGAGCGGGCGGCTCCTCTTCACGACGCAGTGGAGGGGACGGCGCTGTCGAGATTTTGGACGTTGAACGCACACGCGCTGGTGATGGCTCTCCGCTTGCCAGCAGTGTGCTCGAGAAGCCGATCCGACCGGTGAATTTTCATCGTACCGTAGCAGATGAACCAGACAGCACGTCCGCCGATGAAGCCGAGTTGACTGACGCGGACCGGGCAGCGGCAAGAAGAGCGGAGCACCAAGAACGAAAGAAACAGTCTTCGCAAGAGCTTGTGGAAGACGTTGGAGGCGACTCTGGCGCTAGACAGGTGGAGAAAACAGCTGGGCCTAGCTCTTCAGCGCTACAACTAGACGATGTTACTGCTACACAACTACCCGTGCAGGACCCATCATCTCCGAGTTCCTTCATAGAAGATAAGGAAGGACGACATGAAGAATCTAACAAAAACGGTAGAGAACAGAAGAAGCGTGCTGGGAGCGGCTTATCGGTACTGGAAGAGCGTGAAGCAGAAAATGTTGGCACTGTCGCGGGTGGCATTGTTGGCGCTGTCGCAACGGGAGCTCTCAAAGGCGCTGCGCCAGCTGTAATCGGTGCTGGTATCGTGCATCCGGGAATGCTGCCAGGCGCCACGAGCAGCGAAGCTGACCAACTAGTACCAAACCAACTGAAGGGAGTCGGCGTCGAGTCGCCTTTCAATAAAGTGTTTGGAACCTCCTCGCCTTTGTCACCCGATTCGGACGGAAAGAAGACAGATGAGGGGACCCAACAGGAAGCTGGTACTACTGCGAAAACCAGTAGTGAAGCAGCTCCACCTCCACCTAGCAGCTCCACCACAAAGGGTAAGGAAGCGGCTCAAGCAAAATCAAAAAGCGCAGATGAGAAGACATCTTCGACATCAAAAGATCATGAGTACGACAAGACACAGGAGACCGACCACGTTTGCTCAGGTGGTTCCTGCGCTACGCCATCAGCTGAAAAGGCAAGTGAGAAGGCTACGCCAGATGAGGTTACTCATCAAGTAGTAGCGCCAGAGAAAGCACTGAAGAATTTAAATGACGAAAACCAGTCAAAAGAGGATGTAAAAGAGCTCGCTCTTCATAATCAGGTTGTGCTTCCTGATCGGGAAGAGGTAATCTTTTACAAAATAAACCGAAATGTTAGAAAAATCGTTTTTCCCGTTCCCCCACAGCAATTTAATTTCTATTTCATTACCGCTACATCAACTTCTACCTTCATACAAAAACGCCAACCTCGGCGCCAGGTCGTGCCTTTGTCCGACCTAAGGGACCACACTTCTCAGCATTTAGGAACGATCTACATTGGCGACAATGAGCAGGAGGCCCATGTGATCTTCGATACAGGGTCGACCAATCTTTGGGTCCTCTCGGACCACTGCAACTCGAAAAGTTGCAAAAAGGCAAACGAACCTATGTATTCCCTCGCCAAGTCCGGACCTGACGCGCATTACTTCAGAAATCATGCCACGTAAAAATTCTTTCTACCTATTTTCGTCAGGTGATAGCTGTAGTGCAAGAAGTGCCAACGTAGATAATTATAATAAATATAATATAGCCCTCTACTCCGCGTCCGCCTTAAAAGTAAGATGATGATAGATTGTATCCATGAAATGGGTATAATTTAGTTGCTTGATGCACTGGATGACTTAGGTATTAACTCTAACTGAATGAGTAGAATCTTCCTTGAAAGAAAGTCTCTCGCATCCATCAGGTTGGAAATCCAATTTGGATCGGGGACCCTGGCAGGACCACAGGCTGTGGATTCAGTATGGATTGCTAATCACAAGATCGATGATCAACCGTTTGCGATGATCAAATTTATGTCTTTTGCCATATGAATGTACCTGGTAGACGTAGATATGTTCGTTTTGCTTTGAATGGGGTACATGTAGCTATACTGAGGCGGGTTACTTAATTATACCATTATAGTGGTTAAAGTATCTTCATGTGTATGAATTTCATGTTCCAAGTTTGCCTTGTACGGAATGTATGATGTTAATATGGCAACAAAAGATGCATTCAAATGAGCTTGAGCACCAAGACAAACACGAAAACCCGACGAGGTAACAAGACTTACAGTGAAGTAAGTAGAAGTAGAACAAGTACTTGGTTGTTCGTGTTTCCGTCTCTAAATAATCCGAGAAGGGAGCTGTTTTCGACACGTTGCGGTATGGTGGCATCCTGGGTTTAGCTTTTGAAAGTATGGCGGCTCCTGGTATGGTGGGTCTCATCACCCAGGCGATGCGCGAGAACGTGTTCGGTGGGCACAATCAAATGAGCTTTTTCTTCACGCGAAACCCCAGGATACGATCAGGGGCATACTTCGGTGGTATGAATCCGGCTTTGTATCATGGCGTGCCGCAGTGCCTCGACGTTGTGCACGAGCATTACTGGCAGGTAGGAGTTCACCGCATGGGCATCATGTGGGGAAAAGAGAATGCCCACAACATCGATTGTTAAGGCAGCATTTCGATTTCCAGTTCCAGAGCCAAAACCCTTAGAAGAAGAAATTAATTCTACTCTGCAGGAGGGGTACTAGATCTAGTTCTCGTCGTGCTAATCGCCGTCTACTAAACCTACAACTCCTGTCATTAAATACAACTTCTTAGTTCTCATTCATTGAAGAGTTGAACTACGACAAGAATCATTTCTATGTCTAAAAGCTGATCACGAACGAGAAGATGGGTCTTGCTGAGTCCACCGACGACGAAGTCGTGATTGGCAAGCCTACCAGTGCCATCTTTGACACAGGAACGACATGGAACGCTGCTCCTACCTATTTTGTCAACTACATCTTGAAAACGCTGGAACCTAAGGGCTTTGCGAATGTGGACTGCAGCAGGGTGAAAAAACACTACGTCGGAAAGGATCCAAAGGGGTATTCATTTTTCTTGGTTGATAAGCTTCATCTGAGATATTCTGGCACTTAATCTGAAACTTCTTCTACTGCTAGTACTAGTGGATGACCGTGGTACTACAACTACAACTACAACTACAACTACAACTACAACTACAAGGCACCCACATGAATAAGAAAACTCTAGAGGTGTTTAGCACTTTAAAAGCCCAAGGCTCTACCTCTCCGAGAGGGCGTCCGTACTAGTAGCCCGACGGGTTTCCCTCTGAATCCTGAACCCTGAATCGAGAGCCGGCTCTCCTTGGTGTCCCTTCTATATGGGAGGGACTTGATTGGCCACCTGAATCCTGAACCTTGAATCGAGAACGGGCTCGCCTTGGTGCGTGTCCCTTCTATATTTATAACTTTTTTCCCCCACAAACAGCAAGAAAGCAAAAACCAGCGCGAGAAGCGTTTTCCTTTTTAGGCAAAAACAAACGCCGGGGAGAATTGACCCGAATCAAAATGATGGGTCTGACTTTTTCGGTGAACGTAGTTCAGATACGACAAAGCCCATCACCAGAAAGAGGCGAAAAGGCTCCACAAGCAGCGTCAGACCGTCGGCGGAGCTGGTGGCGGGAGGGTGGCGCAGAAATGGCGCGGCGCATTGGGTGGGCGTCTCTGGCGCTTGTTCAGTCAATGCGGTCCGTGCAGATGGTGCAGCAAGGGCATGCACCATAACAAGTGAAAGAGCAGGCAGACAATGACAGCACTCACATAGATACCCACGGAGAACGATAAGCAGACGCGCCGACTTGTTTCCTTCCCTACGCCCATCGGGCAGATTGTTAGACCGACGGGGGGGAGTGCTTTGCTATGACTGAAAGAGAGAGACCGACGAGCCGCAAGGACTGGCAAGCCTTACTTACATACCACGGACCCAGCGCACCCACCCACAGACTTTCTGACAGGGTGGGAGGGAGTCTCTGAGAGAGGGGCCGAGACTGACTCACGCACCCTCTCCCCCCACAGACTCACGCACTCGCCCCCCCGCGCATTGTCTGACAAACGCCACAGACCGGCCCCCTCGCTCTCTCACGCACTGACAAGCAGAGCCACTCGCGGGGGTCAGCGCTGGGCTCAGCGCGCGCTGGGCTTCAGCGCTGGGCTTCCTTCAGCGGTAGGCTTCAGCGGTGGGCTTCTGCGTTGGGTTTTGGCGCTGGGTTCCCGCGCTGGGTTTCCGCGCTGGGTTCCGCGCTGGGTTCCGCGCTGGGTTCCGCGCTGGGTTCCGCGCTGGGTTCAGCGCTGGGTTCAGCGCTGGGTTCGGCGCTGGGTTTGGCGCTGGGTTTGGCGCTGGGTTTGGCGCTGGGTTTGGCGCTGGGTTTCGGCGCTGGGTTTCGGCGCTGGGTTTCAGCGCCGGGCTTCCGCGCTGGGTTCCGCGCTGGGTTTCGCGCTGGGTTCCGCGCTGGGTTCCGCGCTGGGTTCCGCGCTGGGTTCCGCGCTGGGTTCCGCGCTGGGTTCCGCGCTGGGTTCTGCGCTGGGTTCGGCGCTGGGTGTGGCGCTGGGTTTCGGTGCTGGGTTGCGGCGCTGCGCTTCCGCGCTGCGCTTCCGCGCTGCGCTTCCGCGCTGGGTTTGGCGCTGGGTTTGGCGCTGGGTTTCGGCGCTGGGTTTCGGCGCTGGGTTTCGGCGCTGGGTTTCGGCGCTGGGTTTCCGCGCTGGGTTTCCGCGCTGGGCTTCGGCGCTGGGTCCCACGCTGGGTTCCACGCTGGGTTCCACGCTGGGTTCCACGCTGGGTCCCACGCTGGGTTCCACGCTGGGTTCCACGCTGGGTTGCGGCGCTGGGTTTGGCGTTGGGTTTGTTGGGGGATATAATTAAACAGCCAAGAACACTCACCCAGAACACTAACCCGGACTACCCGCCCAGAATATTGCCTGACTATATTGGCAGGGAGGGGAACACCGACAGACACAGCCAAAAACCAAAGACAACAAGCGAGAAAAAGAGCCCACGGCAGAACAATACCAGCAAAAAAAAAAAACACCCGCACACACATACGGTAAAAAAGAAAAAACTTGGAGGAAATTACCAGCGAAAACCGCGCCGCGCGCTGGGTTGTTTGCTGGGTTGTTTGCTGGGTTGTTTGCTGGGTTGTTTGCTGGGTGGTTTGCTGGGTTTTAAGAAGAGAATAGAACGCGCGGCCGGTTTTGCGCTGGGTTTTGCGCTGGGTTTTGCGCTGGGTTTTGCGCTGGGTTCTGCGCTGGGTTCTGCGCTGGGTTTGCGCTGGTAGGGTTTTGCCGCTCCTTTTTTTTGCGCTGGTATTTTTCTGCGGCGAAAATTCTCCGCGAGCAGTGGCGTCCAATATTATCCATGAATATTATCCACGAATCAATATCCTCCGCGAATATCATCCACGAGAACCATCCATGAATATTACCTGCGAATATATATTTATTATCCACGAATATTATCCGCGAACATTATCCGCGAATCTTATCCACGAATATTATCCACGAATATTATCCACAAATACTATCCACGAATATTCTCCACGAATAATTTCCCCGAATGTTATCCACGGATGCCGCCCATCCATGAATGTCACCCACTGACACGACCACCCGCGAACACTGTCCGCGGGTATTGCCTAGCTATGAATACTAGCCGGGAACACTATCCACGAACCAACACCGCTCACGGATGTCGTTTATCTGCCCAAGAATATTGCCCGCGAACACTGTCGAGGACGACCATGGCAGATCCTCCCTGCAAATATTGCCCAAGAATGATATCCACGAATATTGTCCGAGAATACCATCCCCGAACAGTATCCCCAGGCAGTAGCCTTATCCGCGAAGACTCAGAAACAGAACGACAAACACCACGCACGCAGCGGCGCCCGCAGGTGCGTCGTGAGTGCTCTGCCTGTCAAAAGCCAAGAGGGTAGAGGGACAGCGAGACCCTACGCAGGCGCCGCGCGTTCTTGCTACTGTGATGCCTACGCATACCCACACACTTGCGCTTGCGCACTTAAATACACACGCGCACCAGCTTAACTACTTACGCCCGCAGGCGTTTGCGTCTGTCTTTGCTTATGGTGTGGGTGTGGCTTAGATAGATAGCGCGCGAGAAAGAGACAGAGAGAAAGACAAGGCGAAGGCGCGCGCGTCTGTGTGTGTGTGTCACTATGAACGTGCGAACAGACTAAGCCAGCGCGCGGGCGGCGCTCGCTGCGTGCTCTGCTCTGCTCCGCGCGGTCAGACTCTTCGCCCATTCTGGGTCTGATCGATGGGTCGGCTCCTCGCTCTGCATCCAACCACTCGCCGAAGGATCGACCGACCAGGTCCGACAGTCATGCATTGACAGCCCGACCCACTCTGATACTGTTGGTTTCGCTCATTCTCACCCCGAGCAGGTGGGGCTGCCTGCGTGCACCTCCGCAAGGGTAGACAGTGCAGGCGCCTTGCTCTGCAAAGACACTACCAGGGAGCCAGTCTCTTTTTCTCTCGCGGGCGACCGAGCGACAAGGCCTCCGCCTGGAACGAAGGGGGGGCGTGCTCTCCACCGGCAGCCAGCTCGTCTACGCCGCGGGAGGGGAGCAAGCACGTAGAGCGAAAACAACAGACAGCAGCGCGCCCAACAGGACCACCGCGACCCCGTCAGCGGGGAAAGCTACCAACCATCCCTCCCCAAGGAAGGCCAGCGAACACCGTCGAAGAAGGCGGCGAACGCTACCAGGTACCAATGGGCTAGGTGACTGCGGCCCAAGAGCCTCGCCATGCAGAAACTGGCTACCTGACGACGAAAGACAGCGGGCACCAATATGGGGGGAGGCGCGGGAATGGGATGGGGCCAGAAATGAAAAGAGCAGCTTCTGGCCGGGCAAAACTGGGGCAACAAGGGCAAACTGTGCTTCGCGCTGGTATTGGCCCAAGGTCCAACTGTGGGGGTTCAAAGTTATAACTATATGGGAGGGACTTGCTTGGCCATCTGAATCCTGAACCCTGAATCGAGAGCCGGCTCCCCTTGGTGTCCCTTCTATATGGGAGGGACTTGATTGGCCATCTGAATCCTGAACCCTAAACCGAGAACCTGCTTCCTTTGGTGTTCCCTCTATATGGCAGGCGACGCGATGTCTCATCTGAACCCTGAACCGAGAACCCGCTTCCCTTGATGTTCATTCTAGATGGCAGGCGACGCGATGTCTCATCTGAATCCTGAACCCTGAACCGAGAGCCCGCTTCCCTTGGTGTTCCCTCTATATGACAGTTACAACAGAGAAAGCACTGCAATGTATAAACATGCAAACCAGCAAGCAAAAGTGTGGCGCTTTTTTGTGGTTTTTTTGCTTATCTTTTAAAGCTTCGAGCTTTTTCCTTCTCTTTGTTTTTTTTTTTATCATCACCAGCTTGGTCGTTCCTCGCGGATTCGTCTGCGTGCAATTGAGCGAGTGAATTTCTGGCGGAGTGGCGAGCGTCTCGCCCGCTGCTTCTGGCTGCGTGTGCGTTGAAGTAAGTTGCAATATTATTTTCTTGGTGCCCCGCTTTAAAGTAGTAATATTATTTTTTTGCGTAATTTAGATTAGTGCTGAGGCTATTCGGATAAAATAGCTAGCCAGCGCGGAACGAAGCCGCTGGCGACGTTCGTTTCTTTGTTTTCTTTTCGTGTCAGTCTGTCTGCCAGCTTGGCTCTGGGCCATTCTTTCAGTCACTGGGTGGCACCCACACGACGGACCTGACAGACCATGCACGCGGCAGCTGCCCAGCTAGCTACTTACATACTACATACTGACTTACTTACTTACTAAGTCAGTCTTAGTGACTGACGTGCCGCCCGCGATCTATGAGTGTGCTAGCTTCTATTTTTATTAATTAGCTACCGCGAAGTCATTGACTGACTTCCTTCGCTCGCAGACTTCGCCCTTTCATTCTTCTCACCCTCGGCGGACCTGAGAGAGAGAGTGGTTGGCTCGTTCGTTGGTCGGACGGTGCGTGGTCGGTGGCTGGCTGGCTCGCTCGCGCGCTGTAGCTAGTTAGTATGTAAG